GTAGATGATCCAGGTGACAGGACCAGCTCTTTCAGTTCTAATGGGGAGTTCATACCAAGCGCAAGAGAAATCGCTTAATTTGCACGAATCTAGACATGTGATTGAATAGTATTTACTCGCTTCATTTCAACGGTAATCCCCGCCAATTTAACCAGTGGAAACAAGTGATAGACAAAGGTTCTTTACAACTTACCAGGTAATCTGACCTCCTCACTCACTTGCCTCCAGGTGAGCTCCTTTTTATTCCGGTTTTAGTAATTGAAAGAAAAGGTATCATATAATTCGGCACCCACACACCGACACAATCAGTTTGTCCTCCATTTTAGATACCAGTGAACAATCATCTGTTTTCATACGTCACCTGGCAACCTTCGTTCTGGTCAGTAATCGCGATTCAAAAAAGTTGAGATTCGCCCAATTCCTGTCATTCGGCCACCAGAGTTGTAGGAGTGTCTAATCATGTCTTTGCATTGACTTAACATGTAATTCACTTGCTCGAATGATTTAACTCACGCTTGGTATGTGAAGACAGTAAGAGTCTGCTCTAGGACTAAGAGCGAAGATAAGAAGTAGAATCTCAGTTTACCAAAAGAAATTCAGATAAATACTGTCCTTTTACAACCTCAGAGAGAAACTAAGAAGAAAAGAAATGTCAGGTGAGGTCAAAGGAGAGAATAAAGGATAAAAGCAGAGGTGGAATAAAAACCCTATTCTCTTTCCTGTGAGATGGTGTTAGAGTTCCTAACCTTTTTAGACCTGGCTGAGCTGAGGTTAGTTAACTCTGTCTGTGATGCTGAGCAGTGATGCCGTTTGGCTGCTCTACACTATCCCTGTTATAAGGTTCAATTTAGCTCTCTGCCACTCTGCTTGCCTTTCTAATGAATACAAAACAGTTTTCACACATCAGGCCTGAACATGGTTCACAAAAATTGGATGGCAGTGGAGCCATTTTCTAATTTCAGCCTTAATGTAAATACAGCTGTGCCTTTTCTCCTGTGGGCTCTGACAAACCAGCCTGGATGAATGTGTGATATAAATTGTGATATATACATATATCACAGTTTATATCACACATGTGATTGTCATGTCATTTTTATGTATGAAACATAGGCTTTTAGCTAAATTTACTGTATATATTTTATTGTGCTGGGTGCAAATCACTTGAGTTGAGACGTTTTCTTCAAGAAATTTGCTACATTTCATAATCTGAATTCACTTATGCGTATACTAAGGCACCAATAACTGTTTCAGATGTTAGGTACATGTATTTATGACATTTGAGAAAGATTTTGTCTTGCCAGAATCAACATAGCAGTTTCTACAAGCAGAAACAGCAGCACCATATAATCATTTTTTGTGTTACTCACACAAAGGGTCGTAGGGTCCCCAACTGCAGAGGAGACCTCTTGGATCCCTGATTAATAGAACTAACCTATACTTTTGGCTGATAAAGGAGTCAGATCTGATACTCACTCACTATGATTAATATTGAATGCTTGGTTTCATTATAAATGATTTGTTACTGAACACATATAAATGAAATGTAGAATTACATAAAACATTCTCATTATGCTTTAAGTATCACGTTGAACATGCTAAATTACTCTGAAATGAAACAGATAGTAACACAGAAAATGTGAACAACAAAAGAGTAAATACATGTGAATAATGGATTCCAAATACTCACATTCAGATTAATCAATGATATCATAACCACCTAATGGTTAAAAATACTAAATAAATTATTAAATTATAAACCACAAACATTTCTAAAGTATTTATGTTACTTGAGTAAAATTATGAGTCAAACTCAATAAATTTAACTCTTAAAAGTTTATGAAACAGTTTGAAATGCTGTTGGTCTAAAGAAACTAAAGAATAAAGGATTTATTCTGTCAGAGTCATAGCTTGGCTTCTGGAGCTCATAGAAAAATGGAACACATCTCATTTTAACACAAATTTCATGATTAGACAGATTAGTACATTGCTGAATGCACAAGATGTCATGATCAGTCATTTGTATTCTTTCTCCAAGGGAATGCAGTTTTTATTAGAACATGGTTGAGCAGGGTTTTATGACCGTGGTCTGGAGGTCAGTGTCCTGCTCCTCAGACCTTTGCTTGGGGTCTGTGTGTTCACACACTTTAAGACGGTAAATCTCAAATGGGAGACCTGGATTGAGGCGTGAATGATTACTTAGATGGTCAGCGATGGAGTCAGTTTGAAAGGCAATAAAGACTGTGGGCTCTATTTTCGTGCCTCGTCGGAGACGTGCCGCAGGCGCAGCGTTAGACAGATCCGCCGCGCCGACAAGGCGTTCCCAAGTACAATTTGGTATTTTGGTGAGAGGCGCAGCCCGGTGTAAGTATCCCCCCTCCCTAACTCAGCTCCTCCCAGTGGTGTAAGTCGTAGCGAGGGAGGAGAGAGGGCGTGGAGTGGGTTTAACACAGCCGAGACCTGTTTTCACCAATCACATAAGCTCCTCTCCTTGCCTTTAAATCCGCCACCGGCGAGGCATATTACAATTTTAGTGAAGTAGTCAAAGAGATCGAGAGATGTGTGAAGACAGTAATGCCACACAATGGCGACAGAAGGCAGCCCCTCAACAAGTGTCACTGTAAGCGCTGCATTGGGCGTCCTCCACACTCTCTCATATGAGCAAAGATGGATTTGGTGTGTGTAATGTTGGACCCACTGGTAAGACAAACACCCTTTTCCACAAATAAAGACACTCACATAAAGTTGCACATATTCAAACCTCACATGACAAAGGTGGGTTGAGCGCACAGATCACAACATAAACTCCAAAAATGGCATTAAAATCGGAACCATCTGTGCGTTAATGACGCATCGCGCTCCGTGGCCTGGCTCTTTCTTTCATAGATGTTGGCATATAAAATAAATTTGGCTCACAAAACTGAATATTATAATATCCGTATGTAGGCTTAAAGTAGATAACTCATCTGATCACTGAAACAAATCATCTGTTCAGCCGCCGCAGCAGCAGCTGCAGCATGACGGGGAGAGGACACAAAGACATGTCCAGGTCAAGCTGCGTGAGAAATAAGAGGAAGAGGAAGAAAGAAAAGGAGGGAGATGAATTACATATCTTGTTAACCTCACCATGTTTTATTTACTAGATATTTAATTTTATTTAATGCGGTTTCAGCTGTGTTGATTCGGTCAGGTTGTGTGTCCAAATGTGTGCCAAACGAGCTCATCAGATCAGATATAGATCAGAATATATCTATAGATCTAAATGTGCTGACTCAGATTAATAGTTGTTGATGATTATTTATTGCACTGAAATGTGCCTGTCACTGTGGAAACCTGCCTGTGAGGATGCTGTGATGTATGCCGATACGCCACCGGTCTACCAAAATACCACCAGACCAGCTGCGCTCCGCCTGCACTGAAAGCTGACCAGGATTGAATCGGCGAGCTTTCAGCGCACTTTACACGCCACTGGCGGGCACGAAAATGTCACTGTGCCCACTGATTCTGTCGACACCTCCCCCTGCCACGCCACCACGCCCAGCTTGGCAGATCTCGGTTCACCTCCGTGCGCCTCAGTTCAAGAAAATACCAAACTGGCTGTACGCCGGGCTCCGCCAGACGAAAATACAACTTCCCGGGGTCCGCCACCCTCCGCCGCCTCACCAGCGTTCACGAAAATAGAGCCCTGTGCCTCTTTTCTCCGAATTGACCAATCATGAAGAGCCAGAGGTTTCGGTCGACCTCTGGGAAGGTCACTTAGGTAACCTGAAAGGGCAAACAAGTCTGGAAAGATTTATATCATCCTGTGACCTGGGACCAGATAAGTAACCTTTCCTGTGAGGAATGTGTGAGTTTTACACACAGAGTTTTCTTGGTGCTACTGTACATTAACATTGTGCACATGGTTTGAACATTCTTTGGATGGAGGTTGACAAGAGTCAGTCTCTCCTGTCACTGACACTGACATTCATGAACAAAATAAACTCATGAATCCAGAGAGTATTTGATTTCCTGTCTAACATTTCATGACTCAGCAGTATCATCTCTCTGTCATGGTTAAGGTTTTGCAAGTTTGAATCCATTACCAATTAATTGCATGCTTAAATACTTTCATTACTGCTGACTGTTGATTGGTTTCTTACCTCCTGGGCCGCAATTGGTTTCCTTCCATTTGGAAAAACACAGGAAGCCGAATGTCAGGGAGTAAATGAGTTCATTAGAGTGAACAGCCTGTAAGACTCCCTTGAGCTCAACTTGAACTTTTGATTCCACTAAAAGGAGAACGTTTTCTAAACCTGATCCTGATACCTGATCTTGGATATACTCTGCGGAATCTTCAATCTCAGTTCAGGCAGGAAGACTGTTTCATATTCATGACGCTGTTTCTCCATCACCTCGTCTTCCTTCTGTTCAACTTTAATTTATTTATCAACCAAATCTTACCACCACCTCTATCAACCCATCACGAGGCAGCTGCCAGACATCAGGGCCTTGTCTAGTGAACAGGCAGATAGATGATGCAGCTGTAGAGTAGACAGGTCCACAGCAGCAGGGCATCTGCAGCAGAGTCCAGAGTAACCTACATGATGATGGAGCTCAGGGACTCCCAGAAAAGACTGTGTGTTAGTAATTTTGATGGGACATGATAATTTAGAGTTAATGACACAGTTTTAGGGATGCCAAAGAAACACTGACATAAGAGTTTGAAATGAAATCTTTTTTTTCCACAGGATGATTAATGTCACAAAATACTTGCTGTACTTGCATATGCTGTTTCATAAGAGCTCTAAATGATGACCTGAATTTGGAAAGTAAAGTACAAGAATAAATGAATGTAAAACATTTTTCAGCCATAGTCTCATAAATTTCCATAATTACCTCCATTAGCAGCTTCCACCGTTTCAACAGCATAATTTCACACCTTTGTGGCCCCAACGCTCGCTCTGACCTGCTGGTGTTGGTGCTGTCAGGTAATCAGGCTGCTGTCTGAAGCCCTCCATCCCCTGAGCTGCCTCTACCTGAATGCAGTCTTATTGGACTGAGGCAGATAAGAGGGATTGGACCAGGATGGAGAAGCAGCTGAAAGCAACATAAGATGAAGTCTGTAATAAAACTCTGCGGCGTCCCCTCGGCTCCCCATCCTGGGCCTGTCTGATCGCTCATTACCACCCGATCGCTCCTTTCAGAGAGATAATCGCTCCATTGGGTCTCCTCTAACCTGCTGCCTCTCTGAACCCAGACCTCATCTCCTCCCAAACCCATCCTAATGGATGGGGAATAAATCAGCTGGTGGAGGCTGGTGGTGGCGGCCTGATATGATCAACGATTATCTCACCCAGATGATCGAAAGCTTTCAGGTGCTCAGGATAGAGGGAGGCCAAGGGGAAGTTTTCAGAGTTTCTTCAAAAAGGGAGAGGGTTTCTGCACATTTTTCTGACACAGTAAGTCCTTGAGAATTTGAACAGCTTTCTGCTTTCAAATAGGAACTGAGTTTTAGGCCTTTGCATTACAGCAAACATGGTGCAGATCATTTCAGGGCATCTGTGATCTGCAAATAATGAGATGTGAATTTAAGAAGGTAAAGGTGTGTTTGCAGCATAACAGCTGAATTAGACTTTGAAACAACTTTACAGTAATACCAAAAAGCATGCTCACTCAAATATCATCATTTCATTCAAGTTAGTTTAAACTGCAGACTGATCTTGTGCCATCAGTCCTTTTAAAGGACATGATGGAAACACACAGGGCAGCTGTGCAGCTGGAGTGTCAGGGCCGTATGAGCGTCAGGGACAATCATTCATGTTTATCTCGCCTGTGAAGATGGACATTTTATTAATATGGTTTTTAAAGGGTCTTGCTCACTGCAGAACACAGCCTCTAGTGGACAGGAAAGGAACTGCGTATAATCTGCACCTCAGTGCAGCTTCAATTCACCTCACAGGTTGCTGGTTGGTCTTGAATATAAATAAAGGATGCTCAGTATTTGCAGGTAAGTTGATACACAGCATCTTTCTTTCAAAAGCAGGTGTAAAGAAACAAGGACACAGCTGTTTATCAGACATTTCCTTGTCAGATGAGCCCTTAAATTCTCATTATTTGTGCTGAAAGCTGAGGTCAAATGTTGGTATTTAGAAAGACAGTGGAGATAGTAAGATTCATGATTTTAGGGACACATATTATGATGCAAAACAGCGTGTGCAGCATTAAGATCTTAAATGTCAGGGTTGTCATAATGTCGTGCTGCACAAGCATATCTCTTAGCCAAATGTCAGACTGAGACTCTGCATACAGATCCAGACCTCAGCAGCTGAATGTGTTTTTAGCTTCCTCATGAGCTAACAACAAGCAGAAAAAGACAACAGGTGTTAAGACATGACTGTGAGTGTGTGTGACCAACATCTATGTGTATCATTGTGTGTGTCACCTCCTCCAAATGTTGATTATACAGTCTGAGATAAGATGTAAAGGAGCTCTGACCTGTTATTATCAATGATTTATCCTCTCAGCCGTCAGGTCGACATCTCACCTGGATGATAGTCGGTTAGTTTAAAGATAAAAGAGAATCCTTCTGGAAAAGGAAGAAATGTGGAGTCTTAAAGTGAGGATGCAAAAACATTTATGCAAGTGAGGGTGCAGATCTTCACTGCTTCATCTCCTTCCTCTGTAGACCACATTAAGGGTGGACTTCATTCTTAAAGGGAAAACTGATCAAGGAACTCTGAAAAACAGGAAGAGACCCAGCGTGCAGATGTGAAAGAGGCTCAGATCTAACAGGTGAGTTTTGTCCTGCTTTTATTTCTCTAAAGATAACCTTTAACCAATGTGTAATATGTTTTAATCAGGACATAAATCTGAAGATCTGACAGCAGTATGATTTGACAGATCCCTCCCTCGTCTGCTGAAAGGAGTTGTCTGTAATCCACTCAGGAAATGTATGCTTTTTGAAGCACAAACTTTCCCATGTTGAAATTAGAGCAGTCACATATGATCTCTGCCAGGATCCCCGACACTTTGAGTCTCCTTTTATCAAATATAAGACGAAGAGCCAATCTTTTAGCATAATCTAAATCCATTAGTGTGCCGAAACAAGATGAAAGCTCCCTCAGAGGAGAGACAAGCCCTGTGTCAGCCTGACACAAATCTTCTTTTTATCAGTGACCTGAAAATTAATGTTAAACTGCCTCAATAAGAGGATTTCATTATCAGACATGTAGCTTTAGACAGCTGAGAGCAAGTCTTTAAAGCTACATGTCTGATTAATAAGAATGGACAGTAAAGAAGCAGCCAAAGTCCTGATGATACAAAGTCTAAACAAATAGGTCTTCAACTCCTTTTTGACAAACATTCACAGTGTCCACAGTTCTCAGTGCAAGAGGGGGAGAGTTGGCAAGTTTCGAGCAAACACTGCAAATACATGGTCTCCTTCAGTTCGAAGTGTGGTCCAAGGGCCAGCCAGCAAACCCTGATCAGGGGACCTTAAGAGTCCTTGTGATTGTGTTCAGAGCTTTGCATGGGCAAGCTGCAGCTTGTATCACAAGTAATTTAAATTAGATTCTGAATTAAATGGGGAGCCAGTGAAAAGAGTTTAGGATGGGTGTGACATGAGACCATTGAGATGATTTTTTTCAGGAGCTGAGCTGCAGCATTTTGAACCTTAGAGTCACAGGTGCCATCAATTGCACTCACGTGCGCATCACTGGGCCTTTGGGGCCAAATGAGGGCGACTTTGTTAATTGCAGGTCATACCACAGCCTCAACATTCAGGTAACTTGCATATGATATACATGCCATCTGCACATTGAGACACACACAGAGTCCCCAAAAATCTCCCCTGTGCCTGTGAGGTTTGCACCGATTGATATTTTAAGACTCATTGTTCAGTCACACCAGCTAAGTGCCTGCATGGACACTAACTACTGAAATGTCTTTTGCATCGCTACTCACAGGACAGAGAGTGTCAAAGCTTTATCAAGGGAAGGCAAAAGCACATTGCTGCCTTTCATCTGCTGCAGTCATATTATAGTTCTTTTTGCTGTTGCAGATGACCTGCGATCACAATTGTCTTATCACCAGCCTAGATGCGAAGTGGCCCGGCTCGGTTCATGACTCTCGGATCTTCCGGGAGTCTAGGCTCTGCCGAACATTGGAGCAGGGTGTGGCTCTTGCACTATGCACATTGTGTTTTGATGTTCATCAGACTCCCTGTGACACTGACCATGACATCTCCCTTCATTCACAGGACTTCTCCATGGAGTGCTGCTTGGGGACCGAGGCTATCCCTGCCTGCCCTACCTTATGACCCCCTATCCTGACCCTGGTGCAGGGCCACAAACACAATTCAATTATGGTTCTCTCCCGCACCAGGGTCAGGATAGAGATGACCTTTGGCATCCTGAAGGCTCGCTTCAGCTGCCTGCGTGACCTGAGGGTGACCCCACGCCGGGCCTGCCGCATTATTACATCCTGTGCTGTGTTGCACAACATAGCCACCATTCGGAGGGAGGCATTGGGAGGGAGGGTCCCACCTGCTGACCCACTCCCCCCCGATGTGGTGGATCCAATCACATTAGACCATCCCACTGGCAGGGCTGTGTGGCGGGCTTTAACGGAACAATTTTTCACGTGATTTGGCACTTTTGGTTTACAAAGAGAGGAGACAGAGACCTTTGACTTCCTTTTTTTTCTTTTTATTAATGATATTTGTTGTTAATCCTTCTGGCCCCCTCTGTCTCGTTCCTGGAATGGAGAGGAAAATTTTAGTTGGACTACATTTCAAGTTATGATGTGGCAGCTCTCCAAACATTACCCTCTTTTCTTCGAGCAGTTTCTCCACCTCGAGCTTGGCCTTCTTAATTAGCAGCTGCTTTAACTCTGTATCCAGCTCGAGGTGTCTTTTGTACAGTGCCCTTACATTGTCTGTTCTGGGCTGGGGACAAATAATGCTGTTGAGATCCTTTTACATTTACACATTGTCAGTGATCAAAGCTCAAAATCCAGGTTACGTCAATACCTCCCGTGCTCTCCTTGGCCTTGGGCTGGGGCTGGGGGGGAGGGTCACACGCTCCAGGGGGGACAGGGGGATCTCCTCATCCTGCACATCATAGCATGAGAAAAAAATGAGACAACCTGAAGCAACACGTGGTCCTGAGTACAGAATGAAACTTGTGGCTTTTTCAGAATGAAGCACCGTCTTCAGTGTGGTTACACCCGAAGTGTGTTAAGATTAAATAATAAAAATAGTTTAAGTTTCACCTCTGTTTCATTTTGTATCTGCATTAACCATAGGTCACATATATTTTACTTCAATGTCATGCGTGTGGGAATATACATCGGGTCTTATTATTCACTGCAGTGTACCATTTGTGGCCTTGTGGAGCGAATGGAGACCGCCTCTTTATCCACCTGGAAAAGGACGACAAGAAAATGCTCAAGTTAATTAGGGCCCGAGCGTAGCTGCTAAGCAGCTGCGAGAGCCCTATTATTCCCCAAGAGGTTTTTCTTTGTTTCTTTCTTAGGGCCCGAGCCAGCTGCAGAGCAGCCGGGCGTAGGCCCTATTATTCCCCAAGTGGTTTTTCTTTGTTTCTTTCTTTCTTTTTTCTTTTTCCTCCCCTTTGAACTGGAAAATGGCCCACTTCCCACTGGCGAAAACTCATGAAATTTGGCAGGACGACCGGGCCTGGTGAAAAATTTGATATTCCGAAGTCGCCCAAACAAGAAAATGCAAAATGGCTCCATAGCGCCCCCTAAGGTGAAAATTCACACTATTGACTGTCACGCCTGTACACTTTGTCAAAATGACACAAAAATTGACACACACATGTATCTCAATAAGATCTACAAAAAAGTCAGTGCGGGCATATCCGTCAAATGTACAATTAAAGGGTTATTTCGCATTTTTTGCCGATCCGCACACATTGGAATTTCGCTAACTCCTCCGAAGGCTTTCGTTCCACCGGCACCACATTTGCTCAGGCCAATCTACACCCCATGGCCATTAAAAGTTATTCAAATCATGACGCTGCACCCCACGGTTTAGGTTCTAGGGGGCGCCAAAGATAACCCTAAAATCCACATATTTCAAAGTCTTATAACTTTTTATTTTTGTCCTCACTGGCCTCCAAGTTTTCTAGGATGATGCAATGTCCAGCCATCAACACATTTGTGAAGGAATTTTTACTCCCTAAAAGAGCGCCCCCCCATGGCAGGAGAAAAAAGTCCATTTTTTCTTGTCCCCTAAGGTGAAAATACACATTGTTGACTGTCACGCCTGTACGCTTTGGCAAAATGACACAAAAATTGACAATCATGTGTATCTCAATTAGATCTACGAAAAAGTCAAAGAGCGCGTATCTGTATAATGTACGGTAAAAGGGCTATTTTGCATTTTTTGCCGATTCGCACACATTGGAATTTCGCTAACTCCTCCTAAGGCTTTCGTCCCACTCACACCAAATTTGCTCAGGCCAATCTACACTCCATGGCCATTCAAAGTTGTAAAAATCATGACGCTGCACCCCACGGTTTACGTTTTAGGGGGCGCCAAAGATGACCCAAATATACATTACAGTAGACAAAGTAGTTTTGCCCACTGAGTGGCGCCAAAGGGACTTGTCTGTGGAGTCTGTGAGTCACTATTGGCCGTTTTTGACTACTTTAGATTTTACCTTTATATTTCCTCTTACAAAATTTTTACCTTGCCTTGCCTGGTATCATTTTTTTCAGCACAACCTCACCTGTGTCAATTTACAGTTATTTTATCATTTTGACATACTATATTTACACATTGGACCCAAATTCACACACAAAACATAAAATCCGAGTGGAAAAAAGTAACGTTTTTACTGTGAAAACCACAAATATGTGTGATGAACTGTTTTTAAAACTTAAACTTCAAATAAAAATTGTAAACTTCAAAACATATGCAAATTTTTAACAAAGAACATAGTAATTTACCTCTATTGACATCAAAATGCAGGCAATGGCCCAGGTGTTCTTTGTAAAATTATTTACAAAACACTGTATAGTCTCACAAATGTCACTTTTTATTTATGCCACTACAAAAAAACATGATGTAAATGATGCATGATGTAAAACATGATGTAAAAAACTTGTGTAGATCCTCCTCTATGTTAGTCCATGTGTAATTTTTCCATAATTCTTTGTTTTTTGCAGCATTTTTGTTAGTGTAACTGCAGATTGTGCTGACAGTGTCTATGGCAAAAAAAAACAAAAACTAGGACCCCGTTGGGGCACTGGCGGGCCCGAGCCGTGTCCCCCCCCCCCCAACGCGCTGCCTCCCCGTCCCATTCGCGTCCTCTGGCCATCGCCCTCTCTGGTAACGCCCATCACTGCAAAGACCCTTTCCTTCATCGGCGTTTGCTGTTCTTCCTGCCAGTGCGTGTTGCTTTCACTTACACTTGCCACAGCCAGCCTCGTGAGTGCCTAGCCTATTCGATATCACTGTCACCTACACAGGACAGTCATTACCTTTCTATTAATACTTTGTGTTTTAATTTCACATTAATTTCCATATTGTATAAATGACTGGAAAAAACTTGAGCCCCTGCCCCTGTATAATCATGTGCATGTCTCTGTTCTAGCTCCAAGGTGAATCTTCACTGCTCATGTTCTCCTCAGAAGCACTCACCTCACTCCCCTCAGGTTACTGTACACATGCACCAACTGCCTGCTTCAGGTTTGGATGGAGCTTCATGGTTGTCTTTTGGAGAAATGACCAGTCAAGTTGTGTTTGAAATTTGATTTTTTTCAGGGGCAAAAGGAGCCTCTGCATTCTTGTCAAATATGTAAATAGCATGTTTTTGCAGGTGCTAAAAACCAGACTCTGAGTGTGTGTGTGTGTGTGTGTGTGTGTGTGTGTGTGCGTGTGTGTGTGTCTGTGTGTGCGTTCAAGTCACATGACATATTTAACCGGATGTAGCTGCAAGACGGAGCCTCGTTGACTCTCCGTTTCAACTTATCTCAAAAGTGAGGACCTCAACCTATATACCAGTTTTTGAATTGTGTTGATAGGCCAAATAAAACCAGAGTTATGATAAATTATGTCCGCGATACTTGTTTTCTGCTTATTTTGATCACGTTCGGCGCTCGATCGCGCTGTATGAGACAGGAAAACATAGCATGCAGACATTAGCGACAGGTCTTACAGGCGGAAAAGGCTTGCCAAAAAAAAAAAAAACACACCACAACATCTCTCCTATTGGTGGAAAACTTCACCACAACAACCAATCCAAAATTATATGGTGACTGATTGACAAGGGGCGGGCGCTTACGTTCTTCCTGCAACATGAGAAGGGAGGGAGGGACTCTCAGCAGGGATGCAGTCTGGGACACGTAGTTGCAAACCTAGCGACTTTGTTGTTAGATTCAATGACTTTTCAGACCCCCTAACGACTTTTTTTTAGAAAGAAAGGGACTTTTATCGACTTCTTCTGGAGTTTAGAGACTCTGACATGAAGCAGGCTTTCCTTACTGAGGAGTTAGCAACGCTGCTAAGGGTGCAGAGCCACACATGCGCTCAGAGCTCTGCATGGGAGACTGAAGCTGACAGAGCTGCAGCAGTTAGCAGGTTTCACCCTCAGAGACCACCAGGGGTTCATGTTGAGGCATTTTAATTTTTTTTTTTTTTGTGCCATAGACACTGTCAGCACAATCTGCAGTTACACTAACAAAAATGCTGCAAAAAACAAAGAATTATGGAAAAATTACACATGGACTGACATAGAGGAGGATCTACACAGGTTTTTTACATCATGTTTTACATCATGCATCATTTACATCATGTTTTTTTGTAGTGGCATAAATAAAAAGTGACATTTGTGAGACTATACAGTGTTTTGTAAATAATTTTACAAAGAACGCCTGGGCCATTGCCTGCATTTTGATGTAAATAGAGGTAAATCACTATGTTCTTTGTTAAAAATTTGCATATGTTTTGAAGTTTACAATTTTTATTTGAAGTTTAAGTTTTAAAAACAGTTCATCACACATATTTGTGGTTTTCACAGTAAAAATGTTACTTTTTTCCACTCGGATTTTATGTTTTGTGTGTGAATTTGGGTCCATTGTGTAAATTCAGTATGTCAACATGATAAAATAACTGTAAATTCGCACAGGTGAGGTTGTGCTGAAAAAAATGATACCAGGCAAGGCACGTGATTGTCAAATTTTGTGTCAATATGACAAAGCGTATAGGCGTGAATCTCAACAATATGTATTTTCACCTTAGGGGACAAGAAAAAATTGACTTTTTTCTCCTGCCATGGGGGGCGCTCTTTTGGGGAGTAAAAATTCCTTCACAAATGTGTTGATGGCTGGACATTGCATCATCCTAGAAAACTTGGACGCCAGTGAGGACAAAAATAAAAAGTTATAAGACTTTTAAATATGTGGATTTTAGGGTTATCTTTGGCACCCCCTAGAACCTAAACCGTGGGGTGCAGCGTCATGATTTGAATAACTTTTAATGGCCATGGGGTGTAGATTGGCCTGAGCAAATGTGGTGCCGGTGGAACGAAAGCCTTAGGAGGAGTTAGCCACATTCCAATGTGTGCGGATCGGCAAAAAATGCGGAATAACCCTTTAACCGTACATTTGACAGATACGCACGCATTGACTTTTTCGTAGATCTTATTGAGTTACATGTGTGTGTGTCAATTTTTGTGTCATTTTGACAAAGCGCGTATAGGCGTGACACTCAACAATGTGTATTTTCACCTTAGGGGACAAGAAAAAATGGACTTTTTTCTCCTGCCATGGGGGGGCGCTCTTTTGGGGAGTAAAAATTCCTTCACAAATGTGTTGATGGCTGGACATTGCATCATCCTAGAAAACTTGGAGGCCAGTGAGGACAAAAATAAAAAGTTATAAGACTTTTAAATATGTGGATTTTAGGGTTATCTTTGGCGCCCCCTAGAACCTAAACCTTGGGGTGCAGCGTCATGATTTTGATAACTTTTAATGGCCACGGGGTGTAGATTGGCCTGAGCAAATGTGGTGCCGGTGGAACGAAAGCCTTCGGAGGAGTTAGCGAAATTCCAATGTGTGCGGATCGGCAAAAAATGCGAAATAACCCTTTAACCGTAATTTTGACAGATACGGCCGCACTGACTTTTTTGTAGATCTTATTGAGATACATATGTTTGTCAATTTTTGTGTCAATATGACAAAGCGTACAGGCGTGACAGTCAATAGTGTGAATTTCCACCTTAGGGGGCGCTATGGAGCCATTTTGCATTTTATTGTTTGGGCGACTTCAGAATATCGAATTTTTCACCAGGCCCGGTCGTCCTGCCAAATTTCATGAGTTTTCGCCAGTGGGAAGTGGGCCATTTTCCAGTTCAAAGGGGAGGAAAAAGAAGAAACTAGGGCCCCGTTGGGGCACTGGCGGGCCCGAGCCGCGTTGCGCCGCCCCCAGTGCAACCGCCTCCCCCTCCCGATCGCGTCACACTCAAGGTCCAAAGATGGTGTGCGCACTTGTCTGTGGTCATTTCCCATTATAATGAATGGGAGGCGCAGTTTCTACCAAAACACTCGCTGCAGACAAACTACATGTCCTATTTGAAAAAAGTCTGGCCCATGAGTGAGGGCACAAACACAGCTAGGATATAGCCAAACGGCAAGTTGCTCCTCGTTACGGTGTTGCCGGGAGAGCGATGCGATTGAGCCATTGAGTGATGGGCAGGAAAAACTTGACTGTTTCTCCTGCCATGGGGGATGGGGGATGGGAGGGGGGGAAAGGGATGTGGATTCTTTTAAGAATGTGGATATTTGGGTCATCTTTGGCGCCCCCTAGAACGTAAACCGTGGGGTGCAGCGTCATGATTTTTAAAACTTTGAATGGCCATGGGGTGTAGATTGGCCTGAGCAAATTTGGTGTCAGTGGGACGAAAGCCTTAGGAGGAGTTAGCCACATTCCAATGTGTGCTAATCGGCAAAAAATGCAAAATAGCCTTTTAACCGTACATTTTACAGATACGCGCGCATTGACTTTTTCGTAGATCTTATTGAGATACATGTGTGTGTCAAATTTTGTGTCAATATGACAAAGCATACAGGTATGACAGTCAACAATGTGTATTTTCACCTTATGGGACAAGAAAAAATGGACTTTTTTCTCCTGCCATGGGGGGGCGCTCTTTTAGGGAGTAAAAATTCCTTCACAAATGTGTTGATGGCTGGACATTGCATCATCCTAGAAAACTTGGAGGCCAGTGAGGACAAAAATGAAAAGTTATAAGACTTTTAAGAATGTGGATTTTTGGGTTATCTTTGGCGCCCCCTAGAACGTAAACCGTGGGGTGCAGCGTCATGATTTGTACAACTTTTAATGGCCATGGGGTGTAGATTGACCTGAGCAAATTTGGTGCCGGTGGAACGAAAGCCTTTGGAGGAGTTAGCGAAATTCCAATGTGTGCGGATCGGCAGAAAATGCGAAATAGCCCTTTAACCGTACATTATACAGATACGCGCTCTTTGACTTTTTCGTAGATCTTATTGAGATACACGTGATTGTCAAATTTTGTGTCAATATGACAAAGCGTTCAGGCGTGACACTCTACAATGTGTATTTTCATGTTAGGGGACAAGAAAAAATGGACTTTTTTCACCTGCCATGGGGGGGCGCTCTTTTGGGGAGTAAAAATTCCTTCACAAATGTGTTGATGGCTGGACATTGCATCATCCTAGAAAACTTGGAGGCCAGTGAGGACAAAAATAAAAAGTTATAAGACTTTTAAGAATGTGGATTTTTGGGTTATCTTTGGCGCCCCCTAGAACGTAAACCGTGGGGTGCAGCGTCATGATTTGTACAACTTTTGATGGCCATGGGGTGTAGATTGGCCTGAGCAAATTTGGTGCCAGTGGAACGAAAGCCTTCGGAGGAGTTAGCGAAATTCCAATGTGTGCGGATCGGCAAAAAATGCGAAATAGCCCTTTAACGGTACATTTGACAGATACGCCCGCACTGACTTTTTTGTAGGTCTTATTGAGATACACATGTGTGTCAAATTTTGTGTCATTTTGACAAAGCGTACAGGCGTCAGGTGAATTTTCACCATAGGGGGCGCTATGGAGCCATTTTTCATTTTTTTGTTTGGGCGACTTCAGAATATCGAATTTTTCACCAGGCCCGGTCGTCCTGCCAAATTTCCTGAGTTTTCGCCAGTGGGAAGTGGGCCATTTTCCAGTTTAAAGCGGAGGAAAAATAACGAAAGAAGAATCCATCAGGAACAAGAGGGCTCTCGCAGCTGCTTAGCAGCTACGCTCGGGCCCTAACTAGGGCCCCGTTGGGGCACTGGCGGGCCCGAGCTGTGTCGCCCCCCCCCCCCCAACGCGCTGCCTCCCCGTCCCATTCGCGTCCTCTGGCCATCGTCCTCTCTGGTAACGCCCATCACTGCAAAGACCCTTTTCCTTCATCGGCGTTTGCTGTTCTTCCTGCCAGTGCGTGTGGCTTTCACTTGCACTTGCCACAGCCAGCCTCGTGAGTGCCTAGCCTATTGGATATCACTGTCACCTACACAGGACAGTCATTACCTTTCTATTAATACTTTGTTTTTTAATTTCACATTAATTTCCATATTGTCTAAACGACTGGAAAAAACTTGAGCCCCTGCCCCTGTATAATCATGTGCACGTCCCTGTTCTAGCTCCAAAGTGAATCTTGACTGCTCATGTTCTCCTCAGAAGCAGTCACCTCACTCCACTCAGGTTACTGTACACATGCACCAACTGCCTGCTTCAGGTTTGGATGGAGCTTCATGGTTGTCTTTTGGAGAAATGAGCAGTCAAGTTGTGTTTGAAATTTCATTTTTTTCAGGGGCAAAAGGAAGTCTCTGCATTGTTGTCAAATATGTAAATAGCATGTTTTTGCAGGTGCTGAAAAACAGACTCTGAGTGTGTATGTGTGTGTGTGTGTGTGTGTGTGTGTGTGTGTGTGTGTGTGTGTGTGTGTGTGTGTGTGTGTGTGTCTGTGTGTGTGTATCCTGCAGTGGCCAAAACGACTTTTAAGAATGTGGATATTTGGGTCATCTTTGGCGCCCCCTAGAACGTAAACCATGGGGTGCAGCGGCATGATTTTTACAACTTTGAATGGCCATGGGGTGTAGATTGGCCTGAGCAAATTTGGTGTCAGTGGGACGAAAGCCTTAGGAGGAGTTAGCCACATTCCAATGTGTGCGAATCGGCAAAAAATGCAAAATAGCCGTTTAGCCGTACATTTTACAGATACGCGCGCATTGACTTTTTCGTAGATCTTATTGAGATACACGTGTGTGTCAAATTTTGTGTCAATATGACAAAGCGTACAGGCGTGACATTCAACAATGTTTATTTTCACCTTAGGGGACAAGAAAAAATTGACTTTTTTGTCCTGCCATGGGGGGGCGCTCTTTTGGGGAGTAAAAATTCCTTCACAAATGTGTTGATGGCTGGACATTGCATCATCCTAGAAAACTTGGAGGCCAGTGAGGGCAAAAATAAAAAGTTATAAAACTTTTAAGAATGTGGATTTTAGGGTTATTTTTGGCGCCCCCTAGAACCTAAGCCATGGGGTGCAGCATCATGATTTGTACAACTTTGAATGGCCATGGAGTGTAGATTGGCCTGAGCAAATGTGGTGCCGGTGGACCGAAAGCCTTCGGAGGAGTTAGTGAAATTCCAATGTGTGCGGATCTGCAAAAAATGCGAAATAACCCTTTAACCGTACATTTGACAGATACGCCCGCACTGACTTTTTTGTAGATCTTATTGAGATACATGTGTGTGTCAATTTTTGTGTCAATATGACAAAGCGTACAGGCGTGACAGTCAATAGTGTGAATTTTCACCTTAGGGGGCGCTATGGAGCCATTTTGTATTTTATTGTTTGGGCGACTTCAGAATATCGAATTTTTCACCAGGCCCGGTCGTCCTGCCAAATTTCCTGAGTTTTCGCCAGTGGGAAGTGGGCCATTTTCCAGTTTAAAGCGGAGGAAAAATAATAATAATAACTAGGACCCCGTTGGGGCACTGGCGGGCCCGAGCCGTGTCGCGTCACGTGCTGCCTCCCCGTCCCATTTGTGTCCTCTGGCCATCGCCCTCTCTGGTAACGCCCATCACTGCAAAGACCCTTTTCCTTCATCGGCGTTTGCTGTTCTTCCTGCCAGTGCGTGTTGCTTTCACTTACACTTGCCACAGCCAGCCTCGTGAGTGCCTAGCCTATTGGATATCACTGTCACCTACACAGGACAGTCATTACCTTTCTATTAATACTTTGTTTTTTAATTTCACATTAATTTCCATATTGTATAAACGACTGGAAAAAACTTGAGCCCCTGCCCCTGTATAATCATGTGCACGTCTCTGTTCTAGCTCCAAGGTGAATCTTCACTGCTCATGTTCTCCTCAGAAGCAGTCACCTCACTCCCCTCAGGTTACTGTACACATGCACCAACTGCCTGCTTCAGGTTTGGATGGAGCTTCATGGTTGTCTTTTGGAGAAATGACCAGTCAAGTTGTGTTTGAAATTTGATTTTTTTCAGAGGCAAAAGAAAGCCTCTGCATTCTTGTCAAATATGTAAATAGCATGTTTTTGCAGGTGCTAAAAAACAGACTCTGAGTGTGTGTGTGTGTGTGTGTGTGTGTGTGTGTGTGTGTGTGTGTGTGTGTGTGTGTGAGTGTGTGTGTGTCTGTGTGTGCGTTCAAGTCACATGACATATTTAACCGGATGTAGCTGCAAGACGGAGCCTCGTTGACTCTCCGTTTCAACTTATCTCAAAAGTGAGGACCTCAACCTATATACCAGTTTTTAAATTGTGTTGATAGGCCAAATAAAACCAGAGTTATGATAAATTATGTCCGCGATATTTTTTTTCTGCTTATTTTGATCACGTTCGGCGCTCGATCGCGCTGTATGAGACAGGAAAACATAGCATGCAGACATTAGCGACAGTTCTTACAGGCGGAAAAGGCTTGCCAAAAGAAAAAAAAAACACACCACAAAATCTCTCCTATTGGTGGAAAACTTCACCACAACAACCAATCCAAAATTATATGGTGACTGATTGACAAGGGGGGGGCGCTTACGTTCTTCCTGCAACATGAGAAGGGAGGGAGGGACTCTCAGCAGGGATGCAGTCTGGGACACGTAGTTGCAAACCTAGCGACTTTGTTGTTAGATTCAATGACTTTTCAGACCCCCTAACGACTTTTTTTTAGAAAGAAAGGGACTTTTATCGACTTCTTCTGGAGTTTAGAGACTCTGACATGAAGCAGGCTTTCCATACTGAGGAGTTAGCAACGCTGCTAAGGGTGCAGAGCCACACATGCGCTCAGAGCTCTGCATGGGAGACTGAAGCTGACAGAGCTGCAGCAGTTAGCAGGTTTCACCCTCAGAGACCACCACGGGTTCATGTTGAGGCATTAAAATTTTTTTTTTTTTTTGTGCCATAGACACTGTCAGCACAATCTGCAGTTACACTAACAAAAATGCTGCAAAAAACAAAGAATTATGGAAAAATTACACATGGACTGACATAGAGGAGGATCTACACAAGTTTTTTACATCATGTTTTACATCATGCATCATTTACATCATGTTTTTTTGTAGTGGCATAAATAAAAAGTGACATTTGTGAGACTATACAGTGTTTTGTAAATAATTTTACAAAGAACGCCTGGGCCATTGCCTGCATTTTGATGTAAATAGAGGTAAATTACTATGTTCTTTGTTAAAAATTTGCATATGTTTTGAAGTTTACAATTTTTATTTGAAGTTTAAGTTTTAAAAACAGTTCATCACACATATTTGTGGTTTAATTTCACATTAATTTCCATATTGTATAAATGACTGGAAAAAACTTGAGCCCCTGCCCCTGTATAATCATGTGCACGTCCCTGTTCTAGCTCCAAGGTGAATCTTCACTGCTCATGTTCTCCTCAGAAATAGTCACCTCACTCCCCTCAGGTTACTGTACACATGCACCAACTATCTGCTTCAGGTTTGAAATGGAGCTTCATGGTTGTCTTTTGGAGAAATGAACAGTCAAGTTGTGTTTGAAATTTGATTTTTTTCAGGGGCAAAAGGAAGCCTCTGCATTCTTGTCAAATATGTAAACAGCATGTTTTTGCAGGTGCTAAAAACCAGACTCTGAGTGTGGGTGTGTGTGTGTGTGTGTGTGTGTGTGTGTGTATGTTGGCGTGTGTGTATATGTGTGTGTATCCTGCAGTACTCTGTACTCCTGCAGTGGCCAAAAAGACTTTTAAGAATGTGGATTTTTGGGTCATCTTTGGCGCCCCCTAGAACTGCAGTACTCTGTACTCCTGCAGTGGCCAAAATGACTTTTAAGAATGTGGATTTTTGGGTCATCTTTGGCGCCCCCTAGAACGTAAACCGTGGGGTGCAGCGTCATGATTTTTACAACTTTGAATGGGCATGGGGTGTAGATTGCCCTGAGCAAATTTGGTATCGGTGGGACGAAAGCCTTAGGAGGAGATAGCCACATTCCAATGTGTGCGAATCGGCAAAAAATGCAAAATAGCCCTTTAACCGTACATTATACAGATACGCGCTCTTTGACTTTTTCGTAGATCTAATTGAGATACACATGATTGTCAATTTTTGTGTCAATATGACAAAGCGTTTAGGCGTGACACTCAACAATGTGTATTTTTATGTAAGGGGACAAGAAAAAATTGACTTTTTTCTCCTACCATGGGGGGCGCTCTTTTGGGGAGTAAAAATTCCTTCACAAATGTGTTGATGGCTGGACATTGCATCATCCTAGAAAACTTGGAGGCCAGTGAGGACAAAAATAAAAAGTTATAAAACATTTAAGAATGTGGATTTTTGGGTTATTTTTGGCGCCCCCTAGAACCTAAACCATGGGGTGCAGCATCATGATTTGAATAACTTTTAATGGCCATGGGGTGTAGATTGGCCTGAGCAAATGTGGTGCCGGTGGAACGAAAGCCTTCGGAGGAGTTAGCGAAATTCCAATGTGTGCGTATCGGCAAAAAATGCGGAATAACCCTTTAACTGTACATTTGACAGATACGCGCGCATGGACTTTTTTGTAGATCTTATTGAGTTACATGTGTGTGTCAATTTTTGTGTCATTTTGACAAAGCGTATAGGCTTGACACTCAACAATGTGTATTTTCACCTTAGGGGACAAGAAAAAATGGACTTTTTTCTCCTGCCATGGGGGGGCGCTCTTTTGGGGAGTAAAAATTCCTTCACAAATGTGTTGATGGCTGGACATTGCATCATCCTAGAAAACTTGGAGGCCAGTGAGGACAAAAATAAAAAGTTATAAGACTTTTAAATATGTGGATTTTAGTGTTATCTTTGGCGCCCCCTAGAACCTAAACCTTGGGGTGCAGCGTCATGATTTTGATAACTTTTAATGGCCACGGGGTGTAGATTGGCCTGAGCAAATGTGGTGCCGGTGGAACGAAAGCCTTCGGAGGAGTTAGCGAAATTCCAATGTGTGCGGATCGGCAAAAAATGCGAAATAACCCTTTAACCGTAATTTTGACAGATACGGCCGCACTGACTTTTTTGTAGATCTTATTGAGATACATATGTGTGTCAATTTTTGTGTCAATATGACAAAGCGTACAGGCGTGACAGTCAATAGTGTGAATTTCCACCTTAGGGGGCGCTATGGAGCCATTTTGCATTTTATTGTTTGGGCGACTTCAGAATATCGAATTTTTCACCAGGCCCGGTCGTCCTGCCAAATTTCATGAGTTTTCGCCAGTGGGAAGTGGGCCATTTTCCAGTTCAAAGGGGAGGAAAAAGAAGAAACTAGGGCCCCGGTGGGGCACTGTCGGGCCCGAGCCGCGTCGCGCCGCCCCCAGCGCGACCGCCTCCCCCTCCCGATCGCGTCACACTCAAGGTCCAAAGATGGTGTGCGCACTTGTCTGTGGTCATTTCCCATTATAATGAATGGGAGGCGCAGTTTCTACCAAAACGCTCGCTGCAGACAAACTACATGTCCTATTTGAAAAAAGTCTGGACCATGAGTGAGGGCACAAACACAGCTAGTATATATCCAAATGGCAAGTTGCTCCTCCTTTCGGTTTTGCAGAGAGAGCGATGCGTTTGAGCCATTGAGCGATGGGCAGGAAAAACTTGACTTTTTCTCCTGCCATGGGGGGGGGGCGCTCTTTTGGGGAGAAAAAATTCCTTCACAAATGTGTTGATGGCTGGACATTGCATCATCCTAGAAAACTTGGAGGCCAGTGAGGACAAAAATAAAAAGTTATAAGACTTTTAAAAATGTGGATATTTGGGTCCTGTTTGGCGCCCCCTAGAACGTAAACTGTGGGGTGCAGCGTCATGATTTGTACAACTTTGAATGGCCATGGGGTGTAGATTGACCTGAGCAAATTTGAAGCAGATGGGACAAAAGATTTAGGAGGAGTTAGCGAAATTCCAATGTGTGCGGATCGGCAAAAAATGCGAAATAACCCTTTAACCGTACATTTGACAGATACGCCCGCACTGACTTTTTTGTAGATCTTATTGAGATACATGTGTGTGTCAAATTTTGTGTCATTTTGACAAAGCGTAAAGGCGTGACAGTCAACAATGTGTATTTTCGCCTTAGGAGACAAGAAAAAATGGACTTTTTTCTCCTGCCATGGGGTTGGCGCTCTTTTGGCGAGTAAAAATTCCTTCACAAATGTGTTGATGGCTGGACATTGCATCATCTTAGAGAACTTGGAGGCCAGTGAGGACAAAAATAAAAAGTTATAAGACTTTTAAAAATGTGGATATTTGGGTCCTGTTTGGCGCCCCCTAGAACGTAAACTGTGGGGTGCAGCGTCATGATTTGTACAACTTTGAATGGCCATGGGGTGTAGATTGACCTGAGCAAATTTGAAGCAGATGGGACAAAAGATTTAGGAGGAGTTAGCGAAATTCCAATGTGTGCGGATCGGCAAAAAATGCGAAATAACCCTTTAACCGTACATTTGACAGATACGCCCGCACTGACTTTTTTGTAGATCTTATTGAGATACATGTGTGTGTCAAATTTTGTGTCATTTTGACAAAGCGTAAAGGCGTGACAGTCAACAATGTGTATTTTCGCCTTAGGAGACAAGAAAAAATGGACTTTTTTCTCCTGCCATGGGGTTGGCGCTCTTTTGGCGAGTAAAAATTCCTTCACAAATGTGTTGATGGCTGGACATTGCATCATCTTAGAGAACTTGGAGGCCAGTGAGGACAAAAATAAAAAGTTATAAGACTTTTAAGACTGTGGATTTTTGGGTTATCTTTGGCGCCCCCTAGAACGTAAACCGTGGGGTGCAGCGTCATGATTTGTACAACTTTTAATGGCCATGGGGTGTAGATTGGCCTCAGCAAATGTGGTGCCTTTGGAACGAAAGCCTTCGGAGGAGTTAGCGAAATTCCAATGTGTGCGGATCGGCAAAAAATGCGAAATAGCCCTTTCACCGTACATTTGACAGATACGCCCGCACTGACTTTTTTGTAGATCTTATTGAGATACATGTGTGTGTCAATTTTTGTGTCAATATGACAAAGCGTAAAGGCGTGACAGTCAATAGTGTGAATTTTCGCCTTAGGAGACAAGAAAAAATGGACTTTTTTCTCCTGCCATGGGGGGGCGCTCTTTTGGGGAGTAAAAATTCCTTCACAAATGTGTTGATGGCTGGACATTGCATCATCCTAGAAAACTTGGAGGCCAGTGAGGACAAAAATAAAAAGTTATACGACTTTTAAGAATGTGGATTTTTGCGTTATCTTTGGCACCCCCTAGAACGTAAACCGTGGGATGCAGCGTCATGATTTGTACAACTTTTAATGGCCATGGGGTGTAGATTGGCCTGAGCAAATTTGGTGCCGGTGGAACGAAAGCCTTCGGAGGAGTTAGCGAAATTCCAATGTGTGCGGATCAGCAAAAAATGCGAAATAGCCCTTTAACCGTACATTTGACAGATACGCCCGCACTGACTTTTTTGTAGATCTTATTGAGATACACGTGTGTGTCAAATTTTGTGTCATTTTGACAAAGCGTACAGGCGTGACACTCAATCATGTGAATTTTTCACCTTAGGGGGCGCTATGGAGCCATTTTGCATTTGATTTTTTGGGCGACTTCAGAATATCGAATTTTTCACCAGGCCCGGTCGTCCTGCCAAATTTCATGACTTTTCACCAGTGGGAAGTGGGCCATTTTCCAGTTCAAAGGGGCAGAAAAATAATAAGAAGAAGAAGAAGAAAGAAGAATCCATCAGGAATAATAGGGCTCTCGCAGCTGCTTAGCAGCTACGCTCGGGCCCTAAGAAAGAAACAAAGAAAAACCACTTGGGGAATAATAGGGCTCTCGCAGCTGCTTAGCAGCTACGCTCGGGCCCTAACAAACTAGGACCCCGGTGGGGCACTGTCGGGCCCGAGCCGCGTTGCGCCGCCCCCAGCGCGACCGCCTCCCCCTCCCGATCGCGTCACACTCAAGGTCCAAAGATGGTGTGCGCACTTGTCTGTGGTCATTTCCCATTATAATGAATGGGGGGCGCAGTTTCTACCAAAACACTCGCTGCAGACAAATTACATGTCCTATTTGAAAAAAGTCTGGACCATGAGTGAGGGCACAAACACAGCTAGGATATATCCAAACGGCAAGTTGCTCCTCGTTACGGTGTTGCCGGGAGAGTGATGCGATTGAGCCATTGAGTGATGGGCAGGAAAAACTTGACTGTTTCTCCTGCCATGGGGGATGGGGGATGGGGGGATGTGGATTCTTTTAAGAATGTGGATATTTGGGTCATCTTTGGCGCCCCCTAGAACGTAAACCGTGGGGTGCAGCGTCATGATCTTTACAACTTTGAATGGCCATGGGGTGTAGATTGGCCTGAGCAAATTTGGTGTCAGTGGGACGAAAGCCTTAGGAGGAGTTAGCCACATTCCAATGTGTGCGAATCGGCAAAAAATGCAAAATAGCCCTTTAACCGTAGTTTTTACAGATACGCACCCATTGACTTTTTCGTAGATCTTATTGAGATACATGTGATTGTCAAATTTTGTGTCAATATGACAAAGCGTACAGGCGTCACACTCAACAATGTGAATTTTCACCTTACGGGACAAGAAAAAATTGACTTTTTTCTCCTGCCATGGGGGGCGCTCTTTTGGGGAGTAAAAATTCCTTCACAAATGTGTTGATGGCTGGACATTGCATCATCCTAGAAAACTTGGAGGCCAGTGAGGACAAAAAGAAAAAGTTATAAGACTTTTAAGAATGTGGATTTTTGGGTTATCTTTGGCGCCCCCTAGAACCTAAACCGTGGGGTGCAGCGTCATGATTTGTACAACTTTTAATGGCCATGGGGTGTAGATTGGCCTGAGCAAATTTGGTGCCGGTGGAACGAAAGCCTTCGGAGGAGTTAGCGAAATTCCAATGTGTGCGGATCGGCAAAAAATGCGAAATAGCCCTTTAACCGTACATTATACAGATACGTGCTCTCTGACTTTTTCGTAGATCTTATTGAGATACACGTGTGTGTCAAATTTTGTGTCAATATGACAAAGCGTTCAGGCGTGACACTCAACAATGTGTATTTTCACCTTACGGGACAAGAAAAAATGGACTTTTTTCTCCTGCCATGGGGGGCGCTCTTTTGGGGAGTAAAAATTTCTTCACAAATGTGTTGATGGCTGGACATTGCATCATCCTAGAAAACTTGGAGGCCAGTGAGGACAAAAATAAAAAGTTATAAGACTTTTAAGACTGTGGATTTTTGGGTTATCTTTGGCGCCCCCTAGAATGTAAACCGTGGGGTGCAGCGTCATGATTTGTACAACTTTTAATGGCCATGGGGTGTAGATTGTCCTGAGCAAATTTGTTGCTGGTGGAACGAAAGCCTTCGGAGGAGTTAGCGAAATTCCAATGTGTGCGGATCGGCAAAAAATGCGAAATAGCCCTTTAACGGTACATTTGACAGATACGCCCACACTGACTTTTTTGTAGATGTTATTGAGATACACATGTGTGTCAAATTTTGTGTCATTTTGACAAAGCGTACAGGCGTCAGGTGAGTTTTCACCATAGGGGGCGCTATGGAGCCATTTTTCATTTTTTTGTTTGGGCGACTTCAGAATATCGAATTTTTCACCAGGCCCGGTCGTCCTGCCAAATTTCCTGAGTTTTCACCAGTGGGAAGTGGGCCATTTTCCAGTTTAAAGCGGAGGAAAAATAACGAAAGAAGAATCCATCAGGAACAAGAGGGCTCTCGCAGCTGCTTAGCAGCTACGCTCGGGCCCTAAAGAAGAATCCATCAGGAACAAGAGGGCTCTCGCAGCTGCTTAGCAGCTACGCTCGGGCCCTAAAAAACTGAAAATGCCTCAACATGAACCCCTGGTGGTCTCTGAGGGTGAAACCTGCTAACTGCTGCAGCTCTGTCAGCTTCAGTCTCCCATGCAGAGCTCGGAGCGCATGTGTGGCTCTGCACCCTTAGCAGCGTTGCTAACTCCTCAGTAAGGAAAGCCTGCTTCATGTCAGAGTCTCTAAACTCCAGAAGAAGTCGATAAAAGTCACTTTCTTTCTAAAAAAAAGTCGTTAGGGGGTCTGAAAAGTCATTGAATCTAACAACAAAGTCGCTAGGTTTGCAACTACGTGTCCCAGACTGCATCCCTGCTGAGAGTCCCTCCCTCCCTTCTCATATTGCAGGAAGAACGTAAGTTCCCGCCCCTTGTCAATCAGTCACCATATAATTTTGGATTGGTTGTTGTGGTGAAGTTTTCCACCAATAGGAGAGATGTTGTGGTGTGTATTTTTTTTCCTTTGGCAAGCCTTTTCCGCCTGTAAGACCTGTCGCTAATGTCTGCATGCTATGTTTTCCTGTCTCATACAGCGCGATCGAGCGCCGAACGTGATCAAAATAAGCAGAAAACAAGTATCGCGGACATAATTTATCATAACTCTGGTTTTATTTGGCCTATCAACACAATTTAAAAACTGGTATATAGGTTGAGGTCCTCACTTTTGAGATAAATTGAAACGGAGAGTCAACGAGGCTCCGTCTTGCAGCTACATCCGGTTAAATATGTCATGTGACTTGAACGCACACACACACACACACACACACACACACACACACGCACACACACACACACTCAGAGTCTGGTTTGTAGCACCTGCAAAAACATGCTATTTACATATTTGACAAGAATGCAGAGGCTCCTTTTGCCCCTGAAAAAAATCAAATTTCAAACACAACTTGACTGGTCATTTCTCCAAAAGACAACCATGAAGCTCCATCCAAACCTGAAGCAGGCAGTTGGTGCATGTGTACAGTAACCTGAGGGGAGTGAGGTGACTGCTTCTGAGGAGAACATGAGCAGTGAAGATTTACCTTAGAGCTAGAACAGAGACGTGCACATGATTATACAGGGGCAGGGGCTCAAGTTTTTTCCAGTCGTTTATACAATTTGGAAATTAATGTGAAATTAAAAAACAAAGTATTAATAGAAAGGTAATGACTGTCCTGTGTAGGTGACAGTGATATCGAATAGGCTAGGCACTCACGAGGCTGGCTGTGGCAAGTGTAAGTGAAAGCAACACGCACTGGCAGGAAGAACAGCAAACGCCGATGAAGGAAAAGGGTCTTTGCAGTGATGGGCGTTACCAAAGAGGGCAATGGCCAGAGGACACAAATGGGACGGGGAGGCAGCGCGTTGGGGGGGGGACGCGACACAGCTCGGGCCCGCCAGTGCCCCAACGGGGTCCTAGTTTCTTCTTTTTCCTCCCCTTTGAACTGGAAAATGGCCCACTTCCCACTGGCGAAAACTCATGAAATTTGGCAGGATGACGCTTTGTCAAAATGACACAAAAATTGACACACATATGTATCTCAATAAGATCTACAAAAAAGTCAGTGCGGGCGTATCTGTCAAATGTACGGTTAAAGGGTTATTCCGCATTTTTTGCCGATCCGCACACATTGGAATTTCGCTAACTCCTCCGAAGGCTTTCTGTCCACCGGCACCACATTTGCTCAGGCCAATCTACACCCCATGGCCATTAAAAGTTATTCAAATCATGACGCTGCACCCCACGGTTTAGGTTCTAGGGGGCGCCAAAAACAACCCTAAAATCCACATATTTAAAAGTCGTATAACTTTTTATTTTTGTCCTCACTGGCCTCCAAGTTTTCTAGGATGATGCAATGTCCAGCCATCAACACATTTGTGAAGGAATTTTTACTCCCCAAAAGAGCGCCCCCCCATGGCAGGAGAAAAAAGTCCATTTTTTCTTGTCCCCTAAGGTGAAAATACACATTGTTGACTGTCACGCCTTTACGCTTTGTCAAAATGACACAAAAATTGACACACACATGTAACTCAATAAGATCTACGAAAAAGTCAACGCGCGCGTATCTGTCAAATGTACGGTTAAAGGGTTATTCCGCATTTTTTGCCGATCCACACACATTGGAATTTCGCTAACTCCTCCGAAGGCTTTCTGTCCACCGGCACCACATTTGCTCAGGCCAATCTACACCCCATGGCCATTAAAAGTTATTCAAATCATGACGCTGCACCCCATGGTTTAGGTTCTAGGGGGCGCCAAAGACAACCCTAAAATCCACATATTTAAAAGTCTTATAACTTTTTATTTTTGTCCTCACTGGCCTCCAAGTTTTCTAGGATGATGCAATGTCCAGCCATCAACACATTTGTGAAGGAATTTTTACTCCCCAAAAGAGCGCCCCCCCCATGGCAGGAGAAAAATGTCCATTTTTTCTTGTCCCCTAAGGTGAAAATACATATTGTTGAGATTCACGCCTATACGCTTTGTCATATTGACACAAAATTTGACAATCACGTGCCTTGCCTGGTATCATTTTTTTTCAGCACAACCTCACCTGTGCGAATTTACAGTTATTTTATCATGTTGACATACTGAATTTACACAATGGACCCAAATTCACACACAAAACATAAAATCCGAGTGGAAAAAAGTAACATTTTTACTGTGAAAACCACAAATATGTGTGATGAACTGTTTTTAAAACTTAAACTTCAAATAAAAATTGTAAACTTCAAAACATATGCAAATTTTTAACAAAGAACATAGTAATTTACCTCTATTTACATCAAAATGCAGGCAATGGCCCAGGTGTTCTTTGTAAAATTATTTACAAAACACTGTATAGTCCCACAAATGTCACTTTTTATTTATGCCACTACAAAAAAACATGATGTAAATGATGCATGATGTAAAACATGATGTAAAAAACTTGTGTTGAAACGGAGAGTCAACGAGGCTCCGTCTTGCAGCTACATCCGGTTAAATATGTCATGTGACTTGAACGCACACACAGACACACACACACGCACACACACACACACACACACACACACACACACACACACACACACACACACTCAGAGTCTGGTTTTTAGCACCTGCAAAAACATGCTATTTACATATTTGACAAGAATGCAGAGGCTCCTTTTGCCCCTGAAAAAAATCAAATTTCAAACACAACTTGACTGGTCATTTCTCCAAAAGACAACCATGAAGCTCCATCCAAACCTGAAGCAGGCAGTTGGTGCATGTGTACAGTAACCTGAGGGGAGTGAGGTGACTGCTTCTGAGGAGAACATGAGCAGTGAAGATTCACCTTACAGCTAGAACAGAGACGTGCACATGATTATACAGGGGCAGGGGCTCAAGTTTTTTCCAGTTGTTTATACAATATGGAAATTAATGTGAAATTAAAAAACAAAGTATTAATAGAAAGGTAATGACTGTCCTGAGTAGGTGACAGTGATATCCAATAGGCTAGGCACTCAAGAGGCTGGCTGTGGCAAGTGTAAGTGAAAGCAACACGCACTGGCAGGAAGAACAGCAAACGCCGATGAAGGAAAAGGGTCTTTGCAGTGATGGGCGTTACCAGAGAGGGCGATGGCCAGAGGACACAAATGGGACGGGGAGGCAGCGCGTTGGGGGGGGGACGCGACACAGCTCGGGCCCGCCAGTGCCCCAACGGGGTCCTAGTCTGTGATTGTTCCTGCAACCATGATGTGTATTCATTTTTTAGCAGGTACCTCTGAAGAAGTCAGCCTGTGACTTGATGGTGGCAGCAGTTGGACGGTGCCAGCCTCGACTGGTGAGAGAGCGAGTACCTGTTATTTTTCACTGGGGGGTGTTACATGTGTAATTTGCAATTCTGAGTGGATTATTATCTTAACCCGCAACAGTTTGGCCTGGAGGTGACTGCTGCCACTTCCACACGGATCTGAGGAGACGCCCCCCACTACGCCATCCATTAGTGGGCGACCCCGATGGCTGCAGAGGGCCAGCTCCTCTGCAGGAGTAAAATCTGGGGGAGGCCCCCCCCCCAGGTTCTTTTCCCCTCTGCTTTCTTTCTGTTCACTGTAAAACAGTAAATTTATTTTTTTCATTACCACTCTGAATGTTTTTGTACTTTGTGCGCACCTGTTCCCACGTGCGCTTTGTACCACTTTGATTGGTGCTGAAATGAGATTCAGATTTAGAGTCACAACACAGTACATGACACTTGCTAGTGGTAGTTAAAGGGAATGAAGAACTCTCATTGCCGTAACAAGATCTCCAATGCCAACACTTCTGAATTAGACATGTCTGGTGCATGTTAAAAGCGCATGTTGAACAGTGCTATTTCAGGGTGATAATGGCATCAAAGATTTTCTGTGCACTGTACTTACGCATTGAGACTGTTGGCAATTTTCTGCTGCAGCGACGGTGTTGCTCTTCAAGTTTATGACTGATTTCAATTCTTCATACTTCCGTAAAATTGTCTCCTGCTCCTCGTTCGTGAAGTACGCGGTCCTTCACTCTCCGGCCTGCTCTGACGCTCCAGACTGGTCCATGTTCACGATTGGTCAGGTGCAGCGGGCCCCGCCTTATATGCGTGCACGCACTCATAGCAAAGCTGGATCCACTTATGAGGTTGATAACCAGCGTCGTAAAACCGTTTAGCGAGACCACTAGCTACCGCGCTAAGTTGATCGAGGTAGCTCCAAGGCTACCTCGCTAAGTTGAACTTGCTTCGGAGAACAGGCCCCTGCTGTCCTGTTCAAGGAATTACAATAATCTAGAGGAGATGAAATAAAGGCATTTACAATAATCTCAAGCTCATTCCTGGAAACTATGGGTCTGAGCTTGGATAAAGGGATAAGCGAACCAGTTCATTCATGCTGCTGCTCCGGACTTTGGGCCTAGCCTCATTTGAACACCCAGGTTTCAGAGGGTGGTGTCAGGCCTGGGTTTGAGGGAGGACTCAGACGCAGAGGTTCCAAGATCAACAAACACTTTATTTTGAAAAATTGTCTTCTTTACTCAGTAGATAGAGTGATAAATTAATAGGCTATGAAAACCTTCTCTATCTATTCTAATGGCAAACAGACAGAACACAAAAACAAATCAAACCAAGACTGAACAAAAATTCACTCCAAAAGGGAGGACAAATTAGTAAGCTGATCTTCTCTAATCTTTAGAGGAATAACTATGAAAATTTTTGAACGGCGCTCCAAAAGGAGGGAAACAAAAAGAGCCTACAAATTTTACTACACTGCACTCCTAAGCTAGAAAAAACTGTAAGAAAACAAAGTCACTCCAAAAGGGAGGAAAAAGCAACTAGGCTATGAAACAGAAGCTAGATCTAGAAACTAAACAGGGGAAAAAACTACAACAGAAAATCACTCCTCTAAAGAAGAAACAAGGATGATCAAAAATACAAACGTGCTTATCAAGCCAGGCTGTGGACATGAAGGCTGGAGGAACACGACTAAACGAGACACTCTGGCTCAGGACAAAGGGAGACGCCGACTATAAGACACATGAGGTTAATGGGGAACAGGTGGAAACAATCAGGAATCAGGGGAGACGTCAGACTGGAAACACAAGAGGAAGGGCAAGTGACCTGAAACGAGAGGGGAGTTATTTTTCAAAATAAAACAAGACAGAAAAACCAGGACAAGACAGGTGGCTGCTACGCTTCGCTTGCACAGTAACTGAACTACTTCTACATCCCTGCTGCTCTGTTTGGTTCTTCCTCTCTAGCAATTTTTTGTCTGTTTGGTTGTTCGTCTATGATAACTTACAAATTTTTACCTGTTTGTTTCATCCTCTAGCAACTTTTTACCTTTGTAGTTGTTCATCTATAAGAATTTTTTACGTGTTCGGTAATTCATCTTTAAAAACTTTTCGTGAATTTACGAGAATAAAGTCATTAATTTATGAGAATAAAGTCATAAGGTTACCTGTTATTTCAGAGGAGACTTGTTGAAATTTGGGCCATGAAGCATTTGAAGGAACTGTGCTTCAGTATAGGTTTCACAAACAAGGAGATACTTCATCCTCTGGCACATCAGCATCACATTGTCATAAATATAAAGACTTAAAAAAAGAATATTTGAGAAATACGTCTTTTCCACGGGGAAAAAAACTGGTGTACTTGAAGGAAATCGCTGCTTTTGTGGAGGCAGAAATGAATATGCTGAGGATATATCCGTTTATGCAGCTGTAAATATCCATGAATGACATTGAGCTTTAATTTATGATATTAATCCATATGCCATAATAAGGTGTTGGCGTCTCTGCAGGTGTAGGTTACCACCGGTGTCAGAGACGTGGTGCTCGTCAGAGCTCGACTCCCTCTGGATCACAAATGTTGATCATCATCAGTTTGATTGTTTCTTCAGAAATCACAAAATCTCTCTGAATGATGTATCTCCGCTGATACATCCACAGATAACCCTGCAGATGATCAGTGTTAGAATAATGTGCATAAATGTATATAGAAGTTATCATTATTCCTCATATTCTTATGTAAGAGTTTACTACAAGTATAAACTGTTTTGACCTCTTTTTATACATCATATAAGAGTGTTTCCTAACTTCTCTCTCCAATAGCTTTACTACACAGCACAACAATGTTTCTTTCAGTTTTCTGTGACCGTGTTTTTCCTATCAGCAGGTGTGGGTGTGGGGGTGACGTATCCTCCGCGGATGAATCGTGGGAAGGTTTTGGGGAGGATATTCTTATCAGAAGGAGCTCGTTAGATGCCGCTTTGACCTTCACATATTCACAAATTGTTCATTATTATGTTCTATGAAATGCTTACTTTGCTGCACATATTTCCCCCACCCTTTAGAAACATTGTGTAACCAGGGACAACCCTAAATAAAAGAGGCCGGACAGAAAAAAGAACCCTTAGAGTGGTATTGAGATAGCTAAAAAAAGATCTCTGTCCATTCTCCTCGAGTATATTCCATTGTCTTTCTCCTTTTTTATATGTTTTCAGGTATTTGGGCAGGTTTTAGACCCAACATTTCTTTGGTCCTTCGAGACGGATTCCAATAGACCTGACGATTCCAGCAGGTGAGGTGGACGACAGATAAGACCGTGGCCACGGCAGACTCTTTAGGATGAGTCTTAAAGACCTCTTTGAGGAACTGGACTCGATCCGCCTGCTGGGATCCGACGGTTGACGGAAATCCGAAGCCAAGGGGAAAGACAAGTGGTGAGTTGGTCTTTTATAAAAAGGAACGTGGAATGATTGAAATTTGCTTTGTGTAGAGAGTTTATAAAAGACCAAAAAAAAGGATGCCGGAGTCCTACTACTAGTGCTGTGTCCGAATTGCCCGCTCGCATACTACATGCTACTGCTACGTGCTACTGCTAGATCCTACTCCTATATACTAAACACGTTGGCCCAATTCGGACACAGCTTAGATGTAGTTTAAATTCCGAAGAGGACGCGCGGGTCCTACGTAGAAGAATCCGTGGGAAAAGGACAAACGGGTCCTACAAATCCGTGGAAAAAGGACGGTAGAGTCCTAATTGGAAAAGTTAAATTGAAGGACGCGCGGGTCCTACAAAGCTGTTAAAAAAGGACGCGCGGGTCCTACGTAGAAGAATCCGTGGGAAAAAGGCCTACTAAACATAGTAATAATTATAATAATAATAATAAATAATAAAAATAAAAACACGTGTTAAAAGTGTGATTGTGAAAGTGTGAGAGTGATTGGAATAGAGATATATCACTAGATATATCCTATTCATACCAAAACAGTGGGATTGTAAGTAGTGACCTTATTGTGGAAGCAAAGGCAAGAATTCTCCACTCGCAAGAGTAGAAGCGAGAATTACCACATAAGGAATTTTTATCACTACCCCATTGAAAGAACTCAGCTTAATAGGACACCCTAGGTGTCACCTAAGCTGGACCAAAACACATAAAAATGGGGACGGAAGCCAGTAAGGCTAATTTAGAAGAATTAAGATGTCAAGATTGGAGAATCTTTGAGAAAGAGCCCGAAAAATTACAATTCCTCGAATTATGGGTAACTAAATTTGGATTTGACGGCAGCCTAAGAACAAGCCAATTAAATAAACTACATGACTCCATAACCGAAAAATCAAAGGGTGATATAAAGAAAGCACAAAAATATGGGAGTCAAATGGTTGATGAATGGAAAAAAGAAGCACAACCAAGCAGAAGAGGGTTCAGAGGTAGAGGACAAGATAGACCAGGAGGAGCAAATCAAAGAGGGACAGGTTGCTGGGCATGTGGAAAGGAGGGACATATAGCCCGCAGTTGCAAGAACAAATCAAAGGGAGGAAGGCGTGAGCAGTCAGGATGAGATCAAAAGCTATAAGTAAAGACAACTTTAATATTAATAATTATAAAAATAATACTGATAATAATGCAGAAATGAAAGGTAGAAAAGGCAGTTAAAAAGGCAGAAAGGTTTAATGCAGACTGCAAATTTTTAGCAAGATAAATTCTCTGTACAGTCTGTTCTCTGCCCAAATGATAAAATGATACATCAAATGCCAGTTACGACCTTGACTCCTCCAGAGACACAGCAGCCAAAGAATCCCTCCCTATACAGAAGCATGTAGCTATCAAAAGACAAAACTGTGACTAAACTGTTACAGTCTATGAAGTGTAAGTTGTACATGTAGACAAGTGTCATTGGAGAAGAAGAGGTTTTCTGACCTCAGCTGGCATCCCTGTTAAACATTTGAACCAACTGATTGATATTTTACCTTATTGGAACTTAAAGAAGTAACCATAGTAAAGTGCAGAGAACACCAAAGCTAACTTGGAATTAAAGCCCTCCCTATAATGCTATTTAACGTTAGATTAACTCCAAATGTGACAATGAATTTCATACTATATGAGATAAATAGGACGACTATGGGATAATAAGAGAGATGATAAACCATTTGATGACTATGACAGAGAGAACAAGAAAGAAGCAGGTTAAGAGGCAGGAATTTAAATAGAGAAGGCGATAGAGGAAGTAGAAGTTTTGGCAAAAGTTTATGAATCACAGGAGCTGAGAGGTGAAGAATAGTACACTGACCAAGGTCGTGAACCACAACATCAGAGAATTGCAGAGCTTTGGTCACTAGGTCAAGAGCTGTAGAAAAAAAGTATCAAGCATGAGTAAAAGAGGGAGAGACAGCAAGTGTTATCCGACAGTAATGAAGAGAAAGTGTGAACAGAGAAGAGACAGAGGAGGAAGAAGTGCTAAACTTGGAGGAAATAAATATATATATTTTTATATTTTTTTTTTGATAGATAGATAGATAGATAGATAGATAGATAGATAGATAGATATACTTTATTAATCCCAAAAACTGGGAAATTCTCTTGTTATAGCAGCAAAAAGAAAATATAAAATTAAGTATAAGAAGAAGTACAATGCAGACTAAAAATAATAAAAATACTAAGTATATACAAGAAATACAGACTAGATATGCTAAACATCCTAAGAGATAAACGTGAGATATGAAGAACGTGGGCTATTGAAATTAGTAATAAATATGAAATGAGTAATAAATATGAAATGAGTGATAAATATGAAATGAGTGATAAATATGAAATGAGTGATAAATATGAAATACGAAATATTACAGATGGGATGATAGATATACAGACAATTTAAGGTGCTCGGTAATCTGATGTGATAGGAGTTTTTAAAAATGGACTATACAGCAGACAGGCGTGAGTCCCTGTCTGACATATGTGTGTTATTTAACAGTGCAATAACTTGTGGCAGGACAGATTTCCTGTATCAGCGGAGCTGCGACAGTCTGTTGGAAAAGGAATACATTATGCAGACATAAAACCGCAGATATAGTTAATGATTCATGGTTTACTTGTAACCTTTTTGTGTGACTCTGGTGCAAAAAAAACAGTTCTTGGACATAAACTGCTACAGATTAGGTTTTCCAAACAAAAGATTTTTGTCAGATCAGCATACAGGGAGAGCTTTAGAGGCAGTAATAGCGAGTCATGGGCCTTGCCATGTCTCGACAGGAGGGATGAGTGTAGTAGTTAATCAACACTTTACCCCCTATTGATTCGTAAATTATAAAAAAATAAAAAATAATAAAAAAATAATAATAATTAACTATTTGATTTGTTCAGTTTGTGCTAGACATAATACTCAAGACAGTATAAAACCAAAAAGAGGCAAATTTCCACCAACCAATGCATCATTTGAAGCCATGCACATGGACTTCATAGAATTAAATCAGTGTGAGAGAAAGAAATATTGTTCAGTGTTAATAGATCCTTTCACTAAATGGATAGAATTATTTCCTGTCACCCATCCAGATGCATTAACAGTAGCAAAAATCCTGTGTAGAGAAATAATTTCTTGATTTGGCATTCCAAAACGAATCTACAGTGACAATGGAACTCATTTTGTAAATGAAATAAATAAATAAATAAATAATAATAACTAGAAAATGCAATTTCTGAAGAAATTGCGAGATGGATTGTTCCAGCTAAAATTGTAATTGCTAAGCTGCTATTGTAAATGGTTTAAGTTCAAAAATATGTGAAAGATATGAGATTTGAAGATTCAGAAAAGTTTAAATCAGTTTAATTGAGTTGGAATTAGTTTGAAAAAATTGAATACTGAGTGACGAATGAATGATTTAAAACTGAAAAATTAAAATGATCATAATCTGAATGTATAAAGGAGTTGAAGGCTTTTAAAGTTGTGTAAAGAATATGTGAGAAAAGGGCCAATTTAAAAATTCCGTAATGTATTTTTAATAAGAAAAATTGGTTGGAAAACCTGGAATATCTCGGAAGAATGTTAGGAAAATTTTGAATATAAGCTGAAATCTCCTGAAGTTTGAATGGTTTTGAATACGTTGAAGTAAGTGGAAGGAATAAAAAAAAAAAAGGTACTGCTAATGACACCCACAGCAGTAAAAATAGCACAAAGAAGTAATTGGATACATCTTTCCCATTGCAAAAAAAACCTATATGGGTTTTAGTTAGGAAAGTCTGACTTCAAAGGGGGGCGTCCTTATAGTGGGCGTTCGTCTCAATGTCAGTGAAGATTAGATGGTGTTGAATTCCTTAGGAGCTTAGGAAAATGGGGAAGTTAAGTATCTTTTACTTCTGCTAAACCTGATACTGTTAAATTACCTACTGAAACATTATTTACAACTTCAGATGAACTTAAGTAAGGAAAGAGAAGTGACAACAACAATAGTCCTCACATCCTGTGTGACAACCAATCAAAAATCACATTCAGCTGTTCTGAAGGCGACCATGTGCAGAGAGGAAACCTGAGAGACAGTGAGCAGGGGTATGAATCACCCAGACGGACACCACAGTTGCTTCATGTGGTGAAGACACTGAGAACTTTACCATAGCTTAACTGCTACTAGGCATTTGTGTTATTCTGTTTACAATGGGATTTTGTGTATGCTTGTTTTGTCAATAAACACTTATACTAATGTTTATTAAAGGTACATCACAAAATAAAAAAACTAATTTAAAAAAAATGGTGGAAGAATAATATTAATAAAGATATGAATAAAATATAGTGGAATGCTTCGCAATCCCTCTCAATAAAAAAAAAATACTTATTTGAAGTGAACATGTGGTACAGATATGCAAAAATATCTAGTAAAAATGAAGAATCAGTCTAACTTCTATGTCTGTACTAGGAATTCCCTAACCATAACAAACCTGTACGTGTTTTCTGTAGCTGTACCTGAATGACAGCAGACTGATAATAGGGCCTTAGTGACTTTAATCCTAACTGTTGTAACTTTCCAGACCGGTGTAGCAAATTTAACCTCTGCAGTTAGTCTTATTCCTTTGTTGAGCCACTCCAGAGTAAAAGAAACTAGCAAACAGAGTCAGACCCGACTTATATAGATAGTTCCTCGTGAGGTACCAAATGAGTATAAACTAGTAAATCAAGTTGCTGCAGGCTTTGAGTCTCTCGTCTGTCCTTGGTGTACAATGAACAAAAATATAGATCAAATCGGAATCAACTACATCCATTTCAACGTTCAAAAGCTAGGTAATTGGACTGAGGCTGGTTTTTAGGCCGGTCACTCGCAGTTATCTGCAACATCCCTGATGGCTTTCCAAAACCGTATAGCCCTTGACATGCTGCTCGCAGAAACAGGAGGTGTATGTGCCATGTTTGGAGAAACGTGTTGCACGTTCATTCCTGATAACACTGCTGCTGATGGCAGCCTCACTCGAGCCTTAGAGGGCCTAAAAACGCTTCACAGCAAAATGAAAGACCACTCAGGAATAGATAACTCCTTTTGGGACTATTGGATGAATGTCTTTGGAAAATACAGAAATCTTGTAGATTCAGTCCTAATCTCTGTTGCTGTTTTTGCACCTAATTTGACCTTGTGTGGATGTTGTTGTATTTCTGTATTTGTTCTCTTCTTAACCGTCTTATCACCACAGCGTTGTCCCCTGTGGAGCAGCAGATGCAGGAATTGTACCCGCTGCTCCATCAGCAGGACGAGGAGGACAGACTTGATGACACTCAATGGCCTGACCTGTGCCACAATCCAGATGATGAGTATGATTCTGACTAAAGCAACATCTTGTACCTCCGTGTGTAAATTCTTTGTAGTCATAAACATGAGCTCGCAGCTGAAAATCGAGAAAAGTGGCTGAACTAGAGGGATTATGAGAATTTGAGCAAAGTAATGATAAACAGGAGGGAAATGTAAGAATAATGTGCATAAATGTATATAGAAGTTATCATTATTCCTCATATTCTTATGTAAGAGTTTACTACATGTATAAACTGTTTTGACCTCTTTTTATACATCATATAAGAGTGTTTCCTAACTTCTCTCTCCAATAGCTTTACTACACAGCACAACAATGTTTCTTTCAGTTTTCTGTGACCGTGTTTTTCCTATCAGCAGGTGTGGGTGTGGGGTTGACGTATCCTCCGCGGATGAATCGTGGGAAGGTTTTGGGGAGGATATTCTTATCAGAAGGAGCTCGTTAGATGCCGCCTTGACCTTCACATATTCACAAATTGTTCATTATTATGTTCTATGAAATGCTTACTTTGCTGCACATATTTCCCCCACCCTTTAGAAACATTGTGTAACCAGGGACAACCCTAAATAAAAGAGGCCGGACAGAAAAAAGAACCCTTAGAGTGGTATTGAGATAGCTAAAAAAAGATCTCTGTCCATTCTCCTCGAGTATATTCCATTGTCTTTCTCCTTTTTTATATGTTTTCAGGTATTTGGGCAGGTTTTAGACCCAACAACCAGCTTCAGTCATTTCCCCCTCCACAAAAGCAGCTTTATGACTCTCTATACTTTATGACTTTATTCTCCTAAATTTACAACTTTAATCTCTAAATCTTAAAAGAAAAAAAAACTCAATGATGTCCTGATCCTCTGCTGTAGTTTTGTCAGCTTTCTTATTTCTAATGTTTTTGATTGTTGAAGCAGAGCGGATCAGTTGTCTCTAAATCTATAATGTTTGGTTTGCCGATTTTAGTCAGTTCAGAGATCATGCTCTCATACAGCCTGAGCTGACCGTCTGCTGTTTTTGGATTTCTTGTATTTTATTTAAAGACGCGCTGTGTCTCCAAGCGAGTCCAGCCTCTCACCTGAAATGCGCAGGTGTGCAGCGGCACGCAAAGCATTCTGGGATACCGACGGCACGAAAGCATGCATAAATGCACGCTTGAAAAAGAGGCGGGGGCAGTATGGTTTTGAGACCGAATTTGAAGCGCAAAACAGCAGTGCGCTCAGCTTAAGCGCTCATCCCGATTCGGTCTCCGAAATGAGACACAGCCTGTATAAAGAATGGACAGAGTCTGCCTCCTCGCTGGGTGAAGCCACTCCGAGAACAGCACCCTCTGATGGTGGGCTGCAGTATAGGTCATAAATCCTGCCTCCGCCAGCAAAGCTTATGGGACTGTGGACAAACTTTAGAAATTTATTACACAGAACATTTTTCTCCCCCCTGCTTGTGATGTTGACATGTAGTTATTGTAAGACTGGTTTGTGCTCAAGTTCTCTTTTTTCTGTACAGCTCCGTTTTTAAAAGTTATTAGGGGGTTCATTTTTTCTATGATTGACACCTGGTACAGCCTATGGGCGTTCAGGGATTGCATAGCTCTCCCGGGGGGATACGCTGTTTGAGCCGAGTGTCATCACAGCGACTCTTGGCAACTGCGCGGCCAAATGCGCGCATCGCTACTGCGCAGCTCTGGTTTCAAGGAAGTGGAGAAAAACCCTGAATTACCGAGAGCTTTTTGGCTTCAAATCCGTATACAGGCGGAAGGCGGAACCAGGTTGTCCATATTATATACAGTCTATTATCCCACATCTGCATAGTGATAGTCCATGTGCATAGAAATGACTAGTGGTGTCCTGATGTGCCCTCCTCTTGGCTCTGCTTCTCCTGTGCTTAGCTGTGGGTCAGTGAAGTCATAGGATTTATTATTTCTGCTCCCCAGAGAAAATGTGAAAAGGCCACAAAATGTCACAGAGAGTTCTGGAGCTCTAATGATTGGCATGAAGACAAGCAGGTGTCAGAGAATCTGAAAAATGACTATCAATGAGGCAAAAACCACCAGGGTGACACACAGGCCGTACGTGAAAAAGAAAAAAAAAATCTTCCTGCACGTCTGCTAATTTTCTCATTCTTTCTAAATATCTCATGTCAAAACTTCTGTCACATTCTTCACATTGAAACATATTTTATTGAGCCCTGTCCTTCAAAAACTGTTAAAACACTCAAAAAATGTCTGCATTTGATTTTAATTCACTTAGTCAGCCAGTTTATCTGCCAAATTAGAAATATTTTTAACCGGGAAGAATAATCTTGGACCTGTCAGCAAGGCTTAAGATGAAGTCAGTTGGATTTTCCTCCAGGAAACACAGTTTAGCTAAATTTAAGCGGCTCATGCAGCAGTTACAGAGATGTTTTATATAAGAGACCAAGATTTAAAGCCAGGCCACATGTTTATTTAAAAGCATGGCTTTACATTGAGAACTGAGAGATTCAGAACAGAGTGTCAAGGCTGTCATTAAAAATCAATCTTAACGCACAATTTTGAGCTGTTATTACTTGACAGACCTTCAGATGAATTCAGTCAGTAAAAGAGGAACTTATTTCTTTCAATGAAAATCTGTGTATAAGTAAACAGGTGGACTATGGACATAATAAACCTTGCCAGGTTTTACTGAAACAGTTCTTTAGTTTAAGAGGTAGCTGAGGTTGGCAGCACATCTTCAGGTGACTCGACTGTAAACAGTAGATCTGCACCAACGTCTGAGAACAGAGTTAAAAATGTCATTTCATCTCTGTCCATCGTGAGCTTAGAGGAGGAAGGTCACCCCCTTCACTGCTGAAACGTCAGGCTGGCTAAGAAAAGGTATGTGAGAACACACCCAGCTGCAGAAGCAAATGAGAGGGTGGGCATTACTTTTTTTTAGGGGGGCACACTTATTAGGGCCCGAGCGTAGCTGCTAAGCAGCTGCGAGGCCCTATTATTCCTGTAGTGGTTTTTCTTTGTTTCTTTTTAGGGCCCGAGCCAGCTGCAGAGCAGCCGGGCGTAGGCCCTGTTGTTCCTCAAGTGGTTTTTCTTTGTTTCTTTCTTTCTTTCTTTCTTAGGGCCCGAGCCAGCTGCAGAGCAGCCGGGCGTAGGCCCTGTTGTTCCTCAAGTGGTTTTTCTTTGTTTCTTTCTTTAGGGCCCGAGCCAGCTGCAGAGCAGCCGGGCGTAGAGCCCTATTATTCCTGTATAGGTTTTTCTTTCTTCTTTCTTTCTTTCTTTCTTTCTTTCTTTCTTTAGGGCCCGAGCGTAGCTGCTAAGCAGCTGCGAGAGCCCTCTTGTTCCTGCATGTTTCCTTCTTTTGTTATTAGGGCCCGAGCGTAGCTGCTAAGCAGCTGCGAGAGCCCTATTATTCCCCAAGTGGTTTTTAGGGCCCGAGCGTAGCTGCTAAGCAGCTGCGAGAGCCCTCTTGTTCCTGCATGTTTCCTTCTTTTGTTAGGGCCCGAGCGTAGCTGCTAAGCAGCTGCGAGAGCCCTATTATTCCCCAAGTGGTTTTTCTTTGTTTCTTTCTTAGGGCCCGAGCGTAGCTGCTAAGCAGCTGCGAGAGCCCTCTTGTTCCTGATGGATTCTTCTTTTGTTATTATTAGGGCCCGAGCCAGCTGCAGAGCAGCCGGGCGTAGGCCCTATTATTCCCCAAGTGGTTTTTCTTTGTTTCTTTCTTTCTTTTTTCTTTTTCCTCCCCTTTGAACTGGAAAATGGCCCACTTCCCACTGGCGAAAACTCATGAAATTTGGCAGGACGACCGGGCCTGGTGAAAAATTTGATATTCTGAAGTCGCCCAAACAATAAAATGCAAAATGGCTCCATAGCGCCCCCTAAGGTAGAAATTCACACTATTGACTGTCACGCCTGTACGCTTTGTCATATTGACACAAAAATTGACACACATATGTATCTCAATAAGATCTACAAAAAAGTCAGTGCGGCCGTATCTGTCAAATGTACGGTTAAAGGGTTATTTCGCATTTTTTTCCGATCCGCACACATTGGAATTTCGCTAACTCCTCCGAAGGCTTTCGTTCCACCGGCACCACATTTGCTCAGGCCAATCTACACCCCGTGGCCATTAAAAGTTATCAAAATCATGACGCTGCACCCCAAGGTTTAGGTTCTAGGGGGCGCCAAAGATAACACTAAAATCCACATATTTAAAAGTCTTATAACTTTTTATTTTTGTCCTCACTGGCCTCCAAGTTTTCTAGGATGATGCAATGTCCAGCCATCAACACATTTGTGAAGGAATTTTTACTCCCCAAAAGAGCGCCCCCCATGGCAGGAGAAAAAAGTCCATTTTTTCTTGTCCCCTAAGGTGAAAATACACATTGTTGAGTGTCACGCCTATACGCTTTGTCAAAATGACACAAAAATTGACACACACATGTAACTCAATAAGATCTACAAAAAAGTCCATGCGCGCGTATCTGTCAAATGTATAGTTAAAGGGTTATTCCGCATTTTTTGCCGATACGCACACATTGGAATTTCGCTAACTCCTCCGAAGGCTTTCGTTCCACCGGCACCATATTTGCTCAGGCCAATCTACACCCCATGGCCATTAAAAGTTATTCAAATCATGATGCTGCACCCCATGGTTTAGGTTCTAGGGGGCGCCAAAATAACCCTAAAATCCACATTCTTAAATGTTTTATAACTTTTTATTTTTGTCCTCACTGGCCTCCAAGTTTTCTAGGATGATGCAATGTCCAGCCATCAACACATTTGTGAAGGAATTTTTACTCCCCAAAAGAGCGCCCCCCCATGGTAGGAGAAAAAAGTCAATTTTTTCTTGTCCCCTTACATGAAAATACACATTGTTGAGTGTCACGCCTGAACGCTTTGTCATATTGACACAAAAATTGACAATCATGTGTATCTCAATTAGATCTACGAAAAAGTCAAAGAGCGCGTATCTGTATAATGTACGGTTAAAGGGCTATTTTGCATTTTTTGCCGATTCGCACACATTGGAATGTGGCTATCTCCTCCTAAGGCTTTCGTCCCACCGATACCAAATTTGCTCAGGGCAATCTACACCCCATGCCCATTCAAAGTTGTAAAAATCATGACGCTGCACCCCACGGTTTACGTTCTAGGGGGCGCCAAAGATGACCCAAAAATCCACATTCTTAAAAGTCATTTTGGCCACTGCAGGAGTACAGAGTACTGCAGTTCTAGGGGGCGCCAAAGATGACCCAAAAATCCACATTCTTAAAAGTCTTTTTGGCCACTGCAGGAGTACAGAGTACTGCAGGATACACACACATATACACACACGCCAACATACACACACACACACACACACACACACACACACACACACACACACACACACACACACACACACACACACACACACACACACAGAGTCTGTTTTTTAGCACCTGCAAAAACATGCTGTTTACATATTTGACAAGAATGCAGAGGCTTCCTTTTGCCCCTGAAAAAAATCAAATTTCAAACACAACTTGACTGTTCATTTCTCCAAAAGACAACCATGAAGCTCCATTTCAAACCTGAAGCAGATAGTTGGTGCATGTGTACAGTAACCTGAGGGGAGTGAGGTGACTATTTCTGAGGAGAACATGAGCAGTGAAGATTCACCTTGGAGCTAGAACAGGGACGTGCACATGATTATACAGGGGCAGGGGCTCAAGTTTTTTCCAGTCGTTTATACAATATGGAAATTAATGTGAAATTAAACCACAAATATGTGTGATGAACTGTTTTTAAAACTTAAACTTCAAATAAAAATTGTAAACTTCAAAACATATGCAAATTTTTAACAAAGAACATAGTGATTTACCTCTATTTACATCAAAATGCAGGCAATGGCCCAGGCGTTCTTTGTAAAATTATTTACAAAACACTGTATAGTCTCACAAATGTCACTTTTTATTTATGCCACTACAAAAAAACATGATGTAAATGATGCATGATGTAAAACATGATGTAAAAAACTTGTGTAGATCCTCCTGTATGTCAGTCCATGTGTAATTTTTCCATAATTCTTTGTTTTTTGCAGCATTTTTGTTAGTGTAACTGCAGATTGTGCTGACAGTGTCTATGGCACAAAAAAAAAAAAAATTAAAATGCCTCAACATGAACCCCTGGTGGTCTCTGAGGGTGAAACCTGCTAACTGCTGCAGCTCTGTCAGCTTCAGTCTCCCATGCAGAGCTCTGAGCGCATGTGTGGCTCTGCACCCTTAGCAGCGTTGCTAACTCCTCAGTAAGGAAAGCCTGCTTCATGTCAGAGTCTCTAAACTCCAGAAGAAGTCGATAAAAGTCCCTTTCTTTCTAAAAAAAAGTCGTTAGGGGGTCTGAAAAGTCATTGAATCTAACAACAAAGTCGCTAGGTTTGCAACTACGTGTCCCAGACTGCATCCCTGCTGAGAGTCCCTCCCTCCCTTCTCATGTTGCAGGAAGAACGTAAGCGCCCGCCCCTTGTCAATCAGTCACCATATAATTTTGGATTGGTTGTTGTGGTGAAGTTTTCCACCAATAGGAGAGATGTTGTGGTGTGTTTTTTTTTTCTTTTGGCAAGCCTTTTCCGCCTGTAAGAGCTGTCGCTAATGTCTGCATGCTATGTTTTCCTGTCTCATACAGCGCGATTGAGCGCCGAACGTGATCAAAATAAGCAGAAAAAAAGTATCGCGGACATAATTTATCATAACTCTGGTTTTATTTGGCCTACCAACACAATTTAAAAACTGGTATATAGGTTGAGGTCCTCACTTTTGAGATAAGTTGAAACGGAGAGTCAACGAGGCTCCGTCTTGCAGCTACATCCGGTTAAATATGTCATGTGACTTGAACGCACACACAGACACACACACGCACACACACACACACACACACACACTCAGAGTCTGGTTTTTAGCACCTGCAAAAACATGCTATTTACATATTTGACAAGAATGCAGAGGCTCCTTTTGCCCCTGAAAAAAATCAAATTTCAAACACAACTTGACTGGTCATTTCTCCAAAAGACAACCATGAAGCTCCATCCAAACCTGAAGCAGGCAGTTGGTGCATGTGTACAGTAACCTGAGGGGAGTGAGGTGAGTGCTTCTGAGGAGAACATGAGCAGTGAAGATTCACCTTGGAGCTAGAACAGAGACATGCACATGATTATACAGGGGCAGGGGCTCAAGTTTTTTCCAGTCGTTTATACAATATGGAAATTAATGTGAAATTAAAACACAAAGTATTAATAGAAAGGTAATGACTGTCCTGTGTAGGTGACAGTGATATCCAATAGGCTAGGCACTCACGAGGCTGGCTGTGGCAAGTGTAAGTGAAAGCAACACGCACTGGCAGGAAGAACAGCAAACGCCGATGAAGGAAAAGGGTCTTTGCAGTGATGGGCGTTACCAGAGAGGGCGATGGCCAGAGGACACAAATGGGACGGGGAGGCAGCACGTTGGGGGGGACGCGACACGGCTCGGGCCCGCCAGTGCCCCAACGGGGTCCTAGTTATTATTATTTTTCCTCCGCTTTAAACTGGAAAATGGCCCACTTCCCACTGGCGAAAACTCAGGAAATTTGGCAGGACGACCGGGCCTGGTGAAAAATTCGATATTCTGAAGTCGCCCAAACAATAAAATGCAAAATGGCTCCATAGCGCCCCCTAAGGTGAAAATTCACACTATTGACTGTCACGCCTGTACGCTTTGTCATATTGACACAAAAATTGACACACACATGTATCTCAATAAGATCTACAAAAAAGTCAGTGCGGGCGTATCTGTCAAATGTACGGTTAAAGGGTTATTGCGCATTTTTTCCGATCTGCACACATTGGAATTTCGCTAACTCCTCCGAAGGCTTTCGTTCCACCGGCACCACATTTGCTCAGGCCAATCTACACTCCATGGCCATTCAAAGTTGTACAAATCATGACGCTGCACCCCACGGTTTAGGTTCTAGGGGGCGCCAAAAATAACCCAAAAATCCACATTCTTAAAAGTTTTATAACTTTTTTTTTTTGTCCTCACTGGCCTCCAAGTTTTCTAGGATGATGCAATGTCCAGCCATCAACACATTTGTGAAGGAATTTTTACTCCCCAAAAGAGCGCCCCCCCATGGCAGGAAAAAAAAGTCAATTTTTTCTTGTCCCCTAAGGTGAAAATACACATTGTTGAGATTCACGCCTGTACGCTTTGTCATATTGACAAAAAATTTGACACACACGTGTATCTCAATAAGATCTACGAAAAAGTCAATGCACGCGTATCTGTAAACTGTACGGCTAAAGGGCTATTTTGCATTTTTTGCTGATTCGCACACATTGGAATGTGGCTGACTCCTCCTAAGGATTTCGTCCCACTGACAACAAATTTGCTCAGAGCAATCTACACCCCATGGCCATTAAAAGTTGTAAAAATCATGACGCTGCACCCCATGGTTTACGTTCTAGGGGGCGCCAAAGAGGACCCAAAAATCCACATTCTTAAAAGTCTTAGAACTTTTTATTTTTGTCCTCACTGGCCTCCAAGTTTTCTAGGATGATGCAATGTCTAGCCATCAACACATTTGTGAAGGAATTTTTACTCCCCAAAACAGCGCCCCCCCATGGCCGGAGAAAAAGTCAAGTTTTTCCTGCCCATCGCTCAATGGCTCAATCGCATCGCTCTCCAGGCAACACCGTAAGGAGGAGCAACCTGCCATTTGGATATATCCTAGCTGTGTTTGTGCCCTCACTCATGGTCCAGACTTTTTTCAAATAGGACATGTAGTTTGTCTGCAGCGAGCGTTTTGGTAGAAACTGCGCCTCCCATTCATTATAATGGTAAATGACCACAGACAAGTGCGAACACCATCTTTGGACCTTGAGTGTGACGCGGTCGTGTTGGGGGCGGCGCGACACAGCTCGGGCCCGCCAGTGCCCCAACGGGGCCCTAGTTAGGGCCCGAGCGTAGCTGCTAAGCAGCTGCGAGAGCCCTCTTGTTCCTGCATGTTTCCTTCTTTTGTTATTATTATTATTTTTCCTCCCCTTTGAACTGGAAAATGGCCCACTTCCCACTGGCGAAAACTCATGAAATTTGGCAGGACGACCGGGCCTGGTGAAAAATTCGATATTCTGAAGTCGCCCAAACAATAAAATGCAAAATGGCTCCATAGCGCCCCCTAAGGTGAAAATTCACACTATTGACTGTCACGCCTTTACGCTTTGTCATATTGACACAAAAATTGACACACACATGTATCTCAATAAGATCTACAAAAAAGTCAGTGCGGGCGTATCTGTCAAAATTACGGTTAAAGGGTTATTTCGCATTTTTTGCCGATCCACACACATCGGAATTTCGCTAACTCCTCTGAAGACTTTCGTTCCATCGGCACAACATTTGCTCAGGTCAATCTACACCCCATGGCCATTAAAAGTTATTCAAATCATGACGCTGCACCCCACGGTTTAGGTTCTAGGGGGCGCCAAAGATAACCCTAAAATCCACATATTTAAAAGTCTTATAACTTTTTATTTTTGTCCCCACTGGCCTCTAAGTTTTCTAGGATGATGCAATGTCCAGCCATCAACACATTTGTGAAGGAATTTTTACTCCCCAAAAGAGCGCCCCCCATGGCAGGAGAAAAAAGTCAATTTTTTCTTGTCCACTAAGGTGAAAATACACATTGTTGAGTGCTTCGCCTGTATGTTTTGTCATATTGACACAAAATTTGACAATCACGTGTATCTCAATAAGATCTACGAAAAAGTCAATGCGCGCGTATCTGTAAAATGTACGGTTAAAGGGCAATTTCGCATTTTTTGCCGATCCGCACACATTGGAATTTCGCTAACTCCTCCGAAGGCTTTCATTCCACCGGCAACACATTTGCTCAGGCCAATCTACACCCCATGGCCATTAAAAGTTATTCAAATCATGAAGCTGCACCCCACGGTTTAGGTTCTAGGGGGCGCCAAAAATAACCCTAAAATCCACATATTTAAAAGTCTTATAACTTTTTATTTTTGTCCTCACTGGCCTCCAAGTTTTCTAGGATGATGCAATGTCCAGCCATCAACACATCTGTGAAGGAATTTTTACTCCCCAAAAGAGCGCCCCCCCATGGCAGGAGAAAAAAGTCCATTTTTTCTTGTCCCCTAAGGTGAAAATACACATTGTTGAGTGTCACGCCTGTATGCTTTGGCAAAATGACACAAAAATTGACACACACATGTATCTCAATAAGATCTACAAAAAAGTCTATGCGCGCGTATCTGTCAAATGTACGGTTAAAGGGTTATTCCGCATTTTTTGGCCAATACGCACACATTGGAATTTTGCTAACTCCTCCGAAGGCTTTCGTTCCACCGGCACCACATTTGCTCAGGCCAATCTACACCCCATGGCCATTAAAAGTTATTCAAATTATGATGCTGCACCCCACGGTCTAGGTTCTAGGGGGCGCCAAATATAACCCTAAAATCCACATATTTAAAAGTCTTATAACTTTTTATTTTTGTCCTCACTGGCCTCCAAGTTTTCTAGGATGATGCAATGTCCAGCCATCAACACATTTGTGAAGGAATTTTTACTCCCCAAAAGAGCGCCCCCCCATGGCAGGAGAAAAAAGTCATTTTTTTCTTGTCCCCTAAGGTGAAAATTCACATTGTTGAGTGTGACACCTGTACGCTTTGTCAAAATGACACAAAAATTGACACACACATGTATCTCAATAAGATCTACGAAAAAGGAGGAGGAGCAACCTGCCATTTGGATATATCCTAGCTGTGTTTGTGCCCTCACTCATGGTCCAGACTTTTTTCAAATAGGACATGTAGTTTGTCTGCAGTGAGTGTTTTGGTAGAAACTGCGCCTCCCATTCATTATAATGATAAATGACCACAGACAAGTGCGCACACCATCTTTGGACCTTGAGTGTGACGCGATCGGGAGGGGGAGGCGGTCGCGCTGGGGGCGGCGCGACGCGGCTCGGGCCCGACAGTGCCCCACCGGGGCCCTAGTTATTTTTCCTCCCCTTTAAACTGGAAAATGGCCCACTTCCCACTGGCGAAAACTCAGGAAATTTGGCAGGACGACCGGGCCTGGTGAAAAATTCGATATTCTGAAGTCGCCCAAACAATACAATGCAAAATGGCTCCATAGCGCCCCCTAAGGTGAAAAATTCACCTGACGCCTGTACGCTTTGTCAAAATTACACAAAAATTGACACACACATGTATCTCAATAAGATCTACAAAAAAGTCAGTGCAGGCGTATCTGTCAAATGTACGGTTAAAGGGTTATTGCGCATTTTTTGCCGATCCGCACACATTGGAATTTCGCTAACTCCTCCGAAGGCTTTCGTTCCACCGGCACCACATTTGCTCAGGCCAATCTACACCCCATGGCCATTAAAAGTTATTCAAATCATGACGCTGCACCCCACGGTTTAGGTTCTAGGGGGCGCCAAAGATAACCCTAAAATCCACATATTTAAAAGTCTTATAACTTTTTATTTTTGCCCTCACTGGCCTCCAAGTTTTCTAGGATGATGCAATGTCCAGCCATCAACACATTTGTGAAGGAATTTTTACTCCCCAAAAGAGCGCCCCCCCATGGCAGGAGAAAAAAGTCCATTTTTTCTTGTCCCATAAGGTGAAAATTCACACTATTGACTGTCACGCCTGTACGCTTTGTCAAAATTACACAAAAATTGACACACACATGTATCTCAATAAGATCTACAAAAAAGTCAGTGCGGGCGTATCTGTCAAATGTACGGTTAAAGGGTTATTGCGCATTTTTTGCCGATCCGCACACATTGGAATTTCGCTAACTCCTCCGAAGGCTTTCGTTCCACCGGCACCACATTTGCTCAGGCCAATCTACACCCCATGGCCATTAAAAGTTATTCAAATCATGACGCTGCACCCCACGGTTTAGGTTCTAGGGGGCGCCAAAGATAACCCTAAAATCCACATATTTAAAAGTCTTATAACTTTTTATTTTTGTCCTCTCTGGCCTCCAAGTTTTCTAGGATGATGCAATGTCCAGCCATCAACACATTTGTGAAGGAATTTTTACTCCCCAAAAGAGCGCCCCCCCATGGCAGGAGAAAAAAGTCCATTTTTTCTTGTCCCATAAGGTGAAAATACACATTGTTGACTGTCATACCTGTATGCTTTGTCATATTGACACAAAATTTGACACACACATGTATCTCAATAAGATCTACGAAAAAGTCAATGCGCGCGTATCTGTAAAATGTACGGTTAAAGGGCTATTTTGCATTTTTTGCCGATTAGCACACATTGGAATGTGGCTAACTCCTCCTAAGGCTTTCGTCCCACCAACACCAAATTTGCTCAAGCCGATCTACATCCCATGGCCATTCAAAGTTGTAGAAATCATGACGCTGCTCCCCACGGTTTACGTTCTAGGGGGCGCCAAAGATGACCCAAATATCCACATTCTTAAAAGAATCCACATCGCCCCCCCAAGGCAGGAGAAAAAGTCAAGTTAACCCTGCCCATCGGTCAATGGCTCAATCGCATCGCTCTCCCAGCAACACCGTAAGGAGGAGCAACTTGCCATTTGGATATATCCTAGCTGTGTTTGTGCCCTCACTCATGGTCCAGACTTTTTTCAAATAGGACATGTAGTTTGTCTGCAGCGAGTGTTTTGGTAGAAACTGCGCCTCCCATTCATTATAATGGGAAATGACCACAGACAAGTGCGCACACCATCTTTGGACCTTGAGTGTGACGCGATCGGGAGGGGGAGGCGGTCGCGCTGGGGGCGGCGCGACGCGGCTCGGGCCCGACAGTGCCCCACCGGGGCCCTAGTTTCTTCTTTTTCCTCCCCTTTGAACTGGAAAATGGCCCACTTCCCACTGGCGAAAACTCATGAAATTTGGCAGGATGACCGGGACTGGTGAAAAATTTGATATTCCGAAGTCGCCCAAACAAGAAAATGCAAAATGGCTCCATAGCGCCCCCTAAGGTGAAAATTCACACTATTGACTGTCACGCCTTTACGCTTTGTCATATTGACACAAAAATTGACACACACATGTATCTCAATAAGATCTACAAAAAAGTCAGTGCGGGCGTATCTGTCAAATGTACAGTTAAAGGGTTATTCCGCATTTTTTGCCGATACGCACACATTGGAATTTCGCTAACTCCTCCGAAGGCTTTCGTTCCACCGGCACCACATTTGCTCAGGCCAATCTACACCCCATGGCCATTAAAAGTTATTCAAATCATGACGCTGCACCCCACGGTTTAGGTTCTAGGGGGCGCCAAAGATAACCCTAAAATCCACATATTTAAAAGTCTTATAACTTTTTATTTTTGCCCTCACTGGCCTCCAAGTTTTCTAGGATGATGCAATGTCCAGCCATCAACACATTTGTGAAGGAATTTTTAATCCCCAAAAGAGCGCCCCCCCATGGCAGGAGAAAAAAGTCCATTTTTTCCTGTCCCCTAAGGTGAAAATACACATTGTTGAGTGTCACGCCTGTACGCTTTGTCATATTGACACAAAATTTGACACACACATGTATCTCAATAAGATCTACAAAAAAGTCAGTGCGGGCGTATCTGTCAAATGTACGGTTAAAGGGCTATTTCGCATTTTTTGGCGATCCGTACACATTGGAATTTCGCTAACTCCTCCGAAGGCTTTTGTTCCACCGGCACCACATTTGCTCAGGCCAATCTACACCCCATGGCCATTAAAAGTTATTCAAATCATGACGCTGCACCCCACGGTTTAGGTTCTAGGGGGCGCCAAAGATAACCCTAAAATCCACATATTTAAAAGTCTTATAACTTTTTATTTTTGTCCTCACTGGCCTCCAAGTTTTCTAGGATGATGCAATGTCCAGCCATCAACACATTTGTGAAGGAATTTTTTCTCCCCAAAAGAGCGCCCCCCCATGGCAGGAGAAAAAAGTCCATTTTTACTTGTCCCCTAAGGTGAAAATACACATTGTTGAGTGTCACGCCTCTACACTTTGTCAAAATGACACAAAATTTGGCACACAGGTGTGTCTCAATAAGATCTACGAAAAAGTCAATGCGGGCGTATCTGTCAAATGTACGGTTAAAGGGCTATTTCGCATTTTTTGGCGATCCGTACACATTGGAATTTCGCTAACTCCTCCGAAGGCTTTTGTTCCACCGGCACCACATTTGCTCAGGCCAATCTACACCCCATGGCCATTAAAAGTTATTCAAATCATGACGCTGCACCCCACGGTTTAGGTTCTAGGGGGCACCAAAGATAACCCAAAAATCCACATATTTAAAAGTCTTATAACTTTTTATTTTTGTCCTCACTGGCCTCCAAGTTTTCTAGGATGATGCAATGTCCAGCCATCAACACATTTGTGAAGGAATTTTTACTCCCCAAAAGAGCGCCCCCCATGGCAGGAGAAAAAAGTCCATTTTTTCTTGTCCCCTAAGGTGAAAATACACATTGTTGAGTGTCACGCCTCTACACTTTGTCAAAATGACACAAAATTTGGCACACAGGTGTGTCTCAATAAGATCTACAAAAAAGTCAATGCGGGCGTATCTGTCAAATGTACGGTTAAAGGGCTATTTCGCATTTTTTGGCGATCCGTACACATTGGAATTTCGCTAACTCCTCCGAAGGCTTTTGTTCCACCGGCACCACATTTGCTCAGGCCAATCTACACCCCATGGCCATTAAAAGTTATTCAAATCATGACGCTGCACCCCACGGTTTAGGTTCTAGGGGGCACCAAAGATAACCCAAAAATCCACATATTTAAAAGTCTTATAACTTTTTATTTTTGTCCTCACTGGCCTCCAAGTTTTCTAGGATGATGCAATGTCCAGCCATCAACACATTTGTGAAGGAATTTTTTCTCCCCAAAAGAGCGCCCCCCCATGGCAGGAGAAAAAAGTCCATTTTTACTTGTCCCCTAAGGTGAAAATACACATTGTTGAGTGTCACGCCTCTACACTTTGTCAAAATGACACAAAATTTGGCACACAGGTGTGTCTCAATAAGATCTACGAAAAAGTCAATGCGGGCGTATCTGTCAAATGTACGGTTAAAGGGCTATTTCGCATTTTTTGGCGATCCGTACACATTGGAATTTCGCTAACTCCTCCGAAGGCTTTTGTTCCACCGGCACCACATTTGCTCAGGCCAATCTACACCCCATGGCCATTAAAAGTTATTCAAATCATGACGCTGCACCCCACGGTTTAGGTTCTAGGGGGCGCCAAAGATAACCCAAAAATCCACATATTTAAAAGTCTTATAACTTTTTATTTTTGTCCTCACTGGCCTCCAAGTTTTCTAGGATGATGCAATGTCCAGCCATCAACACATTTGTGAAGGAATTTTTACTCCCCAAAAGAGCGCCCCCCCATGGCAGGAGAAAAAAGTCCATTTTTTCTTGTCCCCTAAGGTGAAAATACACATTGTTGAGTGTCACGCCTCTACACTTTGTCAAAATGACACAAAATTTGGCACACAGGTGTGTCTCAATAAGATCTACAAAAAAGTCAATGCGGGCGTATCTGTCAAATGTACGGTTAAAGGGCTATTTCGCATTTTTTGGCGATCCGTACACATTGGAATTTCGCTAACTCCTCCGAAGGCTTTTGTTCCACCGGCACCACATTTGCTCAGGCCAATCTACACCCCATGGCCATTAAAAGTTATTCAAATCATGACGCTGCACCCCACGGTTTAGGTTCTAGGGGGCGCCAAAGATAACCCTAAAATCCACATATTTAAAAGTCTTATAACTTTTTATTTTTGTCCTCACTGGCCTCCAAGTTTTCTAGGATGATGCAATGTCCAGCCATCAACACATTTGTGAAGGAATTTTTTCTCCCCAAAAGAGCGCCCCCCATGGCAGGAGAAAAAAGTCCATTTTTACTTGTCCCCTAAGGTGAAAATACACATTGTTGAGTGTCACGCCTCTACACTTTGTCAAAATGACACAAAATTTGGCACACAGGTGTGTCTCAATAAGATCTACGAAAAAGTCAATGCGGGCGTATCTGTCAAATGTACGGTTAAAGGGCTATTTCGCATTTTTTGGCGATCCGTACACATTGGAATTTCGCTAACTCCTCCGAAGGCTTTTGTTCCACCGGCACCACATTTGCTCAGGCCAATCTACACCCCATGGCCATTAAAAGTTATTCAAATCATGACGCTGCACCCCACGGTTTAGGTTCTAGGGGGCGCCAAAGATAACCCAAAAATCCACATATTTCAAAGTCTTATAACTTTTTATTTTTGTCCTCACTGGCCTCCAAGTTTTCTAGGATGATGCAATGTCCAGCCATCAACACATTTGTGAAGGAATTTTTACTCCCCAAAAGAGCGCCCCCCCATGGCAGGAGAAAAAGTCCATTTTTTCTTGTCCCCTAAGGTGAAAATACACATTGTTGAGTGTCACGCCTCTACACTTTGTCAAAATGACACAAAATTTGGCACACAGGTGTATCTCAATAATATCTACGAAAAAGTCAATGCGGGCGTATCTGTCAAATGTACGGTTAAAGGGCTATTTCGCATTTTTTGGCGATCCGTACACATTGGAATTTCGCTAACTCCTCCGAAGGCTTTTGTTCCACCGCCACCACATTTGCTCAGGCCAATCTACACCCCATGGCCATTAAAAGTTATTCAAATCATGACGCTGCACCCCACGGTTTAGGTTCTAGGGGGCGCCAAAGATAACCCTAAAATCCACATATTTCAAAGTCTTATAACTTTTTATTTTTGTCCTCACTGGCCTCCAAGTTTTCTAGGATGATGCAATGTCCAGCCATCAACACATTTGTGAAGGAATTTTTACTCCCTAAAAGAGTGCCCCCCCCATGGCAGGAGAAAAAGTCTAGTTTTTCCTGCCCATCGCTCAACGGCTCAAACACATCGCTCTCTCGGCAAAACCGAAAGGAGGAGAAACTTGCCATTTGGATATATCCTAGCTGTGTTTGTGCCCTCACTCATGGTCCAGACTTTTTTCAAATAGGACAGTTTGTCTGCAGCGAGCGTTTTGGTAGAAACTGCGCCTCCCATTCATTATAATGGTAAATGACCACAGACAAGTGTGCACACCATCTTTGGACCTTGAGTGTGACGCGATCGGGAGGGAGAGGCGGTCGTGTTGGGGGCGGCGCGACACAGCTCGGGCCCGCCAGTGCCCCAACGGGGCCCTAGTTTGTTATTATTATTATTTTTCCTCCCCTTTGAACTGGAAAATGGCCCACTTCCCACTGGCGAAAACTCATGAAATTTGGCAGGACGACCGGGCCTGGTGAAAAATTTGATATTCCGAAGTCGCCCAAACAAGAAAATGCAAAATGGCTCCATAGCGCCCCCTAAGGTGAAAATTCACACTATTGACTGTCACGCCTGTACGCTTTGTCAAAATGACACAAAAATTGACACACACATGTATCTCAATAAGATCTACAAAAAAGTCAGTGCGGGCGTATCTGTCAAATGTACGGTTAAAGGGTTATTTCGCATTTTTTGCCGATCCGCACACATTGGAATTTCGCTAACTCCTCCGAAGGCTTTCGTTCCACCGGCACCACATTTGCTCAGGCCAATCTACACCCCATGGCCATTAAAAGTTATTCAAATCATGACGCTGCACCCCACGGTTTAGGTTCTAGGGGGCGCCAAAGATAACCCTAAGATCCACATATTTCAAAGTCTTATAACTTTTTATTTTTGCCCTCACTGGCCTCCAAGTTTTCTAGGATGATGCAATGTCCAGCCATCAACACATTTGTGAAGGAATTTTTACTCCCCAAAAGAGCGCCCCCCATGGCAGGAGAAAAAAGTCAATTTTTTCTTGTCCCCTAAGGTGAAAATACACATTGTTGAGTGTAACACCTGTACGCTTTGGCAAAATGACACAAAAATTGACACACACATGTATCTCAAAGAGATCTACGAAAAAGTCAATGCGCGCGTATCTGTCAAATGTACGGTTAAAGGGTTATTCCGCATTTTTTGCTGATCCGCACACATTGGAATTTCGCTAACTCCTCCGAAGGCTTTCGTTCCACCGGTACCACATTTGCTCAGGCCAATCTACACCCCATGGCCATTAAAAGTTATTCAAATCATGACGCTGCATCCCACGGTTTAGGTTCTAGGGGGCGCCAAAGATAACCCTAAAATCCACATATTTAAAAGTCTTATAACTTTTTATTTTTGTCCTCACTGGCCTCCAAGTTTTCTAGGATGATGCAATGTCCAGCCATCAACACATTTGTGAAGGAATTTTTACTCCCCAAAAGAGCGCCCCCCCATGGCAGGAAAAAAAAGCCAATTTTTTAGGGCCCGAGCGTAGCTGCTAAGCAGCTGCGAGAGCCCTATTATTCCCCAAGTGGTTTTTCTTTAGGGCCCGAGCGTAGCTGCTAAGCAGCTGCGAGAGCCCTCTTGTTCCTGCATGTTTCCTTCTTTTGTTATTATTATTATTTTTCCTCCCCTTTGAACTGGAAAATGGCCCACTTCCCACTGGCGAAAACTCATGAAATTTGGCAGGACGACCGGGCCTGGTGAAAAATTTGATATTCCGAAGTCGCCCAAACAAGAAAATGCAAAATGGCTCCATAGCGCCCCCTAAGGTGAAAATTCACACTATTGACTGTCACGCCTGTACGCTTTGTCAAAATGACACAAAAATTGACACACACATGTATCTCAATAAGATCTACAAAAAAGTCAGTGCGGGCGTATCTGTCAAATGTACGGTTAAAGGGTTATTTCGCATTTTTTGCTGATCCGCACACATTGGAATTTCGCTAACTCCTCCGAAGGCTTTCGTTCCACCGGCACCACATTTGCTCAGGCCAATCTACACCCCATGGCCATTAAAAGTTATTCAAATCATGACGCTGCACCCCACGGTTTAGGTTCTAGGGGGCGCCAAAGATAACCCTAAGATCCACATATTTCAAAGTCTTATAACTTTTTATTTTTGCCCTCACTGGCCTCCAAGTTTTCTAGGATGATGCAATGTCCAGCCATCAACACATTTGTGAAGGAATTTTTACTCCCCAAAAGAGCGCCCCCCCATGGCAGGAGAAAAAAGTCAATTTTTTCTTGTCCCCTAAGGTGAAAATACACATTGTTGAGTGTAACACCTGTACGCTTTGGCAAAATGACACAAAAATTGACACACACATGTATCTCAAAGAGATCTACGAAAAAGTCAATGCGCGCGTATCTGTCAAATGTACGGTTAAAGGGTTATTCCGCATTTTTTGCTGATCCGCACACATTGGAATTTCGCTAACTCCTCCGAAGGCTTTCGTTCCACCGGTACCACATTTGCTCAGGCCAATCTACACCCCATGGCCATTAAAAGTTATTCAAATCATGACGCTGCATCCCACGGTTTAGGTTCTAGGGGGCGCCAAAGATAACCCTAAAATCCACATATTTAAAAGTCTTATAACTTTTTATTTTTGTCCTCACTGGCCTCCAAGTTTTCTAGGATGATGCAATGTCCAGCCATCAACACATTTGTGAAGGAATTTTTACTCCCCAAAAGAGCGCCCCCCCATGGCAGGAAAAAAAAGCCAATTTTTAAGGGCCCGAGCGTAGCTGCTAAGCAGCTGCGAGAGCCCTATTATTCCCCAAGTGGTTTTTCTTTAGGGCCCGAGCGTAGCTGCTAAGCAGCTGCGAGAGCCCTCTTGTTCCTGCATGTTTCCTTCTTTTGTTATTATTAGGGCCCGAGCCAGCTGCAGAGCAGCCGGGCGTAGGCCCTATTATTCCCCAAGTGGTTTTTCTTTGTTTCTTTCTTTCTTTTTTCTTTTTCCTCCCCTTTGAACTGGAAAATGGCCCACTTCCCACTGGCGAAAACTCATGAAATTTGGCAGGACGACCGGGCCTGGTGAAAAATTTGATATTCCGAAGTCGCCCAAACAAGAAAATGCAAAATGGCTCCATAGCGCCCCCTAAGGTGAAAATTCACACTATTGACTGTCACGCCTGTACACTTTGTCAAAATGACACAAAAATTGACACACACATGTATCTCAATAAGATCTACAATAAAGTCAGTGCGGGCATATCTGTCAAATGTACAATTAAAGGGTTATTTCGCATTTTTTGCCGATCCGCACACATTGGAATTTCGCTAACTCCTCCGAAGGCTTTCGTTCCACCGGCACCACATTTGCTCAGGCCAATCTACACCCCATGGCCATTAAAAGTTATTCAAATCATGACGCTGCACCCCACGGTTTAGGTTCTAGGGGGCGCCAAAGATAACCCTAAAATCCACATATTTCAAAGTCTTATAACTTTTTATTTTTGTCCTCACTGGCCTCCAAGTTTTCTAGGATGATGCAATGTCCAGCCATCAACACATTTGTGAAGGAATTTTTACTCCCTAAAAGAGCGCCCCCCCATGGCAGGAGAAAAAAGTCCATTTTTTCTTGTCCCCTAAGGTGAAAATACACATTGTTGACTGTCACGCCTGTACGCTTTGGCAAAATGACACAAAAATTGACAATCATGTGTATCTCAATTAGATCTACGAAAAAGTCAAAGAGCGCGTATCTGTATAATGTACGGTAAAAGGGCTATTTTGCATTTTTTGCCGATTCGCACACATTGGAATTTCGCTAACTCCTCCTAAGGCTTTCGTCCCACTCACACCAAATTTGCTCAGGCCAATCTACACTCCATGGCCATTCAAAGTTGTAAAAATCATGACGCTGCACCCCACGGTTTACGTTTTAGGGGGCGCCAAAGATGACCCAAATATACATTACAGTAGACAAAGTAGTTTTGCCCACTGAGTGGCGCCAAAGGGACTTGTCTGTGGAGTCTGTGAGTCACTATTGGCCGTTTTTGACTACTTTAGATTTTACCTTTATATTTCCTCTTACAAAATTTTTACCTTGCCTTGCCTGGTATCATTTTTTTCAGCACAACCTCACCTGTGTCAATTTACAGTTATTTTATCATTTTGACATACTATATTTACACATTGGACCCAAATTCACACACAAAACATAAAATCCGAGTGGAAAAAAGTAACGTTTTTACTGTGAAAACCACAAATATGTGTGATGAACTGTTTTTAAAACTTAAACTTCAAATAAAAATTGTAAACTTCAAAACATATGCAAATTTTTAACAAAGAACATAGTAATTTACCTCTATTGACATCAAAATGCAGGCAATGGCCCAGGTGTTCTTTGTAAAATTATTTACAAAACACTGTATAGTCTCACAAATGTCACTTTTTATTTATGCCACTACAAAAAAACATGATGTAAATGATGCATGATGTAAAACATGATGTAAAAAACTTGTGTAGATCCTCCTCTATGTTAGTCCATGTGTAATTTTTCCATAATTCTTTGTTTTTTGCAGCATTTTTGTTAGTGTAACTGCAGATTGTGCTGACAGTGTCTATGGCAAAAAAAAACAAAAACTAGGACCCCGTTGGGGCACTGGCGGGCCCGAGCCGTGTCCCCCCCCCCCCCAACGCGCTGCCTCCCCGTCCCATTCGCGTCCTCTGGCCATCGCCCTCTCTGGTAACGCCCATCACTGCAAAGACCCTTTCCTTCATCGGCGTTTGCTGTTCTTCCTGCCAGTGCGTGTTGCTTTCACTTACACTTGCCACAGCCAGCCTCGTGAGTGCCTAGCCTATTCGATATCACTGTCACCTACACAGGACAGTCATTACCTTTCTATTAATACTTTGTGTTTTAATTTCACATTAATTTCCATATTGTATAAATGACTGGAAAAAACTTGAGCCCCTGCCCCTGTATAATCATGTGCATGTCTCTGTTCTAGCTCCAAGGTGAATCTTCACTGCTCATGTTCTCCTCAGAAGCACTCACCTCACTCCCCTCAGGTTACTGTACACATGCACCAACTGCCTGCTTCAGGTTTGGATGGAGCTTCATGGTTGTCTTTTGGAGAAATGACCAGTCAAGTTGTGTTTGAAATTTGATTTTTTTCAGGGGCAAAAGGAGCCTCTGCATTCTTGTCAAATATGTAAATAGCATGTTTTTGCAGGTGCTAAAAACCAGACTCTGAGTGTGTGTGTGTGTGTGTGTGTGTGTGTGTGTGCGTGTGTGTGTGTCTGTGTGTGCGTTCAAGTCACATGACATATTTAACCGGATGTAGCTGCAAGACGGAGCCTCGTTGACTCTCCGTTTCAACTTATCTCAAAAGTGAGGACCTCAACCTATATACCAGTTTTTGAATTGTGTTGATAGGCCAAATAAAACCAGAGTTATGATAAATTATGTCCGCGATACTTGTTTTCTGCTTATTTTGATCACGTTCGGCGCTCGATCGCGCTGTATGAGACAGGAAAACATAGCATGCAGACATTAGCGACAGGTCTTACAGGCGGAAAAGGCTTGCCAAAAAAAAAAAAACACACCACAACATCTCTCCTATTGGTGGAAAACTTCACCACAACAACCAATCCAAAATTATATGGTGACTGATTGACAAGGGGCGGGCGCTTACGTTCTTCCTGCAACATGAGAAGGGAGGGAGGGACTCTCAGCAGGGATGCAGTCTGGGACACGTAGTTGCAAACCTAGCGACTTTGTTGTTAGATTCAATGACTTTTCAGACCCCCTAACGACTTTTTTTTTAGAAAGAAAGGGACTTTTATCGACTTCTTCTGGAGTTTAGAGACTCTGACATGAAGCAGGCTTTCCTTACTGAGGAGTTAGCAACGCTGCTAAGGGTGCAGAGCCACACATGCGCTCAGAGCTCTGCATGGGAGACTGAAGCTGACAGAGCTGCAGCAGTTAGCAGGTTTCACCCTCAGAGACCACCAGGGGTTCATGTTGAGGCATTTTAATTTTTTTTTTTTTTTTGTGCCATAGACACTGTCAGCACAATCTGCAGTTACACTAACAAAAATGCTGCAAAAAACAAAGAATTATGGAAAAATTACACATGGACTGACATAGAGGAGGATCTACACAGGTTTTTTACATCATGTTTTACATCATGCATCATTTACATCATGTTTTTTTGTAGTGGCATAAATAAAAAGTGACATTTGTGAGACTATACAGTGTTTTGTAAATAATTTTACAAAGAACGCCTGGGCCATTGCCTGCATTTTGATGTAAATAGAGGTAAATCACTATGTTCTTTGTTAAAAATTTGCATATGTTTTGAAGTTTACAATTTTTATTTGAAGTTTAAGTTTTAAAAACAGTTCATCACACATATTTGTGGTTTTCACAGTAAAAATGTTACTTTTTTCCACTCGGATTTTATGTTTTGTGTGTGAATTTGGGTCCATTGTGTAAATTCAGTATGTCAACATGATAAAATAACTGTAAATTCGCACAGGTGAGGTTGTGCTGAAAAAAATGATACCAGGCAAGGCACGTGATTGTCAAATTTTGTGTCAATATGACAAAGCGTATAGGCGTGAATCTCAACAATATGTATTTTCACCTTAGGGGACAAGAAAAAATTGACTTTTTTCTCCTGCCATGGGGGGGCGCTCTTTTGGGGAGTAAAAATTCCTTCACAAATGTGTTGATGGCTGGACATTGCATCATCCTAGAAAACTTGGACGCCAGTGAGGACAAAAATAAAAAGTTATAAGACTTTTAAATATGTGGATTTTAGGGTTATCTTTGGCACCCCCTAGAACCTAAACCGTGGGGTGCAGCGTCATGATTTGAATAACTTTTAATGGCCATGGGGTGTAGATTGGCCTGAGCAAATGTGGTGCCGGTGGAACGAAAGCCTTAGGAGGAGTTAGCCACATTCCAATGTGTGCGGATCGGCAAAAAATGCGGAATAACCCTTTAACCGTACATTTGACAGATACGCACGCATTGACTTTTTCGTAGATCTTATTGAGTTACATGTGTGTGTGTCAATTTTTGTGTCATTTTGACAAAGCGTATAGGCGTGACACTCAACAATGTGTATTTTCACCTTAGGGGACAAGAAAAAATGGACTTTTTTCTCCTGCCATGGGGGGCGCTCTTTTGGGGAGTAAAAATTCCTTCACAAATGTGTTGATGGCTGGACATTGCATCATCCTAGAAAACTTGGAGGCCAGTGAGGACAAAAATAAAAAGTTATAAGACTTTTAAATATGTGGATTTTAGGGTTATCTTTGGCGCCCCCTAGAACCTAAACCTTGGGGTGCAGCGTCATGATTTTGATAACTTTTAATGGCCACGGGGTGTAGATTGGCCTGAGCAAATGTGGTGCCGGTGGAACGAAAGCCTTCGGAGGAGTTAGCGAAATTCCAATGTGTGCGGATCGGCAAAAAATGCGAAATAACCCTTTAACCGTAATTTTGACAGATACGGCCGCACTGACTTTTTTGTAGATCTTATTGAGATACATATGTTTGTCAATTTTTGTGTCAATATGACAAAGCGTACAGGCGTGACAGTCAATAGTGTGAATTTCCACCTTAGGGGGCGCTATGGAGCCATTTTGCATTTTATTGTTTGGGCGACTTCAGAATATCGAATTTTTCACCAGGCCCGGTCGTCCTGCCAAATTTCATGAGTTTTCGCCAGTGGGAAGTGGGCCATTTTCCAGTTCAAAGGGGAGGAAAAAGAAGAAACTAGGGCCCCGTTGGGGCACTGGCGGGCCCGAGCCGCGTTGCGCCGCCCCCAGTGCAACCGCCTCCCCCTCCCGATCGCGTCACACTCAAGGTCCAAAGATGGTGTGCGCACTTGTCTGTGGTCATTTCCCATTATAATGAATGGGAGGCGCAGTTTCTACCAAAACACTCGCTGCAGACAAACTACATGTCCTATTTGAAAAAAGTCTGGCCCATGAGTGAGGGCACAAACACAGCTAGGATATAGCCAAACGGCAAGTTGCTCCTCGTTACGGTGTTGCCGGGAGAGCGATGCGATTGAGCCATTGAGTGATGGGCAGGAAAAACTTGACTGTTTCTCCTGCCATGGGGGATGGGGGTTGGGAGGGGGGGGGAAAGGGATGTGGATTCTTTTAAGAATGTGGATATTTGGGTCATCTTTGGCGCCCCCTAGAACGTAAACCGTGGGGTGCAGCGTCATGATTTTTAAAACTTTGAATGGCCATGGGGTGTAGATTGGCCTGAGCAAATTTGGTGTCAGTGGGACGAAAGCCTTAGGAGGAGTTAGCCACATTCCAATGTGTGCTAATCGGCAAAAAATGCAAAATAGCCTTTTAACCGTACATTTTACAGATACGCGCGCATTGACTTTTTCGTAGATCTTATTGAGATACATGTGTGTGTCAAATTTTGTGTCAATATGACAAAGCATACAGGTATGACAGTCAACAATGTGTATTTTCACCTTATGGGACAAGAAAAAATGGACTTTTTTCTCCTGCCATGGGGGGGCGCTCTTTTAGGGAGTAAAAATTCCTTCACAAATGTGTTGATGGCTGGACATTGCATCATCCTAGAAAACTTGGAGGCCAGTGAGGACAAAAATGAAAAGTTATAAGACTTTTAAGAATGTGGATTTTTGGGTTATCTTTGGCGCCCCCTAGAACGTAAACCGTGGGGTGCAGCGTCATGATTTGTACAACTTTTAATGGCCATGGGGTGTAGATTGACCTGAGCAAATTTGGTGCCGGTGGAACGAAAGCCTTTGGAGGAGTTAGCGAAATTCCAATGTGTGCGGATCGGCAGAAAATGCGAAATAGCCCTTTAACCGTACATTATACAGATACGCGCTCTTTGACTTTTTCGTAGATCTTATTGAGATACACGTGATTGTCAAATTTTGTGTCAATATGACAAAGCGTTCAGGCGTGACACTCTACAATGTGTATTTTCATGTTAGGGGACAAGAAAAAATGGACTTTTTTCACCTGCCATGGGGGGGCGCTCTTTTGGGGAGTAAAAATTCCTTCACAAATGTGTTGATGGCTGGACATTGCATCATCCTAGAAAACTTGGAGGCCAGTGAGGACAAAAATAAAAAGTTATAAGACTTTTAAGAATGTGGATTTTTGGGTTATCTTTGGCGCCCCCTAGAACGTAAACCGTGGGGTGCAGCGTCATGATTTGTACAACTTTTGATGGCCATGGGGTGTAGATTGGCCTGAGCAAATTTGGTGCCAGTGGAACGAAAGCCTTCGGAGGAGTTAGCGAAATTCCAATGTGTGCGGATCGGCAAAAAATGCGAAATAGCCCTTTAACGGTACATTTGACAGATACGCCCGCACTGACTTTTTTGTAGGTCTTATTGAGATACACATGTGTGTCAAATTTTGTGTCATTTTGACAAAGCGTACAGGCGTCAGGTGAATTTTCACCATAGGGGGCGCTATGGAGCCATTTTTCATTTTTTTGTTTGGGCGACTTCAGAATATCGAATTTTTCACCAGGCCCGGTCGTCCTGCCAAATTTCCTGAGTTTTCGCCAGTGGGAAGTGGGCCATTTTCCAGTTTAAAGCGGAGGAAAAATAACGAAAGAAGAATCCATCAGGAACAAGAGGGCTCTCGCAGCTGCTTAGCAGCTACGCTCGGGCCCTAACTAGGGCCCCGGTGGGGCACTGGCGGGCCCGAGCTGTGTCGCGCCCCCCCCCCCCCCCCCCCCAACGCGCTGCCTCCCCGTCCCATTCGCGTCCTCTGGCCATCGTCCTCTCTGGTAACGCCCATCACTGCAAAGACCCTTTTCCTTCATCGGCGTTTGCTGTTCTTCCTGCCAGTGCGTGTGGCTTTCACTTGCACTTGCCACAGCCAGCCTCGTGAGTGCCTAGCCTATTGGATATCACTGTCACCTACACAGGACAGTCATTACCTTTCTATTAATACTTTGTTTTTTAATTTCACATTAATTTCCATATTGTCTAAACGACTGGAAAAAACTTGAGCCCCTGCCCCTGTATAATCATGTGCACGTCCCTGTTCTAGCTCCAAAGTGAATCTTGACTGCTCATGTTCTCCTCAGAAGCAGTCACCTCACTCCACTCAGGTTACTGTACACATGCACCAACTGCCTGCTTCAGGTTTGGATGGAGCTTCATGGTTGTCTTTTGGAGAAATGAGCAGTCAAGTTGTGTTTGAAATTTCATTTTTTTCAGGGGCAAAAGGAAGTCTCTGCATTGTTGTCAAATATGTAAATAGCATGTTTTTGCAGGTGCTGAAAAACAGACTCTGAGTGTGTATGTGTGTGTGTGTGTGTGTGTGTGTGTGTGTGTGTGTGTGTGCGTGTGTGTGTGTGTGTGTGTGTGTGTCTGTGTGTGTGTATCCTGCAGTGGCCAAAACGACTTTTAAGAATGTGGATATTTGGGTCATCTTTGGCGCCCCCTAGAACGTAAACCATGGGGTGCAGCGGCATGATTTTTACAACTTTGAATGGCCATGGGGTGTAGATTGGCCTGAGCAAATTTGGTGTCAGTGGGACGAAAGCCTTAGGAGGAGTTAGCCACATTCCAATGTGTGCGAATCGGCAAAAAATGCAAAATAGCCGTTTAGCCGTACATTTTACAGATACGCGCGCATTGACTTTTTCGTAGATCTTATTGAGATACACGTGTGTGTCAAATTTTGTGTCAATATGACAAAGCGTACAGGCGTGACATTCAACAATGTTTATTTTCACCTTAGGGGACAAGAAAAAATTGACTTTTTTGTCCTGCCATGGGGGGGCGCTCTTTTGGGGAGTAAAAATTCCTTCACAAATGTGTTGATGGCTGGACATTGCATCATCCTAGAAAACTTGGAGGCCAGTGAGGACAAAAATAAAAAGTTATAAGACTTTTAAGAATGTGGATTTTAGGGTTATCTTTGGCGCCCCCTAGAACCTAAGCCATGGGGTGCAGCGTCATGATTTGTACAACTTTTAATGGCCATGGGGTGTAGATTGGCCTGAGCAAATTTGGTGCCGGTGGAACGAAAGCCTTCGGAGGAGTTAGCGAAATTCCAATGTGTGCGGATCGGCAAAAAATGCGAAATAGCCCTTTAACCGTACATTATACAGATACGCGCTCTTTGACTTTTTCGTAGATCTTATTGAGATACACGTGTGTGTCAAATTTTGTGTCAATATGACAAAGCGTTCAGGCATGACACTCAACAATGTGTATTTTCACCTTAGGGGACAAGAAAAAATGGACTTTTTTCTCCTGCCATGGGGGGGCGCTCTTTTGGGGAGTAAAAATTTCTTCACAAATGTGTTGATGGCTGGACATTGCATCATCCTAGAAAACTTGGAGGCCAGTGAGGACAAAAATAAAAAGTTATAAGACTTTTAAGACTGTGGATTTTTGGGTTATCTTTGGCGCCCCCTAGAATGTAAACCGTGGGGTGCAGCGTCATGATTTGTACAACTTTTAATCGCCATGGGGTGTAGATTGTCCTGAGAAAATTTGTTGCCGGTGGAACGAAAGCCTTCGGAGGAGTTAGCGAAATTCCAATGTGTGCGGATCGGCAAAAAATGCGAAATAGCCCTTTAACCGTACATTTGACAGATACGCCCACACTGACTTTTTGTAGATCTTATTGAGATACACATGTGTGTCAAATTTTGTGTCATTTTGACAAAGCGTACAGGCCTCAGGTGAGTTTTCACCATAGGGGGCGCTATGGAGCCATTTTTCATTTTTTTGTTTGGGCGACTTCAGAATATCGAATTTTTCACCAGGCCCGGTCGTCCTGCCAAATTTCCTGAGTTTTCGCCAGTGGGAAGTGGGCCATTTTCCAGTTTAAAGCGGAGGAAAAATAACGAAAGAAGAATCCATCAGGAACAAGAGGGCTCTCGCAGCTGCTTAGCAGCTACGCTCGGGCCCTAATAATAATAACAAACTAGGACCCCGGTGGGGCACTGTCGGGCCCGAGCCGCGTTGCGCCGCCCCCAGCGCGACCGCCTCCCCCTCCCGATCGCGTCACACTCAAGGTCCAAAGATGGTGTGCGCACTTGTCTGTGGTCATTTCCCATTATAATGAATGGGAGGCGCAGTTTCTACCAAAACACTCGCTGCAGACAAATTACATGTCCTATTTGAAAAAAGTCTGGACCATGAGTGAGGGCACAAACACAGCTAGGATATATCCAAACGGCAAGTTGCTCCTCGTTACGGTGTTGCCGGGAGAGTGATGCGATTGAGCCATTGAGTGATGGGCAGGAAAAACTTGACTGTTTCTCCTGCCATGGGGGATGGGGGATGGGGGGGGGATGTGGATTCTTTTAAGAATGTGGATATTTGGGTCATCTTTGGCGCCCCCTAGAACGTAAACCGTGGGGTGCAGCGTCATGATTTTTACAACTTTGAATGGCCATGGGGTGTAGATTGGCCTGAGCAAATTTGGTGTCAGTGGGACGAAAGCCTTAGGAGGAGTTAGCCACATTCCAATGTGTGCGAATCGGCAAAAAATGCAAAATAGCCCTTTAACCGTAGTTTTTACAGATACGCACCCATTGACTTTTTCGTAGATCTTATTGAGATACATGTGATTGTCAAATTTTGTGTCAATATGACAAAGCGTACAGGCGTCACACTCAACAATGTGAATTTTCACCTTACGGGACAAGAAAAAATTGACTTTTTTCTCCTGCCATGGGGGGGCGCTCTTTTGGGGAGTAAAAATTCCTTCACAAATGTGTTGATGGCTGGACATTGCATCATCCTAGAAAACTTGGAGGCCAGTGAGGACAAAAAGAAAAAGTTATAAGACTTTTAAGAATGTGGATTTTTGGGTTATCTTTGGCGCCCCCTAGAACCTAAACCGTGGGGTGCAGCGTCATGATTTGTACAACTTTTAATGGCCATGGGGTGTAGATTGGCCTGAGCAAATTTGGTGCCGGTGGAACGAAAGCCTTCGGAGGAGTTAGCGAAATTCCAATGTGTGCGGATCGGCAAAAAATGCGAAATAGCCCTTTAACCGTACATTATACAGATACGTGCTCTCTGACTTTTTCGTAGATCTTATTGAGATACACGTGTGTGTCAAATTTTGTGTCAATATGACAAAGCGTTCAGGCGTGACACTCAACAATGTGTATTTTCACCTTACGGGACAAGAAAAAATGGACTTTTTTCTCCTGCCATGGGGGGGCGCTCTTTTGGGGAGTAAAAATTTCTTCACAAATGTGTTGATGGCTGGACATTGCATCATCCTAGAAAACTTGGAGGCCAGTGAGGACAAAAATAAAAAGTTATAAGACTTTTAAGACTGTGGATTTTTGGGTTATCTTTGGCGCCCCCTAGAATGTAAACCGTGGGGTGCAGCGTCATGATTTGTACAACTTTTAATGGCCATGGGGTGTAGATTGTCCTGAGCAAATTTGTTGCTGGTGGAACGAAAGCCTTCGGAGGAGTTAGCGAAATTCCAATGTGTGCGGATCGGCAAAAAATGCGAAATAGCCCTTTAACGGTACATTTGACAGATACGCCCACACTGACTTTTTTGTAGATGTTATTGAGATACACATGTGTGTCAAATTTTGTGTCATTTTGACAAAGCGTACAGGCGTCAGGTGAGTTTTCACCATAGGGGGCGCTATGGAGCCATTTTTCATTTTTTTGTTTGGGCGACTTCAGAATATCGAATTTTTCACCAGGCCCGGTCGTCCTGCCAAATTTCCTGAGTTTTCACCAGTGGGAAGTGGGCCATTTTCCAGTTTAAAGCGGAGGAAAAATAACGAAAGAAGAATCCATCAGGAACAAGAGGGCTCTCGCAGCTGCTTAGCAGCTACGCTCGGGCCCTAAAGAAGAATCCATCAGGAACAAGACGGCTCTCGCAGCTGCTTAGCAGCTACGCTCGGGCCCTAAAAAACTGAAAATGCCTCAACATGAACCCCTGGTGGTCTCTGAGGGTGAAACCTGCTAACTGCTGCAGCTCTGTCAGCTTCAGTCTCCCATGCAGAGCTCGGAGCGCATGTGTGGCTCTGCACCCTTAGCAGCGTTGCTAACTCCTCAGTAAGGAAAGCCTGCTTCATGTCAGAGTCTCTAAACTCCAGAAGAAGTCGATAAAAGTCACTTTCTTTCTAAAAAAAGTCGTTAGGGGGTCTGAAAAGTCATTGAATCTAACAACAAAGTCGCTAGGTTTGCAACTACGTGTCCCAGACTGCATCCCTGCTGAGAGTCCCTCCCTCCCTTCTCATATTGCAGGAAGAACGTAAGTTCCCGCCCCTTGTCAATCAGTCACCATATAATTTTGGATTGGTTGTTGTGGTGAAGTTTTCCACCAATAGGAGAGATGTTGTGGTGTGTATTTTTTTTCCTTTGGCAAGCCTTTTCCGCCTGTAAGACCTGTCGCTAATGTCTGCATGCTATGTTTTCCTGTCTCATACAGCGCGATCGAGCGCCGAACGTGATCAAAATAAGCAGAAAACAAGTATCGCGGACATAATTTATCATAACTCTGGTTTTATTTGGCCTATCAACACAATTTAAAAACTGGTATATAGGTTGAGGTCCTCACTTTTGAGATAAATTGAAACGGAGAGTCAACGAGGCTCCGTCTTGCAGCTACATCCGGTTAAATATGTCATGTGACTTGAACGCACACACACACACACACACACACACACACACACACGCACACACACACACACTCAGAGTCTGGTTTGTAGCACCTGCAAAAACATGCTATTTACATATTTGACAAGAATGCAGAGGCTCCTTTTGCCCCTGAAAAAAATCAAATTTCAAACACAACTTGACTGGTCATTTCTCCAAAAGACAACCATGAAGCTCCATCCAAACCTGAAGCAGGCAGTTGGTGCATGTGTACAGTAACCTGAGGGGAGTGAGGTGACTGCTTCTGAGGAGAACATGAGCAGTGAAGATTTACCTTAGAGCTAGAACAGAGACGTGCACATGATTATACAGGGGCAGGGGCTCAAGTTTTTCCAGTCGTTTATACAATTTGGAAATTAATGTGAAATTAAAAAACAAAGTATTAATAGAAAGGTAATGACTGTCCTGTGTAGGTGACAGTGATATCGAATAGGCTAGGCACTCACGAGGCTGGCTGTGGCAAGTGTAAGTGAAAGCAACACGCACTGGCAGGAAGAACAGCAAACGCCGATGAAGGAAAAGGGTCTTTGCAGTGATGGGCGTTACCAAAGAGGGCAATGGCCAGAGGACACAAATGGGACGGGGAGGCAGCGCGTTGGGGGGGGACGCGACACAGCTCGGGCCCGCCAGTGCCCCAACGGGGTCCTAGTTATTATTTTTCCTCCCCTTTGAACTGGAAAATGGCCCACTTCCCACTGGCGAAAACTCATGAAATTTGGCAGGACGACCGGGCCTGGTGAAAAATTTGATATTCCGAAGTCGCCCAAACAAGAAAATGCAAAATGGCTCCATAGCGCCCCCTAAGGTGAAAATTCACACTATTGACTGTCACGCGTGTACGCTTTGTCAAAATGACACAAAAATTGACACACACATGTATCTCAATAAGATCTACAAAAAAGTCAGTGCGGGCGTATCTGTCAAATGTACGGTTAAAGGGTTATTTCGCATTTTTTGCCGATCCGCACACATTGGAATTTCGCTAACTCCTCCGAAGGCTTTCGTTCCACCGGCACCACATTTGCTCAGGCCAATCTACACCCCATGGCCATTAAAAGTTATTCAAATCATGACGCTGCACCCCACGGTTTAGGTTCTAGGGGGCGCCAAAGATAACCCTAAGATCCACATATTTAAAAGTCTTATAACTTTTTATTTTTGCCCTCACTGGCCTCCAAGTTTTCTAGGATGATGCAATGTCCAGCCATCAACACATTTGTGAAGGAATTTTTACTCCCCAAAAGAGCGCCCCCCCATGGCAGGAGAAAAAAGTCAATTTTTTCTTGTCCCCTTACATAAAAATACACATTGTTGAGTGTCACGCCTGAACGCTTTGTCATATTGACACAAAAATTGACAATCATGTGTATCTCAATTAGATCTACGAAAAAGTCAAAGAGCGCGTATCTGTATAATGTACGGTTAAAGGGCTATTTTGCATTTTTTGCCGATTCGCACACATTGGAATGTGGCTATCTCCTCCTAAGGCTTTCGTCCCACCGATACCAAATTTGCTCAGGGCAATCTACACCCCATGCCCATTCAAAGTTGTAAAAATCATGACGCTGCACCCCACGGTTTACGTTCTAGGGGGCGCAAAAGATGACCCAAAAATCCACATTCTTAAAAGTCATTTTGGCCACTGCAGGAGTACAGAGTACTGCAGTTCTAGGGGGCGCCAAAGATGACCCAAAAATCCACATTCTTAAAAGTCTTTTTGGCCACTGCAGGAGTACAGAGTACTGCAGGATACACACACATACACACACACACACACACACACACAGACACACACTCAGAGTCTGTTTTTTAGCACCTGCAAAAACATGCTGTTTACATATTTGACAAGAATGCAGAGGCTTCCTTTTGCCGCTGAAAAAAATCATATTTCAAACACAACTTGACTGTTCATTTCTCCAAAAGACAACCATGAAGCTCCATCCAAACCTGAAGCAGATAGTTGGTGCATGTGTACAGTAACCTGAGGGGAGTGAGGTGACTATTTCTGAGGAGAACATGAGCAGTGAAGATTCACCTTGGAGCTAGAACAGGGACGTGCACATGATTATACAGGGGCAGGGGCTCAAGTTTTTTCCAGTCATTTATACAATATGGAAATTAATGTGAAATTAAACCACAAATATGTGTGATGAACTGTTTTTAAAACTTAAACTTCAAATAAAAATTGTAAACTTCAAAACATATGCAAATTTTTAACAAAGAACATAGTTATTTACCTCTATTTACATCAAAATGCAGGCAATGGCCCAGGCGTTCTTTGTAAAATTATTTACAAAACACTGTATAGTCTCACAAATGTCACTTTTTATTTATGCCACTACAAAAAATGATGAATGATGTAAATGATGCATGATGTAAAACATGATGTAAAAAACTTGTGTAGATCCTCCTCTATGTCAGTCCATGTGTAATTTTTCCATAATTCTTTGTTTTTTGCAGCATTTTTGTTAGTGTAACTGCAGATTGTGCTGACAGTCTATGGCAAAAAAAACAAAAACTGAAAATGCCTCAACATGAACCCCTGGTGGTCTCTGAGGGTGAAACCTGCTAACTGCTGCAGCTCTGTCAGCTTCAGTCTCCCATGCAGAGCTCGGAGCGCATGTGTGGCTCTGCACCCTTAGCAGCGTTGCTAACTCCTCAGTAAGGAAAGCCTGCTTCATGTCAGAGTCTCTAAACTCCAGAAGAAGTCGATAAAAGTCACTTTCTTTCTAAAAAAAAGTCGTTAGGGGGTCTGAAAAGTCATTGAATCTAACAACAAAGTCGCTAGGTTTGCAACTACGTGTCCCAGACTGCATCCCTGCTGAGAGTCCCTCCCTCCCTTCTCATGTTGCAGGAAGAACGTAAGCACCCGCCCCTTGTCAATCAGTCACCATATAATTTTGGATTGGTTGTTGTGGTGAAGTTTTCCACCAATAGGAGAGATGTTGTGGTGTTTTTTTTTTCTTTTGGCAAGCCTTTTCCGCCTGTAAGACCTGTCGCTAATGTGTGCATGCTATGTTTTCCTGTCTCATACAGCGCGATCGAGCGCCGAACGTGATCAAAATAAGCAGAAAAAAAGTATCGCGGACATAATTTATCATAACTCTGGTTTTATTTGGCCTATCAACACAATTTAAAAACTGGTATATAGGTTGAGGTCCTCACTTTTGAGATAAGTTGAAACGGAGAGTCAACGAGGCTCCGTCTTGCAGCTACATCCGGTTAAATATGTCATGTGACTTGAACGCTGGGGAGCGTCAATCGAATCGAATCAAACCTAACTCTCAGATGAATCTTCAAAATTCACCTCAGAAATATGCTTATTATTCTTCTCAGAGTACTGCAGGATACACACACACACACGCACACACACACACACACACACACACACACACACACACACACACACACTCAGAGTCTGTTTTTTAGCACCTGCAAAAACATGCTATTTACATATTTGACAAGAATGCAGAGGCTTCCTTTTGCCCCTGAAAAAAATCAAATTTCAAACACAACTTGACTGCTCATTTCTCCAAAAGACAACCATGAAGCTCCATCCAAACCTGAAGCAGGCAGTTGGTGCATGTGTACAGTAACCTGAGGGGAGTGAGGTGACTGCTTCTGAGGAGAACATGAGCAGTGAAGATTCACCTTGGAGCTAGAACAGGGACGTGCACATGATAATACAGGGGCAGGGGCTCAAGTTTTTTCCAGTCGTTTATACAATATGGAAATTAATGTGAAATTAAAAAACAAAGTATGACTGTCCTGTGTAGGTGACAGTGATATCCAATAGGCTAGGCACTCACGAGGCTGGCTGTGGCAAGTGTAAGTGAAAGCAACACGCACTGGCAGGAAGAACAGCAAACGCCGATGAAGGAAAAGGGTCTTTGCAGTGATGGGCGTTACCAGAGAGGGCGATGGCCAGAGGACATGAATGTGACGAGGAGGCAGCGCGTATGGGGGGGGGGGTGCGACACGGCTCGGGCCCGCCAGTGCCCCAACGGGGCCCTAGTTGTTTCTTTCTTTCTTCTTTTTCCTCCCCTTTGAACTGGAAAATGGCCCACTTCCCACTGGCGAAAACTCATGAAATTTGGCAGGATGACCGGGCCTGGTGAAAAATTTGATATTCCGAAGTCGCCCAAACAAGAAAATGCAAAATGGCTCCATAGCGCCCCCTAAGGTGAAAATTCACACTATTGACTGTCACGCCTTCACGCTTTGTCAAAATGACACAAAAATTGACACACATATGTATCTCAATAAGATCTACAAAAAAGTCAGTGCGGGCGTATCTGTCAAATGTACGGTTAAAGGGTTATTCCGCATTTTTTGCCGATCCGCACACATTGGAATTTCGCTAACTCCTCCGAAGGCTTTCTTTCCACCGGCACCACATTTGCTCAGGCCAATCTACACGCCATGGCCATTAAAAGTTATTCAAATCATGATGCTGCACCCCACGGTTTAGGTTCTAGGGGGCGCCAAAGATAACCCTAAAATCCACATATTTAAAAGTCTTATAACTTTTTATTTTTGCCCTCACTGGCCTCCAAGTTTTCTAGGATGATGCAATGTCCAGCCATCAACACATTTGTGAAGGAATTTTTACTCCCCAAAAGAGCGCCCCCCATGGCCGGAGAAAAAAGTCCATTTTTTCTTGTCCCCTAAGGTGAAAATACACATTGTTGAGTGTCACGCCTGTACGCTTTGTCATATTGACACAAAATTTGACACACACATGTATCTCAATAAGATCTACGAAAAAGTCAATGCGCGCGTATCTGTCAAATGTACGGTTAAAGGGTTATTCCGCATTTTTTGCTGATCCGCACACATTGGAATTTCGCTAACTCCTCCTAAGGCTGGCGTTCCACCGGCACCACATTTGCTCAGGCCAATCTACACCCCATGGCCATTAAAAGTTATTCAAATCATGACGCTGCACCCCACGGTTTAGGTTCTAGGGGGCGCCAAAGATAACCCTAAAATCCACATATTTCAAAGTCTTATAACTTTTTATTTTTGTCCTCACTGGCCTCCAAGTTTTCTAGGATGATGCAATGTCCAGCCATCAACACATTTGTGAAGGAATTTTTACTCCTCAAAAGAGCCCCCCCATGGCAGGAGAAAAAAGTCAATTTTTTCTTGTCCCGTAAGGTGAAAATTCACATTGTTGAGTGTGACACCTGTACGCTTTGTCATATTGACACAAAATTTGACAATCACGTGTATCTCAATAAGATCTACGAAAAAGTCAATGGGTGCGTATCTGTCAAATGTACGGTTAGAGGGCTATTTTGCATTTTTTGCCGATTCGCACACATTGGAATGTGGCTAACTCCTCCTAAGGCTTTCGTCCCACTGAAACCAAATTTGCTCAGGCCAATCTACACCCCATGGCCATTCAAAGTTGTAAAAATCATGACGCTGCACCCCACGGTTTACGTTCTAGGGGGCGCCAAAGATGACCAAAAAATCCACATTCTTAAAAGAATCCACATTCCCCCCCCATGGCAGGAGAAAAAGTCAAGTTTTTCCTGCCCATCGCTCAATGGCTCAATCGCATCGCTCTCCAGGCAACACCGTAACGAGGAGCAACCTGCCATTTGGATATATCCCAGCTGTGTTTGTGCCCTCACTCATGGTCCAGACTTTTTTCAAATAGGACATGAAGTTTGTCTGCAGCGAGTGTTTTGGTAGAAACTGCGCCTCCCATTCATTATAATGGGAAATGACCACAGACAAGTGCGCACACCATCTTTGGACCTTGAGTGTGACTCAATCGGGAGGGGGAGGCGGTCACGCTGGGGGCGGCACGACGCGGCTCGGGCCCGACAGTGCCCCACCGGGGCCCTAGTTCTTGTTATTATTATTATTTTTCCTCCCCTTTGAACTGGAAAATGGCCCACTTCCCACTGGCGAAAACTCATGAAATTTGGCAGGACGACCGGGCCTGGTGAAAAATTTGATATTCCGAAGTCGCCCAAACAAGAAAATGCAAAATGGCTCCATAGCGCCCCCTAAGGTGAAAATTCACACTATTGACTGTCACGCCTGTACGCTTTGTCAAAATGACACAAAAATTGACACACATATGTATCTCAATAAGATCTACAAAAAAGTCAGTGCGGGCGTATCTGTCAAATGTACGGTTAAAGGGTTATTTCGCATTTTTTGCCGATCCGCACACATTGGAATTTCGCTAACTCCTCCGAAGGCTTTCGTTCCACCGGCACCACATTTGCTCAGGCCAATCTACACCCCATGGCCATTAAAAGTTATTCAAATCATGACGCTGCACCCCACGGTTTAGGTTCTAGGGGGCGCCAAAGATAACCCTAAAATCCACATATTTAAAAGTCTTATAACTTTTTATTTTTGTCCCCACTGGCCTCCAAGTTTTCTAGGATGATGCAATGTCCAGCCATCAACACATTTGTGAAGGAATTTTTACTCCCCAAAAGAGCGCCCCCCATGGCAGGAGAAAAAAGTCCATTTTTTCTTGTCCCCTAAGGTGAAAATACACATTGTTGAGTGTAACACCTGTACGCTTTGGCAAAATGACACCAAAATTGACACACACATGTATCTCAATAAGATCTACAAAAAAGTCAATGCCCGCGTATCTGTCAAATGTACGGTTAAAGGGTTATTCCGCATTTTTTGCCGATCCGCACACATTGGAATTTCGCTAACTCCTCCGAAGGCTTTCGTTCCACCGGCACCACATTTGCTCAGGCCAATCTACACCCCGTGGCCATTAAAAGTTATTCAAATCATGACGCTGCACCCCACGGTTTAGGTTCTAGGGGGCGCCAAAGATAACACTAAAATCCACATATTTAAAAGTCTTATAACTTTTTATTTTTGTCCTCACTGGCCTCCAAGTTTTCTAGGATGATGCAATGTCCAGCCATCAACACATTTGTGAAGGAATTTTTACTCCCCAAAAGAGCGCCCCCCCATGGCAGGAGAAAAAAGTCCATTTTTTCTTGTCCCCTAAGGTGAAAATACACATTGTTGAGTGTCACGCCTATACGCTTTGTCAAAATGACACAAAAATTGACACACACATGTAACTCAATAAGATCTACGAAAAAGTCAATGCGCGCGTATCTGTCAAATGTACGGTTAAAGGGTTATTCCGCATTTTTTGCCGATCCGCACACATTGGAATGTGGCTAACTCCTCCTAAGGCTTTCGTTCCACCGGCACCACATTTGCTCAGGCCAATCTACACCCCATGGCCATTAAAAGTTATTCAAATCATGACGCTGCACCCCACGGTTTAGGTTCTAGGGGGCGCCAAAGATAACCCTAAAATCCACATATTTAAAAGTCTTATAACTTTTTATTTTTGTCCTCACTGGCCTCCAAGTTTTCTAGGATGATGCAATGTCCAGCCATCAACACATTTGTGAAGGAATTTTTACTCCCCAAAAGAGTGCCCCCCCATGGCAGGAGAAAAAAGTCCATTTTTTCTTGTCCCCTAAGGTGAAAATACATATTGTTGAGATTCACGCCTATACGCTTTGTCATATTGACACAAAATTTGACAATCACGTGCCTTGCCTGGTATCATTTTTTTCAGCACAACCTCACCTGTGTCAATTTACAGTTATTTTATCATTTTGACATACTATATTTACACATTGGACCCAAATTCACACACAAAACATAAAATCCGAGTGGAAAAAAGTAACGTTTTTACTGTGAAAACCACAAATATGTGTGATGAACTGTTTTTAAAACTTAAACTTCAAATAAAAATTGTAAACTTCAAAACATATGCAAATTTTTAACAAAGAACATAGTAATTTACCTCTATTTACATCAAAATGCAGGCAATGGCCCAGGTGTTCTTTGTAAAATTATTTACAAAACACTGTATAGTCTCACAAATGTCACTTTTTATTTATGCCACTACAAAAAAACATGATGTAAATGATGCATGATGTAAAACATGATGTAAAAAACTTGTGTAGATCCTCCTCTATGTCAGTCCATGTGTAATTTTTCCATAATTCTTTGTTTTTTGCAGCATTTTTGTTAGTGTAACTGCAGATTGTGCTGACAGTGTCTATGGCACAAAAAAAAAAAAAAAATTAAAATGCCTCAACATGAACCCCTGGTGGTCTCTGAGGGTGAAACCTGCTAACTGCTGCAGCTCTGTCAGCTTCAGTCTCCCATGCAGAGCTCTGAGCGCATGTGTGGCTCTGCACCCTTAGCAGCGTTGCTAACTCCTCAGTAAGGAAAGCCTGCTTCATGTCAGAGTCTCTAAACTCCAGAAGAAGTCGATAAAAGTCCCTTTCTTTCTAAAAAAAAGTCGTTAGGGGGTCTGAAAAGTCATTGAATCTAACAACAAAGTCGCTAGGTTTGCAACTACGTGTCCCAGACTGCATCCCTGCTGAGAGTCCCTCCCTCCCTTCTCATGTTGCAGGAAGAACGTAAGCACCCGCCCCTTGTCAATCAGTCACCATATAATTTTGGATTGGTTGTTGTGGTGAAGTTTTCCACCAATAGGAGAGATGTTGTGGTGTGTTTTTTTTTTCTTTTGGAAAGCCTTTTCCGCCTGTAAGACCTGTCGCTAATGTCTGCATGCTATGTTTTCTTGTCTCATACAGCGCGATCGAGCGCCGAACGTGATCAAAATAAGCAGAAAAAAAGTATCGCGGACATAATTTATCATAACTCTGGTTTTATTTGGCCTATCAACACAATTTAAAAACTGGTATATAGGTTGAGGTCCTCACTTTTGAGATAAGTTGAAACGGAGAGTCAACGAGGCTCCGTCTTGCAGCTACATCCGGTTAAATATGTCATGTGACTTGAACACACACACAGACACACACACACGCACACACACACACACACACACGCACACACACACACTCAGAGTCTGGTTTTTAGCACCTGCAAAAACATGCTATTTACATATTTGACAAGAATGCAGAGGCTCCTTTTGTCCCTGAAAAAAATCAAATTTCAAACACAACTTGACTGGTCATTTCTCCAAAAGACAACCATGAAGCTCCATCCAAACCTGAAGCAGGCAGTTGGTGCATGTGTACAGTAACCTGAGGGGAGTGAGGTGAGTGCTTCTGAGGAGAACATGAGCAGTGAAGATTCACCTTGGAGCTAGAACAGAGACATGCACATGATTATACAGGGGCAGGGGCTCAAGTTTTTTCCAGTCGTTTATACAATATGGAAATTAATGTGAAATTAAAACACAAAGTATTAATAGAAAGGTAATGACTGTCCTGTGTAGGTGACAGTGATATCCAATAGGCTAGGCACTCACGAGGCTGGCTGTGGCAAGTGTAAGCGAATGCAACACGCACTGGCAGGAAGAACAGCAAACGCCGATGAAGGAAAAGGGTCTTTGCAGTGATGGGCGTTACCAGAGAGGGCGATGGCCAGAGGACACAAATGGGACGGGAAGGCAGCACGTTGGGGGGGGGGGGGGGGGGGGGGGATGCGACACGGCTCGGGCCCGCCAGTGCCCCAACGGGGTCCTAGTTAGGGCCCGAGCGTAGCTGCTAAGCAGCTGCGAGAGCCCTATTATTCCCCAAGTGGTTTTTCTTTGATTCTTTCTTTCTTTAGGGCCCGAGCGTAGCTGCTAAGCAGCTGCGAGAGCCCTATTATTCCCCAAGTGGTTTTTCTTTGTTTCTTTAGGGCCCGAGCGTAGCTGCTAAGCAGCTGCGAGAGCCCTCTTGTTCCTGCATGTTTCCTTCTTTTGTTATTATTAGGGCCTGAGCGTAGCTGCTAAGCAGCTGCGAGAGCCCTATTATTCCCCAAGTGGTTTTTCTTTAGGGCCCGAGCGTAGCTGCTAAGCAGCTGCGAGAGCCCTCTTGTTCCTGATGGATTCTTCTTTTGTTATTATTATTATTTTTCCTCCGCTTTAAACTGGAAAATTGCCCACTTCCCACTGGCGAAAACTCATGAAATTTGGCAGGACGACCGGGCCTGGTGAAAAATTCGATATTCTGAAGTCGCCCAAACAAGAAAATGCAAAATGGCTCCATAGCGCCCCCTAAGGTGAAAATTCACACTATTGACTGTCACGCCTGTACGCTTTGTCATATTGACACAAAAATTGACACACACATGTATCTCAATAAGGTCTACAAAAAAGTCAGTGCGGGCGTATCTGTCAAATGTACGGTTAAAGGGTTATTTCGCATTTTTTGCCGTTCCGCACACATTGGAATTTCACTAACTCCTCCGAAGGCTTTCGTTCCACCGGCACTACATTTGCTCAGGCCAATCTACACCCCATGGCCATTCAAAGTTGTACAAATCATGACGCTGCACCCCACAGTTTACGTTCTAGGGGGCGCCAAAGATAACCCACAAATCCACATTCTTAAAAATCTTATAACTTTATTTTTGTCCTCATTGGCCTCCAAGTTTTCTAGGATGATGCAATGTCCAGCCATCAACACATTTGTGAAGGAATTTTTACTCCCCAAAACAGCGCCCCCCCCCCATGGCAGGACAAACAAGGCCATTTTTTCTTGTCCCCTAAGGTGAAAATACACATTGTTCAGTGTCACGCCTATACGCTTTGTCATATTGACACAAAATTTGACACACACGTGTATCTCAATAAGATCTACGAAAAAGTCAATGGGCACATATCTGTCAAATGTACGGTTAAAGGGTTATTTCGCATTTTTTGCCGTTCCGCACACATTGGAATTTCGCTAACTCCTCCGAAGGCTTTCGTTCCACCGGCACTACATTTGCTCAGGCCAATCTACACCCCATGGCCATTCAAAGTTGTACAAATCATGACGCTGCACCCCACGGTTTACGTTCTAGGGGGCGCCAAAGATAACCCACAAATCCACATTCTTAAAAATCTTATAACTTTTTATTTTTGTCCTCATTGGCCTCCAAGTTTTCTAGGATGATGCAATGTCCAGCCATCAACACATTTGTGAAGGAATTTTTACTCCCCAAAACAGCGCCCCCCCCATGGCAGGACAAACAAGGCCATTTTTTCTTGTCCCCTAAGGTGAAAATACACATTGTTCAGTGTCACGCCTATACGCTTTGTCATATTGACACAAAATTTGACACACACGTGTATCTCAATAAGATCTACGAAAAAGTTTATGGGCACATATCTGTAAAATGTACGGTTAAAGGGCTATCTTGCATTTTTTGCCGATTCGCACACATTGGAATGTGGCTAACTCCTCCTAAGGCTTTCGTTCTACTGACACCAAATTTGCTCAGGCCAATCTACACCCCGTGGCCATTCAAAGTTGTACAAATCATGACGCTGCACCCCACGGTTTAGGTTCTAGGGGGCGCCAAAGATGACCCAAATATCCACATTTTTAAAAGTCTTATAACTTTTTATTTTTGTCCTCACTGGCCTCCAAGTTTTCTAGGATGATGCAATGTGCAGCCATCAACACATCTGTGAAGGAATTTTTTCTCCCCAAAAGAGCGCCCCCCCCCCCCCCCCCCATGGCAGGAGAAAAAGTCAAGTTTTTCCAGCCCATCGCTTAATGGCTCAAACGCATTGCTCTCCCGCTAAAACCAAAAGGAGGAGCAACTTGCCATTTGGATATGTCCTAGCTGTGTTTGTGCCCTCACTCATGGTCCAGAGTTTTTTCAAATAGGACATGTAGTTTGTCTGCAGCGAGTTTTGGTAGAAACTGTGCCTCCCATTCATTATAATGGGAAATGACCAAAGACAGGTGCGCACACCATCTTTGGACCTTGACTTTGACGTCACAGTTTGAGATACAAATGTAATCTGACCTCTGACCTTTGGTGGACACCCTAACCTTTCAACCCGCGAAAACGGCGTTTCAATAGCTCTTACGGCTTTCCTACAAATACACTTTGTTCAGCTACTCCTACTGTCCTTTAAGCTCTGCTTCTCAGATCATCAAAGAGTGTGCACGTGTGTAATGAGCGCATATTGAATGTTAATTATGTTAAATATGTTAATTATTAGAAGAAAAAACAACAACAGTCCTTTTGGACAAAATTTCTTTTTATTACAGAATTAGAATAATGGAAGCATAGTCCAAGGAAACCATTCAAGTGATGTCATACCTCATAATTTATTGAGATGTTGGCTAGTCTGGGCATTTCTTCATTCATCAGGTTTCCTGCATGCATACTAACAGAGCACATCAGTAGCAGTGAGTGATAAGTATGAGTGTGTCATTGTGTAAGAAAGAAAGTGGTTTACTTACACATCCATAGAAAATAGGTGGTTGAGCACAGCACGCAAACAAAGCTTTGCCACAACGGTTGAACTTCCCAAGTAGCTGATACCAAGGTCACACAATCATGGTGAGCAAAGGTCAAACCAGGCCAGGCACTCACGAGGCTGGCTGTGGCAAGTGTAAGTGAAAGCAACACGCAATGGCAGGAAGAACAGCAAACACCGATGAAGGAAAAGGGTCTTTGCAGTGATGGGCGTCACCAGAGAGGGCGATGGCCAGAGGGCACGAATGAGACGGGGAGGCGGTCGCGCTGGGGGCGGCGCGACGCGGCTCGGGCCCGCCAGTGCCCCAACGGGGCCCTAGTTGTTTCTTTCTTTCTTCTTTTTCCTCCCCTTTGAACTGGAAAATGGCCCACTTCCCACTGGCGAAAACTCATGAAATTTGGCAGGATGACCGGGCCTGGTGAAAAATTTGATATTCCGAAGTCGCCCAAACAAGAAAATGCAAAATGGCTCCATAGCGCCCCCTAAGGTGAAAATTCACACTATTGACTGTCACGCCTTCACGCTTTGTCAAAATGACACAAAAATTGACACACATATGTATCTCAATAAGATCTACAAAAAAGTCAGTGCGGGCGTATCTGTCAAATGTACGGTTAAAGGGCTATTTCGCATTTTTTGCCGATCCGCACACATTGGAATTTCGCTAACTCCTCCGAAGGCTTTCGTTCCACCGGCACCAAATTTGCTCAGGCCAATCTACACCCCATGGCCATTAAAAGTTGTACAAATCATGATGCTGCACCCCACGGTTTACGTTCTAGGGGGCGCCAAAAATAACCCAAAAATCCACATTCTTAAAAGTCTTATAACTTTTTATTTTTGTCCTCACTGGCCTCCAAGTTTTCTAGGATGATGCAATGTCCAGCCATCAACACATTTGTGAAGGAATTTTTACTCGCCAAAAGAGCGCCCCCCCATGGCAGGAGAAAAAAGTCCATTTTTTCTAGTCCCCTAAGGCGAAAATACACATTGTTGAATGTCACGCCTGTACGCTTCGTCATATTGACACAAAATTTGACAATCACGTGTATCTCAATAAGATCTACGAAAAAGTCAGTGCGCGTATCAGTAAAATGTACGGTTAAAGGGCTATTTCGCATTTTTTGCCGTTTCGCACACATTGGAATGTGGCTAACTCCTCCTAAGGCTTTCGTCCCACTGACACCAAATTTGCTCAGGCCAATCTACACTCCATGGCCATTCAAAGTTGTAAAAATCATGACGCTGCACCCCACGGTCTATGTTCTAGGGGGCGCCAAAGAGGACCCAAATATCCACATTTTTAAAAGTCTTATAACTTTTTATTTTTGTCCTCACTGGCCTCCAAGTTTTCTAGGATGATGCAATGTCCAGCCGACAACACATTTGTGAAGGAATTTTTTCTCCCCAAAAGAGCGCCCCCCCATGGCAGGAGAAAAAAGTCCATTTTTTCTTGTCCCCTAAGGTGAAAATACACATTGTTGAGTGTCATGCCTGTACGCTTTGTCAAAATGACACAAAATTCAACACACACGTGTATCTCAATAAGATCTACGAAAAAGTAAATGCAGGCGTATCTGTCAAATGTACGGTTAAAGGGCTATTTCGCATTTTTTGCCGATTCGCACACATTGGAATGTAGCTAACTCCTCCGAAGGCTTTCGCTCCACCGGCACCAAATTTGCTCAGGCCAATCTACACCCCATGGCCATTCAAAGTTGTAAAAATCATGACGCTGCACCCCACGGTTTAAGTTCTAGGGGGCGCCAAAGATGACCCAAATATCCATATTCTTAAAAGTGTTATAACATTTTATTTTTGTCCTCACTGGCCTCCATGTTTTCTAGGATGATGCAATGTCCAGCCATCAACACATTTGTGAAGGAGTTTTTTCTCGTTAAAAGAGCGCCCCCCATGGCAGGAGAATAAAGTCAAGTTTTTCCTGTTCATCGTTCAATGGCTCAAACGCATCGCTCTCTCGGCAAAAGCGAAAGGAGGAGCAACTTGCCATTTGGATATATCTTAGCTGTGTTTGTGCCCTCACTCATGGTCCAGACTTTTTTCAAATAGGACATGGAGTTTTTCTGCAGCGAGCGTTTTGGTAGAAACTGCGCCTCCCATTCATTATAATGGTAAAAGACCACAGACAAGTGCGCACACCATCTTTGGACCTTGAGTGTGACGCGATTGGGTGGGGGAGGCGGTCGCGCTGGGGGCGGCGCGACACGGCTGGGGCCCGCCAGTGCCCCACCGGGGCCCTAGTTCTTCTTTTTCCTCCCCTTTGAACTGGAAAATGGCCCACTTCCCACTGGCGAAAACTCATGAAATTTGGCAGGATGACCGGGCCTGGTGAAAAATTTGATATTCCGAAGTCGCCCAAACAAGAAAATGCAAAATGGCTCCATAGCGCCCCCTAAGGTGAAAATTCATACTATTGACTGTCACGCCTTTACGCTTTGTCAAAATGACACAAAAATTGACACACATATGTATCTCAATAAGATCTACAAAAAAGTCAGTGCGGGCGTATCTGTCAAATGTACGGTTAAAGGGTTATTCCGCATTTTTTGCCGATCCACACACATTGGAATTTTGCTAACTCCTCCGAAGGCTTTCTTTCCACTTGCACCACATTTGCTCAGGCCAATCTACACCCCATGGCCATTAAAAGTTATTCAAATCATGACGCTGCACCCCACGGTTTAGGTTCTAGGGGGCGCCAAAGATAACCCTAAAATCCACATATTTAAAAGTCTTATAACTTTTTATTTTTGCCCTCACTAGCCTCCAAGTTTTCTAGGATGATGCAATGTCCAGCCATCAACACATTTGTGAAGGAATTTTTACTCCCCAAAAGAGCGCCCCCCCCATGGCCGGAGAAAAAAGTCCATTTTTTCTTGTCCCCTAAGGGGAAAATACACATTGTTGAGTGTCACGCCTGTACGCTTTGTCATATTGACACAAAATTTGACACACACATGTATCTCAATAAGATCTACGAAAAAGTCAATGCGCGCGTATCTGTCAAATGTACGGTTAAAGGGTTATTCCGCATTTTTTGCCGATCCGCACACATTGGAATTTCGCTAACTCCTCCTAAAGCTTTCTTTCCACTTGCACCACATTTGCTCAGGCCAATCTACACCCCATGGCCATTAAAAGTTATTCAAATCATGACGCTGCACCCCACGGTTTAGGTTCTAGGGGGCGCCAAAGATAACCCTAAAATCCACATATTTCAAAGTCTTATAACTTTTTATTTTTGTCCTCACTGGCCTCCAAGTTTTCTAGGATGATGCAATGTCCAGCCATCAACACATTTGTGAAGGAATTTTTACTCCCCAAAAGAGCGCCCCCCCATGGCATGAGAAAAAAGTCCATTTTTTCTTGTCCCCTAAGGCGAAAATACACATTGTTGAGTGTCATGCCTGTACGCTTTGTCATATTGACACAAAATTTGACAATCAAGTGTATCTCAATAAGATCTACGAAAAAGTCAATGTGCGCGTATCTGTAAAATGTACGGTTAAAGGGCGATTTCGCATTTTTTGCCGATTCGCACACATTGGAATGTGGCTAACTCCTCCTAAAGCTTTCGTCCCACTGACACCACATTTGCTCAGGCAAATCTACACCCCATGGCCATTCAAAGTTGTAAAAATCATGACGCTGTACCCCACGGTTTACGTTCTAGGGGGCGCCAAAGAGGACCCAAATATCCACATTTTTAAAAGTCTTATAACTTTATTTTTGTCCTCACTGGCCTCCAAGTTTTCTAGGATGATGCAATGTCCAGCCATCAGCACATGTGTGAAGGAATTTTTACTCCCTAAAAGGGCGCCCCCCCATGGCAGGAGAAAAAAATCCATCTTTTCTTTACCCCTAAGGTAAAAATACACATTGTTGAGTGTCACACCTATACGCTTTGTCATATTGACACAAAATTTGACAATCAAGTGTATCTCAATAAGATCTACGAAAAAGTCAATGCGCGCATATCTGTCAAATGTACGGTTAAAGGGCGATTTCGCATTTTTTGCAGATCCGCACACATTAGAATGTGGCTAACTCCTCCTAAAGCTTTCGTCCCATCGGCACCAAATTTGCTCAGGCCAATCTACACCCCATGGCCATTAAAAGTTATTCAAATCATGATGCTGCACCCCACGGTTTAGGTTCTAGGGGGCGCCAAAGATAACCCAAAAATCCACAGTCTTAAAAGTCTTAACTTTTTATTTTTGTCCTCACTGGCCTCCAAGTTTTCTAGGATAATGCAATGTTCAGCCATCAACACAATTGTGAAGGAATTTTTACTCCCCAAAAGAGCGCCCCCCCATGGCCGGAGAAAAGGTCAAGTTGTTCCTGCCCATCGCTCAATAGCTTAAACGCATCGCTCTCTCGGCAAAACCGAAAGGAGGAGCAACTTGCCATTTGGATATATCTTAGCTGTGTTTGTGCCCTCACTCATGTTCCAGACTTTTTTCAAATAGGACATGGAGTTTTTCTGCAGCGAGCGTTTTGGTAGAAACTGCGCCTCCCATTCATTATAATGGTAAATGACCACAGACAAGTGCGCACACCATCTTTGGACCTTGAGTGTGACGCGATCGGGAGGGGTAGGCGGTCGAGCTGGGGGCGGCGCGACACGGCTCGGGCCCGCCAGTGCCCCAACGGGGCCCTAGTTATTAGGGCCCGAGCGTAGCTGCTAAGCAGCTGCGAGAGCCCTATTATTCCCCAAGTGGTTTTTCTTTGTTTCTTTCTTTCTTTCTTTCTTTCTTTCTTCTTTTTCCTCCCCTTTGAACTGGAAAATGGCCCACTTCCCACTGGCGAAAACTCATGAAATTTGGCAGGACGACCGGGCCTGGTGAAAAATTTGATATTCTGAAGTCGCCCAAACAATAAAATGCAAAATGGCTCCATAGCGCCCCCTAAGGTGGAAATTCACACTATTGATTGTCACGCCTGTACGCTTTGTCATATTGACACAAAAATTGACACACATATGTATCTCAATAAGATCTACAAAAAAGTCAGTGCGGCCGTATCTGTCAAAATTACGGTTAAAGGGTTATTTCGCATTTTTTGCCGATCCGCACACATTGGAATTTCGCTAACTCCTCCGAAGGCTTTCGTTCCACCGGCACCACATTTGCTCAGGCCAATCTACACCCCGTGGCCATTAAAAGTTATCAAAATCATGACGCTGCACCCCACGGTTTAGGTTCTAGGGGGCGCCAAAGATAACACTAAAATCCACATATTTAAAAGTCTTATAACTTTTTATTTTTGTCCTCACTGGCCTCCAAGTTTTCTAGGATGATGCAATGTCCAGCCATCAACACATTTGTGAAGGAATTTTTACTCCCCAAAAGAGCGCCCCCCCATGGCAGGAGAAAAAAGTCCATTTTTTCTTGTCCCCTAAGGTGAAAATACACATTGTTGAGTGTCACGTCTATACGCTTTGTCAAAATGACACAAAAATTGACACACACATGTATCGCAATAAGATCTACGAAAAAGTCAATGCGTGCATATCTGTCAAATGTACGGTTAAAGGGTTATTCCGCATTTTTTGCCGATCCGCACACATTGGAATGTGGCTAACTCCTCCTAAGGCTTTCGTTCCACCGGCACCACATTTGCTCAGGCCAATCTACACCCCATGGCCATTAAAAGTTATTCAAATCATGACGCTGCACCCCACGGTTTAGGTTCTAGGGGGCGCCAAAGATAACCCTAAAATCCACATATTTAAAAGTCTTATAACTTTTTATTTTTGTCCTCACTGGCCTCCAAGTTTTCTAGGATGATGCAATGTCCAGCCATCAACACATTTGTGAAGGAATTTTTACTCCCCAAAAGAGCGCCCCCCCATGGCAGGAGAAAAAAGTCCATTTTTTCTTGTCCCCTAAGGTGAAAATACATATTGTTGAGATTCACGCCTATACGCTTTGTCATATTGACACAAAATTTGACAATCACGTGCCTTGCCTGGTATCATTTTTTTCAGCACAACCTCACCTGTGCGAATTTACAGTTATTTTATCATGTTGACATACTGAATTTACACAATGGACCCAAATTCACACACAAAACATAAAATCCGAGTGGAAAAAAGTAACATTTTTACTGTGAAAACCACAAATATGTGTGATGAACTGTTTTTAAAACTTAAACTTCAAATAAAAATTGTAAACTTCAAAACATATGCAAATTTTTAACAAAGAACATAGTGATTTACCTCTATTTACATCAAAATGCAGGCAATGGCCCAGGCGTTCTTTGTAAAATTATTTACAAAACACTGTATAGTCTCACAAATGTCACTTTTTATTTATGCCACTACAAAAAAACATGATGTAAATGATGCATGATGTAAAAAACTTGTGTAGATCCTCCTCTATGTCAGTCCATGTGTAATTTTTCCATAATTCTTTGTTTTTTGCAGCATTTTTGTTAGTGTAACTGCAGATTGTGCTGACAGTGTCTATGGCACAAAAAAAAAAAAAATTAAAATGCCTCAACATGAACCCCTGGTGGTCTCTGAGGGTGAAACCTGCTAACTGCTGCAGCTCTGTCAGCTTCAGTCTCCCATGCAGAGCTCTGAGCGCATGTGTGGCTCTGCACCCTTAGCAGCGTTGCTAACTCCTCAGTAAGGAAAGCCTGCTTCATGTCAGAGTCTCTAAACTCCAGAAGAAGTCGATAAAAGTCCCTTTCTTTCTAAAAAAAAGTCGTTAGGGGGTCTGAAAAGTCATTGAATCTAACAACAAAGTCGCTAGGTTTGCAACTACGTGTCCCAGACTGCATCCCTGCTGAGAGTCCCTCCCTCGCTTCTCATGTTGCAGGAAGAACGTAAGTGCCCGCCCCTTGTCAATCAGTCACCATATAATTTTGGATTGGTTGTTGTGGTGAAGTTTTCCACCAATTGGAGAGATGTTGTGGTGTGTTTTTTTTTTCTTTTGGCAAGCCTTTTCCGCCTGTAAGACCTGTCGCTAATGTCTGCATGCTATGTTTTCCTGTCTCATACAGCGCGATCGAGCGCCGAACGTGATCAAAATAAGCAGAAAAAAAGTATCGCGGACATAATTTATCATAACTCTGGTTTTATTTGGCCTATCAACACAATTTAAAAACTGGTATATAGGTTGAGGTCCTCACTTTTGAGATAAGTTGAAACGGAGAGTCAACTAGGCTCCGTCTTGCAGCTACATCCGGTTAAATATGTCATGTGACTTGAACGCACACACAGACACACACACACACGCACACACACACACACACACACACACACACACACACTCAGAGTCTGGTTTTTAGCACCTGCAAAAACATGCTATTTACATATTTGACAAGAATGCAGAGGCTCCTTTTGCCCCTGAAAAAAATCAAATTTCAAACACAACTTGACTGGTCATTTCTCCAAAAGACAACCATGAAGCTCCATCCAAACCTGAAGCAGGCAGTTGGTGCATGTGTACAGTAACCTGAGGGGAGTGAGGTGAGTGCTTCTGAGGAGAACATGAGCAGTGAAGATTCACCTTGGAGCTAGAACAGAGACATGCACATGATTATACAGGGGCAGGGGCTCAAGTTTTTTCCAGTCGTTTATACAATATGGAAATTAATGTGAAATTAAAACACAAAGTATTAATAGAAAGGTAATGACTGTCCTGTGTAGGTGACAGTGATATCCAATTGGCTAGGCACTCACGAGGCTGGCTGTGGCAAGTGTAAGTGAAAGCAACACGCGCTGGCAGGAAGAACAGCAAACGCCGATGAAGGAAAAGGGTCTTTGCAGTGATGGGCGTTACCAGAGAGGGCGATGGCAAGAGGACACAAATGGGACGGGGAGGCAGCACGTTGGGGGGGGGACGCGACACGGCTCGGGCCCGCCAGTGCCCCAACGGGGTCCTAGTTATTATTTTTCCTCCCCTTTGAACTGGAAAATGGCCCACTTCCCACTGGCGAAAACTCATGAAATTTGGCAGGACGACCGGGCCTGGTGAAAAATTTGATATTCCAAAGTCGCCCAAACAAGAAAATGCAAAATGGCTCCATAGCGCCCCCTAAGGTGAAAATTCACACTATTGACTGTCACGCCTGTACGCTTTGTCAAAATGACACAAAAATTGACACACACATGTATCTCAATAAGATCTATGAAAAAGGCAGTGCGGGCGTATCTGTCAAATGTACGGTTAAAGGGTTATTTCGCATTTTTTGCCGATCCGCACACATTGGAATTTCGCTAACTCCTCCGAAGGCTTTCGTTCCACCGGCACCACATTTGCTCAGGCCAATCTACACCCCATGGCCATTAAAAGTTATTCAAATCATGACGCTGCACCCCACGGTTTAGGTTCTAGGGGGCGCCAAAGATAACCCTAAGATCCACATATTTAAAAGTCTTATAACTTTTTATTTTTGCCCTCACTGGCCTCCAAGTTTTCTAGGATGATGCAATGTCCAGCCATCAACACATTTGTGAAGGAATTTTTACTCCCCAAAAGAGCGCCCCCCCATGGCAGGAGAAAAAAGTCAATTTTTTTTTGTCCCCTAAGGTGAAAATACACATTGTTGAGTGTAACACCTGTACGCTTTGGCAAAATGACACAAAAATTGACACACACATGTATCTCAATAAGATCTATGAAAAAGTCAATGTGCGCGTATCTGTCAAATGTACGGTTAAAGGGTTATTCCGCATTTTTTGCCGATCCGCACACATTGGAATTTCGCTAACTCCTCCGAAGGCTTTCGTTCCACCGGCACCACATTTGCTCAGGCCAATCTACACCCCATGGCCATTAAAAGTTATTCAAATCATGACGCTGCACCCCACGGTTTAGGTTCTAGGGGGCGCCAAAGATAACCCTAAAATCCACATATTTAAGAGTCTTATAACTTTTTATTTTTGTCCCCACTGGCCTCCAAGTTTTCTAGGATGATGCAATGTCCAGCCATCAACACATTTGTGAAGGAATTTTTACTCGCCAAAAGAGCGCCCCCCCATGGCAGGAGAAAAAAGTCCATTTTTTCTTGTCCACTAAGGTGAAAATACACATTGTTGAGTGCTACGCCTGTATGTTTTGTCGTATTGACACAAAATTTTACATACACGTGTATTTCAATAAGATCTTCGAAAAAGTCAATGGCCACGTATCTGTAAAATGTACGGTTAAAGGGTTATTTCGCATTTTTTGCAGATTCGCACACATTGGAATTTCGCTAACTCCTCCGAAGGCTTTCGTTCCACCGGCACCACATTTGCTCAGGCCAATCTACACCCCATGGCCATTAAAAGTTATTCAAATCATGACGCTGCACCCCACGGTTTAGGTTCTAGGGGGCGCCAAAGATAACCCTAAAATCCACATATTTAAAAGTCTTATAACTTTTTATTTTTGTCCCCACTGGCCTCCAAGTTTTCTAGGATGATGCAATGTCCAGCCATCAACACATTTGTGAAGGAATTTTTACTCGCCAAAAGAGCGCCCCCCCATGGCAGGAGAAAAAAGTCCATTTTTTCTTGTCCACTAAGGTGAAAATACACATTGTTGAGTGCTACGCCTGTATGTTTTGTCGTATTGACACAAAATTTTACATACACGTGTATTTCAATAAGATCTTCGAAAAAGTCAATGGCCACGTATCTGTAAAATGTACGGTTAAAGGGTTATTTCGCATTTTTTGCAGATTCGCACACATTGGAATTTCGCTAACTCCTCCGAAGGCTTTCGTTCCACCGGCACCACATTTGCTCAGGCCAATCTACACCCCATGGCCATTAAAAGTTATTCAAATCATGACGCTGCACCCCACGGTTTAGGTTCTAGGGGGCGCCAAAGATAACCCTAAAATCCACATATTTAAAAGTCTTATAACTTTTTATTTTTGTCCTCACTGGCCTCCATGTTTTCTAGGATGATGCAATGTCCAGCCATCAACACATTTGTGAAGGAGTTTTTTCTCGTTAAAAGAGCGCCCCCCCCCATGGCAGGAGAATAAAGTCAAGTTTTTCCTGTTCATCATTCAATGGCTCAAACGCACTGCTCTCTCGGCAAAAGCGAAAGGAGGAGCAACTTGCCATTTGGATATATCTTAGCTGTGTTTGTGCCCTCACTCATGGTCCAGACTTTTTTCAAATAGGACATGGAGTTTTTCTGCAGCGAACGTTTTGGTAGAAACTGCGCCTCCCGTTCATTATAATGGTAAATGACCACAAACAAGTGCGCACACCATCTTTGGACCTTGAGTGTGACGCGATCGGGTGGGGGAGGCGGTCGCGCTTGGGGCGGCGTGACACGGCTCGGGCCCGCCAGTGCCCCAACGGGGCCCTAGTTCTTTCTTTCTTTCTTCTTTTTCCTCCCCTTTGAACTGGAAAATGGCCCACTTCCCACTGGCGAAAACTCATGAAATTTGGCAGGACGACCGGGCCTGGTGAAAAATTCGATATTCTGAAGTCGCCCAAACAATAAAATGCAAAATGGCTCCATAGCGCCCCCTAAGGTGGAAATTCACACTATTGACTGTCACGCCTGTACGCTTTGTCATATTGACACAAAAATTGACACACATATGTATCTCAATAAGATCTACAAAAAAGTCAGTGCAGCCGTATCTGTCAAAATTACGGTTAAAGGGTTATTTCGCATTTTTTGCAGATCCGCACACATTGGAATTTCGCTAACTCCTCCGAAGGCTTTCGTTCCACCGGCACCACATTTGCTCAGGCCAATCTACACCCCGTGGCCATTAAAAGTTATCAAAATCATGACGCTGCACCCCAAGGTTTAGGTCCTAGGGGGCGCCAAAGATAACACTAAAATCCACATATTTAAAAGTCTTATAACTTTTTATTTTTGTCCTCACTGGCCTCCAAGTTTTCTAGGATGATGCAATGTCCAGCCATCAACACATTTGTGAAGGAATTTTTACTCCCCAAAAGAGCGCCCCCCCATGGCAGAAGAAAAAAGTCCATTTTTTCTTGTCCCCTAAGGTGAAAATACACATTGTTGAGTGTCACGCCTATACGCTTTGTCAAAATGACACAAAAATTGACACACACATGTAACTCAATAAGATCTACGAAAAAGTCAATGCGCGCGTATCTGTCAAATGTACGGTTAAAGGGTTATTCCGCATTTTTTGCCGATCCGCACACATTGGAATGTGGCTAACTCCTCCGAAGGCTTTCGTTCCACCGGCACCACATTTGCTCAGGCCAATCTACACCCCATGGCCATTAAAAGTTATTCAAATCATGAAGCTGCACCCCACGGTTTAGGTTCTAGGGGGCGCCAAAAATAACCCTAAAATCCACATATTTAAAAGTCTTATAACTTTTTATTTTTGTCCTCACTGGCCTCCAAGTTTTCTAGGATGATGCAATGTCCAGCCATCAACACATTTGTGAAGGAATTTTTACTCCCCAAAAGAGCGCCCCCCCATGGCAGGAGAAAAAAGTCCATTTTTTCTTGTCCCCTAAGGTGAAAATACACATTGTTGAGTGTCACGCCTGTATGCTTTGGCAAAATGACACAAAAATTGACACACACATGTATCTCAATAAGATCTACAAAAAAGTCTATGCGCGCGTATCTGTCAAATGTACGGTTAAAGGGTTATTCCGCATTTTTTGGCCAATACGCACACATTGGAATTTCGCTAACTCCTCCGAAGGCTTTCGTTCCACCGGCACCACATTTGCTCAGGCCAATCTACACCCCATGGCCATTAAAAGTTATTCAAATTATGATGCTGCACCCCACGGTCTAGGTTCTAGGGGGCGCCAAATATAACCCTAAAATCCACATATTTAAAAGTCTTATAACTTTTTATTTTTGTCCTCACTGGCCTCCAAGTTTTCTAGGATGATGCAATGTCCAGCCATCAACACATTTGTGAAGGAATTTTTACTCCCCAAAAGAGCGCCCCCCCATGGCAGGAGAAAAAAGTCATTTTTTTCTTGTCCCCTAAGGTGAAAATTCACATTGTTGAGTGTGACACCTGTACGCTTTGTCAAAATGACACAAAAATTGACACACACATGTATCTCAATAAGATCTACGAAAAAGGAGGAGGAGCAACCTGCCATTTGGATATATCCTAGCTGTGTTTGTGCCCTCACTCATGGTCCAGACTTTTTTCAAATAGGACATGTAGTTTGTCTGCAGTGAGTGTTTTGGTAGAAACTGCGCCTCCCATTCATTATAATGATAAATGACCACAGACAAGTGCGCACACCATCTTTGGACCTTGAGTGTGACGCGATCGGGAGGGGGAGGCGGTCGCGCTGGGGGCGGCGCGACGCGGCTCGGGCCCGACAGTGCCCCACCGGGGCCCTAGTTATTTTTCCTCCCCTTTAAACTGGAAAATGGCCCACTTCCCACTGGCGAAAACTCAGGAAATTTGGCAGGACGACCGGGCCTGGTGAAAAATTCGATATTCTGAAGTCGCCCAAACAATACAATGCAAAATGGCTCCATAGCGCCCCCTAAGGTGAAAAATTCACCTGACGCCTGTACGCTTTGTCAAAATTACACAAAAATTGACACACACATGTATCTCAATAAGATCTACAAAAAAGTCAGTGCAGGCGTATCTGTCAAATGTACGGTTAAAGGGTTATTGCGCATTTTTTGCCGATCCGCACACATTGGAATTTCGCTAACTCCTCCGAAGGCTTTCGTTCCACCGGCACCACATTTGCTCAGGCCAATCTACACCCCATGGCCATTAAAAGTTATTCAAATCATGACGCTGCACCCCACGGTTTAGGTTCTAGGGGGCGCCAAAGATAACCCTAAAATCCACATATTTAAAAGTCTTATAACTTTTTATTTTTGCCCTCACTGGCCTCCAAGTTTTCTAGGATGATGCAATGTCCAGCCATCAACACATTTGTGAAGGAATTTTTACTCCCCAAAAGAGCGCCCCCCCATGGCAGGAGAAAAAAGTCCATTTTTTCTTGTCCCATAAGGTGAAAATTCACACTATTGACTGTCACGCCTGTACGCTTTGTCAAAATTACACAAAAATTGACACACACATGTATCTCAATAAGATCTACAAAAAAGTCAGTGCGGGCGTATCTGTCAAATGTACGGTTAAAGGGTTATTGCGCATTTTTTGCCGATCCGCACACATTGGAATTTCGCTAACTCCTCCGAAGGCTTTCGTTCCACCGGCACCACATTTGCTCAGGCCAATCTACACCCCATGGCCATTAAAAGTTATTCAAATCATGACGCTGCACCCCACGGTTTAGGTTCTAGGGGGCGCCAAAGATAACCCTAAAATCCACATATTTAAAAGTCTTATAACTTTTTATTTTTGTCCTCTCTGGCCTCCAAGTTTTCTAGGATGATGCAATGTCCAGCCATCAACACATTTGTGAAGGAATTTTTACTCCCCAAAAGAGCGCCCCCCCATGGCAGGAGAAAAAAGTCCATTTTTTCTTGTCCCATAAGGTGAAAATACACATTGTTGACTGTCATACCTGTATGCTTTGTCATATTGACACAAAATTTGACACACACATGTATCTCAATAAGATCTACGAAAAAGTCAATGCGCGCGTATCTGTAAAATGTACGGTTAAAGGGCTATTTTGCATTTTTTGCCGATTAGCACACATTGGAATGTGGCTAACTCCTCCTAAGGCTTTCGTCCCACCAACACCAAATTTGCTCAAGCCGATCTACATCCCATGGCCATTCAAAGTTGTAGAAATCATGACGCTGCTCCCCACGGTTTACGTTCTAGGGGGCGCCAAAGATGACCCAAATATCCACATTCTTAAAAGAATCCACATCGCCCCCCCCCCAAGGCAGGAGAAAAAGTCAAGTTAACCCTGCCCATCGGTCAATGGCTCAATCGCATCGCTCTCCCAGCAACACCGTAAGGAGGAGCAACTTGCCATTTGGATATATCCTAGCTGTGTTTGTGCCCTCACTCATGGTCCAGACTTTTTTCAAATAGGACATGTAGTTTGTCTGCAGCGAGTGTTTTGGTAGAAACTGCGCCTCCCATTCATTATAATGGGAAATGACCACAGACAAGTGCGCACACCATCTTTGGACCTTGAGTGTGACGCGATCGGGAGGGGGAGGCGGTCGCGCTGGGGGCGGCGCGACGCGGCTCGGGCCCGACAGTGCCCCACCGGGGCCCTAGTTCTTTCTTTCTTTCTTCTTTTTCCTCCCCTTTGAACTGGAAAATGGCCCACTTCCCACTGGCGAAAACTCATGAAATTTGGCAGGACGACCGGGCCTGGTGAAAAATTCGATATTCTGAAGTCGCCCAAACAATAAAATGCAAAATGGCTCCATAGCGCCCCCTAAGGTGGAAATTCACACTATTGACTGTCACGCCTGTACGCTTTGTCATATTGACACAAAAATTGACACACATATGTATCTCAATAAGATCTACAAAAAAGTCAGTGCGGCCGTATCTGTCAAATGTACGGTTAAAGGGTTATTTCGCATTTTTTTCCGATCCGCACACATTGGAATTTCGCTAACTCCTCCGAAGGCTTTCGTTCCACCGGCACCACATTTGCTCAGGCCAATCTACACCCCGTGGCCATTAAAAGTTATCAAAATCATGACGCTGCACCCCAAGGTTTAGGTTCTAGGGGGCGCCAAAGATAACACTAAAATCCACATATTTAAAAGTCTTATAACTTTTTATTTTTGTCCTCACTGGCCTCCAAGTTTTCTAGGATGATGCAATGTCCAGCCATCAACACATTTGTGAAGGAATTTTTACTCCCCAAAAGAGCGCCCCCCCATGGCAGGAGAAAAAAGTCCATTTTTTCTTGTCCCCTAAGGTGAAAATACACATTGTTGAGTGTCACGCCTATACGCTTTGTCAAATTGACACAAAAATTGACACACACATGTATCTCAATAAGATCTACGAAAAAGTCAATGCGCGCGTATCTGTCAAATGTACGGTTAAAGGGTTATTCCGCATTTTTTGCCGATTCGCACACATTGGAATGTGGCTAACTCCTCCTAAGGCTTTCGTTCCACCGGCACCACATTTGCTCAGGCCAATCTACACCCCATGGCCATTAAAATTTATCAAAATCATGACGCTGCACCCCACGGTTTAGGTTCTAGGGGGCGCCAAAGATAACCCTAAAATCCACATATTTAAAAGTCTTATAACTTTTTATTTTTGTCCTCACTGGCCTCCAAGTTTTCTAGGATGATGCAATGTCCAGCCATCAACACATTTGTGAAGGAATTTTTACTCCCCAAAAGAGCGCCCCCCCATGGCAGGAGAAAAAAGTCCATTTTTTCTTGTCCCTTAAGGTGAAAATACATATTGTTGAGATTCACGCCTATACGCTTTGTCATATTGACACAAAATTTGACAATCACGTGCCTTGCCTGGTATCATTTTTTTCAGCACAACCTCACCTGTGCGAATTTACAGTTATTTTATCATGTTGACATACTGAATTTACACAATGGACCCAAATTCACACACAAAACATAAAATCCGAGTGGAAAAAAGTAACATTTTTACTGTGAAAACCACAAATATGTGTGATGAACTGTTTTCAAAACTTAAACTTCAAATAAAAATTGTAAACTTCAAAACATATGCAAATTTTTAACAAAGAACATAGTGATTTACCTCTATTTACATCAAAATGCAGGCAATGGCCCAGGCGTTCTTTGTAAAATTATTTACAAAACACTGTATAGTCTCACAAATGTCACTTTTTATTTATGCCACTACAAAAAAACATGATGTAAATGATGCATGATGTAAAACATGATGTAAAAAACTTGTGTAGATCCTCCTCTATGTCAGTCCATGTGTAATTTTTCCATAATTCTTTGTTTTTTGCAGCATTTTTGTTAGTGTAACTGCAGATTGTGCTGACAGTGTCTATGGCACAAAAAAAAAAAATTAAAATGCCTCAACATGAACCCCTGGTGGTCTCTGAGGGTGAAACCTGCTAACTGCTGCAGCTCTGTCAGCTTCAGTCTCCCATGCAGAGCTCTGAGCGCATGTGTGGCTCTGCACCCTTAGCAGCGTTGCTAACTCCTCAGTAAGGAAAGCCTGCTTCATGTCAGAGTCTCTAAACTCCAGAAGAAGTCGATAAAAGTCCCTTTCTTTCTAAAAAAAAGTCGTTAGGGGGTCTGAAAAGTCATTGAATCTAACAACAAAGTCGCTAGGTTTGCAACTACGTGTCCCAGACTGCATCCCTGCTGAGAGTCCCTCCCTCCCTTCTCATGTTGCAGGAAGAACGTAAGCGCCCGCCCCTTGTCAATCAGTCACCATATAATTTTGGATTGGTTGTTGTGGTGAAGTTTTCCACCAATAGGAGAGATGTTGTGGTGTGTTTTTTTTTTCTTTTGGCAAGCCTTTTCCGCCTGTAAGACCTGTCGCTAATGTCTGCATGCTATGTTTTCCTGTCTCATACAGCGCGATCGAGCGCCGAACGTGATCAAAATAAGCAGAAAAAAAGTATCGCGGACATAATTTATCATAACTCTGGTTTTATTTGGCCTATCAACACAATTTAAAAACTGGTATATAGGTTGAGGTCCTCACTTTTGAAATAAGTTGAAACGGAGAGTCAACGAGGCTCCGTCTTGCAGCTACATCCGGTTAAATATGTCATGTGACTTGAACGCACACACAGACACACACACACGCACACACACACACACACACACACACACACACACACACACACTCAGAGTCTGGTTTTTAGCACCTGCAAAAACATGCTATTTACATATTTGACAAGAATGCAGAGGCTCCTTTTGCCCCTGAAAAAAATCAAATTTCAAACACAACTTGACTGGTCATTTCTCCAAAAGACAACCATGAAGCTCCATCCAAACCTGAAGCAGGCAGTTGGTGCATGTGTACAGTAACCTGAGGGGAGTGAGGTGAGTGCTTCTGAGGAGAACATGAGCAGTGAAGATTCACCTTGGAGCTAGAACAGAGACATGCACATGATTATACAGGGGCAGGGGCTCAAGTTTTTTCCAGTCGTTTATACAATATGGAAATTAATGTGAAATTAAAACACAAAGTATTAATAGAAAGGTAATGACTGTCCTGTGTAGGTGACAGTGATATCGAATAGGCTAGGCACTCACGAGGCTGGCTGTGGCAAGTGTAAGTGAAAGCAACACGCACTGGCAGGAAGAACAGCAAACGCCGATGAAGGAAAAGGGTCTTTGCAGTGATGGGCGTTACCAGAGAGGGCGATGGCCAGAGGACACAAATGGGACGGGGAGGCAGCACGTTGGGGGGGGGGCGACACGGCTCGGGCCCGCCAGTGCCCCAACGGGGTCCTAGTTAGGGCCCGAGCGTAGCTGCTAAGCAGCTGCGAGAGCCCTCTTGTTCCTGATGGATTCTTCTTTTGTTATTATTATTATTTTTCCTCCGCTTTAAACTGGAAAATTGCCCACTTCCCACTGGCGAAAACTCATGAAATTTGGCAGGACGACCGGGCCTGGTGAAAAATTCGATATTCTGAAGTCGCCCAAACAAGAAAATGCAAAATGGCTCCATAGCGCCCCCTAAGGTGAAAATTCACACTATTGACTGTCACGCCTGTACGCTTTGTCATATTGACACAAAAATTGACACACACATGTATCTCAATAAGGTCTACAAAAAAGTCAGTGCGGGCGTATCTGTCAAATGTACGGTTAAAGGGTTATTTCGCATTTTTTGCCGTTCCGCACACATTGGAATTTCGCTAACTCCTCCGAAGGCTTTCGTTCCACCGGCACTACATTTGCTCAGGCCAATCTACACCCCATGGCCATTCAAAGTTGTACAAATCATGATGCTGCACCCCACGGTTTACGTTCTAGGGGGCGCCAAAGATAACCCACAAATCCACATTCTTAAAAATCTTATAACTTTATTTTTGTCCTCATTGGCCTCCAAGTTTTCTAGGATGATGCAATGTCCAGCCATCAACACATTTGTGAAGGAATTTTTACTCCCCAAAACAGCGCCCCCCCCCCCATGGCAGGACAAACAAGGCCATTTTTTCTTGTCCCCTAAGGTGAAAATACACATTGTTCAGTGTCACGCCTATACGCTTTGTCATATTGACACAAAATTTGACACACACGTGTATCTCAATAAGATCTACGAAAAAGTCAATGGGCACATATCTGTCAAATGTACGGTTAAAGGGTTATTTCGCATTTTTTGCCGTTCCGCACACATTGGAATTTCGCTAACTCCTCCGAAGGCTTTCGTTCCACCGGCACTACATTTGCTCAGGCCAATCTACACCCCATGGCCATTCAAAGTTGTACAAATCATGACGCTGCACCCCACGGTTTACGTTCTAGGGGGCGCCAAAGATAACCCACAAATCCACATTCTTAAAAATCTTATAACTTTTTATTTTTGTCCTCATTGGCCTCCAAGTTTTCTAGGATGATGCAATGTCCAGCCATCAACACATTTGTGAAGGAATTTTTACTCCCCAAAACAGCGCCCCCCCCATGGCAGGACAAACAAGGCCATTTTTTCTTGTCCCCTAAGGTGAAAATACACATTGTTCAGTGTCACGCCTATACGCTTTGTCATATTGACACAAAATTTGACACACACGTGTATCTCAATAAGATCTACGAAAAAGTCAATGGGCACATATCTGTAAAATGTACGGTTAAAGGGCTATCTTGCATTTTTTGCCGATTCGCACACATTGGAATGTGGCTAACTCCTCCTAAGGCTTTCGTTCTACTGACACCAAATTTGCTCAGGCCAATCTACACCCCATGGCCATTCAAAGTTGTACAAATCATGACGCTGCACCCCACGGTTTAGGTTCTAGGGGGCGCCAAAGATGACCCAAATATCCACATTTTTAAAAGTCTTATAACTTTTTATTTTTGTCCTCACTGGCCTCCAAGTTTTCTAGGATGATGCAATGTGCAGCCATCAACACATCTGTGAAGGAATTTTTTCTCCCCAAAAGAGCGCCCCCCCCCCCCCCCCATGGCAGGAGAAAAAGTCAAGTTTTTCCAGCCCATCGCTTAATGGCTCAAACGCATTGCTCTCCCGCTAAAACCAAAAGGAGGAGCAACTTGCCATTTGGATATGTCCTAGCTGTGTTTGTGCCCTCACTCATGGTCCAGAGTTTTTTCAAATAGGACATGTAGTTTGTCTGCAGCGAGTGTTTTGGTAGAAACTGTGCCTCCCATTCATTATAATGGGAAATGACCAAAGACAGGTGCGCACACCATCTTTGGACCTTGACTTTGACGTCACAGTTTGAGATACAAATGTAATCTGACCTCTGACCTTTGGTGGACACCCTAACCTTTCAACCCGCGAAAACGGCGTTTCAATAGCTCTTACGGCTTTCCTACAAATACACTTTGTTCAGCTACTCCTACTGTCCTTTAAGCTCTGCTTCTCAGATCATCAAAGAGTGTGCACGTGTGTAATGAGCGCATATTGAATGTTAATTATGTTAAATATGTTAATTATTAGAAGAAAAAACAACAACAGTCCTTTTGGACAAAATTTCTTTTTATTACAGAATTAGAATAATGGAAGCATACTCCAAGGAAACCATTCAAGTGATGTCATACCTCATAATTTATTGAGATGTTGGCTAGTCTGGGCATTTCTTCATTCATCAGGTTTCCTGCATGCATACTAACAGAGCACATCAGTAGCAGTGAGTGATAAGTATGAGTGTGTCATTGTGTAAGAAAGAAAGTGGTTTACTTACACATCCATAGAAAATAGGTGGTTGAGCACAGCACGCAAACAAAGCTTTGCCACAACGGTTGAACTTCCCAAGTAGCTGATACCAAGGTCACACAATCATGGTGAGCAAAGGTCAAACCAGGCCAGGCACTCACGAGGCTGGCTGTGGCAAGTGTAAGTGAAAGCAACACGCAATGGCAGGAAGAACAGCAAACACCGATGAAGGAAAAGGGTCTTTGCAGTGATGGGCGTCACCAGAGAGGGCGATGGCCAGAGGGCACGAATGGGACGGGGAGGCGGTCGCGCTGGGGGCGGCGCGACGCGGCTCGGGCCCGCCAGTGCCCCAACGGGGCCCTAGTTAGGGCCCGAGCGTAGCTGCTAAGCAGCTGCGAGAGCCCTCTTGTTCCTGATGGATTCTTCTTTCGTTATTTTTCCTCCGCTTTAAACTGGAAAATGGCCCACTTCCCACTGGCGAAAACTCAGGAAATTTGGCAGGACGACCGGGCCTGGTGAAAAATTTGATATTCTGAAGTCGCCCAAACAAAAAAATAAAAAATGGCTCCATAGCGCCCCCTATGGTGAAAACTCACCTGACGCCTGTACGCTTTGTCAAAATGACACAAAATTTGACACACATGTGTATCTCAATAAGATCTACAAAAAAGTCAGTGCGGGCGTATCTGTCAAATGTACGGTTAAAGGGCTATTTCGCATTTTTTGCCGATCCGCACACATTGGAATGTGGCTAACTCCTCCGAAGGCTTTCGTTCCACCGGCACCAAATTTGCTCAGGCCAATCTACACCCCATGGCCATTAAAAGTTGTACAAATCATGACGCTGCACCCCACGGTTTATGTTCTAGGGGGCGCCAAAGATAACCCAAAAATCCACATTCTTAAAAGTCTTATAACTTTTTATTTTTGTCCTCACTGGCCTCCAAGTTTTCTAGGATGATGCTATGTCCAGCCATCAACACATGTGTGAAGGAATTTTTACTCCCCAAAAGAGCGCCCCCCCATGGCAGGAGAAAAAAGTCAAGTTTTTCTTGTCCCCTAACATGAAAATACACATTGTTGAGTGTCACGCCTAAACGCTTTGTCATATTGACACAAAAATTGACACACACGTGTATCTCAATAAGATCTACGAAAAAGTCAAAGAGCGCGTATCTGTATAATGTACGGTTAAAGGTTTATTTCGCATTTTTTGCCGATCCGCACACATTGGAATGTGGCTAACTCCTCCGAAGGCTTTCGTTCCACCGGCACCAAATTTGCTCAGGCCAATCTACACCCCATGGCCATTAAAAGTTGTAAAAATCATGACGCTGCACCCCACGGTTTAGGTTCTAGGGGGCGCCAAAGATAACCCTAAAATCCAAATATTTAAAAGTCTTATAACTTTTTATTTTTGTCCTCACTGGCCTCCAAGTTTTCTAGGATGATGCAATGTCCAGCCATCAACACATTTGTGAAGGAATTTTTACTCCCCAAAAGAGCGCCCCCCCCATGGCAGGAGAAAAAAGTCAATTTTTTCTTGTCCCCTAAGGTGAAAATACACATTGTTGAGTGTCACGCCTGAACTCTTTGTCATATTGACACAAAAATTGACAATCATGTGTATCTCAATTAGATCTACGAAAAAGTCAAAGAGCGCGTATCTGTATAATGTACGGTAAAAGGGCTATTTTGCATTTTTTGCCGATTCGCACACATTGGAATTTCGCTAACTCCTCCGAAGGCTTTCGTCCCACTGACACCATAGTTGCTCAGGCCAATCTACAACCCATGGCCATTAAAAGTTGTACAAATCATGACGCTGCACCCCACGGTTTAGGTTCTAGGGGGCGCCAAAGATAACCCAAAAATCCACAGTCTTAAAAGTCTTATAACTTTTTATTTTTGTCCTCACTGGCCTCCAAGTTCTCTAGGATGATGCAATGTCCAGCCATCAACACATTTGTGAAGGAATTTTTACTCCCCAAAAGAGCGCCCCCCCATGGCAGGAGAAAAAAGTCCATTTTTTCTTGTCCCCTAAGGCGAAAATACACATTGTTGAATGTCACGCCTATACGCTTTGTCATATTGACACAAAATTTGACAATCACGTGCCTTGCCTGGTATCATTTTTTTTCAGCACAACCTCACCTGTGCGAATTTACAGTTATTTTATCATGTTGACATACTGAATTTACACAATGGACCCAAATTCACACACAAAACATAAAATCCGAGTGGAAAAAAGTAACATTTTTACTGTGAAAACCACAAATATGTGTGATGAACTGTTTTTAAAACTTAAACTTCAAATAAAAATTGTAAACTTCAAAACATATGCAAATTTTTAACAAAGAACATAGTGATTTACCTCTATTTACATCAAAATGCAGGCAATGGCCCAGGCGTTCTTTGTAAAATTATTTACAAAACACTGTATAGTCTCACAAATGTCACTTTTTATTTATGCCACTACAAAAAAACATGATGTAAATGATGCATGATGTAAAACATGATGTAAAAAACTTGTGTAGATCCTCCTCTATGTCAGTCCATGTGTAATTTTTCCATAATTCTTTGTTTTTTGCAGCATTTTTGTTAGTGTAACTGCAGATTGTGCTGACAGTGTCTATGGCACAAAAAAAAAAAAAAATTAAAATGCCTCAACATGAACCCCTGGTGGTCTCTGAGGGTGAAACCTGCTAACTGCTGCAGCTCTGTCAGCTTCAGTCTCCCATGCAGAGCTCTGAGCGCATGTGTGGCTCTGCACCCTTAGCAGCGTTGCTAACTCCTCAGTAAGGAAAGCCTGCTTCATGTCAGAGTCTCTAAACTCCAGAAGAAGTCGATAAAAGTCCCTTTCTTTCTAAAAAAAAGTCGTTAGGGGGTCTGAAAAGTCATTGAATCTAACAACAAAGTCGCTAGGTTTGCAACTACGTGTCCCAGACTGCATCCCTGCTGAGAGTCCCTCCCTCCCTTCTCATGTTGCAGGAAGAACGTAAGCGCCCGCCCCTTGTCAATCAGTCACCATATAATTTTGGATTGGTTGTTGTGGTGAAGTTTTCCACCAATAGGAGAGATGTTGTGGTGTGTTTTTTTTTTTCTTTTGGCAAACCTTTTCCGCCTGTAAGACCTGTCGCTAATGTCTGCATGCTATGTTTTCCTGTCTCATACAGCGCGATCGAGCGCCGAACGTGATCAAAATAAGCAGAAAAAAAGTATCGCGGACATAATTTATCATAACTCTGGTTTTATTTGGCCTATCAACACAATTTAAAAACTGGTATATAGGTTGAGGTCCTCACTTTTGAGATAAGTTGAAACGGAGAGTCAACGAGGCTCCGTCTTGCAGCTACATCCGGTTAAATATGTCATGTGACTTGAACGCACACACAGACACACACACACAGACACACACGCACACACACACACACACACACTCAGAGTCTGGTTTTTAGCACCTGCAAAAACATGCTATTTACATATTTGACAACAATGCAGAGGCTCCTTTTGCTACTGAAAAAAATCAAATTTCAAACACAACTTGACTGGTCATTTCTCCAAAAGACAACCATGAAGCTCCATCCAAACCTGAAGCAGGCAGTTGGTGCATGTGTACAGTAACCTGAGGGGAGTGAGGTGAGTGCTTCTGAGGAGAACATGAGCAGTGAAGATTCACCTTAGAGCTAGAACAGAGACCTGCACATGATTATACAGGGGCAGGGGCTCAAGTTTTTTCCAGTTGTTTATACAATATGGAAATTAATGTGAAATTAAAAAACAAAGTATTAATAGAAAGGTAATGACTGTCCTGTGTAGGTGACAGTGATATCCAATAGGCTAGGCACTCACGAGGCTGGCTGTGGCAAGTGTAAGTGAAAGCAACACGCACTGGCAGGAAGAACAGCAAACGCCGATGAAGGAAAAGGGTCTTTGCAGTGATGGGCGTTACCAGAGAGGGCGATGGCCAGAGGACACAAATGGGACGGGGAGGCAGCGCGTTGGGGGGGGACGCGACACAGCTCGGGCCCGCCAGTGCCCCAACGGGGTCCTAGTTAGGGCCCGAGCGTAGCTGCTAAGCAGCTGCGAGAGCCCTATTATTCCCCAAGTGGTTTTTCTTTGTTTCTTTCTTTCTTTCTTTCTTTCTTTCTTAGGGCCCGAGCGTAGCTGCTAAGCAGCTGCGAGAGCCCTCTTGTTCCTGATGGATTCTTCTTTTGTTATTAGGGCCCGAGCGTAACTGCTAAGCAGCTGCGAGAGCCCTCTTGTTCCTGCATGTTTCCTTCTTTCGTTAGGGCCCGAGCCAGCTGCAGAGCAGCCGGGCGTAGGCCCTATTATTCCCCAAGTGGTTTTTCTTTGTTTCTTACTTTCTTTTTTCTTTTTCCTCCCCTTTGAACTGGAAAATGGCCCACTTCCCACTGGCGAAAACTCATGAAATTTGGCAGGACGACCGGGCCTGGTGAAAAATTTGATATTCTGAAGTCGCCAAAACAATAAAATGCAAAATGGCTCCATAGCGCCCCCTAAGGTGAAAATTCACACTATTCACTGTCACGGCTGTACGCTTTGTCATATTGACACAAAAATTGACACACACATGTATCTCAATAAGATCTACAAAAAAGTCAGTGCGGGCGTATCTGTCAAATGTACGGTTAATGGGTTATTTTGCATTTTTTGCAGATCTGCACACATTGGAATTTCGCTAACTCCTCCGAAGGCTTTCGTTCCACCGGCACCACATTTGCTCAGGCCAATCTACACCCCATGGCCATTAAAAGTTATTCAAATCATGACGCTGCACCCCACGGTTTAGGTTCTAGGGGGCGCCAAAGATAACCCTAAAATCCACATATTTAAAAATCTTATAACTTTTTATTTTTGTCCTCATTGGCCTCCAAGTTTTCTAGGATGATGCAATGTCCAGCCATCAACACATCTGTGAAGGAATTTTTACTCCCCAAAAGAGCGCCCCCCCATGGCAGGAGAAAAAAGTCCATTTTTTCTTGACCCCTAAGGTGAAAATACACATTGTTGACTGTCACGCCTTTACGCTTTGGCAAAATGACACAAAAATTGACACACACATGTATCTCAATAAGATCTACAAAAAAGTCTATGAGCGCGTATCTGTCAAATGTACGGTTAAAGGGTTATTCCGCATTTTTTGCCGATCCGCACACATTGGAATGTGGCTAACTCCTCCTAAGGCTTTCGTTCCACCGGCAACACATTTGCTCAGGCCAATCTACACCCCATGGCCATTAAAAGTTATCAAAATCATGACGCTGCACCCCACGGTTTAGGTTCTAGGGGGCGCCAAAGATAACCCTAAAATCCACATATTTAAAAGTCTTGTAACTTTTTATTTTTGTCCTCACTGGCCTCCAAGTTTTCTAGGATGATGCAATGTCCAGCCATCAACACATTTGTGAAGGAATTTTTACTCCCCAAAAGAGCGCCCCCCCATGGCAGGAGAAAAAAGTCAATTTTTTCTTGTCCCCTAAGGTGAAAATACATATTGTTGAGATTCACGCCTATACGCTTTGTCATATTGACACAAAATTTGACAATCACGTGCCTTGCCTGGTATCATTTTTTTCAGCACAACCTCACCTGTGCGAATTTACAGTTATTTTATCATGTTGACATACTGAATTTACACAATGGACCCAAATTCACACACAAAACATAAAATCCGAGTGGAAAAAAGTAACATTTTTACTGTGAAAACCACAAATATGTGTGATGAACTGTTTTTAAAACTTAAACTTCAAATAAAAATTGTAAACTTCAAAACATATGCAAATTTTTAACAAAGAACATAGTGATTTACCTCTATTTACATCAAAATGCAGGCAATGGCCCAGGCGTTCTTTGTAAAATTATTTACAAAACACTGTATAGTCTCACAAATGTCACTTTTTATTTATGCCACTACAAAAAAACATGATGTAAATGATGCATGATGTAAAACATGATGTAAAAAACTAGATCCTCCTCTATGTCAGTCCATGTGTAATTTTTCCATAATTCTTTGTTTTTTGCAGCATTTTTGTTAGTGTAACTGCAGATTGTGCTGACAGTGTCTATGGCACAAAAAAAAAAAAAATTAAAATGCCTCAACATGAACCCCTGGTGGTCTCTGAGGGTGAAACCTGCTAACTGCTGCAGCTCTGTCAGCTTCAGTCTCCCATGCAGAGCTCTGAGCGCATGTGTGGCTCTGCACCCTTAGCAGCGTTGCTAACTCCTCAGTAAGGAAAGCCTGCTTCATGTCAGAGTCTCTAAACTCCAGAAGAAGTCGATAAAAGTCCCTTTCTTTCTAAAAAAAAAGTCGTTAGGGGGTCTGAAAAGTCATTGAATCTAACAACAAAGTCGCTAGGTTTGCAACTACGTGTCCCAGACTGCATCCCTGCTGAGAGTCCCTCCCTCGCTTCTCATGTTGCAGGAAGAACGTAAGCACCCGCCCCTTGTCAATCAGTCACCATATAATTTTGGATTGGTTGTTGTGGTGAAGTTTTCCACCAATAGGAGAGATGTTGTGGTGTGTTTTTTTTTTCTTTTGGCAAGCCTTTTCCGCCTGTAAGACCTGTCGCTAATGTCTGCATGCTATGTTTTCCTGTCTCATACAGCGCGATCGAGCGCCGAACGTGATCAAAATAAGCAGAAAAAAAGTATCGCGGACATAATTTATCATAACTCTGGTTTTATTTGGCCTATCAACACAATTTAAAAACTGGTATATAGGTTGAGGTCCTCACTTTTGAGATAAGTTGAAACGGAGAGTCAACGAGGCTCCGTCTTGCAGCTACATCCGGTTAAATATGTCATGTGACTTGAACGCACACACAGACACACACACACGCACACACACACACACACACTCAGAGTCTGGTTTTTAGCACCTGCAAAAACATGCTATTTACATATTTGACAAGAATGCAGAGGCTCCTTTTGCCCCTGAAAAAAATCAAATTTCAAACACAACTTGACTGGTCATTTCTCCAAAAGACAACCATGAAGCTCCATCCAAACCTGAAGCAGGCAGTTGGTGCATGTGTACAGTAACCTGAGGGGAGTGAGGTGACTGATTCTGAGGAGAACATGAGCAGTGAAGATTCACCTTAGAGCTAGAACAGGGACGTGCACATGATTATACAGGGGCAGGGGCTCAAGTTTTTTCCAGTCGTTTATACAATATGGAAATTAATGTGAAATTAAAACACAAAGTATTAATAGAAAGGTAATGACTGTCCTGTGTAGGTGACAGTGATATCCAATAGGCTAGGCACTCACGAGGCTGGCTGTGGCAAGTGTAAGTGAAAGCAACACGCACTGGCAAGAAGAACAGCAAACGCCGATGAAGGAAAAGGGTCTTTGCAGTGATGGGCGTAACCAGAGAGGGCGATGGCCAGAGGACACAAATGGGACGGGGAGGCAGCACGTTGGGGGGGGGGGGACGCGACACGGCTCGGGCCCGCCAGTGCCCCAACGGGGTCCTAGTTATTATTTTTCCTCCGCTTTAAACTGGAAAATGGCCCACTTCCCACTGGTGAAAACTCAGGAAATTTGGCAGGAAGACCGGGCCTGGTGAAAAATTCGATATTCTGAAGTCGCCCAAACAAAAAAATGAAAAATGGCTCCATAGCGCCCCCTATGGTGAAAATTCACCTGACGCCTGTACGCTTTGTCAAAATGACACAAAATTTGACACACATGTGTATCTCAATAAGACCTACAAAAAAGTCAGTGCGGGCGTATCTGTCAAATGTACCGTTAAAGGGCTATTTCGCATTTTTTGCCGATCCGCACACATTGGAATTTCGCTAACTCCTCCGAAGGCTTTCGTTCCACTGGCACCAAATTTGCTCAGGCCAATCTACACCCCATGGCCATCAAAAGTTGTACAAATCATGACGCTGCACCCCACGGTTTACGTTCTAGGGGGCGCCAAAGATAACCCAAAAATCCACATTCTTAAAAGTCTTATAACTTTTTATTTTTGTCCTCACTGGCCTCCAAGTTTTCTAGGATGATGCAATGTCCAGCCATCAACACATTTGTGAAGGAATTTTTACTCGCCAAAAGAGCGCCCCCCACCCATGGCAGGAGAAAAAAGTCCATTTTTTCTTGTCCACTAAGGTGAAAATACACATTGTTGAGTGCTACGCCTGTATGTTTTGTCGTATTGACACAAAATTTTACATACACGTGTATTTCAATAAGATCTTCGAAAAAGTCAATGGCCACGTATCTGTAAAATGTACGGTTTCGCATTTTTTGCAGATTCGCACACATTGGAATTTCGCTAACTCCTCCGAAGGCTTTCGTTCCACCGGCACCACATTTGCTCAGGCCAATCTACACCCCATGGCCATTAAAAGTTATTCAAATCATGACGCTGCACCCCACGGTTTAGGTTCTAGGGGGCGCCAAAGATAACCCAAAAATCCACATTCTTAAAAGTCTTATAACTTTTTATTTTTGTCCTCACTGGCCTCCATGTTTTCTAGGATGATGCAATGTCCAGCCATCAACACATTTGTGAAGGAGTTTTTTCTCGTTAAAAGAGCGCCCCCCCATGGCAGGAGAATAAAGTCAAGTTTTTCCTGTTCATCATTCAATGGCTCAAACGCACTGCTCTCTCGGCAAAAGCGAAAGGAGGAGCAACTTGCCATTTGGATATATCTTAGCTGTGTTTGTGCCCTCACTCATGGTCCAGACTTTTTTCAAATAGGACATGGAGTTTTTCTGCAGCGAGCGTTTTGGTAGAAACTGCGCCTCCCGTTCATTATAATGGTAAATGACCACAAACAAGTGCGCACACCATCTTTGGACCTTGAGTGTGACGCGATCGGGTGGGGGAGGCGGTCGCGCTGGGGGCGGCGTGACACGGCTCGGGCCCGCCAGTGCCCCAACGGGGCCCTAGTTATTAGGGCCCGAGCGTAGCTGCTAAGCAGCTGCGAGAGCCCTCTTGTTCCTGATGGATTCTTCTTTCGTTATTTTTCCTCCGCTTTAAACTGGAAAATGGCCCACTTCCCACTGGCGAAAACTCAGGAAATTTGGCAGGACGACCGGGCCTGGTGAAAAATTTGATATTCTGAAGTCGCCCAAATAAAAAAATGAAAAATGGCTCCATAGCGCCCCCTATGGTGAAAATTCACCTGACGCCTGTACGCTTTGTCAAATTGACACAAAATTTGACACACATGTGTATCTCAATAAGACCTACAAAAAAGTCAGTGCGGGCGTATCTGTCAAATGTACCGTTAAAGGGCTATTTTGCATTTTTTGCCGATCCGCACACATTGGAATTTCGCTAACTCCTCCGAAGGCTTTCGTTCCACCGGCACCAAATTTGCTCAGGCCAATCTACACCCCATGGCCATTAAAAGTTGTACAAATCATGACGCTGCACCCCACGGTTTACGTTCTAGGGGGCGCCAAAGATAACCCAAAAATCCACATTCTTAAAAGTCTTATAACTTTTTATTTTTGTCCTCACTGGCCTCCAAGTTTTCTAGGATGATGCAATGTCCAGCCATCAACACATTTGTGAAGGAATTTTTACTCCCCAAAAGAGCGCCCCCCCATGGCAGGTGAAAAAAGTCCATTTTTTCTTGTCCCCTAACATGAAAATACACATTGTAGAGTGTCACGCCTGAACGCTTTGTCATATTGACACAAAATTTGACAATCACGTGTATCTCAATAAGATCTACGAAAAAGTCAAAGAGCGCGTATCTGTATAATGTATGGTTAAAGGGCTATTTCGCATTTTTTCCCGATCCGCACACATTGGAATTTCGCTAACTCCTCCTAAGGCTTTCGTCCCACCAACACCAAATTTGCTCAAGCCGATCTACATCCTATGGCCATTCAAAGTTGTAAAAATCATGACGCTGCACCCCACGGTTTACGTTCTAGGGGGCGCCAAAGATGACCCAAAAATCCACATTCTTAAAAGTCATTTTGGCCACTGCAGGAGTACAGAGTACTGCAGTTCTAGGGGGCGCCAAAGATGACCCAAAAATCCACATTCTTAAAAGTCTTTTTGGCCACTGCAGGAGTACAGAGTACTGCAGGATACACACACACACACACACACACACACACACACACACACACACACACACACACACACACACACACTCAGAGTCTGTTTTTTAGCACCTGCAAAAACATGCTGTTTACATATTTGACAAGAATGCAGAGGCTTCCTTTTGCCCCTGAAAAAAATCAGATTTCAAACACAACTTGACTGTTCATTTCTCCAAAAGACAACCATGAAGCTCCATCCAAACCTGAAGCAGATAGTTGGTGCATGTGTACAGTAACCTGAGGGGAGTGAGGTGACTATTTCTGAGGAGAACATGAGCAGTGAAGATTCACCTTGGAGCTAGAACAGGGACGTGCACATGATAATACAGGGGCAGGGGCTCAAGATTTTTCCAGTCATTTATACAATATGGAAATTAATGTGAAATTAAAACACAAATATGTGTGATGAACTGTTTTTAAAACTTAAACTTCAAATAAAAATTGTAAACTTCAAAACATATGCAAATTTTTAACAAAGAACATAGTAATTTACCTCTATTTACATCAAAATGCAGGCAATGGCCCAGGCGTTCTTTGTAAAATTATTTACAAAACACTGTATAGTCTCACAAATGTCACTTTTTATTTATGCCACTACAAAAAAACATGATGTAAATGATGCATGATGTAAAACATGATGTAAAAAACTTGTGTAGATCCTCCTCTATGTCAGTCCATGTGTAATTTTTCCATAATTCTTTGTTTTTTGCAGCATTTTTGTTAGTGTAACTGCAGATTGTGCTGACAGTCTATGGCAAAAAAAACAAAAACTGAAAATGCCTCAACATGAACCCCTGGTGGTCTCTGAGGGTGAAACCTGCTAACTGCTGCAGCTCTGTCAGCTTCAGTCTCCCATGCAGAGCTCGGAGCGCATGTGTGGCTCTGCACCCTTAGCAGCGTTGCTAACTCCTCAGTAAGGAAAGCCTGCTTCATGTCAGAGTCTCTAAACTCCAGAAGAAGTCGATAAAAGTCCCTTTCTTTCTAAAAAAAAGTCGTTAGGGGGTCTGAAAAGTAATTGAATCTAACAACACAGTCGCTAGGTTTGCAACTACGTGTCCCAGACTGCATCCCTGCTGAGAGTCCCTCCCTCCCTTCTCATATTGCAGGAAGAACGTAAGCGCCCGCCCCTTGTCAATCAGTCACCATATAATTTTGGATTGGTTGTTGTGGTGAAGTTTTCCACCAATAGGAGAGATGTTGTGGTGTTTTTTTTTTTCTTTTGGCAAGCCTTTTCCGCCTGTAAGACCTGTCGCTAATGTCTGCATGCTATGTTTTCCTGTCTCATACAGCGCAATCGAGCACCGAACGTGATCAAAATAAGCAGAAAAAAAGTATCGCGGACATAATTTATCATAACTCTGGTTTTATTTGGCCTATCAACACAATTTAAAAACTGGTATATAGGTTGAGGTCCTCACTTTTGAGATAAGTTGAAACGGAGAGTTAACGAGGCTCCGTCTTGCAGCTACATCCGGTTAAATATGTCATGTGACTTGAACGCTGGGGAGCGTCAATCGAATCGAATCAAACCTAACTCTCAGATGAATCTTCAAAATTCACCTCAGAAATATGCTTATTATTCTTCTCAGAGTACTGCAGGATACACACACACACACACACAGACACACACGCACACACACACACACACACACACACACACACACACACACACACACACTCAGAGTCTGTTTTTTAGCACCTGCAAAAACATGCTATTTACATATTTGACAAGAATGCAGAGGCTTCCTTTTGCCCCTGAAAAAAATCAAATTTCAAACACAACTTGACTGCTCATTTCTCCAAAAGACAACCATGAAGCTCCATCCAAACCTGAAGCAGGCAGTTGGTGCATGTGTACAGTAACCTGAGGGGAGTGAGGTGACTGCTTCTGAGGAGAACATGAGCAGTGAAGATTCACCTTGGAGCTAGAACAGGGACGTGCACATGATAATACAGGGGCAGGGGCTCAAGTTTTTTCCAGTCGTTTATACAATATGGAAATTAATGTGAAATTAAAAAACAAAGTATGACTGTCCTGTGTAGGTGACAGTGATATCCAATAGGCTAGGCACTCACGAGGCTGGCTGTGGCAAGTGTAAGTGAAAGCAACACACACTGGCAGGAAGAACAGCAAACGCCGATGAAGGAAAAGGGTCTTTGCAGTGATGGGCGTTACCAGAGAGGGCGATGGCCAGAGGACACGAATGGGACGGGGAGGCAGCGCGTTGGGGGGGGGGGGGGGGGTGCGACACGGCTCGGGCCCGCCAGTGCCCCAACGGGGCCCTAGTTATTATTTTTCCTCCGCTTTAAACTGGAAAATGGCCCACTTCCCACTGGCGAAAACTCATGAAATTTGGCAGGACGACCGGGCCTGGTGAAAAATTCGATATTCTGAAGCCGCCCAAACAAGAAAATGCAAAATGGCTCAATAGCGCCCCCAAAGGTGAAAATTCACACTATTGACTGTCACGTCTGTACGCTTTGTCATATTGACACAAAAATTGACACACACATGTATCTCAATAAGATCTACAAAAAAGTCAGTGCGGGCGTATCTGTCAAATGTACGGTTAAAGGGTTATTTCGCATTTTTTGCCGTTCCGCACACATTGGAATTTCGCTAACTCCTCCGAAGGCTTTCGTTCCACCAGCACTACATTTGCTCAGGCCAATCTACACCCCATGGCCATTGAAAGTTGTACAAATCATGACGCTGCACCCCACGGTTTACGTTCTAGGGGGCGCCAAAGATAACCCACAAATCCACATTCTTAAAAATCTTATAACTTTTTATTTTTGTCCTCATTGGCCTCCAAGTTTTCTAGGATGATGCAATGTCCAGCCATCAACACATTTGTGAAGGAATTTTTACTCCCCAAAACAGCGCCCCCCCATGGCAGGACAAAAAAGGCCATTTTTTCTTGTCCCCTAAGGTGAAAATACACATTGTTCAGTGTCACGCCTATACGCTTTGTCATATTGACACAAAATTTGACACACACGTGTATCTCAATAAGATCTACGAAAAAGTCAATGGGCACATATCTGTAAAATGTACGGTTAAAGGGCTATCTTGCATTTTTTGCCGATTCGCACACATTGGAATGTGGCTAACTCCTCCTAAGGCTTTCGTTCTACTGACACCAAATTTGCTCAGGCCAATCTACACCCCATGGCCATTCAAAGTTGTACAAATCATGACGCTGCACCCCACGGTTTAGGTTCTAGGGGGCGCCAAAGATGACCCAAATATCCACATTTTTAAAAGTCTTATAACTTTTTATTTTTGTCCTCACTGGCCTCCAATTTTTCTAGGTTGATGCAATGTGCAGCCATCAACACATCTGTGAAGGAATTTTTTCTCCCCAAAAGAGCGCCCCCCCCCCCCCCCATGGCAGGAGAAAAAGTCAAGTTTTTCCAGCCCATCGCTTAATGGCTCAAACGCATTGCTCTCCCGCTAAAACCAAAAGGAGGAGCAACTTGCCATGTGGATATGTCCTAGCTGTGTTTGTGCCCTCACTCATGGTCCAGAGTTTTTTCAAATAGGACATGTAGTTTGTCTGCAGCGAGCGTTTTGGTAGAAACTGTGCCTCCCATTCATTATAATGGGAAATGACCAAAGACAGGTGCGCACACCATCTTTGGACCTTGACTTTGACGTCACAGTTTGAGATACAAATGTTATTTGACCTCTGACCTTTGGTGGACACCCTAACCTTTCAACCCGCGAAAACGGCGTTTCAATAGCTCTTACGGCTTTCCTACAAATACACTTTGTTCAGCTACTCCTACTGTCCTTTAAGCTCTGCTTCTCAGATCATCAAAGAGTGTGCACGTGTGTAATGAGCGCATATTGAATGTTAATTATGTTAAATATGTTAATTATTAGAAGAAAAAACAACAACAGTCCTTTTGGACAAAATTTCTTTTTATTACAGAATTAGAATAATGGAAGCATAGTCCAAGGAAACCATTCAAGTGATGTCATACCTCATAATTTATTGAGATGTTGGCTAGTCTGGGCATTTCTTCATTCATCAGGTTTCCTGCATGCATACTAACAGAGCACATCAGTAGCAGTGAGTGATAAGTATGAGTGTGTCATTGTGTAAGAAAGAAAGTGGTTTACTTACACATCCATAGAAAATAGGTGGTTGAGCACAGCACGCAAACAAAGCTTTGCCACAACGGTTGAACTTCCCAAGTAGCTGATACCAAGGTCACACAATCATGGTGAGCAAAGGTCAAACCAGGCCAGGCACTCACGAGGCTGGCTGTGGCAAGTGTAAGTGAAAGCAACACGCAATGGCAGGAAGAACAGCAAACACCGATGAAGGAAAAGGGTCTTTGCAGTGATGGGCGTCACCAGAGAGGGCGATGGCCAGAGGGCACGAATGGGACGGGGAGGCGGTCGCGCTGGGGGCGGCGCGACGCGGCTCGGGCCCGCCAGTGCCCCAACGGGGCCCTAGTTTCTTCTTTTTCCTCCCCTTTGAACTGGAAAATGGCCCACTTCCCACTGGCGAAAACTCATGAAATTTGGCAGGACGACCGGGCCTGGTGAAAAATTCGATATTCTGAAGTCGCCCAAACAATAAAATGCAAAATGGCTCCATAGCGCCCCCTAAGGTGGAAATTCACACTATTGACTGTCACGCCTGTACGCTTTGTCATATTGACACAAAAATTGACACACATATGTATCTCAATAAGATCTACAAAAAAGTCAGTGCGGCCGTATCTGTCAAATGTACGGTTAAAGGGTTATTTCGCATTTTTTGCCGATCCGCACACATTGGAATTTCGCTAACTCCTCCGAAGGCTTTCGTTCCACCGGCACCACATTTGCTCAGGCCAATCTACACCCCGTGGCCATTAAAAGTTATCAAAATCATGACGCTGCACCCCAAGGTTTAGGTTCTAGGGGGCGCCAAAGATAACACTAAAATCCACATATTTAAAAGTCTTATAACTTTTTATTTTTGTCCTCACTGGCCTCCAAGTTTTCTAGGATGATGCAATGTCCAGCCATCAACACATTTGTGAAGGAATTTTTACTCCCCAAAAGAGCGCCCCCCCATGGCAGGAGAAAAAAGTCCATTTTTTCTTGTCCCCTAAGGTGAAAATACACATTGTTGAGTGTCACGCCTATACGCTTTGTCAAAATGACACAAAAATTGACACACACATGTAACTCAATAAGATCTACGAAAAAGTCAATGCGCGCGTATCTGTCAAATGTACGGTTAAAGGGTTATTCCGCATTTTTTGCCGATCCGCACACATTGGAATGTGGCTAACTCCTCCTAAGGCTTTCGTTCCACCGGCACCACATTTGCTCAGGCCAATCTACACCCCATGGCCATTAAAAGTTATCAAAATCATGACGCTGCACCCCACGGTTTAGGTTCTAGGGGGCGCCAAAGATAACCCTAAAATCCACATATTTAAAAGTCTTATAACTTTTTATTTTTGTCCTCACTGGCCTCCAAGTTTTCTAGGATGATGCAATGTCCAGCCATCAACACATTTGTGAAGGAATTTTTACTCCCCAAAAGAGCGTCCCCCCATGGCAGGAGAAAAAAGTCCATTTTTTCTTGTCCCTTAAGGTGAAAATACATATTGTTGAGATTCACGCCTATACGCTTTGTCATATTGACACAAAATTTGACAATCACGTGCCTTGCCTGGTATCATTTTTTTCAGCACAACCTCACCTGTGCGAATTTACAGTTATTTTATCATGTTGACATACTGAATTTACACAATGGACCCAAATTCACACACAAAACATAAAATCCGAGTGGAAAAAAGTAACATTTTTACTGTGAAAACCACAAATATGTGTGATGAACTGTTTTTAAAACTTAAACTTCAAATAAAAATTGTAAACTTCAAAACATATGCAAATTTTTAACAAAGAACATAGTGATTTACCTCTATTTACATCAAAATGCAGGCAATGGCCCAGGCGTTCTTTGTAAAATTATTTACAAAACACTGTATAGTCTCACAAATGTCACTTTTTATTTATGCCACTACAAAAAAACATGATGTAAATGATGCATGATGTAAAACATGATGTAAAAAACTTGTGTAGATCCTCCTCTATGTCAGTCCATGTGTAATTTTTCCATAATTCTTTGTTTTTTGCAGCATTTTTGTTAGTGTAACTGCAGATTGTGCTGACAGTGTCTATGGCAAAAAAAAAAAAAAATTAAAATGCCTCAACATGAACCCCTGGTGGTCTCTGAGGGTGAAACCTGCTAACTGCTGCAGCTCTGTCAGCTTCAGTCTCCCATGCAGAGCTCTGAGCGCATGTGTGGCTCTGCACCCTTAGCAGCGTTGCTAACTCCTCAGTAAGGAAAGCCTGCTTCATGTCAGAGTCTCTAAACTCCAGAAGAAGTCGATAAAAGTCCCTTTCTTTCTAAAAAAAAGTCGTTAGGGGGTCTGAAAAGTCATTGAATCTAACAACAAAGTCGCTAGGTTTGCAACTACGTGTCCCAGACTGCATCCCTGCTGAGAGTCCCTCCCTCCCTTCTCATGTTGCAGGAAGAACGTAAGCGCCCGCCCCTTGTCAATCAGTCACCATATAATTTTGGATTGGTTGTTGTGGTGAAGTTTTCCACCAATAGGAGAGATGTTGTGGTGTGTTTTTTTTTTCTTTTGGCAAGCCTTTTCCGCCTGTAAGAGCTGTCGCTAATGTCTGCATGCTATGTTTTCCTGTCTCATACAGCGCGATTGAGCGCCGAACGTGATCAAAATAAGCAGAAAAAAAGTATCGCGGACATAATTTATCATAACTCTGGTTTTATTTGGCCTATCAACACAATTTAAAAACTGGTATATAGGTTGAGGTCCTCACTTTTGAGATAAGTTGAAACGGAGAGTCAACGAGGCTCCGTCTTGCAGCTACATCCGGTTAAATATGTCATGTGACTTGAACGCACACACAGACACACACACACGCACACACACACACACACACACACACACACACACACACACACACACACACACACTCAGAGTCTGGTTTTTAGCACCTGCAAAAACATGCTATTTACATATTTGACAAGAATGCAGAGGCTCCTTTTGCCCCTGAAAAAAATCAAATTTCAAACACAACTTGACTGGTCATTTCTCCAAAAGACAACCATGAAGCTCCATCCAAACCTGAAGCAGGCAGTTGGTGCATGTGTACAGTAACCTGAGGGGAGTGAGGTGAGTGCTTCTGAGGAGAACATGAGCAGTGAAGATTCACCTTGGAGCTAGAACAGAGACATGCACATGATTATACAGGGGCAGGGGCTCAAGTTTTTTCCAGTCGTTTATACAATATGGAAATTAATGTGAAATTAAAACACAAAGTATTAATAGAAAGGTAATGACTGTCCTGTGTAGGTGACAGTGATATCCAATAGGCTAGGCACTCACGAGGCTGGCTGTGGCAAGTGTAAGTGAAAGCAACACGCACTGGCAGGAAGAACAGCAAACGCCGATGAAGGAAAAGGGTCTTTGCAGTGATGGGCGTTACCAGAGAGGGCGATGGCCAGAGGACACAAATGGGACGGGGAGGCAGCACGTTGGGGGGGGGGCGCAACACGGCTCGGGCCCGCCAGTGCCCCAACGGGGTCCTAGTTAGGGCCCGAGCGTAGCTGCTAAGCAGCTGCGAGAGCCCTCTTGTTCCTGATGGATTCTTCTTTTGTTATTATTAGGGCCCGAGCGTAGCTGCTAAGCAGCTGCGAGAGCCCTCTTGTTCCTGTAGTTTCCTTCTTTTGTTATTAGGGCCCGAGCGTAGCTGCTAAGCAGCTGCGAGAGCCCTATTATTCCCCAAGAGGTTTTTCTTTGTTTCTTTCTTTCTTCTTTTTCCTCCCCTTTGAACTGGAAAATGGCCCACTTCCCACTGGCGAAAACTCATGAAATTTGGCAGGATGACCGGGCCTGGTGAAAAATTTGATATTCCGAAGTCGCCCAAACAAGAAAATGCAAAATGGCTCCATAGCGCCCCCTAAGGTGAAAATTCACACTATTGACTGTCACGCCTTTACGCTTTGTCAAAATGACACAAAAATTGACACACATATGTATCTCAATAAGATCTACAAAAAAGTCAGTGCGGGCGTATCTGTCAAATGTACGGTTAAAGGGTTATTCCGCATTTTTTGCCGATCCGCACACATTGGAATTTCGCTAACTCCTCCGAAGGCTTTCTGTCCACCGGCACCACATTTGCTCAGGCCAATCTACACCCCATGGCCATTAAAAGTTATTCAAATCATGATGCTGCACCCCACGGTTTAGGTTCTAGGGGGCGCCAAAAACAACCCTAAAATCCACATATTTAAAAGTCGTATAACTTTTTATTTTTGTCCTCACTGGCCTCCAAGTTTTCTAGGATGATGCAATGTCCAGCCATCAACACATTTGTGAAGGAATTTTTACTCCCCAAAAGAGCGCCCCCCCATGGCAGGAGAAAAAAGTCCATTTTTTCTTGTCCCCTAAGGTGAAAATACACATTGTTGAGTGTCACGCCTTTACGCTTTGTCAAAATGACACAAAAATTGACACACACATGTAACTCAATAAGATCTACGAAAAAGTCAACGCGCGCGTATCTGTCAAATGTACGGTTAAAGGGTTATTCCGCATTTTTTGCCGATCCACACACATTGGAATTTCGCTAACTCCTCCGAAGGCTTTCTGTCCACCGGCACCACATTTGCTCAGGCCAATCTACACCCCATGGCCATTAAAAGTTATTCAAATCATGACGCTGCACCCCATGGTTTAGGTTCTAGGGGGCGCCAAAGACAACCCTAAAATCCACATATTTAAAAGTCTTATAACTTTTTATTTTTGTCCTCACTGGCCTCCAAGTTTTCTAGGATGATGCAATGTCCAGCCATCAACACATTTGTGAAGGAATTTTTACTCCCCAAAAGAGCGCCCCCCATGGCAGGAGAAAAATGTCCATTTTTTCTTGTCCCCTAAGGTGAAAATACATATTGTTGAGATTCACGCCTATACGCTTTGTCATATTGACACAAAATTTGACAATCACGTGCCTTGCCTGGTATCATTTTTTTCAGCACAACCTCACCTGTGCGAATTTACAGTTATTTTATCATGTTGACATACTGAATTTACACAATGGACCCAAATTCACACACAAAACATAAAATCCGAGTGGAAAAAAGTAACATTTTTACTGTGAAAACCACAAATATGTGTGATGAACTGTTTTTAAAACTTAAACTTCAAATAAAAATTGTAAACTTCAAAACATATGCAAATTTTTAACAAAGAACATAGTAATTTACCTCTATTTACATCAAAATGCAGGCAATGGCCCAGGCGTTCTTTGTAAAATTATTTACAAAACACTGTATAGTCTCACAAATGTCACTTTTTATTTATGCCACTACAAAAAAACATGATGTAAATGATGCATGATGTAAAACATGATGTAAAAAACTTGTGTAGATCCTCCTCTATGTCAGTCCATGTGTAATTTTTCCATAATTCTTTGTTTTTTGCAGCATTTTTGTTAGTGTAACTGCAGATTGTGCTGACAGTGTCTATGGCACAAAAAAAAAAAAAATTAAAATGCCTCAACATGAACCCCTGGTGGTCTCTGAGGGTGAAACCTGCTAACTGCTGCAGCTCTGTCAGCTTTAGTCTCCCATGCAGAGCTCTGAGCGCATGTGTGGCTCTGCACCCTTAGCAGCGTTGCTAACGCCTCAGTAAGGAAAGCCTGCTTCATGTCAGAGTCTCTAAACTCCAGAAGAAGTCGATAAAAGTCCCTTTCTTTCTAAAAAAAAGTCGTTAGGGGGTCTGAAAAGTCATTGAATCTAACAACAAAGTCTCTAGGTTTGCAACTACGTGTCCCAGACTGCATCCCTGCTGAGAGTCCCTCCCTCCCTTCTCATATTGCAGGAAGAACGTAAGCGCCCGCCCCTTGTCAATCAGTCACCATATAATTTTGGATTGGTTGTTGTGGTGAAGTTTTCCACCAATAGGAGAGATGTTGTGGTGTGTTTTTTTTTTTCTTTTGGCAAGCCTTTTCCGCCTGTAAGACCTGTCGCTAATGTCTGCATGCTATGTTTTCCTGTCTCATACAGCGCGATTGAGCGCCGAACGTGATCAAAATAAGCAGAAAAAAAGTATCGCGGACATAATTTATCATAACTCTGGTTTTATTTGGCCTATCAACACAATTTAAAAACTGGTATATAGGTTGAGGTCCTCACTTTTGAGATAAGTTGAAACGGAGAGTCAACGAGGCTCCGTCTTGCAGCTACATCCGGTTAAATATGTCATGTGACTTGAACGCACACACAGACACACACACACGCACACACACACACACACACACACACACACACACACACACACACACTCAGAGTCTGGTTTTTAGCACCTGCAAAAACATGCTATTTACATATTTGACAAGAATGCAGAGGCTCCTTTTGCCCCTGAAAAAAATCAAATTTCAAACACAACTTGACTGGTCATTTCTCCAAAAGACAACCATGAAGCTCCATCCAAACCTGAAGCAGGCAGTTGGTGCATGTGTACAGTAACCTGAGGGGAGTGAGGTGACTGCTTCTGAGGAGAACATGAGCAGTGAAGATTCACCTTACAGCTAGAACAGAGACGTGCACATGATTATACAGGGGCAGGGGCTCAAGTTTTTTCCAGTTGTTTATACAATATGGAAATTAATGTGAAATTAAAAAACAAAGTATTAATAGAAAGGTAATGACTGTCCTGAGTAGGTGACAGTGATATCCAATAGGCTAGGCACTCAAGAGGCTGGCTGTGGCAAGTGTAAGTGAAAGCAACACGCACTGGCAGGAAGAACAGCAAACGCCGATGAAGGAAAAGGGTCTTTGCAGTGATGGGCGTTACCAGAGAGGGCGATGGCCAGAGGACACAAATGGGACGGGGAGGCAGCGCGTTGGGGGGGGGACGCGACACAGCTCGGGCCCGCCAGTGCCCCAACGGGGTCCTAGTTATTATTATTAGGGCCCGAGCCAGCTGCAGAGCAGCCGGGCGTAGGCCCTATTATTCCCCAAGTGGTTTTTCTTTGTTTCTTTCTTTCTTTCTTTCTTTCTTCTTTTTCCTCCCCTTTGAACTGGAAAATGGCCCACTTCCCACTGGCGAAAACTCATGAAATTTGGCAGGACGACCGGGCCTGGTGAAAAATTCGATATTCTGAAGTCGTCCAAACAATAAAATGCAAAATGGCTCCATAGCGCCCCCTAAGGTGGAAATTCACACTATTGACTGTCACGCCTGTACGCTTTGTCATATTGACACAAAAATTGACACACATATGTATCTCAATAAGATCTACAAAAAAGTCAGTGCGGCCGTATCTGTCAAAATTACGGTTAAAGGGTTATTTCGCATTTTTTGCCGATCCGCACACATTGGAATTTCGCTAACTCCTCCGAAGGCTTTCGTTCCACCGGCACCACATTTGCTCAGGCCAATCTACACCCCGTGGCCATTAAAAGTTATCAAAATCATGACGCTGCACCCCAAGGTTTAGGTTCTAGGGGGCGCCAAAGATAACACTAAAATCCACATATTTAAAAGTCTTATAACTTTTTATTTTTGTCCTCACTGGCCTCCAAGTTTTCTAGGATGATGCAATGTCCAGCCATCAACACATTTGTGAAGGAATTTTTACTCCCCCAAAGAGCGCCCCCCCATGGCAGGAGAAAAAAGTCCATTTTTTCTTGTCCCCTAAGGTGAAAATACACATTGTTGAGTGTCACGCCTATACGCTTTGTCAAAATGACACAAAAATTGACACACACATGTAACTCAATAAGATCTACAAAAAAGTCCATGCGCGCGTATCTGTCAAATGTACAGTTAAAGGGTTATTCCGCATTTTTTGCCGATACGCACACATTGGAATTTCGCTAACTCCTCCGAAGGCTTTCGTTCCACCGGCACCACATTTGCTCAGGCCAATCTACACCCCATGGCCATTAAAAGTTATTCAAATCATGATGCTGCACCCCATGGTTTAGGTTCTAGGGGGCGCCAAAAATAACCCAAAAATCCACATTCTTAAATGTTTTATAACTTTTTATTTTTGTCCTCACTGGCCTCCAAGTTTTCTAGGATGATGCAATGTCCAGCCATCAACACATTTGTGAAGGAATTTTTACTCCCCAAAAGAGCGCCCCCCATGGTAGAGGAAAAAAGTCGATTTTTTCTTGTCCCCTTACATAAAAATACACATTGTTGAGTGTCACGCCTGAACGCTTTGTCATATTGACACAAAAATTGACAATCATGTGTATCTCAATTAGATCTACGAAAAAGTCAAAGAGCGCGTATCTGTATAATGTACGGTTAAAGGGCTATTTTGCATTTTTTGCCGATTCGCACACATTGGAATGTGGCTATCTCCTCCTAAGGCTTTCGTCCCACCGATACCAAATTTGCTCAGGGCAATCTACACCCCATGCCCATTCAAAGTTGTAAAAATCATGACGCTGCACCCCACGGTTTACGTTCTAGGGGGCGCCAAAGATGACCCAAAAATCCACATTCTTAAAAGTCATTTTGGCCACTGCAGGAGTACAGAGTACTGCAGTTCTAGGGGGCGCCAAAGATGACCCAAAAATCCACATTCTTAAAAGTCATTTTGGCCACTGCAGGAGTACAGAGTACTGCAGGATACACACACATATACACACACGCCAACATACACACACACACACACACACACACACACACAGACACACACACACACTCAGAGTCTGTTTTTTAGCACCTGCAACATGCTGTTTACATATTTGACAAGAATGCAGAGGCTTCCTTTTGCCCCTGAAAAAAATCAAATTTCAAACACAACTTGACTGGTCATTTCTCCAAAAGACAACCATGAAGCTCCATTTCAAACCTGAAGCAGATAGTTGGTGCATGTGTACAGTAACCTGAGGGGAGTGAGGTGACTATTTCTGAGGAGAACATGAGCAGTGAAGATTCACCTTGGAGCTAGAACAGGGACGTGCACATGATTATACAGGGGCAGGGGCTCAAGTTTTTTCCAGTCATTTATACAATATGGAAATTAATGTGAAATTAAACCACAAATATGTGTGATGAACTGTTTTTAAAACTTAAACTTCAAATAAAAATTGTAAACTTCAAAACATATGCAAATTTTTAACAAAGAACATAGTAATTTACCTCTATTTACATCAAAATGCAGGCAATGGCCCAGGCGTTCTTTGTAAAATTATTTACAAATCACTGTATAGTCTCACAAATGTCACTTTTTATTTATGCCACTACAAAAAAACATGATGTAAATGATGCATGATGTAAAACATGATGTAAAAAACTTGTGTAGATCCTCCTCTATGTCAGTCCATGTGTAATTTTTCCATAATTCTTTGTTTTTTGCAGCATTTTTAGGGCCCGAGCCAGCTGCAGAGCAGCCGGGCGTAGGCCCTATTATTCCCCAAGTGGTTTTTCTTTGTTTCTTTCTTTCTTTCTTTCTTTCTTTCTTAGGGCCCGAGCGTAGCTGCTAAGCAGCTGCGAGAGCCCTATTATTCCCCAAGGGGTTTTTCTTTGTTTCTTTTTTCTTTTTCCTCCCCTTTGAACTGGAAAATGGCCCACTTCCCACTGGCGAAAACTCATGAAATTTGGCAGGACGACCGGGCCTGGTGAAAAATTTGATATTCCGAAGTCGCCCAAACAAGAAAATGCAAAATGGCTCCATAGCGCCCCCTAAGGTGAAAATTCACACTATTGACTGTCACGCCTGTACGCTTTGTCAAAATGACACAAAAATTGACACACACATGTATCTCAATAAGATCTACAAAAAAGTCAGTGCGGGCGTATCTGTCAAATGTACGGTTAAAGGGTTATTTCGCATTTTTTGCTGATCCGCACACATTGGAATTTCGCTAACTCCTCCGAAGGCTTTCGTTCCACCGGCACCACATTTGCTCAGGCCAATCTACACCCCATGGCCATTAAAAGTTATTCAAATCATGACGCTGCACCCCACGGTTTAGGTTCTAGGGGGCGCCAAAGATAACCCTAAGATCCACATATTTAAAAGTCTTATAACTTTTTATTTTTGCCCTCACTGGCCTCCAAGTTTTCTAGGATGATGCAATGTCCAGCCATCAACACATTTGTGAAGGAATTTTTACTCCCCAAAAGAGCGCCCCCCATGGCAGGAGAAAAAAGTCCATTTTTTCTTGTCCCCTAAGGTGAAAATACACATTGTTGAGTGTAACACCTGTACGCTTTGGCAAAATGACACCAAAATTGACACACACATGTATCTCAATAAGATCTACAAAAAAGTCAATGCGCACGTATCTGTCAAATGTACGGTTAAAGGGTTATTTCGCATTTTTTGCCGATCCGCACACATTGGAATTTCGCTAACTCCTCCGAAGGCTTTCGTTCCACCGGCACCACATTTTCTCAGGCCAATCTACACCCCATGGCCATTAAAAGTTATTCAAATCATGACGCTGCACCCCACGGTTTAGGTTCTAGGGGGCGCCAAAGATAACCGTAAAATCCACATATTTAAAAGTCTTATAACTTTTTATTTTTGTCCCCACTGGCCTCCAAGTTTTCTAGGATGATGCAATGTCCAGCCATCAACACATTTGTGAAGGAATTTTTACTCGCCAAAAGAGCGCCCCCCATGGCAGGAGAAAAAAGTCCATTTTTTCTTGTCCACTAAGGTGAAAATACACATTGTTGAGTGCTACGCCTGTATGTTTTGTCGTATTGACACAAAATTTTACATACACGTGTCTTTCAATAAGATCTTCGAAAAAGTCAATGGCCACGTATCTGTAAAATGTACGGTTAAAGGGTTATTTCGCATTTTTTGCAGATTCGCACACATTGGAATTTCGCTAACTCCTCCGAAGGCTTTCGTTCCACCGGCACCACATTTGCTCAGGCCAATCTACACCCCATGGCCATTAAAAGTTATTCAAATCATGACGCTGCACCCCACGGTTTAGGTTCTAGGGGGCGCCAAAGATAACCCTAAAATCCACATATTTAAAAGTCTTATAACTTTTTATTTTTGTCCTCACTGGCCTCCATGTTTTCTAGGATGATGCAATGTCCAGCCATCAACACATTTGTGAAGGAGTTTTTTCTCGTTAAAAGAGCGCCCCCCATGGCAGGAGAATAAAGTCAAGTTTTTCCTGTTCATCATTCAATGGCTCAAACGCACTGCTCTCTCGGCAAAAGCGAAAGGAGCAGCAACTTGCCATTTGGATATATCTTAGCTGGGTTTGTGCCCTCACTCATGGTCCAGACTTTTTTCAAATAGGACATGGAGTTTTTCTGCAGCGAGCGTTTTGGTAGAAACTGCGCCTCCCGTTCATTATAATGGTAAATGACCACAAACAAGTGCGCACACCATCTTTGGACCTTGAGTGTGACGCGATCGGGTGGGGGAGGCGGTCGTGCTGGGGGCGGCGTGACACGGCTCGGGCCCGCCAGTGCCCCAACGGGGCCCTAGTTATTATTATTTTTCCTCCCCTTTGAACTGGAAAATGGCCCACTTCCCACTGGCAAAAACTCATGAAATTTGGCAGGACGACCGGGCCTGGTGAAAAATTTGATATTCCGAAGTCGCCCAAACAAGAAAATGCAAAATGGCTCCATAGCGCCCCCTAAGGTGAAAATTCACACTATTCACTGTCACGCCTGTACGCTTTGTCAAAATGACACAAAAATTGACACACACATGTATCTCAATAAGATCTACAAAAAAGTCAGTGCGGGCGTATCTGTCAAATGTACGGTTAAAGGGTTATTTCGCATTTTTTGCCGATCCGCACACATTGGAATTTCGCTAACTCCTCCGAAGGCTTTCGTTCCACCGGCACCACATTTGCTCAGGCCAATCTACACCCCATGGCCATTAAAAGTTATTCAAATCATGACGCTGCACCCCACGGTTTAGGTTCTAGGGGGCGCCAAAGATAACCCTAAGATCCACATATTTAAAAGTCTTATAACTTTTTATTTTTGCCCTCATTGGCCTCCAAGTTTTCTAGGATGATGCAATGTCCAGCCATCAACACATTTGTGAAGGAATTTTTACTCCCCAAAAGAGCGCCCCCCCATGGCAGGAGAAAAAAGTCCATTTTTTCTTGTCCTCTAAGGTGAAAATACACATTGTTGAGTGTAACACCTGTACGCTTTGGCAAAATGACACAAAAATTGACACACACATGTATCTCAATAAGATCTACGAAAAAGTCAATGCGCACGTATCTGTTACATGTACGGTTAAAGGGTTATTCCGCATTTTTTGCCGATCCGCACACATTGGAATTTCGCTAACTCCTCCGAAGGCTTTCGTTCCACCGGCACCACATTTGCTCAGGCCAATCTACACCCCATGGCCATTAAAAGTTATTCAAATCATGACGCTGCACCCCATGGTTTAGGTTCTAGGGGGCGCCAAAGATAACCGTAAAATCCACATATTTAAAAGTCTTATAACTTTTTATTTTTGTCCCCACTGGCCTCCAAGTTTTCTAGGATGATGCAATGTCCAGCCATCAACACATTTGTGAAGGAATTTTTACTCCCCAAAAGAGCGCCCCCCCATGGCAGGAGAAAAAAGTCCATTTTTTCTTGTCCACTAAGGTGAAAATACACATTGTTGAGTGCTACGCCTGTATGTTTTGTCGTATTGACACAAAATTTTACATACACGTGTATTTCAATAAGATCTTCGAAAAAGTCAATGGCCACGTATCTGTAAAATGTACGGTTAAAGGGTTATTTTGCATTTTTTGCAGATTCGCACACATTGGAATTTCGCTAACTCCTCCGAAGGCTTTTGTTCCACCGGCACCACATTTGCTCAGGCCAATCTACACCCCATGGCCATTAAAAGTTATTCAAATCATGACGCTGCACCCCACGGTTTAGGTTCTAGGGGGCGCCAAAGATAACCCTAAAATCCACATATTTAAAAGTCTTATAACTTTTTATTTTTGTCCTCACTGGCCTCCATGTTTTCTAGGATGATGCAATGTCCAGCCATCAACACATTTGTGAAGGAGTTTTTTCTCGTTAAAAGAGCGCCCCCCATGGCAGGAGAATAAAGTCAAGTTTTTCCTGTTCATCATTCAATGGCTCAAACGCACTGCTCTCTCGGCAAAAGCGAAAGGAGGAGCAACTTGCCATTTGGATATATCTTAGCTGTGTTTGTGCCCTCACTCATGGTCCAGACTTTTTTCAAATAGGACATGGAGTTTTTCTGCAGCGAGCGCTTTGGTAGAAACTGCGCCTCCCGTTCATTATAATGGTAAATGACCACAAACAAGTGCGCACACCATCTTTGGACCTTGAGTGTGACGCGATCGGGTGGGGGAGGCGGTCGCGCTGGGGGCGGCGTGACACGGCTCGGGCCCGCCAGTGCCCCAACGGGGCCCTAGTTATTATTTTTCCTCCGCTTTAAACTGGAAAATGGCCCACTTCCCACTGGCGAAAACTCATGAAATTTGGCAGGACGACCGGGCCTGGTGAAAAATTCGATATTCTGAAGTCGCCCAAACAATAAAATGCAAAATGGCTCCATAGCGCCCCCTAAGGTGGAAATTCACACTATTGACTGTCACGCCTGTACGCTTTGTCAAAATGACACAAAAATTGACACACACATGTATCTCAATAAGATCTACAAAAAAGTCAGTGCGGGCGTATCTGTCAAATGTACGGTTAAAGGATTATTGCGCATTTTTTGCCGATCCGCACACATTGGAATTTCGCTAACTCCTCCGAAGGCTTTCGTTCCACCGGCACCACATTTGCTCAGGCCAATCTACACCCCATGGCCATTAAAAGTTGTACAAATCATGACGCTGCACCCCACGGTTTAGGTTCTAGGGGGCGCCAAAGATAACCATAAAATCCACATATTTAAAAGTCTTATAACTTTTTATTTTTGTCCTCACTGGCCTCCAAGTTCTCTAGGATAATGCAATGTCCAGCCATCAACACATTTGTGAAGGAATTTTTACTCCCCAAAAGAGCGCCCCCCCATGGCAGGAGAAAAAAGTCCATTTTTTCTTGTCCCCTAAGGTGAAAATTTACATTGTTGAGTGTCACGCCTGTACGCTTTGTCATATTGACACAAAATTTGACAATCACGTGTATCTCAATAAGATCTACGAAAAAGTCAATGCGCGCGTATCTGTCAAATGTACGGTTAAAGGGCTATTTTGCATTTTTTGCCGATTCGCACACATTGGAATGTCGCAAACTCCTCCTAAGGCTTTCGTCCCACTGACACCAAATTTTCTCAGGCCAATCTACACCCCATGGCCATTCAAAGTTGTAAAAATCATGACGCTGCACCCCACGGTTTACGTTCTAGGGGGCGCCAAAGATGACCCAAATATCCACTTTCTTAAAAGAATCCACATCCCCCCCCATCCCCCACCCCCCATGGCAGGAGAAACAGTCAAGTTTTTCCTGCCCATCACTCAATGGCTCAATCGCATCGCTCTCCTGGCAACACCGTAACGAGGAGCAACTTGCCGTTTGGATATATCCTAGCTATGTTTGTGCCCTCACTCATGGTCCAGACTTTTTTCAAATAGGACATGTAGTTTGTCTGCAGCGAGTGTTTTGGTAGAAACTGCGCTTCCCATTCATTATAATGGGAAATGACCACAGACAAGTGCGCACACCATCTTTGGACCTTGAGTGTGACGCGATCGGGAGGTGGAGGCGGTCGCGCTGGGGGTGGTGCGATGCGGCTCGGGCCCGACAGTGCCCCACCGGGGCCCTAGTTAGGGCCCGAGCGTAGCTGCTAAGCAGCTGCGAGAGCCCTATTATTCCCCAAGGGGTTTTTCTTTGTTTCTTTCTTTCTTTCTTTCTTCTTTTTCCTCCCCTTTGAACTGGAAAATGGCCCACTTCCCACTGGCGAAAACTCAGGAAATTTGGCAGGACGACCGGGCCTGGTGAAAAATTCGATATTCCGAAGTCGCCCAAACAAGAAAATGCAAAATGGCTCCATAGCGCCCCCTAAGGTGAAAATTCACACTATTGACTGTCACGCCTGTACGCTTTGTCAAAATGACACAAAAATTGACACACACATGTATCTCAATAAGATCTACAAAAAAGTCAGTGCGGGCGTATCTGTCAAATGTACGGTTAAAGGGTTATTTCGCATTTTTTGCCGATCCGCACACATTGGAATTTCGCTAACTCCTCCGAAGGCTTTCGTTCCACCGGCACCACATTTGCTCAGGCCAATCTACACCCCATGGCCATTAAAAGTTATTCAAATCATGACGCTGCACCCCACGGTTTAGGTTCTAGGGGGCGCCAAAGATAACCCTAAAATCCACATTTTTAAAAGTCTTATAACTTTTTATTTTTGCCCTCACTGGCCTCCAAGTTTTCTAGGATGATGCAATGTCCAGCCATCAACACATTTGTGAAGGAATTTTTACTCCCCAAAAGAGCGCCCCCCCATGGCAGGAGAAAAAAGTCCATTTTTTCTTGTCCCCTAAGGTGAAAATACACATTGTTGAGTGTCACGCCTGTACGCTTTGTCAAAATGACACAAAAATTGACACACACATGTATCTCAATAAGATCTACAAAAAAGTCCATGCGCGCGTATCTGTCTAATGTACGGTTAAAGGGTTATTCCGCATTTTTTGCCGATTCGCACACATTGGAATTTCGCTAACTCCTCCGAAGGCTTTCGTTCCACCGGCACCACATTTGCTCAGGCCAAATTACACCCCATGGCCATTAAAAGTTATTCAAATCATGACGCTGCACCCTACGGTTTACGTTCTAGGGGGCGCCAAAGATAACCCAAAAATCCACATTTTTAAAAGTCTTATAACTTTTTATTTTTGTCCTCACTGGCCTCCAAGTTTTCTAGGATGATGCAATGTCCAGCCATCAACACATTTGTGAAGGAATTTTTACTTCCTAAAAGAGCGCCCCCCCATGGCAGGAGAAAAAAGTCCATTTTTTCTTGTCCCCTAAGGTGAAAATACACATTGTTGACTGTCACGCCTGTACGCTTTGGCAAAATGACACAAAAATTGACAATCATGTGTATCTCAATTAGATCTACGAAAAAGTCAAAGAGCGCGTATCTGTATAATGTACGGTAAAAGGGCTATTTTGCATTTTTTGCCGATTCGCACACATTGGAATTTCGCTAACTCCTCCTAAGGCTTTCGTCCCACTGACACCAAATTTGCTCAGGCCAATCTACACTCCATGGCCATTCAAAGTTGTAAAAATCATGACGCTGCACCCCACGGTTTACGTTTTAGGGGGCGCCAAAGATGACCCAAATATACATTACAGTAGACAAAGTAGTTTTGCCCACTGAGTGGCGCCAAAGGGACTTGTCTATGGAGTCTGTGAGTCACTATTGGCCGTTTTTGACTACTTTAGATTTTACCTTTATATTTCCTCTTACAAAATTTTTACCTTGCCTTGCCTGGTATCATTTTTTTCAGCACAACCTCACCTGTGTCAATTTACAGTTATTTTATCATTTTGACATACTATATTTACACATTGGACCCAAATTCACACACAAAACATAAAATCCGAGTGGAAAAAAGTAACGTTTTTACTGTGAAAACCACAAATATGTGTGATGAACTGTTTTTAAAACTTAAACTTCAAATAAAAATTGTAAACTTCAGAACATATGCAAATTTTTAACAAAGAACATAGTAATTTACCTCTATTTACATCAAAATGCAGGCAATGGCTCAGGTGTTCTTTGTAAAATTATTTACAAAACACTGTATAGTCTCACAAATGTCACTTTTTATTTATGCCACTACAAAAAAAACATGATGTAAATGATGCATGATGTAAAACATGATGTAAAAAACTTGTGTAGATCCTCCTCTATGTTAGTCCATGTGTAATTTTTCCATAATTCTTTGTTTTTTGCAGCATTTTTGTTAGTGTAACTGCAGATTGTGCTGACAGTGTCTATGGCAAAAAAAAAAAAAAAACTGAAAATGCCTCAACATGAACCCCTGGTGGTCTCTGAGGGTGAAACCTGCTAACTGCTGCAGCTCTGTCAGCTTCAGTCTCCCATGCAGAGCTCGGAGCGCATGTGTGGCTCTGCACCCTTAGCAGCGTTGCTAACTCCTCAGTAAGGAAAGCCTGCTTCATGTCAGAGTCTCAAAACTCCAGAAGAAGTCGATAAAAGTCCCTTTCTTTCTAAAAAAAAAGTCGTTAGGGGGTCTGAAAAGTCATTGAATCTAACAACAAAGTCGCTAGGTTTGCAACTACGTGTCCCAGACTGCATCCCTGCTGAGAGTCCCTCCCTCCCTTCTCATATTGCAGGAAGAACGTAAGCGCCCGCCCCTTGTCAATCAGTCACCATATAATTTTGGATTGGTTGTTGTGGTGAAGTTTTCCACCAATAGGAGAGATGTTGTGGTGTGTTTTTTTTTTTCCTTTGGCAAGCCTTTTCCGCCTGTAAGACCTGTCGCTAATGTCTGCATGCTATGTTTTCCTGTCTCATACAGCGCGATCGAGCGCCGAACGTGATCAAAATAAGCAGAAAACAAGTATCGCGGACATAATTTATCATAACTCTGGTTTTATTTGGCCTATCAACACAATTTAAAAACTGGTATATAGGTTGAGGTCCTCACTTTTGAGATAAGTTGAAACGGAGAGTCAACGAGGCTCCGTCTTGCAGCTACATCCGGTTAAATATGTCATGTGACTTGAACGCACACACAGACACACACACACACGCACACACACACACACACACACTCAGAGTCTGGTTTTTAGCACCTGCAAAAACATGCTATTTACATATTTGACAAGAATGCAGAGGCTCCTTTTGCCCCTGAAAAAAATCAAATTTCAAACACAACTTGACTGGTCATTTCTCCAAAAGACAACCATGAAGCTCCATCCAAACCTGAAGCAGGCAGTTGGTGCATGTGCACAGTAACCTGAGGGGAGTGAGGTGACTGCTTCTGAGGAGAACATGAGCAGTGAAGATTCACCTTAGAGCTAGAACAGAGACGTGCACATGATTATACAGGGGCAGGGGCTCAAGTTTTTTCCAGTTGTTTATACAATATGGAAATTAATGTGAAATTAAAAAACAAAGTATTAATAGAAAGGTAATGACTGTCCTGTGTAGGTGACAGTGATATCCAATAGGCTAGGCACTCACGAGGCTGGCTGTGGCAAGTGTAAGTGAAAGCAACACGCACTGGCAGGAAGAACAGCAAACGCCGATGAAGGAAAAGGGTCTTTGCAGTGATGGGCGTTACCAGAGAGGGCGATGGCCAGAGGACACAAATGGGACGGGGAGGCAGCGCGTTGGGGGGGGGACGCGGCACAGCTCGGGCCCGCCAGTGCCCCAACGGGGTCCTAGTTATTATTTTTCCTCCCCTTTGAACTGGAAAATGGCCCACTTCCCACTGGCGAAAACTCATGAAATTTGGCAGGACGACCGGGCCTGGTGAAAAATTTGATATTCCGAAGTCGCCCAAACAAGAAAATGCAAAATGGCTCCATAGCGCCCCCTAAGGTGAAAATTCACACTATTGACTGTCACGCGTGTACGCTTTGGCAAAATGACACAAAAATTGACACACACATGTATCTCAATAAGATCTACGAAAAAGTCAATGCGTGCGTATCTGTCAAATGTACGGTTAAAGGGTTATTCCGCATTTTTTGCCGATCCGCACACATTGGAATTTCGCTAACTCCTCCTAAGGCTTTCGTTCCACCGGCACCACATTTGCTCAGGCCAATCTACACCCCATGGCCATTAAAAGTTATTCAAATCATGACGCTGCACCCCACGGTTTAGGTTCTAGGGGGCGCCAAAGATAACACTAAAATCCACATATTTAAAAGTCTTATAACTTTTTATTTTTGTCCTCACTGGCCTCCAAGTTTTCTAGGATGATGCAATGTCCAGCCATCAACACATTTGTGAAGGAATTTTTACTCCCCAAAAGAGCGCCCCCCCATGGCAGGAGAAAAAAGTCCAATTTTTTCTTGTCCCCTAAGGTGGTAATTCACACTATTGACTGTCACGCCTGTACGCTTTATCATATTGACACAAAAATTGACACACATATGTATCTCAATAAGATCTACAAAAAAGTCAATGCGCGCGTATCTGTCAAATGTACGGTTAAAGGGCTATTTTGCATTTTTTGCCGATTCGCACACATTGGAATGTGGCTAACTCCTCCTAAGGCTTTCGTCCCACTGACACCAAATTTGCTCAGGCCAATCTACACCCCATGGCCATTCAAAGTTGTAAAAATCATGACGCTGCACTCCACGGTTTACGTTCTAGGGGGCGCCAAAGATGACCCAAAAATCCACATTCTTAAAGGAATCCACATCCCCCCCCAAGGCAGGAGAAAAAGTCAAGTTAACCCTGCCCATTGCTCAATGGCTCAATCGCATCGCTCTCCAGGCAACACCGTAAGGAGGAGCAACCTGCCATTTCGATATATCATAGCTGTGTTTGTGCCCTCACTCATGGTCCAGACTTTTTTCAAATAGGACATGAAGTTTGTCTGCAGCGAGTGTTTTGGTAGAAACTGCGCCTCCCATTCATTATAATGGGAAATGACCACAGACAAGTGCGCACACCATCTTTGGACCTTGAGTGTGACGCGATCGGGAGGGGGAGGCGGTCGCACTAGGGGCGGCGCGACGCGGCTCGGGCCCGACAGTGCCCCACCGGGGCCCTAGTGTTATTATTATTAGGGCCCGAGCGTAGCTGCTAAGCAGCTGCGAGAGCCCTATTATTCCCCAAGTGGTTTTTCTTTGTTTCTTTAGGGCCCGAGCGTAGCTGCTAAGCAGCTGCGAGAGCCCTATTATTCCCCAAGTGGTTTTTCTTTGTTTCTTTCTTTCTTTCTTTCTTTCTTAGGGCCCGAGCGTAGCTGCTAAGCAGCTGCGAGAGCCCTATTATTCCCCAAGTGGTTTTTCTTTGTTTCTTTCTTTCTTTCTTTCTTCTTTTTCCTCCCCTTTGAACTGGAAAATGGCCCACTTCCCACTGGCGAAAACTCATGAGATTTGGCAGGACGACCGGGCCTGGTGAAAAATTCGATATTCTGAAGTCGCCCAAACAATAAAATGCAAAATGGCTACATAGCGCCCCCTAAGGTGGAAATTCACACTATTGACTGTCACGCCTGTACGCTTTGTCATATTGACACAAAAATTGACACACATATGTATCTCAATAAGATGTACAAAAAAGTCAGTGCGGCCGTATCTGTCAAAATTACGGTTAAAGGGTTATTACGCATTTTTTGCCGATCCGCACACATTGGAATTTCGCTAACTCCTCCGAAGGCTTTCGTTCCACCGGCACCACATTTGCTCAGGCCAATCTACACCCCGTGGCCATTAAAAGTTATCAAAATCATGACGCTGCACCCCAAGGTTTAGGTTCTAGGGGGCGCCAAAGATAACACTAAAATCCACATATTTAAAAGTCTTATAACTTTTTATTTTTGTCCTCACTGGCCTCCAAGTTTTCTAGGATGATGCAATGTCCAGCCAGTAACACATTTGTGAAGGAATTTTTACTCCCCAAAAGAGCGCCCCCCCATGGCAGGAGAAAAAAGTCCATTTTTTCTTGTCCCCTAAGGTGAAAATACACATTGTTGACTGTCACGTCTGTACGTTTTGTCATATTGACACAAAAATTGACACACATATGTATCTCAATAAGATCTACAAAAAAGTCAGTGCGGGCGTATCTGTCAAATGTACGGTTAAAGGGTTATTTCGCATTTTTTGCCGATCCGCACACATTGGAATTTCGCTAACTCCTCCGAAGGCTTTCGTTCCACCGGCACCACATTTGCTCAGGCCAGTCTACACCCCATGGCCATTAAAAGTTGTACAAATCATGACGCTGCACCCCACGGTTTAGGTTCTAGGGGGCGCCAAAGATAACCCAAAAATCCACATTCTTAAAAGTCTTATAACTTTTTATTTTTGTCCTCACTGCCCTCCAAGTTTTCTAGGATGATGCAATGTCCAGCCATCAACACATTTGTGAAGGAATTTTTACTCCCCAAAAGAGCGCCCCCCCATGGCAGGAGAAAAAAGTCAATTTTTTCTTGTCCCCTTACATGAAAATACACATTGTTGAGTGTCACGCCTGAACGCTTTGTCATATTGACACAAAAATTGACAATCATGTGTATCTCAATTAGATCTACGAAAAAGTCAAAGAGCGCGTATCTGTATAATGTACGGTTAAAGGGCTATTTCGCATTTTTTGCCGATTCGCACACATTGGAATGTGGCTATCTCCTCCTAAGGCTTTCGTCCCACTGATACCAAATTTGCTCAGGGCAATCTACACCCCATGCCCATTCAAAGTTGTAAAAATCATGACGCTGCACCCCACGGTTTACGTTCTAGGGGGCGCCAAAGATGACCCAAAAATCCACATTCTTAAAAGTCATTTTGGCCACTGCAGGAGTACAGAGTACTGCAGTTCTAGGGGGCGCCAAAGATGACCCAAAAATCCACATTCTTAAAAGTCTTTTTGGCCACTGCAGGAGTACAGAGTACTGCAGGATACACACACATGTACACACACGCACACACACACACACACACACACACACACACACACACACACACACTCAGAGTCTGTTTTTTAGCACCTGCAAAAACATGCTGTTTACATATTTGACAAGAATGCAGAGGCTTCCTTTTGCCCCTGAAAAAAATCAAATTTCAAACACAACTTGACTGGTCATTTCTCCAAAAGACAACCATGAAGCTCCATCCAAACCTGAAGCAGATAGTTGGTGCATGTGTACAGTAACCTGAGGGGAGTGAGGTGACTATTTCTGAGGAGAACATGAGCAGTGAAGATTCACCTTGGAGCTAGAACAGGGACGTGCACATGATTATACAGGGGCAGGGGCTCAAGTTTTTTCCAGTCATTTATACAATATGGAAATTAATGTGAAATTAAAAAACAAAGTATTAATAGAAAGGTTATGACTGTCCTGTGTAGATGACAGTGATATCCAATAGGCTAGGCACTCACGAGGCTGGCTGTGGCAAGTGTAAGTGAAAGCAACACGCACTGGCAGGAAGAACAGCAAACGCCGATGAAGGAAAGGGTCTTTGCAGTGATGGGCGTTACCAGAGAGGACGATGGCCAGAGGACGCGAATGGGACGGGGAGGCAGCGCGTTGGGGGGGGCAGCGCGACACGGCTCGGGCCCGCCAGTGCCCCAACGGGGCCCTAGTTAGGGCCCGAGCGTAGCTGCTAAGCAGCTGCGAGAGCCCTCTTGTTCCTGCATGTTTCCTTCTTTTGTTATTATTAGGGCCCGAGCCAGCTGCAGAGCAGCCGGGCGTAGGCCCTATTATTCCCCAAGTGGTTTTTCTTTGTTTCTTTCTTTCTTTTTTCTTTTTCCTCCCCTTTGAACTGGAAAATGGCCCCCTTCCCACTGGCGAAAACTCATGAAATTTGGCAGGACGACCGGGCCTGGTGAAAAATTTGATATTCTGAAGTCGCCAAAACAATAAAATGCAAAATGGCTCCATAGCGCCCCCTAAGGTGAAAATTCACACTATTCACTGTCACGACTGTACGCTTTGTCAAAATGACACAAAAATTGACACACACATGTATCTCAATAAGATCTACAAAAAAGTCGGTGCGGGCGTATCTGTCAAATGTACGGTTAAAGGGTTATTACGCATTTTTTGCCGATCCGCACACATTGGAATTTCGCTAACTCCTCCGAAGGCTTTCGTTCCACCGGCACCACATTTGCTCAGGCCAATCTACACCCCGTGGCCATTAAAAGTTATCAAAATCATGACGCTGCACCCCAAGGTTTAGGTTCTAGGGGGCGCCAAAGATAACCCTAAAATCCACATATTTAAAAGTCTTATAACTTTTTATTTTTGTCCTCACTGGCCTCCAAGTTTTCTAGGATGATGCAATGTCCAGCCATCAACACATTTGTGAAGGAATTTTTACTCCCCAAAAGAGCGCCCCCCCATGGCAGGAGAAAAAAGTCAATTTTTTCTTGTCCCCTAAGGTGAAAATACACATTGTTGAGTGTCACGCCTATACGCTTTGTCAAAATGACACAAAAATTGACACACACATGTAACTCAATAAGATCTACAAAAAAGTCAATGCGCGCGTATCTGTCAAATGTACAGTTAAAGGGTTATTCCGCATTATTTGCCGACACGCACACATTGGAATTTCGCTAACTCCTCCGAAGGCTTTCGTTCCACCGGCACCACATTTGCTCAAGCCAATCTACACCCCATGGCCATTAAAAGTTATTCAAATCATGATGCTGCACCCCATGGTTTAGGTTCTAGGGGGCGCCAAAAATAACCCAAAAATCCACATTCTTAAATGTTTCATAACTTTTTATTTTTGTCCTCACTGGCCTCCAAGTTTTCTAGGATGATGCAATGTCCAGCCATCAACACATTTGTGAAGGAATTTTTACTCCCCAAAAGAGCGCCCCCCCATGGTAGGAGAAAAAAGTCAATTTTTTCTTGTCCCCTTACATGAAAATACACATTGTCAATTTTTGTGTCAATATGACAAAGCGTTCAGGCGTGACACTCAACAATCATGTGTATCTCAATTAGATCTACGAAAAAGTCAAAGAGCGCGTATCTGTATAATGTACGGTTAAAGGGCTATTTTGCATTTTTTGCCGATTCGCACACATTGGAATGTGGCTATCTCCTCCTAAGGCTTTCGTCCCACCGATACCAAATTTGCTCAGGGCAATCTACACCCCATGCCCATTCAAAGTTGTAAAAATCATGACGCTGCACCCCACGGTTTACGTTCTAGGGGGCGCCAAAGATGACCCAAAAATCCACATTCTTAAAAGTCATTTTGGCCACTGCAGGAGTACAGAGTACTGCAGTTCTAGGGGGCGCCAAAGATGACCCAAAAATCCACATTCTTAAAAGTCTTTTTGGCCACTGCAGGAGTACAGAGTACTGCAGGATACACACACATATACACACACGCCAACATACACACACACACACACACACACACACACACACACACACACACACAGACACACACACACACTCAGAGTCTGTTTTTTAGCACCTGCAAAAACATGCTGTTTACATATTTGACAAGAATGCAGAGGCTCCTTTTGCCCCTGAAAAAAATCAAATTTCAAACACAACTTGACTGTTCATTTCTCCAAAAGACAACCATGAAGCTCCATTTCAAACCTGAAGCAGATAGTTGGTGCATGTGTACAGTAACCTGAGGGGAGTGAGGTGACTATTTCTGAGGAGAACATGAGCAGTGAAGATTCACCTTGGAGCTAGAACAGGGACGTGCACATGATTATACAGGGGCAGGGGCTCAAGTTTTTTCCAGTCATTTATACAATATGGAAATTAATGTGAAATTAAACCACAAATATGTGTGATGAACTGTTTTTAAAACTTAAACTTCAAATAAAAATTGTAAACTTCAAAACATATGCAAATTTTTAACAAAGAACATAATAATTTACCTCTATTTTCATCAAAATGCAGGCAATGGCCCAGGCGTTCTTTGTAAAATTATTTACAAAACACTGTATAGTCTCACAAATGTCACTTTTTATTTATGCCACTACAAAAAAACATGATGTAAATGATGCATGATGTAAAACATGATGTAAAAAACTTGTGTAGATCCTCCTCTATGTCAGTCCATGTGTAATTTTTCCATAATTCTTTGTTTTTTGCAGCATTTTTGTTAGTGTAACTGCAGATTGTGCTGACAGTGTCTATGGCACAAAAAAAAAAAAAATTAAAATGCCTCAACATGAACCCCTGGTGGTCTCTGAGGGTGAAACCTGCTAACTGCTGCAGCTCTGTCAGCTTCAGTCTCCCATGCAGAGCTCTGAGCGCATGTGTGGCTCTGCACCCTTAGCAGCGTTGCTAACTCCTCAGTAAGGAAAGCCTGCTTCATGTCAGAGTCTCTAAACTCCAGAAGAAGTCGATAAAAGTCCCTTTCTTTCTAAAAAAAAGTCGTTAGGGGGTCTGAAAAGTCATTGAATCTAACAACAAAGTCGCTAGGTTTGCAACTACGTGTCCCAGACTGCATCCCTGCTGAGAGTCCCTCCCTCCCTTCTCATGTTGCAGGAAGAACGTAAGCGCCCGCCCCTTGTCAATCAGTCACCATATAATTTTGGATTGGTTGTTGTGGTGAAGTTTTCCACCAATAGGAGAGATGTTGTGGTGTGTTTTTTTTTTCTTTTGGCAAGCCTTTTCCGCCTGTAAGACCTGTCGCTAATGTCTGCATGCTATGTTTTCCTGTCTCATACAGCGCGATCGAGCGCCGAACGTGATCAAAATAAGCAGAAAAAAAGTATCGCGGACATAATTTATCATAACTCTGGTTTTATTTGGCCTATCAACACAATTTAAAAACTGGTATATAGGTTGAGGTCCTCACTTTTGAGATAAGTTGAAACGGAGAGTCAACGAGGCTCCGTCTTGCAGCTACATCCGGTTAAATATGTCATGTGACTTGAACGCACACACAGACACACACACACGCACACACACACACACACACACACACACACACACACACACACACACACACACACACACACACTCAGAGTCTGGTTTTTAGCACCTGCAAAAACATGCTATTTACATATTTGACAAGAATGCAGAGGCTCCTTTTGCCCCTGAAAAAAATCAAATTTCAAACACAACTTGACTGGTCATTTCTCCAAAAGACAACCATGAAGCTCCATCCAAACCTGAAGCAGGCAGTTGGTGCATGTGTACAGTAACCTGAGGGGAGTGAGGTGAGTGCTTCTGAGGAGAACATGAGCAGTGAAGATTCACTTTGGAGCTAGAACAGAGACATGCACATGATTATACAGGGGCAGGGGCTCAAGTTTTTTCCAGTCGTTTATACAATATGGAAATTAATGTGAAATTAAAACACAAAGTATTAATAGAAAGGTAATGACTGTCCTGTGTAGGTGACAGTGATATCCAATAGGCTAGGCACTCACGAGGCTGGCTGTGGCAAGTGTAAGTGAAAGCAACACGCACTGGCAGGAAGAACAGCAAACGCCGATGAAGGAAAAGGGTCTTTGCAGTGATGGGCGTTACCAGAGAGGGCGATGGCCAGAGGACACAAATGGGACGGGGAGGCAGCACGTTGGGGGGGGGGGGGACGCGACACGGCTCGGGCCCGCCAGTGCCCCAACGGGGTCCTAGTGGTTTGTTTTTAGGGCCCGAGCGTAGCTGCTAAGCAGCTGCGAGAGCCCTATTATTCCCCAAGTGGTTTTTCTTTGTTTCTTTCTTTCTTCTTTTTCCTCCCCTTTGAACTGGAAAATGGCCCACTTCCCACTGGCGAAAACTCATGAAATTTGGCAGGACGACCGGGCCTGGTGAAAAATTTGATATTCCGAAGTCGCCCAAACAAGAAAATGCAAAATGGCTCCATAGCGCCCCCTAAGGTGAAAATTCACACTATTGACTGTCACGCCTGTACGCTTTGTCAAAATGACACAAAAATTGACACACACATGTATCTCAATAAGATCTACAAAAAAGTCAGTGCGGGCGTATCTGTCAAATGTACGGTTAAAGGGTTATTTCGCATTTTTTGCCGATCCGCACACATTGGAATTTCGCTAACTCCTCCGAAGGCTTTCGTTCCACCGGCACCACATTTGCTCAGGCCAATCTACACCCCATGGCCATTAAAAGTTATTCAAATCATGACGCTGCACCCCACGGTTTAGGTTCTAGGGGGCGCCAAAGATAACCCAAAAATCCACATTTTTAAAAGTCTTATAACTTTTTATTTTTGTCCTCACTGGCCTCCAAGTTTTCTAGGATGATGCTATGTCCAGCCATCAACACATTTGTGAAGAAATTTTTACTCCCTGAAAGAGCGCCCCCCCATGGCAGGAGAAAAAAGTCCATTTTTTCTTGTCCCCTAAGGTGAAAATACACATTGTTGACTGTCACGCCTGTACGCTTTGGCGAAATGACACAAAAATTGACAATCATGTGTATCTCAATTAGATCTACGAAAAAGTCAAAGAGCGCGTATCTGTATAATGTACGGTAAAAGGGCTATTTTGCATTTTTTGCCGATTCGCACACATTGGAATTTCGCTTACTCCTCCTAAGGCTTTCGTCCCACTGACACCAAATTTGCTCAGGCCAATCTACACTCCATGGCCATTCAAAGTTGTAAAAATCATGACGCTGCACCCCACGGTTTACGTTTTAGGGGGCGCCAAAGATGACCCAAAAATCCACATTTTTAAAAGTCTTATAACTTTTTATTTTTGTCCTCACTGGCCTCCAAGTTTTCTAGGATGATGCTATGTCCAGCCATCAACACATTTGTGAAGGAATTTTTACTCCCTGAAAGAGCGCCCCCCCATGGCAGGAGAAAAAAGTCCATTTTTTCTTGTCCCCTAAGGTGAAAATACACATTGTTGACTGTCACGCCTGTACGCTTTGGCAAAATGACACAAAAATTGACAATCACATGTATCTCAATTAGATCTATGAAAAAGTCAAAGAGCGCGTATCTGTATAATGTACGGTAAAAGGGCTATTTTGCATTTTTTGCCGATTCGCACACATTGGAATTTCGCTAACTCCTCCTAAGGCTTTCGTCCCACTGACACCAAATTTGCTCAGGCCAATCTACACTCCATGGCCATTCAAAGTTGTAAAAATCATGACGCTGCACCCCACGGTTTACGTTTTAGGGGGCGCCAAAGATGACCCAAATATACATTACAGTAGACAAAGTAGTTTTGCCCACTGAGTGGCGCCAAAGGGACTTGTCTGTGGAGTCTGTGAGTCACTATTGGCCGTTTTTGACTACTTTAGATTTTACCTTTATATTTCCTCTTACAAAATTTTTACCTTGCCTTGCCTGGTATCATTTTTTTCAGCACAACCTCACCTGTGTCAATTTACAGTTATTTTATCATTTTGACATACTATATTTACACAATGGACCCAAATTCACACACAAAACATAAAATCCGAGTGGAAAAAAGTAACGTTTTTACTGTGAAAACCACAAATATGTGTGATGAACTGTTTTTAAAACTTAAACTTCAAATAAAAATTGTAAACTTCAAAACATATGCAAATTTTTAACAAAGAACATAGTAATTTACCTCTATTTACATCAAAATGCAGGCAATGGCCCAGGTGTTCTTTGTAAAATTATTTACAAAACACTGTATAGTCTCACAAATGTCACTTTTTATTTATGCCACTACAAAAAAACATGATGTAAATGATGCATGATGTAAAACATGATGTAAAAAACTTGTGTAGATCCTCCTCTATGTTAGTCCATGTGTAATTTTTCCATAATTCTTTGTTTTTTGCAGCATTTTTGTTAGTGTAACTGCAGATTGTGCTGACAGTGTCTATGGCAAAAAAAAAAAAAAAAAAAACTGAAAATGCCTCAACATGAACCCCTGGTGGTCTCTGAGGGTGAAACCTGCTAACTGCTGCAGCTCTGTCAGCTTCAGTCTCCCATGCAGAGCTCGGAGCGCATGTGTGGCTCTGCACCCTTAGCAGCGTTGCTAACTCCTCAGTAAGGAAAGCCTGCTTCATGTCAGAGTCTCTAAACTCCAGAAGAAGTCGATAAAAGTCACTTTCTTTCTAAAAAAAAGTCGTTAGGGGGTCTGAAAAGTCATTGAATCTAACAACAAAGTCGCTAGGTTTGCAACTACGTGTCCCAGACTGCATCCCTGCTGAGAGTCCCTCCCTCCCTTCTCATATTGCAGGAAGAACGTAAGTTCCCGCCCCTTGTCAATCAGTCACCATATAATTTTGGATTGGTTGTTGTGGTGAAGTTTTCCACCAATAGGAGAGATGTTGTGGTGTGTATTTTTTTTCCTTTGGCAAGCCTTTTCCGCCTGTAAGACCTGTCGCTAATGTCTGCATGCTATGTTTTCCTGTCTCATACAGCGCGATCGAGCGCCGAACGTGATCAAAATAAGCAGAAAACAAGTATCGCGGACATAATTTATCATAACTCTGGTTTTATTTGGCCTATCAACACAATTTAAAAACTGGTATATAGGTTGAGGTCCTCACTTTTGAGATAAATTGAAACGGAGAGTCAACGAGGCTCCGTCTTGCAGCTACATCCGGTTAAATATGTCATGTGACTTGAACGCACACACACACACACACACAGACACACACACACACGCACACACACACACTCAGAGTCTGGTTTGTAGCACCTGCAAAAACATGCTATTTACATATGTGACAAGAATGCAGAGGCTCCTTTTGCCCCTGAAAAAAATCAAATTTCAAACACAACTTGACTGGTCATTTCTCCAAAAGACAACCATGAAGCTCCATCCAAACCTGAAGCAGGCAGTTGGTGCATGTGTACAGTAACCTGAGGGGAGTGAGGTGAGTGCTTCTGAGGAGAACATGAGCAGTGAAGATTTACCTTAGAGCTAGAACAGAGACGTGCACATGATTATACAGGGGCAGGGGCTCAAGTTTTTTCCAGTCGTTTATACAATATGGAAATTAATGTGAAATTAAAACACAAAGTATTAATAGAAAGGTAATGACTGTCCTGTGTAGGTGACAGTGATATCCAATAGGCTAGGCACTCACGAGGCTGGCTGTGGCAAGTGTAAGTGAAAGCAACACGCACTGGCAGGAAGAACAGCAAACGCCGATGAAGGAAAAGGGTCTTTGCAGTGATGGGCGTTAACAGAGAGGGCGATGGCCAGAGGACACAAATGGGACGGGGAGGCAGCACGTTGGGGGGGGGGGGGGGGGGAGAGACGCGACACGGCTCGGGCCCGCCAGTGCCCCAACGGGGTCCTAGTTATTATTTTTCCTCCCCTTTGAACTGGAAAATGGCCCACTTCCCACTGGCGAAAACTCATGAAATTTGGCAGGACGACCGGGCCTGGTGAAAAATTCGATATTCTGAAGTCGCCCAAACAATAAAATGCAAAATGGCTCCATAGCGCCCCCTAAGGTGAAAATTCACACTATTGACTGTCACGCCTTTACGCTTTGGCAAAATGACACAAAAATTGACACACACATGTATCTCAATAAGATCTACGAAAAAGTCAGTGCGGGCGTATCTGTCAAAATTACGGTTAAAGGGTTATTTCGCATTTTTTGCCGATCCACACACATCGGAATTTCGCTAACTCCTCTGAAGACTTTCGTTCCATCGGCACAACATTTGCTCAGGTCAATCTACACCCCATGGCCATTAAAAGTTATTCAAATCATGACGCTGCACCCCACGGTTTAGGTTCTAGGGGGCGCCAAAGATAACCCTAAAATCCACATATTTAAAAGTCTTATAACTTTTTATTTTTGTCCCCACTGGCCTCTAAGTTTTCTAGGATGATGCAATGTCCAGCCATCAACACATTTGTGAAGGAATTTTTACTCCCCAAAAGAGCGCCCCCCCATGGCAGGAGAAAAAAGTCAATTTTTTCTTGTCCACTAAGGTGAAAATACACATTGTTGAGTGCTTCGCCTGTATGTTTTGTCATATTGACACAAAATTTGACAATCACGTGTATCTCAATAAGATCTACGAAAAAGTCAATGCGCGCGTATCTGTAAAATGTACGGTTAAAGGGCAATTTCGCATTTTTTGCCGATCCGCACACATTGGAATTTCGCTAACTCCTCCGAAGGCTTTCATTCCACCGGCAACACATTTGCTCAGGCCAATCTACACCCCATGGCCATTAAAAGTTATTCAAATCATGAAGCTGCACCCCACGGTTTAGGTTCTAGGGGGCGCCAAAAATAACCCTAAAATCCACATATTTAAAAGTCTTATAACTTTTTATTTTTGTCCTCACTGGCCTCCAAGTTTTCTAGGATGATGCAATGTCCAGCCATCAACACATCTGTGAAGGAATTTTTACTCCCCAAAAGAGCGCCCCCCCATGGCAGGAGAAAAAAGTCCATTTTTTCTTGTCCCCTAAGGTGAAAATACACATTGTTGAGTGTCACGCCTGTATGCTTTGGCAAAATGACACAAAAATTGACACACACATGTATCTCAATAAGATCTACAAAAAAGTCTATGCGCGCGTATCTGTCAAATGTACGGTTAAAGGGTTATTCCGCATTTTTTGGCCAATACGCACACATTGGAATTTCGCTAACTCCTCCGAAGGCTTTCGTTCCACCGGCACCACATTTGCTCAGGCCAATCTACACCCCATGGCCATTAAAAGTTATTCAAATTATGATGCTGCACCCCACGGTCTAGGTTCTAGGGGGCGCCAAATATAACCCTAAAATCCACATATTTAAAAGTCTTATAACTTTTTATTTTTGTCCTCACTGGCCTCCAAGTTTTCTAGGATGATGCAATGTCCAGCCATCAACACATTTGTGAAGGAATTTTTACTCCCCAAAAGAGCGCCCCCCCATGGCAGGAGAAAAAAGTCATTTTTTTCTTGTCCCCTAAGGTGAAAATTCACATTGTTGAGTGTGACACCTGTACGCTTTGTCAAAATGACACAAAAATTGACACACACATGTATCTCAATAAGATCTACGAAAAAGGAGGAGGAGCAACCTGCCATTTGGATATATCCTAGCTGTGTTTGTGCCCTCACTCATGGTCCAGACTTTTTTCAAATAGGACATGTAGTTTGTCTGCAGTGAGTGTTTTGGTAGAAACTGCGCCTCCCATTCATTATAATGATAAATGACCACAGACAAGTGCGCACACCATCTTTGGACCTTGAGTGTGACGCGATCGGGAGGGGGAGGCGGTCGCGCTGGGGGCGGCGCGACGCGGCTCGGGCCCGACAGTGCCCCACCGGGGCCCTAGTTAGGGCCCGAGCGTAGCTGCTAAGCAGCTGCGAGAGCCCTCTTGTTCCTGCATGTTTCCTTCTTTCGTTATTATTTTTCCTCCGCTTTAAACTGGAAAATGGCCCACTTCCCACCGGCGAAAACTCAGGAAATTTGGCAGGACGACCGGGCCTGGTGAAAAATTCGATATTCTGAAGTCGCCCAAACAATAAAATGCAAAATGGCTCCATAGCGCCCCCTAAGGTGAAAATTCACATGACGGCTGTACGCTTTGTCATATTGACACAAAAATTGACACACACATGTATCTCAATAAGATCTACAAAAAAGTCAGTGCGGGCGTATCTGTCAAATGTACGGTTAATGGGTTATTTTGCATTTTTTGCAGATCTGCACACATTGGAATTTCGCTAACTCCTCCGAAGGCTTTCGTTCGACCGGCACCACATTTGCGCAGGCCAATCTACCCCCCATGGCCATTAAAAGTTGTACAAATCATGACGCTGCACCCCACGGTTTACGTTCTAGGGGGCGCCAAAGATAACCCAAAAATCCACATTCTTAAAAGTCTTATAACTTTTTATTTTTGTCCTCACTGCCCTCCAAGTTTTCTAGGATGATGCAATGTCCAGCCATCAACACATTTGTGAAGGAATTTTTACTCCCCAAAAGAGCGCCCCCCCATGGCAGGAGAAAAAAGTCAATTTTTTCTTGTCCCCTTACATGAAAATACACATTGTTGAGTGTCACGCCTGAACGCTTTGTCATATTGACACAAAAATTGACAATCATGTGTATCTCAATTAGATCTACGAAAAAGTCAAAGAGCGCGTATCTGTATAATGTACGGTTAAAGGGCTATTTCGCATTTTTTGCCGATTCGCACACATTGGAATGTGGCTATCTCCTCCTAAGGCTTTCGTCCCACCGATACCAAATTTGCTCAGGGCAATCTACACCCCATGCCCATTCAAAGTTGTAAAAATCATGACGCTGCACCCCACGGTTTACGTTCTAGGGGGCGCCAAAGATGACCCAAAAATCCACATTCTTAAAAGTCATTTTGGCCACTGCAGGAGTACAGAGTACTGCAGTTCTAGGGGCGCCAAAGATGACCCAAAAATCCACATTCTTAAAAGTCTTTTTGGCCACTGCAGGAGTACAGAGTACTGCAGGATACACACACATATACACACACACACACACACACACACACACACACACACTCAGAGTCTGTTTTTTAGCACCTGCAAAAACATGCTGTTTACATATTTGACAAGAATGCAGAGGCTTCCTTTTGCCCCTGAAAAAAATCAGATTTCAAACACAACTTGACTGTTCATTTCTCCAAAAGACAACCATGAAGCTCCATCCAAACCTGAAGCAGATAGTTGGTGCATGTGTACAGTAACCTGAGGGGAGTGAGGTGACTATTTCTGAGGAGAACATGAGCAGTGAAGATTCACCTTGGAGCTAGAACAGGGACGTGCACATGATTATACAGGGGCAGGGGCTCAAGTTTTTTCCAGTCATTTATACAATATGGAAATTAATGTGAAATTAAACCACAAATATGTGTGATGAACTGTTTTTAAAACTTAAACTTCAAATAAAAATTGTAAACTTCAAAACATATGCAAATTTTTAACAAAGAACATAGTAATTTACCTCTATTTACATCAAAATGCAGGCAATGGCCCAGGCGTTCTTTGTAAAATTATTTACAAAACACTGTATAGTCTCACAAATGTCACTTTTTATTTATGCCACTACAAAAAAACATGATGTAAATGATGCATGATGTAAAACATGATGTAAAAAACTTGTGTAGATCCTCCTCTATGTCAGTCCATGTGTAATTTTTCCATAATTCTTTGTTTTTTGCAGCATTTTTGTTAGTGTAACTGCAGATTGTGCTGACAGTCTATGGCAAAAAAAACAAAAACTGAAAATGCCTCAACATGAACCCCTGGTGGTCTCTGAGGGTGAAACCTGCTAACTGCTGCAGCTCTGTCAGCTTCAGTCTCCCATGCAGAGCTCGGAGCGCATGTGTGGCTCTGCACCCTTATCAGCGTTGCTAACTCCTCAGTAAGGAAAGCCTGCTTCATGTCAGAGTCTCTAAACTCCAGAAGAAGTCGATAAAAGTCCCTTTCTTTCTAAAAAAAGTCGTTAGGGGGTCTGAAAAGTAATTGAATCTAACAACAAAGTCGCTAGGTTTGCAACTACGTGTCCCAGACTGCATCCCTGCTGAGAGTCCCTCCCTCCCTTCTCATGTTGCAGGAAGAACGTAAGCGCCCGCACCTTGTCATTCAGTCACCATATAATTTTGGATTGGTTGTTGTGGTGAAGTTTTCCACCAATAGGAGAGATGTTGTGGTGTGTTTTTTTTTTCTTTTGGCAAGCCTTTTCCGCCTGTAAGACCTGTCGCTAATGTCTGCATGCTATGTTTTCCTGTCTCATACAGCGCGATCGAGCGCCGAACGTGATCAAAATAAGCAGAAAAAAAGTATTGCGGACATAATTTATCATAACTCTGGTTTTATTTGGCCTATCAACACAATTTAAAAACTGGTATATAGGTTGAGGTCCTCACTTTTGAGATAAGTTGAAACGGAGAGTTAACGAGGCTCCGTCTTGCAACTACATCCGGTTAAATATGTCATGTGACTTGAACGCTGGGGAGCGTCAATCGAATCGAATCAAACCTAACTCTCAGATGAATCTTCAAAATTCACCTCAGAAATATGCTTATTATTCTTCTCAGAGTACTGCAGGATACACACACACACACACACACACAGACACACACACACACACGCACACACACACACACACACACTCAGAGTCTGTTTTTTAGCACCTGCAAAAACATGCTATTTACATATTTGACAAGAATGCAGAGGCTTCCTTTTGCCCCTGAAAAAAATCAAATTTCAAACACAACTTGACTGCTCATTTCTCCAAAAGACAACCATGAAGCTCCATCCAAACCTGAAGCAGGCAGTTGGTGCATGTGTACAGTAACCTGAGGGGAGTGAGGTGACTGCTTCTGAGGAGAACATGAGCAGTGAAGATTCACCTTGGAGCTAGAACAGGGACGTGCACATGATAATACAGGGGCAGGGGCTCAAGTTTTTTCCAGTCGTTTATACAATATGGAAATTAATGTGAAATTAAAAAACAAAGTATGACTGTCCTGTGTAGGTGACAGTGATATCCAATATGCTAGGCACTCACGAGGCTGGCTGTGGCAAGTGTAAGTGAAAGCAACACGCACTGGCAGGAAGAACAGCAAACGCCGATGAAGGAAAAGGGTCTTTGCTGTGATGGGCGTTACCAGAGAGGGCGATGGCCAGAGGACACGAATGGGACGGGGAGGCAGCGCGTTGGGGGGGGGGGGGTGCGACACGGCTCGGGCCCGCCAGTGCCCCAACGGGGCCCTAGTTAGGGCCCGAGCGTAGCTGCTAAGCAGCTGCGAGAGCCCTCTTGTTCCTGTAGTTTCCTTCTTTTGTTATTATTATTATTAGGGCCCGAGCCAGCTGCAGAGCAGCCGGGCGTAGGCCCTATTATTCCCCAAGTGGTTTTTCTTTGTTTCTTTCTTTCTTTTTTCTTTTTCCTCCCCTTTGAACTGGAAAATGGCCCACTTCCCACTGGCGAAAACTCATGAAATTTGGCAGGACGACCGGGCCTGGTGAAAAATTTGATATTCTGAAGTCGCCCAAACAATAAAATGCAAAATGGCTCCATAGCGCCCCCTAAGGTAGAAATTCACACTATTGACTGTCACGCCTGTACGCTTTGTCATATTGACACAAAAATTGACACACATATGTATCTCAATAAGATCTACAAAAAAGTCAGTGCGGCCGTATCTGTCAAATGTACGGTTAAAGGGTTATTTCGCATTTTTTTCCGATCCGCACACATTGGAATTTCGCTAACTCCTCCGAAGGCTTTCGTTCCACCGGCACCACATTTGCTCAGGCCAATCTACACCCCGTGGCCATTAAAAGTTATCAAAATCATGACGCTGCACCCCAAGGTTTAGGTTCTAGGGGGCGCCAAAGATAACACTAAAATCCACATATTTAAAAGTCTTATATCTTTTTATTTTTGTCCTCACTGGCCTCCAAGTTTTCTAGGATGATGCAATGTCCAGCCATCAACACATTTGTGAAGGAATTTTTACTCCCCAAAAGAGCGCCCCCCCATGGCAGGAGAAAAAAGTCCATTTTTTCTTGTCCCCTAAGGTGAAAATACACATTGTTGAGTGTCACGCCTATACGCTTTGTCAAAATGACACAAAAATTGACACACACATGTAACTCAATAAGATCTACAAAAAAGTCCATGCGCGCGTATCTGTCAAATGTATAGTTAAAGGGTTATTCCGCATTTTTTGCCGATACGCACACATTGGAATTTCGCTAACTCCTCCGAAGGCTTTCGTTCCACCGGCACCATATTTGCTCAGGCCAATCTACACCCCATGGCCATTAAAAGTTATTCAAATCATGATGCTGCACCCCATGGTTTAGGTTCTAGGGGGCGCCAAAAATAACCCAAAAATCCACATTCTTAAATGTTTTATAACTTTTTATTTTTGTCCTCACTGGCCTCCAAGTTTTCTAGGATGATGCAATGTCCAGCCATCAACACATTTGTGAAGGAATTTTTACTCCCCAAAAGAGCGCCCCCCCATGGTAGGAGAAAAAAGTCAATTTTTTCTTGTCCCCTTACATGAAAATACACATTGTTGAGTGTCACGCCTGAACGCTTTGTCATATTGACACAAAAATTGACAATCATGTGTATCTCAATTAGATCTACGAAAAAGTCAAAGAGCGCGTATCTGTATAATGTACGGTTAAAGGGCTATTTTGCATTTTTTGCCGATTCGCACACATTGGAATGTGGCTATCTCCTCCTAAGGCTTTCGTCCCACCGATACCAAATTTGCTCAGGGCAATCTACACCCCATGCCCATTCAAAGTTGTAAAAATCATGACGCTGCACCCCACGGTTTACGTTCTAGGGGGCGCCAAAGATGACCCAAAAATCCACATTCTTAAAAGTCATTTTGGCCACTGCAGGAGTACAGAGTACTGCAGTTCTAGGGGGCGCCAAAGATGACCCAAAAATCCACATTCTTAAAAGTCTTTTTGGCCACTGCTGGAGTACAGAGTACTGCAGGATACACACACATATACACACACTCCCACATACACACACACACACACACACACACACACACACACACACACACACACACACACACACACACACACACACACACTCAGAGTCTGTTTTTTAGCACCTGCAAAAACATGCTGTTTACATATTTGACAAGAATGCAGAGGCTTCCTTTTGCCCCTGAAAAAAATCAAATTTCAAACACAACTTGACTGTTCATTTCTCCAAAAGACAACCATGAAGCTCCATTTCAAACCTGAAGCAGATAGTTGGTGCATGTGTACAGTAACCTGAGGGGAGTGAGGTGACTATTTCTGAGGAGAACATGAGCAGTGAAGATTCACCTTGGAGCTAGAACAGGGACGTGCACATGATTATACAGGGGCAGGGGCTCAAGTTTTTTCCAGTCGTTTATACAATATGGAAATTAATGTGAAATTAAACCACAAATATGTGTGATGAACTGTTTTTAAAACTTAAACTTCAAATAAAAATTGTAAACTTCAAAACATATGCAAATTTTTAACAAAGAACATAGTGATTTACCTCTATTTACATCAAAATGCAGGCAATGGCCCAGGCGTTCTTTGTAAAATTATTTACAAAACACTGTATAGTCTCACAAATGTCACTTTTTATTTATGCCACTACAAAAAAACATGATGTAAATGATGCATGATGTAAAACATGATGTAAAAAACTTGTGTAGATCCTCCTGTATGTCAGTCCATGTGTAATTTTTCCATAATTCTTTGTTTTTTGCAGCATTTTTGTTAGTGTAACTGCAGATTGTGCTGACAGTGTCTATGGCACAAAAAAAAAAAAAATTAAAATGCCTCAACATGAACCCCTGGTGGTCTCTGAGGGTGAAACCTGCTAACTGCTGCAGCTCTGTCAGCTTCAGTCTCCCATGCAGAGCTCTGAGCGCATGTGTGGCTCTGCACCCTTAGCAGCGTTGCTAACTCCTCAGTAAGGAAAGCCTGCTTCATGTCAGAGTCTCTAAACTCCAGAAGAAGTCGATAAAAGTCCCTTTCTTTCTAAAAAAAAGTCGTTAGGGGGTCTGAAAAGTCATTGAATCTAACAACAAAGTCGCTAGGTTTGCAACTACGTGTCCCAGACTGCATCCCTGCTGAGAGTCCCTCCCTCCCTTCTCATGTTGCAGGAAGAACGTAAGCGCCCGCCCCTTGTCAATCAGTCACCATATAATTTTGGATTGGTTGTTGTGGTGAAGTTTTCCACCAATAGGAGAGATGTTGTGGTGTGTTTTTTTTTTCTTTTGGCAAGCCTTTTCCGCCTGTAAGAGCTGTCGCTAATGTCTGCATGCTATGTTTTCCTGTCTCATACAGCGCGATTGAGCGCCGAACGTGATCAAAATAAGCAGAAAAAAAGTATCGCGGACATAATTTATCATAACTCTGGTTTTATTTGGCCTACCAACACAATTTAAAAACTGGTATATAGGTTGAGGTCCTCACTTTTGAGATAAGTTGAAACGGAGAGTCAACGAGGCTCCGTCTTGCAGCTACATCCGGTTAAATATGTCATGTGACTTGAACGCACACACAGACACACACACGCACACACACACACACACACACACACTCAGAGTCTGGTTTTTAGCACCTGCAAAAACATGCTATTTACATATTTGACAAGAATGCAGAGGCTCCTTTTGCCCCTGAAAAAAATCAAATTTCAAACACAACTTGACTGGTCATTTCTCCAAAAGACAACCATGAAGCTCCATCCAAACCTGAAGCAGGCAGTTGGTGCATGTGTACAGTAACCTGAGGGGAGTGAGGTGAGTGCTTCTGAGGAGAACATGAGCAGTGAAGATTCACCTTGGAGCTAGAACAGAGACATGCACATGATTATACAGGGGCAGGGGCTCAAGTTTTTTCCAGTCGTTTATACAATATGGAAATTAATGTGAAATTAAAACACAAAGTATTAATAGAAAGGTAATGACTGTCCTGTGTAGGTGACAGTGATATCCAATAGGCTAGGCACTCACGAGGCTGGCTGTGGCAAGTGTAAGTGAAAGCAACACGCACTGGCAGGAAGAACAGCAAACGCCGATGAAGGAAAAGGGTCTTTGCAGTGATGGGCGTTACCAGAGAGGGCGATGGCCAGAGGACACAAATGGGACGGGGAGGCAGCACGTTGGGGGGGGACGCGACACGGCTCGGGCCCGCCAGTGCCCCAACGGGGTCCTAGTTATTATTATTTTTCCTCCGCTTTAAACTGGAAAATGGCCCACTTCCCACTGGCGAAAACTCAGGAAATTTGGCAGGACGACCGGGCCTGGTGAAAAATTCGATATTCTGAAGTCGCCCAAACAATAAAATGCAAAATGGCTCCATAGCGCCCCCTAAGGTGAAAATTCACACTATTGACTGTCACGCCTGTACGCTTTGTCATATTGACACAAAAATTGACACACACATGTATCTCAATAAGATCTACAAAAAAGTCAGTGCGGGCGTATCTGTCAAATGTACGGTTAAAGGGTTATTGCGCATTTTTTCCGATCTGCACACATTGGAATTTCGCTAACTCCTCCGAAGGCTTTCGTTCCACCGGCACCACATTTGCTCAGGCCAATCTACACTCCATGGCCATTCAAAGTTGTACAAATCATGACGCTGCACCCCACGGTTTAGGTTCTAGGGGGCGCCAAAAATAACCCAAAAATCCACATTCTTAAAAGTTTTATAACTTTTTTTTTTTGTCCTCACTGGCCTCCAAGTTTTCTAGGATGATGCAATGTCCAGCCATCAACACATTTGTGAAGGAATTTTTACTCCCCAAAAGAGCGCCCCCCCATGGCAGGAAAAAAAAGTCAATTTTTTCTTGTCCCCTAAGGTGAAAATACACATTGTTGAGATTCACGCCTGTACGCTTTGTCATATTGACAAAAAATTTGACACACACGTGTATCTCAATAAGATCTACGAAAAAGTCAATGCACGCGTATCTGTAAACTGTACGGCTAAAGGGCTATTTTGCATTTTTTGCTGATTCGCACACATTGGAATGTGGCTGACTCCTCCTAAGGATTTCGTCCCACTGACAACAAATTTGCTCAGAGCAATCTACACCCCATGGCCATTAAAAGTTGTAAAAATCATGACGCTGCACCCCATGGTTTACGTTCTAGGGGGCGCCAAAGAGGACCCAAAAATCCACATTCTTAAAAGTCTTAGAACTTTTTATTTTTGTCCTCACTGGCCTCCAAGTTTTCTAGGATGATGCAATGTCTAGCCATCAACACATTTGTGAAGGAATTTTTACTCCCCAAAACAGCGCCCCCCATGGCCGGAGAAAAAGTCAAGTTTTTCCTGCCCATCGCTCAATGGCTCAATCGCATCGCTCTCCAGGCAACACCGTAAGGAGGAGCAACCTGCCATTTGGATATATCCTAGCTGTGTTTGTGCCCTCACTCATGGTCCAGACTTTTTTCAAATAGGACATGTAGTTTGTCTGCAGCGAGCGTTTTGGTAGAAACTGCGCCTCCCATTCATTATAATGGTAAATGACCACAGACAAGTGCGAACACCATCTTTGGACCTTGAGTGTGACGCGGTCGTGTTGGGGGCGGCGCGACACAGCTCGGGCCCGCCAGTGCCCCAACGGGGCCCTAGTTATTATTTTTCCTCCCCTTTGAACTGGAAAATGGCCCACTTCCCACTGGCGAAAACTCATGAAATTTGGCAGGACGACCGGGCCTGGTGAAAAATTTGATATTCCGAAGTCGCCCAAACAAGAAAATGCAAAATGGCTCCATAGCGCCCCCTAAGGTGAAAATTCACACTATTCACTGTCACGCCTGTACGCTTTGTCAAAATGACACAAAAATTGACACACACATGTATCTTAATAAGATCTACAAAAAAGTCAGTGCGGGCGTATCTGTCAAATGTACGGTTAAAGGGTTATTTCGCATTTTTTGCCGATCCGCACACATTGGAATTTCGCTAACTCCTCCGAAGGCTTTCGTTCCACCGGCACCACATTTGCTCAGGCCAATCTACACCCCATGGCCATTAAAAGTTATTCAAATCATGACGCTGCACCCCACGGTTTAGGTTCTAGGGGGCGCCAAAGATAACCCTAAGATCCACATATTTAAAAGTCTTATAACTTTTTATTTTTGCCCTCACTGGCCTCCAAGTTTTCTAGGATGATGCAATGTCCAGCCATCAACACATTTGTGAAGGAATTTTTACTCCCCAAAAGAGCGCCCCCCCATGGCAGGAGAAAAAAGTCCATTTTTTCTTGTCCCCTAAGGTGAAAATACACATTGTTGAGTGTAACACCTGTACGCTTTGGCAAAATGACACAAAAATTGACACACACATGTATCTCAATAAGATCTACGAAAAAGTCAATGCGCGGGTATCTGTCAAATGTACGGTTAAAGGGTTATTCCGCATTTTTTGCCGATCCGCACACATTGGAATTTCGCTAACTCCTCCGAAGGCTTTCGTTCCACCGGCACCACATTTGCTCAGGCCAATCTACACCCCATGGCCATTAAAAGTTATTCAAATCATGACGCTGCACCCCACGGTTTAGGTTCTAGGGGGAGCCAAAGATAACCGTAAAATCCACATATTTAAAAGTCTTATAACTTTTTATTTTTGTCCCCACTGGCCTCCAAGTTTTCTAGGATGATGCAATGTCCAGCCATCAACACATTTGTGAAGGAATTTTTACTCGCCAAAAGAGCGCCCCCCATGGCAGGAGAAGAAAGTCAATTTTTTCTTGTCCACTAAGGTGAAAATACACATTGTTGAGTGCTACGCCTGTATGTTTTTTCGTATTGACACAAAATTTTACATACACGTGTATTTCAATAAGATCTTCGAAAAAGTCAATGGCCACGTATCTGTAAAATGTACGGTTAAAGGGTTATTTCGCATTTTTTGCAGATTCGCACACATTGGAATTTCGCTAATTCCTCCGAAGGCTTTCGTTCCACCGGCACCACATTTGCTCAGGCCAATCTACACCCCATGGCCATTAAAAGTTATTCAAATCATGACGCTGCACCCCACGGTTTAGGTTCTAGGGGGCGCCAAATATAACCCTAAAATCCACATATTTAAAAGTCTTATAACTTTTTATTTTTGTCCTCACTGGCCTCCATGTTTTCTAGGATGATGCAATGTCCAGCCATCAACACATTTGTGAAGGAGTTTTTTCTCTTTAAAAGAGCGCCCCCCCATGGCAGGAGAATAAAGTCAAGTTTTTCCTGTTCATCATTCAATGGCTCAAACGCACTGCTCTCTCGGCAAAAGCGAAAGGAGGAGCAACTTGCCATTTGGATATATCTTAGCTGTGTTTGTGCCCTCACTCATGGTCCAGACTTTTTTCAAATAGGACATGGAGTTTTTCTGCAGCGAGCGTTTTGGTAGAAACTGCGCCTCCCGTTCATTATAATGGTAAATGACCACAAACAAGTGCGCACACCATCTTTGGACCTTGAGTGTGACGCGATCGGGTGGGGGAGGCGGTCGCGCTGGGGGCGGCGTGACACGGCTCGGGCCCGCCAGTGCCCCAACGGGGCCCTAGTTCTTTCTTTCTTAGGGCCCGAGCCAGCTGCAGAGCAGCCGGGCGTAGGCCCTATTATTCCCCAAGTGGTTTTTCTTTGTTTCTTTCTTTCTTTTTTCTTTTTCCTCCCCTTTGAACTGGAAAATGGCCCACTTCCCACTGGCGAAAACTCATGAAATTTGGCAGGACGACCGGGCCTGGTGAAAAATTTGATATTCTGAAGTCGCCCAAACAATAAAATGCAAAATGGCTCCATAGCGCCCCCTAAGGTAGAAATTCACACTATTGACTGTCACGCCTGTACGCTTTGTCATATTGACACAAAAATTGACACACATATGTATCTCAATAAGATCTACAAAAAAGTCAGTGCGGCCGTATCTGTCAAATGTACGGTTAAAGGGTTATTTCGCATTTTTTTCCGATCCGCACACATTGGAATTTCGCTAACTCCTCCGAAGGCTTTCGTTCCACCGGCACCACATTTGCTCAGGCCAATCTACACCCCGTGGCCATTAAAAGTTATCAAAATCATGACGCTGCACCCCAAGGTTTAGGTTCTAGGGGGCGCCAAAGATAACACTAAAATCCACATATTTAAAAGTCTTATAACTTTTTATTTTTGTCCTCACTGGCCTCCAAGTTTTCTAGGATGATGCAATGTCCAGCCATCAACACATTTGTGAAGGAATTTTTACTCCCCAAAAGAGCGCCCCCCCATGGCAGGAGAAAAAAGTCCATTTTTTCTTGTCCCCTAAGGTGAAAATACACATTGTTGAGTGTCACGCCTATACGCTTTGTCAAAATGACACAAAAATTGACACACACATGTAACTCAATAAGATCTACAAAAAAGTCCATGCGCGCGTATCTGTCAAATGTATAGTTAAAGGGTTATTCCGCATTTTTTGCCGATACGCACACATTGGAATTTCGCTAACTCCTCCGAAGGCTTTCGTTCCACCGGCACCATATTTGCTCAGGCCAATCTACACCCCATGGCCATTAAAAGTTATTCAAATCATGATGCTGCACCCCATGGTTTAGGTTCTAGGGGGCGCCAAAAATAACCCAAAAATCCACATTCTTAAATGTTTTATAACTTTTTATTTTTGTCCTCACTGGCCTCCAAGTTTTCTAGGATGATGCAATGTCCAGCCATCAACACATTTGTGAAGGAATTTTTACTCCCCAAAAGAGCGCCCCCCATGGTAGGAGAAAAAAGTCAATTTTTTCTTGTCCCCTTACATGAAAATACACATTGTTGAGTGTCACGCCCTGAACGCTTTGTCATATTGACACAAAAATTGACAATCATGTGTATCTCAATTAGATCTACGAAAAAGTCAAAGAGCGCGTATCTGTATAATGTACGGTTAAAGGGCTATTTCGCATTTTTTGCCGATTCGCACACATTGGAATGTGGCTATCTCCTCCTAAGGCTTTCGTCCCACCGATACCAAATTTGCTCAGGGCAATCTACACCCCATGCCCATTCAAAGTTGTAAAAATCATGACGCTGCACCCCACGGTTTACGTTCTAGGGGGCGCCAAAGATGACCCAAAAATCCACATTCTTAAAAGTCATTTTGGCCACTGCAGGAGTACAGAGTACTGCAGTTCTAGGGGGCGCCAAAGATGACCCAAAAATCCACATTCTTAAAAGTCTTTTTGGCCACTGCAGGAGTACAGAGTACTGCAGGATACACACACATATACACACACGCCAACATACACACACACACACACACACACACACACACACACACACACACACACACACACACACACACACACACACACACACACACACTCAGAGTCTGTTTTTTAGCACCTGCAAAAACATGCTGTTTACATATTTGACAAGAATGCAGAGGCTTCCTTTTGCCCCTGAAAAAAATCAAATTTCAAACACAACTTGACTGTTCATTTCTCCAAAAGACAACCATGAAGCTCCATTTCAAACCTGAAGCAGATAGTTGGTGCATGTGTACAGTAACCTGAGGGGAGTGAGGTGACTATTTCTGAGGAGAACATGAGCAGTGAAGATTCACCTTGGAGCTAGAACAGGGACGTGCACATGATTATACAGGGGCAGGGGCTCAAGTTTTTTCCAGTCGTTTATACAATATGGAAATTAATGTGAAATTAAACCACAAATATGTGTGATGAACTGTTTTTAAAACTTAAACTTCAAATAAAAATTGTAAACTTCAAAACATATGCAAATTTTTAACAAAGAACATAGTGATTTACCTCTATTTACATCAAAATGCAGGCAATGGCCCAGGCGTTCTTTGTAAAATTATTTACAAAACACTGTATAGTCTCACAAATGTCACTTTTTATTTATGCCACTACAAAAAAACATGATGTAAATGATGCATGATGTAAAACATGATGTAAAAAACTTGTGTAGATCCTCCTGTATGTCAGTCCATGTGTAATTTTTCCATAATTCTTTGTTTTTTGCAGCATTTTTGTTAGTGTAACTGCAGATTGTGCTGACAGTGTCTATGGCACAAAAAAAAAAAAAATTAAAATGCCTCAACATGAACCCCTGGTGGTCTCTGAGGGTGAAACCTGCTAACTGCTGCAGCTCTGTCAGCTTCAGTCTCCCATGCAGAGCTCTGAGCGCATGTGTGGCTCTGCACCCTTAGCAGCGTTGCTAACTCCTCAGTAAGGAAAGCCTGCTTCATGTCAGAGTCTCTAAACTCCAGAAGAAGTCGATAAAAGTCCCTTTCTTTCTAAAAAAAAGTCGTTAGGGGGTCTGAAAAGTCATTGAATCTAACAACAAAGTCGCTAGGTTTGCAACTACGTGTCCCAGACTGCATCCCTGCTGAGAGTCCCTCCCTCCCTTCTCATGTTGCAGGAAGAACGTAAGCGCCCGCCCCTTGTCAATCAGTCACCATATAATTTTGGATTGGTTGTTGTGGTGAAGTTTTCCACCAATAGGAGAGATGTTGTGGTGTGTTTTTTTTTTCTTTTGGCAAGCCTTTTCCGCCTGTAAGAGCTGTCGCTAATGTCTGCATGCTATGTTTTCCTGTCTCATACAGCGCGATTGAGCGCCGAACGTGATCAAAATAAGCAGAAAAAAAGTATCGCGGACATAATTTATCATAACTCTGGTTTTATTTGGCCTACCAACACAATTTAAAAACTGGTATATAGGTTGAGGTCCTCACTTTTGAGATAAGTTGAAACGGAGAGTCAACGAGGCTCCGTCTTGCAGCTACATCCGGTTAAATATGTCATGTGACTTGAACGCACACACAGACACACACACGCACACACACACACACACACACACACTCAGAGTCTGGTTTTTAGCACCTGCAAAAACATGCTATTTACATATTTGACAAGAATGCAGAGGCTCCTTTTGCCCCTGAAAAAAATCAAATTTCAAACACAACTTGACTGGTCATTTCTCCAAAAGACAACCATGAAGCTCCATCCAAACCTGAAGCAGGCAGTTGGTGCATGTGTACAGTAACCTGAGGGGAGTGAGGTGAGTGCTTCTGAGGAGAACATGAGCAGTGAAGATTCACCTTGGAGCTAGAACAGAGACATGCACATGATTATACAGGGGCAGGGGCTCAAGTTTTTTCCAGTCGTTTATACAATATGGAAATTAATGTGAAATTAAAACACAAAGTATTAATAGAAAGGTAATGACTGTCCTGTGTAGGTGACAGTGATATCCAATAGGCTAGGCACTCACGAGGCTGGCTGTGGCAAGTGTAAGTGAAAGCAACACGCACTGGCAGGAAGAACAGCAAACGCCGATGAAGGAAAAGGGTCTTTGCAGTGATGGGCGTTACCAGAGAGGGCGATGGCCAGAGGACACAAATGGGACGGGGAGGCAGCACGTTGGGGGGACGCGACACGGCTCGGGCCCGCCAGTGCCCCAACGGGGTCCTAGTTTCTTCTTTTTCCTCCCCTTTGAACTGGAAAATGGCCCACTTCCCACTGGCGAAAACTCATGAAATTTGGCAGGACGACCGGGCCTGGTGAAAAATTCGATATTCTGAAGTCGCCCAAACAATAAAATGCAAAATGGCTCCATAGCGCCCCCTAAGGTGGAAATTCACACTATTGACTGTCACGCCTGTACGCTTTGTCATATTGACACAAAAATTGACACACATATGTATCTCAATAAGATCTACAAAAAAGTCAGTGCGGCCGTATCTGTCAAAATTACGGTTAAAGGGTTATTTCGCATTTTTTGCCGATCCGCACACATTGGAATTTCGCTAACTCCTCCGAAGGCTTTCGTTCCACCGGCACCACATTTGCTCAGGCCAATCTACACCCCATGGCCATTAAAAGTTATCAAAATCATGACGCTGCACCCCAAGGTTTAGGTTCTAGGGGGCGCCAAAGATAACACTAAAATCCACATATTTAAAAGTCTTATAACTTTTTATTTTTGCCCTCACTGGCCTCCAAGTTTTCTAGGATGATGCAATGTCCAGCCATCAACACATTTGTGAAGGAATTTTTACTCCCCAAAAGAGCGCCCCCCCATGGCAGGAGAAAAAAGTCAATTTTTTCTTGTCCCCTAAGGTTAAAATACACATTGTTGAGTGTCACGCCTATACGCTTTGGCAAAATGACACAAAAATTGACACACACATGTAACTCAATAAGATCTACAAAAAAGTCAATGAGCGCGTATCTGTCAAATGTACGGTTAAAGGGTTATTACGCATTTTTTGCCGATCCGCACACATTGGAATTTCGCTAACTCCTCCGAAGGCTTTCGTTCCACCGGCACCACATTTGCTCAGGCCAATCTACACCCCATGGCCATTAAAAGTTATTCAAATCATGACGCTGCACCCCACGGTTTAGGTTCTAGGGGGCGCCAAAGATAACCGTAAAATCCACATATTTAAAAGTCTTATAACTTTTTATTTTTGTCCTCACTGGCCTCCAAGTTTTCTAGGATGATGCAATGTCCAGCCATCAACACATTTGTGAAGGAATTTTTACTCCCCAAAAGAGCGCCCCCCCATGGCAGGAGAAAAAAGTCCATTTTTTCTTGTCCCCTAAGGTGAAAATACACATTGTTGAGTGTCACGCCTGTACGCTTTGTCATATTGACACAAAATTTGACACACACATGTATCTCAATAAGATCTACGAAAAAGTCAATGCACGCGTATCTGTCAAATGTACGGTTAAAGGGTTATTCCGCATTTTTTGCTGATCCGCACACATTGGAATTTCGCTAACTCCTCCTAAGGCTGGCGTTCCACCGGCACCACATTTGCTCAGGCCAATCTACACCCCATGGCCATTAAAAGTTATTCAAATCATGACGCTGCACCCCACGGTTTAGGTTCTAGGGGGCGCCAAAGATAACCCTAAAATCCACATATTTCAAAGTCTTATAACTTTTTATTTTTGTCCTCACTGGCCTCCAAGTTTTCTAGGATGATGCAATGTCCAGCCATCAACACATTTGTGAAGGAATTTTTACTCCCCAAAAGAGCGCCCCCCCATGGCAGGAGAAAAAAGTCCATTTTTTCTTGTCCCATAAGGTGAAAAAACACATTGTTGACTGTCATACCTGTACGCTTTGTCATATTGACACAAAATTTGACACACACATGTATCTCAATAAGATCTATGAAAAAGTCAATGCGCGCATATCTGTAAAATGTACGGTTAAAGGGCTATTTTGCATTTTTTGCCGATTCGCACACATTGGAATGTGGCTAACTCCTCCTAAGGCTTTCGTCCCACTGACACCAAATTTGCTCAGGCCAATCTACACCCCATGGCCATTAAAAGTTGTAAAAATCATGACGCTGCACCCCACGGTTTACGTTCTAGGGGGCGCCAAAGATGACCCAAATATCCACATTCTTAAAAGAATCCACACCCCCCCCCCCCCCATCCCCCAACCCCCATGGCAGGAGAAACAGTCAAGTTTTTCCTGCCCATCACTCAATGGCTCAATCGCATCACTCTCCCGGCAACACCGTAAGAGGAGCAACCTGCCATTTGGATATATCCTAGCTGTGTTTGTGCCCTCACTCATGGTCCAGACTTTTTTCAAATAGGACATGAAGTTTGTCTGCAGCGAGTGTTTTGGTAGAAACTGCGCCTCCCATTCATTATAATGGGAAATGACCACAGACAAGTGCGCACACCATCTTTGGACCTTGAGTGTGACGCGATCGGGAGGGGGAGGCGGTCGCGCTGGGGGCGGCGCGATGCGGCTCGGGCCCGACAGTGCCCCACCGGGGTCCTAGTTATTTTTCCTCCCCTTTGAACTGGAAAATGGCCCACTTCCCACTGGCGAAAACTCATGAAATTTGGCAGGACGATCGGGCTTGGTGAAAAATTCGATATTCCGAAGTCGCCCAAACAAGAAAATGCAAAATGGCTCCATAGCGCCCCCTAAGGTGAAAATTCACACTATTGACTGTCACGCCTGTACGCTTTGTCAAAATGACACAAAAATTGACACACACATGTATCTCAATAAGATCTACAAAAAAGTCAGTGCAGGCGTATCTGTCAAATGTACAGTTAAAGGGTTATTTCGCATTTTTTGCCGATCCGCACACATTGGAATTTCGCTAACTCCTCCGAAGGCTTTCGTTCCACCGGCACCACATTTGCTCAGGCCAATCTACACCCCATGGCCATTAAAAGTTATTCAAATTATGACGCTGCACCCCACGGTTTAGGTTGTAGGGGGCGCCAAAGATAACCGTAAAATCCACATATTAAAAAGTCTTATAACTTTTTATTTTTGCCCTCACTGGCCTCCAAGTTTTCTAGGATGATGCAATGTCCAGCCATCAACACATTTGTGAAGGAATTTTTACTCCCCAAAAGAGCGCCCCCCCATGGCAGGAGAAAAAAGTCCATTTTTTCTTATCCTGATAGGTGAAAATACACATTGTTGAGTGTCACGCCTTTACGCTTTGTCATATTGACACAAAATTTGACAATCAAGTGTATCTCAATAAGATCTATGAAAAAGTCAATGCGCACATATCTGTAAAATGTACGGTTAAAGGGCTATTTTGCATTTTTTGCAATTCGCACACATTGGAATGTGGCTAACTCCTCCTAAGGCTTTCGTCCCACCGACACCAAATTTGCTCAGGCCAATCTACACCCCATGGCCATACAAAGTTGTACAAATCCTGACGCTGCACCCCACGGTTTAAGTGTTAGGGGGCGGCAAAGATATCCCAAAAATCCATATTCTTAAAAATCGTCTTGCCCACTGAGTGGCGCCAAAGGCAGATGTCTCTTTACAGCAGACAAAGTAGTCATGGCAACTGAAGGGGGGCCAAAGGGAGTTGTCTATTAAATCTGATGCTACAGAAAAAGTGAAAAGGCTCAAATTTTGCAATATTACTGACTTTATGTCTGAAATGGGCTCTTAAAGGGATAAAAAAATAATTTTCAATGAAATATTTGCTAGTTTTGAACAGGGTTGAAGTAAAATAAGAGATGTACAAAAGATCTAATTGATCTATGCTTTTACCTTCAAAATTTAGGAAGAATATGTTTTATCTGTAATGACCCCCTTTAACAACCAGAGGTCCTTACATAAAGTTTTAGGGACATTTTAGTGAAGGCTTGGGTTTCATTCTTTGCAAAATGATTACAAATAATACAGCTAAACACCACAAAATGGCCTTGGCCTATAGCAGTGATATAAAATAGTGGTTTGAATATGAATTAAGACAAAAAGACATCAACAGAAGCATGTTTCATCAGAAACATGCTTCTTATTCTTCACAGAGTACTGCAGGACACACACACACACACACACACAGTACGTTTATTAGTACCTGCAAAATCATGCTATTTATATATTTGAAAGGAATGCAGAGGCTTCCTTTTGCCCTGGAAAAAAAACAAATTTCCAACACAACTTGGCTGGTCATTTCTCCAAAACACAACGATAAAGCGCTGTCTAAAGTGGAAGCAGGCAGTTGCTGCATGTGTACAGTAACCTGAGGGGAGTGAGGTGAGTGCTTCTCAGGAGAACATGAGCAGTGAAGAGTCACCTTGGAGCCAGAACAGGGACGTGCACATGATTATACAGGGGCAGGGGCTCAAGTTTTTTTCCAGTTGTTTATACAATGTGGAAATTTATCTAAATTTTTTAAAAAAGTACGAATAGAAAGGTAACGACTGTCCTGTGTAGGTGACAGTGATATCCAATAGCCATTTCTTTTGACATGATGAAGATGGTAATATGTCAAACACAGATTACCTACATGCTGAAATTAGTATGTACCTATTTTTAAAAAAGTACGAATAGAAAGGTAACGACTGTCCTGTGTAGGTGACAGTGATATCCAATAGCCATTTCTTTTGACATGATGAAGATGGTAATATGTCAAACACAGATTACCTACATGCTGAAATTAGTATGTACCTATTTTTTATTTTGTACAGGATTTCCTGTCTGACATGATCTGCTCTGTGCTGAACTGATGCACCATGCTCTGTCTCGGGCAGTTCTATGACAGAGTGGAGTAGCAAGAGACAGAGAAGTGGCAGACTCATCTCACACAAAATCACGTATCACAAGAAAATGGACACGGTTGAATTCTGTGGAGTATTTGAACCACGTTTTTGTTTTTGTTTTTGTTTTTGTTTTTTTTTACTTTTCAAACAGGAATTATTAAAAGAATTTAAAAAAGGGAATTTTAATACAAGGCAAAAAGGGCAGGGGCTCAAGCACCTCAGAGCTCTATTTGTGTGCATGAGCCAGGAGCATTCAGGGGGGAAATATTTGTCAGACATAGAGGGATAATGCAATTTGAGAAGGGGAATCAAATAGGAGAAGGAGGAGTTTGAATCTTTTTCTCAGGTTAACAACTAAATTAAAAGGGGACACACCCAGAGTTGACAACCTAACACCTCTCAGTTGTTTTCTGTGGCCTTCCCTCTAAAACACACACTCCTCACACTAGCAATTATTAAAGTGGAGAAGCTTCTTGGATTAGAGGCCAATGTTTTTCACAAAAAACACAAACTATGCTCATTTTTTGAACCTATAAACCACTTTTGGATATAACATTCTGACTCCACCTGGGACTAAATACCCTGTGTGGGGCTTCTGCTAAGTTGTTAACTCTTTCAGTTTAACAACAACATTAAAAGGTAACACACATACAGTTGACGACCCAACACCTCCCAGTTGTTTTTTGTGCCCTCACTGTAGTAATCACACACTCCTCACACTAGCAATTATGAAATGAAGAAACTTCTTGGATAAGCGGGAAATGTTTTCTGAATTCCACACAGTTCAGTTGCATGTTTTCTACATTTTAAAGATGCTGCACAACAACACATACATTTAACCACAAACCTTAACTTTACTTTCATCAGAACAAGAACAGACACATAATTAATTAAACCTTCTGTGCTTCCTGAGGCTAAGCAAACCTAATGGCCCCCCTCTGTCCTGCGCAAGCAAAAAATTGGCAGTTTTTATTGGTCATTTTGTGGAAATTACTGCAGTTATTGGTGGTTCTTTCACTGTTCCACTAGCCACCACCTCTAGCCAAACCACTGGGTTAATACATTTGTGTGTCTGAACTCTATTCAACAAAAGGTAGTGAAAAAGCAGTTATACTCAAATTACTTTCGTTTTTTTTCCCAAATGGCTCTTTTTCAGTTAAACAGACACGGAAAGGTTAATGTTTGGTTTTCACTATTCTTATTTCTATTTCTTTACATATTCTGTGTTAATGTAGTTTTCACAAAAACCATTTTGTTTTGGGGGGCTATTTCATATATCTGTTTCCGTTGGTCATTGTGTATATGTAGACATTTCTATATATACAGTACATCTCAATGCAGACATCATCAGTGCAGAAGACTGTTATTATTGAAGGCCCAATTCTTTATCTACGATGTAAGCGTCCTTTCAAAAGCAAATACATGAGGATCACTTTCAATGATCAGCACCATAGTTTCTGGTTGAGTGGAAGTGCTTTTCACTCTGTTGGTCTGCTAATAACTTGGACATGGAAAATGGTTTAGCAACACAGATGTTTCACACATAACTGCTCCATCAGAACAGTTTTTGTTTGACCACACAATGTGGCTGCAGTGTGCACATAAAACACATTTAAGTAAACATTCATATAGTTTTCATAACAAGCCTTTATTTAAACAAATGGTAATACTATAAAAAAAAAAATCTGGAGGCAACAGCAAAACACAAAAACTGCACTTCTAATAAGTTAAGTAACTATGATACAAAATAACAAGCACACTCAGCAAACATACAAGCACACATAAATATACATAAAACTATTATGCCTCTCAAGATCCAGTCATTTCCAAGTTAGAGGCATTGCTTATATCCCCCCCCTCCTCCATGACTTCAAGGGCAGCAGCCACTGCTTCCCCAGCTGCTACGGTTGGACTTGCAGCTGCCTTTACTGGTGGTACACCTACACATGATTCAAATCAATGTTAATCATTTTTACAATATCACTTTCACTCTACAGAAAAATGGGACATGCAACATGTCAAAATAACAAGAAGAACACAAAAACATAACCTTTTTGTTGGCTTCACATAACAAACTCATATCCTCTTTTTTTTACTAATTGTGCTAATTACAAATATGCCACATATTTACTTTCCAATCCTGACTTATTGCTGGCAAGATCACCAGGCTTCTCCACACTGTTGAACAAGTCATCAGGTCCATCTAAAAATATTTCAAACAACATTTCACCAATGAGAAATATATTGACCCCATACACAACAACACATACAAAGACAAATGCATTATGACACACAATTGTCAAAAAAAGAATTACACACATGTAAACATATATTAACGCAACAACTTCAAAGGGTGCCAATATTAACTACTTATTACAGTACTTTCACTTGTTAATAACACATTATAATTTTCACCAATGAAAACCACCCATATGACCCATGTAATACTTACACAAGCTCTCAATACTCAGTTGGGCTGCCTCTAACTGCTTTGTCAGCTTGAGGTTGGCCTGCTTTAACCTTGTAACTTCTTCCTGAGAAGTGTTTAGCACTTTCTCTAAACACGCTGATCGTTGCTCAGCGGCTTTCATGCGCCTTGCCATCCTTGATGTGGTGTTTATAACAAGAGCATTGCATGCCATGCTCTCCTCAAACAAGGCCGCCCTATCCAGGGTTTGGTCGTTTATGGCATACTGAAACAAAAATACAGACAGGAATAATTGATTATAACTAAAACAACAAAAACACAAATTAAGCTCATCTGAACCGAAAACCAGTTTCAGACATCAAAATACAGAGTCACACCTGGGACGAAGTACCCTGGGTGTGGTTACAGTACAGGGGCTATGTTTAAGTTGTTAGCCCATTCAGGTGAACTAAAATAAAAGGGGACACACCCAAAGTTGACGACCTAACACCTCCCAGTTGTTTTCTGTGCATTTTCTTCAGTGAGACACATTTCTGCTCCTCACACTAGCAATTATGAAATGAAGAAGCTTCTTAGATAAGAAGCAAAATGTCTTCTGAACCTTACACAGTCCAGTTGTTTTTTTAAGTTTTCAAGATTCTCCAGAGCAACTCACACATTTAATCATAAATCTTAACTTTACTGTCACAAGAACTAGAACACACACACAATTAACATGCAATTAATTAAATTTCACTTCCTCATCTACAGAATTTGTTCTCTGCAGTACTTAACATGTCTAAGATGACCAATGCAGCTGCTACCTACTAAATAACAAAGAAATGTTGTACTGTGTTCACACAAAAACATTCTTCTTCATTATGTCCTTAATAGCACAATACTTACCACTATTACATATATATATAAATCCTCTCCCTATAAAACTATTTCCACACCGCTAGATAATACACTACAACACGTGATAACAGTCAAATCAGATCCTGTACAACCTTTTAATTGCGAAACACATACTGTTCATCCACTACAGTCCAATTCAAATAATTTAAATCCACTACTTGTGTGTCTATACAGTAGAATTCACATAAATAGATTGTGCTGACAATTTACTCACAGATAAAACCTGGCCTCTAAGGCGTAATTCGCGTACGTCTGCGTTCTCGCTAGCACCAGCTGGCAGTTTCACAGGTGAAGCCATCTGCAAAATAAACAATGTTTGCACACATGACATCAATAGGGCATTATTCATTTAGATAGCACTTAAACAATACGAGGAGAAGTCGTACTCACCGTAGTTTCTTGGTTCTTGTTTACCGGTGCAGCTTTGCAGTTCTGTTTTAAAGACACTGAATTCTTAAGCACGCACCCCAGCCAATCAAACATTACGCTGATGAACACGTCACAATGTAACAAACTCCCCCACCTGATGGCCACGTGACAATGCAGTGCTGTACATATTTAAATATATATGTATATATATATATACACAGTAGTTACATATATATAAATTTGCTTAGATTTCATTTTCAGAACCAGATGCCCAATACAACACTATCTGACAGGTAGAATTTGTCTTTTTATGTCTGGTTGTTACAGCGTTAGAAATAGAATTTTCGGTAGGATCCGCCCAACCCCCTCTCTTCCATAGTTACAAGTGGTATCCAGGGACAAGCCCACAACCGGCGTTTAACGTGGCAGTGTCTCTTTCACTGAGCAAAAGACCTATATTAGACGCTTAGTCTGAATTTTTACTTATCCCAGCGTCGTGATTCGGTCTATTTCTAGACGTGATTTATACTTCGCCCTCAACTTGATATGTCAATAAGTTTTTATGCAAGAAACAACTGTAATGTGAATTATTGATCTATTAATACGAGATTACATTAGTTATGGTACCGTGGAGAGATATGCAGCATAGTATATATGTAGACGTTATTTACACGTATAAATTTATACTTAATTTCAACGTCAGGATGTAGTCTATTTCTACACGTGATTTACACGTAAAAATTATACGTTATTTCAACGTGTACATATAGACCGAACCTACACAATCGATTTTTAGTCATAATTTAACAGTTTATTATTTAAATTGGTAACTGAACGTTGCAGAACTGATGTCACATTGTAAGATTACTATCATACTCGGGAGCGTGACCAGTGTTTTTGCAATATCCGCTCAAAACACATATACGGGAAAAGAAAACACCTTCGGATCTTAAAGCCTGGGTTCTGTTGACTACTCCATAACAAAGTAAGTCGCTCAAATTCAATGTAATTATTAGATTTCATGTGTTTTATCCGTCTCGGTAACGCCGGCTGCCGCTGTGACAAAATCCAGCCACCTAATCGGTGCAGCACGTTGACGTGTTCCTCAATCCACCAAGAGCGAAGTAGTCCTTGATAAAAGATATCGGTATACTCGCATTTCTACGAAATGAGTGACAAAAAAGTATTTGGTAGCGCTGCAACAGCCCATATTTACACCCCTATGGAGATCGTAGCATATTCGGACCAAAACATGACAACGGCTTGAAATTGTGGACCGCATAACATCTGAGTGAATCACTACGCTTTGTTCACAGTCGACCTCACGACCATGCAAAACTTTATTTCGTTCGTACAAACCTGAATATTATGCACATATTCTTCCACTGCATTTTGCAGGCCTTGTCGGTACATTTTCTGTGAGAGTTTTTAGCTTTTCAACAAACATTAATCAATGAAAACATCACGTAGAGCTTTCGATTATATATAAAGTAGAGCCGCCGCCATTTTGTTAAACGCCGGTTGTTCAGAGCAACTCTAACTATGGGGGAGAGGGGGGTGGGGTGGGCGGAGCCCACCGAAAGGTGTACTGTTCTTATTGGCTTTGACTGTAACCTCAGTCGCAAGTCATTTAATCCAGTTTTTTGATTGGTCGACCTCCTCGTGGTCCTCTTTATATTCGACTATTTTCGATGCTCGTGTAGGCTGATTGAACTCTTGAGGACAACAGACTACCTTTGACGGAGAGCGAGTTTTACGGGTGAATCTGTTTTTGAGGATTTTTTTTACACGCTTCACTGATACATATCTACAAAACACACATCTTGCAATACATCTTTCACATTTAACAGACACTCACACACAAAACAATACACAAATTCTCACGGTCAACCTCGGCTGAGTTTGACTTTCTTTTATTCCATCAATCCACGGAGCGGCTGCTCATCTCGTGCTTTACAACTTCAGCACGGTAAGTCATGTGTTTTAATGCTTATTTGTGCTGTTTTGCCGTTGTTAGGGGAGAACTTTCGCTTAAACGTGCATGTTAACAAAACTGTTGTTGTGGCTAACATAGGCGTGTTAACTCGATGTTTAAACGGGCCTGCTAACTTAGTAGCTAGTATGCTACGCTGTTAACAGGCCTGTGTAAACTTCAAGTTAGTTATAGCAGCGTTATTGTGTGACTTCACTGAACTCTCGGAGAACATAATTTTGCATTTAAGGTGGTGGTGGTGGAAGTGTATTGTCTTGTTTCGCTGTTTCGCACTTGATGTTCCTTTTCACAACAATCTGGATTTAGACAGCGTGTATTCTCGATCAGAAAACAGCGGGGCCAATTACAGAAAAAAATCGCACAAAAGGGAAGGGCAGCCCCTGAGTGGCTCATGTGTAATGATCACGTCTAACACATGCTGCGAAACTTTTCAAATCTCCGTTCACTCAGAACGCCGTTAATTCTGCAGTTGAATCTGCAAAGTCAGCAGAAATCGTTTATATACGCAGACGACGTCTGATTTAAACGATTTCTGCCGACTTTACAGAGTCAACTGCAGAATCAATGGCGTTCTGAATGGACACAGCTTTGACAACTCCCGCAGCATGTGTTAGACGTCATCATTACACGAGCTACTCAGGGGCTGCCTTTTTTGTTGTCTGGGTAACAGTGAAACCACTGTCTCTGATCGGTCGAGTTATTTTGTGATCGGGAATACATGCTGTCTATGGGCCAAACTCCAGACTGTTGTGGTAAGGAACATCCCGCAATGTTGCGGAGGACAGTTTAGTTCTGTGTATGCATATCAGCAAATCAGTTTTCCTAGAGGAGTGCGGCTGCGCATTGCTACTCTTAAGCCGGAAGCGCAGAACATCAATTGTAGTTTTTTAATAATTTCCGGAGTCGTGGTGAATCAAATCCCTGTACTTTTCTGCCTCTGATAGGTGAATAAAGCGTTTTTACAGCTGCTTTTGTACTGGCACTATACCGGGGCAGCTGTTTAACCTTTCCACACCATAGTTATATTTACATTTGTATTGAATGGACACTCTATCATGACAACCACTTGTTTTACAGAAAGCCAATTATTTGTCTTTCTCCAGTACAGAGCCATTACTTTTTTTGATACAGTTGCTTTGTTTCATTTAAATTTGTTTGTTCAACATTTTAAAATATGTGATGAGGGTTCACAAAACTAAGAGAGCTTTCTTGAAAGCTACATTTATAAGCTCTCAAATACTAGAATTATAAAATTTTAGTAATAGAATTTAATACAATTTTGTTTTATCTACTACAGAGGCTGAGATAGCAGCTTGTTGTAAACCTCAATTCTTCAGAAAACCTCAGGATTTGGGGGCCCTTCTAAAACTGGCCCTCAGAATTGTGTTTTTTTTCTTTTTAACCATTTCTGCAATTGAGAAATATTGTATTTTTGTTGTAATCACAATAATACTACATGATAATACAAAACTATCTGTTCAAATATCTATTATTTTGTGTATATGCGTGTGTTGGGAGTTTAAAGAGGTGGTGACTTGGGGAGTACATAAGTCTAGAATTGCCACTGTTTAGTAGGACTCTCTCCTCACTAGAAAGGGTCACTTTTCCTCTACCATAGTTTTCTCCTGTCCCTGGGACTGCTGTTTTTCTTCCATAGAATAGGCCTCCTCTCTCTTGCTACACCACCTACACATCAAGAAAAAAAATACATTTGAGAAAGAAATGATCCTTTTTTGTATGTCAGTGGTCATCACAAATGTGATTGTCAAATTAGGTGACCAACAAAAATGTGTTACCCTCACTCTTAACAATTCTTTTTGGACATCTTGTGCTTATATAATAGAACACAACACCAATGTTTGATGGTTGATATGAAGTATTACAAATATAATAACATATATTATACTTTCAGATGCCAAAACTGAAGGGTTGGCGCCGGTCACAGGCCGCAACCAGGCGACTCGCTCAGCGCGAGTTCCTGATTGTTGGTCCACAAGGCCACAGTGATGGCATGCCTACAGGTGTGTAACATTTTCTTTTAAATGTATCATTTCTTCTTCACGTCACTATATTACTAACAATTTCTTATTTCTCTGTATCTGTTTATGTTTTACAATAATACATGTCAATGTTATCTGTTCAATAGGCACTGTTGGGACTGGTTATCGTCATCGCGTTAACCAGTGGCCAATATCTGTGTTGACTGGTCGGCAACACAAATTGGTCATTCCTCCTGAGGTTCCTGACAAGAAGGTATGATACTGACATTATTTTTTAACCTCACAACACATATTTCAGCTGATACAGTATTTAATTAGTACTTCTCCCTTTTTCATCCTAGTTTGTTCTTATTGTCGGTGACTCTCACCTGCGCCCGTTTGTTGATGGGGTTGTGCCATTGCCTGAAGGACGGATGTCCTTTGGGTTCATGTCCACACCAGGAGCCTGCGCTGATGGACTGAGGATTGAGATGGTGCATGCTGCTGTGCCTCGCAATCCTGACTTGGTCATCGTCATGGCTCCTAGCAACAACCTCACAACCCAAGGGTCTCTTGAGAAGTCGTCAACAGATTTTGCAAAACTTCTCTCTACTGCCGTTGGACGGTGGTTCAAGGTGGGGCAAAGATGTCATTAACACATTTTGTAGTAGCTCAATTAGTAGTTATGCTCTGTAATAACTCTTGTGTTTTTTGTCCTTCTGGTGTGTTTGCTATTTTTATAGGTAATTGTGTATGACTTTCCACCTCGTCTGAACCACCCTTTACATCACCAGGAGCTCCTGCGGCAGGAATTCTGTCAAGTCGCAGCACGTATGGGTAAGTTTTACAACACTTTAATTCGCCTTCATGACAAAATTCTAAATGACAATGATATCATCATAAAACCAATCATATAAAACATCTACAAAAAACACAAACAAATTACATGTATTTTTTAGAATACATTACAAAACTGCACATTTTATGGACATGATGAAAGAATAATTGTCTTTTCTGTTTGGAGTAAAATACACACATCTGTACTAATGCTTAACTTTGTCTTACTTTACATTAACAGGCATTCAATATGTTTGCCCTGCTGCAGACGACTTCCCCCTGAGACGCCTCAAGCTGTGGTGCAGGGATTCTGTTAGTACAATCCCTACTCATCTGATGTTTCATATGGACCTCATAATAAATACACAAATTGTTGCATTATGCAAATTTGTGATCATGACCATTGTCTTGTCTTCTATATAGGTTCATCTCAGTGATGACGGTGGGTCGCCTATTCTGGGGCAGCGTCTCTGGCAGGCGGCTTACACTGAACTGGAGAGAGGTGATCCTGCATCAGTGCTGTCAGTGTCGCGCAGGCGTCCCCCCCCCCTGAACACTGTCACACCAAAGGTGGTTGTGAGGGGAGAGGTGCCTGCACCTCAACCATCCAGCCCCTTTGAGTGGACAGTGTGTGGAAAGGTTCACAAGGTAAACATATAATTCCTGTGTGTGTATATACGTATAGTAAATGTATTTAATACAGTATTGTTAATTCTCAACTTACTTATCACAGCAGAATCTCTCTGGCAACGAGGTGGAGGACTCTGCTACATGCACGCAGCAGGTTTGTCATCCTTCATATCCTTCAACTATCATACAAAACCACTGTCATCAAAATTTCTGTGTGGATGACACACATTTTCCTTGAAAAGAAACCCTTTTCTAAAATATTACTTTTATTTATTCTATATATTTTTTTCTCTCTCCTTCTCATATTAGTTGTCAACAGTTGGGTTGCAAGACTGTTTTCTGCGTCTCAACCCTATCCATTTCAGTGCACACCTGCTGGATGCCATGGAGAAGATTTCCCCGTCACAGCTTCACAACCCTGTTCCACACGATGATGAGGTCAGTGAAATGTCAAACTATGGTAGCGCTTTTACTGTTCATTCATAAAATGTTTTGTGTTGCACAACAATGCTTATAAGAAATATTTTTTCATTCAGATGCCACGTGTGGAACCACGCAGGACTGTGGTAGCATCTCGGAGGATCCCTACCAGGAAGCAGGTTTGTTTCTTCATTAGCACACATGGTGTATTAATATGCAAGCACACAGAGCTAGGTTTGCATCTAAACCAAGTTTATCATACTGAACTGAAATAATAACAAAGAAATTTTACTTGGCCCTTAATTTCAAAAAATATTTCTCTTTTATTCATACACAAATAAGATTTAGTATTATCAGTTAATGGACTGCATTCATCAAAAGGCTTCTACTTTCAACTATAAAAGTACACTTTTTTTACAATTGGCCCTTTTTATCAATGACAATATATTTATGCACAAACTTTTGTGTGCAGGGAAGGACCTTGCGTGACCACAGCCCAGCTGAGCTGCAGACGACTGAGGTTCCTCCTGCTACAGAAGTCACTTCACCTGAGGTGGACTTGGAGAGGGTGGCAGAGGTCCAGACGTGCCCAGGCGTGGTGACGGTGAACACTGCCATCCTGTCAGCACCCCAGCCAGATGGAGGCATCCAGGTGGAACAGGTAAGTATGCGTAAACGTCCTCTTTCCCCCCCTCTTGTGTTTGGTGATTTTGATCGCTCACCTGTGCAGGTTAGCAGTGTGGAGACTGACGCAGTACAGTTTCTGTGCAGTCAGATTGAGGGTGAGATGTCTGACCTAGGTTGTGTAAGACACAGTGTCATGGGATCATTTCACCAGGGGAGTGATCTCTTTAGTAATCCCGGACAACAGTGTATGGCAATTGGGCTGGCCAGCGTTGCCAAACACAGCGTGAAAAGCGTTTTCTCGTGGAGTGTGGCTGATCTCGACACAGTTTTGCTCTGTGGGGATCAACTGTACACATATCTGCGGGATAATGACAAAATCAGTGGCGGGACTGATTTTTTGTGTATTCCTGATTTGCCTGCTTCACACACAATTGATGGCATGGAGTTTGACTTTGAGTATGGTGATTACATGTCTGGACTCATCAACCAGACTGATGGGTCACCAATCGCACCTGGGTTGACAACATTACTGCATAGTCTACAAATTCTGTTTGCCAAATATGACACATGCTTTTTGACATTGCATTGCAGCACATGTGTTGTCATTCGTGAGAATAATATGTTTGCTGTTGTTGATTCTCATGCTCGAAACGCTTTGGGCCTGGTGGATCCTGATGGCAGAAGTGTTGTTGCATATTTTCATAACTTGCAGGAACTGTATACACATGCATTAGCCTTGGCTGCATCACAGCATGTAAGCAACCAGGCTTTTGAAGTTGCTGGTGTGCGTGCAATCCCCAGAATGTCAGCAATTGAAAGTATGTGTTTGCCATCCAGCTCAAGAGTAAATACTGAAATACTGAGTAAAATGAAGAGTGTGTATGCAGATGTACATCAGGAAGTGTCACACTCCAAGCAGGGGTGTTCATCCAGTACATCAGTACATAGGAAGAAGGTCTCGAAACAACAAAGCTTTGTGCAGGCTCCTGCTGCCAAGAAAGCAAAAACAAGCATTTTTAGTGATGATGTATTCATTGTTACAGACACAAACAGCAAGAGTGCAGATAGTAGAGATGTTGTGTGCATTGATGATGCAATAAGCCAGAGTGACGATGATGTGGTGTGTGTTGGTAATGGAGCCCAACAAGATTTAGTGTTTCACCCTCTTCAGTTAGATGTTGCAAAAGTTTTGTGCACAACTTTAGGAATAGAATGTCAGAAAGTTGATGTGGAAGGATTTGTAGCTGGCATATTAGGACCTCCGTGCAAGAAGCACCCAATTGTCAGTGACGGCAATTGCTTCTTCAGAGCTGTGAGTCATGTTTTGTCTGGTAGTGAGAGGTTTCACAGGAAAGTCAGGTTAGCGATTTGTAAACATATTGACTGTCATCCTGGATCATATGAGCATATTCTGAGACGTGAATTTACCTCTGTCAAAGAATATCTCAACATGTCCAGAATGCGATATGTGGGTAGTTGGGCCACAGAGGTGGAGATTCAGGCTGCAGCAGACTGTTTCGGGGTAAGCATTTTTACCTACATTGATGGTCAATGGCTTGAATACAGCTGTCAAGGTCAACGGTTATCAGAACAGGCAGTGTATTTGGAGAACTGCAATACCAGCCATTATGAGGTTGTCGTCTGTGTTCAACAACCTAATGTGGACTGTGGTTGCTGTGATTTCTGTAACAGTGGTGTTACACACAGTACTGACTATGGTTTGAAGCAGGTGAGCAAAGCTGTGCCCTATAACCTCAGGACAGGAAGTCAGCACTTCAGTCATCAGAATTTAAGTCCTTCACGTAAAGAAAAAAGATTGACAAAATATCTTAAAAGGAAGAAGTTTTTGCAAATGAAAATTAACTACCACAGAGACTTCTTGGATTACAATAGACGTAACCAAAATGTTAGGAATACATATAAGCACAATCTGTTGTATCAACAGAAACTCAAGGATTTGAGTAAAAGGAAATACTTCGAAAATTACGTACACAGACAAGATGTTATAGAGAGAAGCAAAATTAAATACAGGGACGATAAAAAACACAGAGAAGATGTTAAAAGCAGAAGCCAAATTAAATATAGGGACAATAAAAAACACAGAGAAGATGTTAAAAACAGAAGCATAATTAAATATAGGGACAATAAAAAACACAGAGAAGATGTTAAAAGCAGAAGCCAAATTAAATATAGGGACGATAAAAAGTACCGACAAATTCTAAAAGAGAGAAGCAGGGAAATAAGTAAGGTTAAATACAGAAATGCTGCATTTCAGCAGAAAAATTTAGACTCAGTAAGGACAAAATACCGCCAGGTTAACAAAAAGGTCCTTGCATCTAAGAAACTTAAAAGATTAGAAAGGAAGGCAAAGCTAGAACAGGTGGACTTGGTAATTGAGCAGTTTTTGGAAAAAATCAAAGATGGGCCAGCCTTTGTGTGCAGTGTGTGCCATAGACTGTTGTTTAAACACCAGGTTTCCAGTTGTAAGATAGACAACTACAGTAGCAATACAAAAACAGCTCGTGTCGCAGCTAGATGTATTAAAGATGTGTTTGTGCATAAATGTGTGTCTTCTTGTGCTGTACCATGTGTTTTGAAAGCGTCCCCTCGTGGTAGTCTGTGGATTTGTCATTCTTGTCATGGCAAGGTCAGTAAAGGTCTGGTGCCAGCTGAGAGCGCAACCAACAATCTGACTGTTGATCCAATCCCTCCTGAGTTGGCTTGTTTAAATCGTCTAGAATCACATTTAATTGCACTCCATATCCCTTTTTTGAAAATGGTAGCTCTTCCTAGAGGGGGTCAAAATGGTGTTCATGGGCCAATAGCATGTGTTCCAGCCAACATTGTCCAAACAAGTAACGCGTTGCCACGTTCAAACATGGAAGGTTCAGTTATTCCTGTTAAACTGAAGCGCAAGCTGACTTATAAAGGGCATTATGCATACGAGTATGTTGACCCTATGCATATCAAGAAAGCACTGCAGTATCTGAAAGAGAACAATCCCTTTTACAAAGATGTGCAGTTCAATGATGACTGGATAAATGAGTTCTGCAGGGATGACAGTGCTGACACAGAGCAGCAAAGTATTGTTGATGCACAGGGAGGGTCAAATGCAGACAACTCTGAGGCATCTGCAACTGAGGCGGCTGCAGCTGAGGATGAACTTCTGCATGATCGGCAGCAGCATTGCATGTTTCAAGACACATGCTCAATGCCTGTTGATATTGGCCAGGAAGCGCTGGACCAATATTTTGATGGTGTTTTGAACTTGGCTCCGGCTGATGGACAGAACCCTGTAAAGGTTTTGACAACAAAGGAGAACGAGGCCAAGTGTTTCCCTGTGTTGTTTCCAAAAGGCCGTGGAACATTTTTTGATAACAGAGAATTCTCTCTGACTCTTTTTCGCTATTTCAGCAATAGGCTATATCATGCTGATGGTAGGTTTGCACAGAATATTGAGTTTATTTTCTATGCTTGTTACATGCTTGAGTTAGATCAAATTATGTCCAGTGTGTCCATTGCGTTGAGGAAAGGGAAAGCATGTAATCGAGGGACAAAAATTAGTGATGTATTGAAAGATGACGAGAACCTGCGTAATATTTTAAATCATGACGATGGGTACCGGTTTTTAAAACCTGTAAGGGGTACTCCAGCATTTTGGCAGGGAATTCAGAAAGATTTGTTAGCATGCTTGCGACAGCTTGGCAAACCTGCATGGTTTTGTTCATTTTCTGCAGCAGATTTGAGGTGGAAGGAATATTTGGAGAACATTCTTAGGGCAGAGGGGCGAACACAGACATTTGAGGACCTGGAGTGGGCAGACAAGTGCGACCTATTGCGTCGTAATCCTGTACTCGCCGCTCGCATGTTTGATTATCGCTGGCATCTGTTTTTGAAAGAGGTGTTGATGTCTCCAGCAAATCCAATTGGCAAAATCCTCGACTACTTTTACAGGGTGGAGTTCCAGCAGCGTGGCTCTCCACACGTTCATTGTCTGTTTTGGATTGAGAACGCCCCTGTAATTGATGTGAACACAGATGATGAGGTTGTTCAGTTTATTGATAAATATGTTTCATGTGAACTACCTAATAACACTGATGATTTACATGAGGTTGTTTCTTCAGTGCAGCAGCATTCAAAGCGACACTCCAAAACTTGTAAAAAAGGTGGAAAACAGTGCCGCTTCAATTTTCCGAAACCAGTGTCCGCTAGGACTTTCATTTCCAGGGCGTATAAGGAGGTTGAGATGGAGTGCGTGTGTCAACGCAACGTCCATAACGTGGTAGAACAGTGCACTTGTGGCAAGGAAGAAAATGAAAAGAAGCAGAAGCAGGAAGGGGAATTCGCTGTTAAGGTTTTTGAATTAATAGCTAAAGCGTTGTCAGACGAGAACTGCACAATTCAAACTGCAAATGAGCTATTTGCGAGTATAGGTATACGACAGGAGACATTTGAGGCAGCATACAGGAGGTTAGGGAAAAAGACAGAGGTGATAATGCGACGCCAGGTTTGTGATACGTGGATCAACCCACATTCCAAGGCTCTGTTGAAAGCTTGGAATGCAAACATGGACATCCAGTATGTGACCGATGCTTATGCTTGTGTAGTCTACATCATTTCCTACATCTCTAAAGCAGAGAGAGAGATGGGATTGATGTTGGCAAATGCACAGCGGGAAGCATCCAAAGAAGACAACCTCAGTGCCAAGCAGGCTTTGAAAAAGCTAGGCAGTGTTTACCTTCACAACCGAGATGTTGGAGCTCAGGAGGCAGTCTACAAGCTCAGCAACATGCACTTAAAAGAGTGCTCTCGGAAGGTGGTTTTTGTACCAACAGGTGACAATGTTGTCAGGATCAGCAAGCCATTGACTGTGTTAAAAGACATGGCTGCTGAATCCACAGAAAAGATGTGGATGAGCAACTTTGTTGACCGTTATAAAAACAGACCCAGAGATCATGTATTTGAAGGCATGTGCCTTGTCCATTTTGCTGCTGAGTATCGTGTGCTCTACAAAGGTGAAAAATCCAAAAAACGAATTGAACTTGATAACGGCTGTGGGTTTGTGTTGAGAAGAACCCGTACGCAGCCTGCTGTTGTAAGGTACGCCAGATTCTCTGAGACGAAAAGTCCAGAGTTATTTCACCACAGCATTTTGCAGCTGTTCCTTCCGTATCGAACAGAAGAACAGCTAAAGCCAGAGGGATTTGTCACTTTTGAAGACTTCTACAAAACTGGCCGTGTCATCATTGCTGATGGACAGCTATGTTCAGTGAAGTCAGTTGTGGACTCGAATCGCTGCAATTATGAAATAGATGCCGATGACATAGATGAGGTTTTTGATTCTGTGAATTTTGATGGTCCTGTAGAAGATGCGTGGGGGCAGTTGTTCCCACAGCAAGAAATTGAACGACTGGAGTCAATCCAGGAAAGGGCAGAGCAGATACAGGTAGACAATGACCCAGTGGAACATATTCCTGATCTGGCTGGGGGTGTAGAGCAGGCTAAGGTAACTAAGAGCAACAATTTAAGTAGAAGTGAGGGATTGGCATTGTGCAGGTCTTTAAATGATGACCAGATGCGTGTCTTGAACAAGGTCCATCAGTGGTGTGTTCTTAAAGCAGCAGGTAGAAACCCAGACCCCTTTCATGTGTTTGTAACCGGTGGTGCTGGCGTTGGAAAATCGCATTTAATCAGAGCCATTCAATACGAGGCCACAAGGTTATTGTCACCCATGTGTCGACAACCTGACAATATAAGTATTTTGTTGACTGCACCAACAGGGATTGCTGCATATAATCTGCATGCAACAACCCTGCACAGTACATTTAGCATAGGGAAAGATGTTCGCATCCCTTATGTGCCAATAGGTGAAGAAAAGTTAAACACATTGAGAATGAAGTATTGTGATCTCCAAATCTTGATAATTGATGAAATTTCTATGGTGGATCACAATATGCTCACTTATGTGCACGGCCGACTTCGCCAAATTAAACAGACAGGCACTCACACTCCATTTGGAAATGTGAGCGTCATGGCAGTGGGGGATTTTTATCAGTTGCCTCCGGTGAAAGGCAAACCGTTATACATGGAACCACTTGGAGTTGATCTTTGGAGCACTCATTTTAAGGTTGTTAAGTTGACAAAAGTAATTCGGCAGACAGACGATGATTTTGCCGGACTACTGAATCGAGTTCGGACCCATCCAAAAGACTCAGACATGTTGCAGAGTGATATCACCACTTTGCAACAGCGAGAAACTGGCGAAGACAGCTCAGGTTTGCATATTTTTGCCACAAATAGCCAGGTCAATGAGCACAACTTTGAGCAGCTGCAAAGAACATGTCCAGATTACAATGTAATACAGGCTCAGGATTATATAAACAACTCAAAAACAGGCAAACTGGAATTGAAAAAGGGATATCATACCCTAACGTATAACACGTGTTTAGATGCAGAATTGCTGTTGGGTACTGGGTCACGTGTCATGTTGACAAAAAACTTAGATTTAGCTGACGGCTTAGTTAATGGTGCATGTGGCACAGTAACAGATGTAGTTTGTGTTGAAAATGAAAAGTTTCCTCGGTGTATTTTGGTGAAATTTGATGATGAAGCAGTTGGTGTTGAGAGGAGGAAACAGTCAGGAACGGTTTCAGATCATCTTGTTGGTTCCACAGCTATTGCACCAGAGGAAGAAAGAGTGACAAAGAAGGGAGGTATGCGCCGTCAATTTCCGCTTCGTCTCGCCTGGGCCTGTACTGTACACAAAGTACAAGGCCTCACAGTTGATACAGCCATAGTTAGTATGAAAAAGATGTTTTCTGCTGGTCAGGTTTATGTTGCTTTGAGTCGTGTCAGGACTCTTATGGGATTGATCATTCAAGATTTCAATCCCAAAAAAATCTATTGTCGGCCAGAAATTGCTCATGCCACTTCAAAGATGGCTTCATTCCTAGAACCTATCACCTGGCAAGGGAGAGTCGAGGACACTTTGACAGTGTTCCTCATGAATGTTCAGGGTTTGAGACGCCATGTGTCTGACCTGGCTCAGCACACACAGCATTTGCAGCCAGAGTGCATTGCTGTGACTGAGACGTGGTTGCATCCAAGTTGTTCCTCAGAGACACTCAGGATAGCCAACTACTCTCTGCATAGTTGTCCACGAGCTCTGGCATATGTTGGTCAAACTGCCCCCTTTGCCTCTTTGCAGGCAAAAGAACATGGGGGAGTTGCAATGTATTGTGGTGGAATTATGCAGTTTGCAATCATCAAGGTGCCTTGTTTCAATGTGGAATGTTTGGTGTACCACTGCATAAGCCTCAACATTTTCCTTACAGTCATATATCGACCTCCAACCTACCCCATGACACTCTTCAAACAAAATATTATAAAACTACTCCAATGGCTGGAACACATTGGCAAAAACATTATTGTCATGGGAGATTTCAACGATGACATATTGAAGTCATCTTCAATTTGCACATTTTTCAAAGACAGAGGTTATGATCAGGTGATCACCCAGCCTACCACAGAGCGAGGCACTTTGATTGATCATGTTTATGTGAGAGGGGGCATTTTCCACACACAAGCTGAAATAATGCCGTCATATTTTAGCGACCATGAAGGTATTTACTGCAGCTTTAAAATTTGTGATTAATCATGTACACTGCTGTTTTTGATATTATTAATGCTTTTCATAGAAAAGTAGATTTGAGAGTGTTTTAGCAGGTTTCCAAACAGCTGGCAGATGGATCAATTTACAACGCCTGGACAAACCATGATGTCAAAGCGAGTGACCACTTCAGGACATCGTAAGTAATGATTTGAAGGAACATTTATGGTGATTGTATGCAAAGTAACGTGATATATAACCTCTCCACTTCATTTACACTTGCAATTATTCTGAACATCACAACTTGACTACAAAAAATGAAAACATTAGCATCGACCTAGTTACAATTTCTCCAATATGATGACTTCTTCATTTGTCAGCATGTAACTGATGTGATCTCTCCTCTCAATGTTTCACAAATATACCATACATCTTATGATTGCTCCAGCTAAAGACTGACCAGCCCATCATTCCTCCACCTTTGGTGAGATGAGACCCTGATGGATTACTGAAACCATAAACAATTGGTAAGTGTAAATTTCAATTTATACTTAACTATTTTCATTCATACACTATACTACTTGTGTAGGCACGCATTGTGTCTCTTCCTCTGAAGAGATGCATACTACAGTGGTATATGATTGTAATTACCATGAATTATTACTGTGTGATTATGTAACTGATGTGTCATGTCTTCTTCACAACATGTAACCACATATTTATCCCATGACACCACCATCACAAAAGATATCAGCCACTGCCAACTCCAGCCAGGAACTAATGCATGCTAAGCATGTGTGTAATATCTATATGTTGATTGATTCTCATTATGTGAACATGTCACTAATATATTGTCTCTTCCTTACAGCCTGTGACCAACCACTCAACCCGCCACTACTCCAGGAATCAGCCTATGACAACTCCACCCAAAAAGGGATGCTGCACACCTTTCACATGTACCAGAAATTGCTATTTTTTAATTTTTTCTCAGCTTTTTTGTAATAACAAGTCACATAATTTAATTTAAGATTACATTTTGATATTTAATTTGTATTTCCTTTGTATCTACATTTGTATAATATGTATTACAATGTATTTTACATATATGAATTTCGTATGCATGGTCACACCACTTTTGATAACCTACTCTACAATTACAAACAAAACTATCTATGAGTAACTCTGGTGCATTTACATGCCTTTTAACTTTATTAATTGACACGTTATCACTGTGCACTGTCCCTGATAAATAAATAATACATAATATAAATCATTTTTAATCATTTATTAGTAATAATCCACTGTGCTTGTACATGAATTAATTCATTTTACCATTCAAACATCTTGAGGTATTGTACTGACTTTCAGTGAGAAGTTTGTATTCCAATTGTGGACTGTCAACTTTATTATCAGATGTTCAGACAAATATACTGCCTTTTTTTGTGGCCACTGAGTGGCACTAAAGAGACAAAATTTGTCCTTGGTGTATTATTGATCCAAGGGTTCTTCTTCAGCAAGCGTTTTGGAAGATACTTTGTATGCTACTGCAAAGCTTCACATTTCACGTGAGAAACTAAACTCGCTTGGAGACACACCGCAGCTTCCAAAAAAATACAGGAAATCTAAAAACAACACAATCAGCTCAGACTGTATGAGAGCCAATCTCTAAACTCATGAAAATCTGTAAACCAAACGTATTTCAAGAGACCTGATCCGCTCTACTACAACAATAAAAACATACATAAAAAAGGCTGACACAACTACAGCAGAGTATCAAAACAACATCACGTTTTCTTTCTTTTAGGATTTAGATATTAAAATTGTAAATTTAGGACAATAAATTCATAAGGTATATAAAGTCATAAAACTACTTTTGTGGAGGAGGAAATGACTGAAGCTGGTCATCTGCAGGGTTACCGCTCAATTGACAGCAGGTAATTCACAGACTTCTAGTGGTCTCTGAAAAGACAATCTAACTGATGGTGATCAACATTTGTGATCCAGAGTGGGTCAAGCTCAGAGGAGTACCACATCTCTGACACCGTCACTAGCCTACACCTGCAGAGACACCAACACCTTATGGCATATGGATTCATATCATAAACTAAAGGCCAATGTCATCCACGGATATTTACAACTGCATACACAAATATACCCTCAGCATATTCATTTCTGACCACAAAACTAGCAATTTCCTTCTAGTAAACCAGTTTTTTTTTCCACGTGAAAACACTAGTTCTTATGTATTCCTTTTTAAGTCTTTATACTCATGACAATGTTAAGCTGATGTGACAGAGGATGAAGTATTTCCTTGTTTGTGAAAGCTATACTGAATCACAATTCCTTGAAATGCTTCATGGCCCTAATTTTAACAAGTCTCCTCTATTATACAAGGCAACTTTAGAACTTTTTTCTCATAAATTCATGACTATATTCTCAAACATTGTACGAAACAGTATGAAGGCCATATTGAAATTTAAGACCTTAAAGACTTCAAAAACTTAAGTCGTGCATTTACGATCGTAAAGTCATTAATTTATGAAAAAAAAATCATAAGCTTCCCTGTTATTTCACAGGAGACTTGTTAAAATTAGGGCCATGAAGCATTTGAAAGAACTGCTTCAAAATATGTTTCACAAGAAAGGAGATACTTCATCCTCTGGCACATGAGCATCACATTGTCATAAATATAAAGACTTCAAAAAAGAATATCTGAGAAACACATCTTTCTTACAGGGAAAAAACACTGTGTACATGAAGGAAATGCAGCTTTTGTAGAGGCAGAAATTAATATGCTAAGGACACATCTGTCAATGCAGCCGTGAATATCTGTGAATGACATTGAACAATACTTTATGATATGAATCCATATGCCAGAATAAGGTGTTGATGTCTCTGCAGGCATAAATTACCACCAATGTCTGAAACGTGATGCTCATCAAAGCTCAACTCCCTCTGCATCACAAATGTTGTCATCAGTTTGATTGTTTCTTACATCCACAGATAAACCTGCACATAACCAGCTTCAGTAATTTCCCCCTTCACAAAGGCGCCTTTACGACTTTCAATACCTTATGACTTCATTCTCCTAAATTATAACTTTAATCTCTAAATCTTAAAAGAATAAAAACCATAAATGATGTCCTAATCCTCTGCTGTAGTTGTGTCAGCTTTCTTATTTCAAATGTTTTTAATTGTTGAAGCAGAGCATATCATTTGTCTCTAAATCTTTAGTGTTTGGTTTACAGATTTTTGTGAGCTCAAACATCATGCTCTCACACAGCCTGAGCTAACTCTCTACTGTTTTTGGATTTCTTGTGCTTTCTTTTAAGCCACACTGTGTCTCCAAGCAAGTCCAGCATCTCACCTGAAATGAGTAGCTGTGCAGCAACACACACAGCATTCTGGAATACCAACAAAACTAAAACATGCATAAATGCACACTTGAAAGATGCTAAGCGCGCTTAACATTTCTTAGCATCTCTTGCCAAATGGGACACCATACGCACCGCATTCAACAGTGCAGAAGTGCACTTAGCCCACTGCAATCTCTAAAATGAAACACAGCCCTTGACTGTGACATCACAGTTTAAGATACAGTTCGACTGCTCCTACTGTCCCTCACGCTCTGCTTCACAGATCATCAAAGTGTACACGTGTGTAATGAGCGCATATTGAATATTAATTATACTAACTATGTTCATTATTAGAAGCAATAACAACAGTCTTTCTGGACAGAATTTCTTTTTATTACAGAATTAGAATAATGGAAGCATAGTCCAATTAAACCATCAAGTGGTGTCATGCCTCATAATTTATTAAGATGTTGGCTAGTCTGGGCATTTCTTCATTCATCAGGTTGCCTGCATGCTTACTAACAGACCACATCAGTAGCAGTGAATGATAAGTATGAGTGTGCCATTATGTAAGAAAAGAAAGTGATTTACTTCCACATCCATAGAAAATAGGTGATTGAGCAGAGCACACATACAAAACTTTGCCACAACAGTGGAACCTCACAAGTAGCCGATACCAAGGTCACACAATCATGGTGAGCAGAGGTCAAACCAGGCCAGGCACTCACAAGGCTGGCTGTGGCAAGTCTAAGTGAAAGCAACACGCAATGGCAGAAAGAACAGCAAACGCCAATGAAGGAAAAGGGTCTTTGCAGTGATGGGCATTACCAGAGAGGGCGATGGCAAGAGGACGCGTATGGGACGGGGAGGCGATCGCGTTGGGGGGGGGGGCGCGACACAGCTCGGGCCCGCCAGTGCCCCAACGGGGCCCTAGTTCTTTGTTTGTTTCTTTCTTTCTTTCTTTCTTTCTTAGGGCCCGAGCGTAGCTGCTAAGCAGCTGCGAGAGCCCTATTATTCCCCAAGTGGTTTTTCTTTGTTTCTTTCTTAGGGCCCGAGCGTAGCTGCTAAGCAGCTGCGAGGCCCTATTATTCCTGTAGTGGTTTTTCTTTGTTTCTTTTTAGGGCCCGAGCGTAGCTGCTAAGCAGCTGCGAGAGCCCTATTATTCCTGATGGATTCTTCTTTCTTCTTTAGGGCCCGAGCGTAGCTGCTAAGCAGCTGCGAGAGCCCTCTTGTTCCTGTAGTTTCCTTCTTTTGTTATTATTATTTTTCCTCCCCTTTGAACTGGAAAATGGCCCACTTCCCACCCGCGAAAACTCATGAAATTTGGCAGGACGACCGGGCCTGGTGAAAAATTTGATATTCCGAAGTCGCCCAAACAAGAAAATGCAAAATGGCTCCATAGCGCCCCCTAAGGTGAAAATTCACACTATTGACTGTCACGCCTGTACGCTTTGTCAAAATGACACAAAAATTGACACACACATGTATCTCAGTAAGATCTACAAAAAAGTCAGTGCGGGCGTATCTGTCAAATGTACGGTTAAAGGGTTATTTCGCATTTTTTGCCGATCCGCACACATTGGAATTTCGCTAACTCCTCCGAAGGCTTTCGTTCCACCGGCACCACATTTGCTCAGGCCAATCTACACCCCATGGCCATTAAAAGTTATTCAAATCATGACGCTGCACCCCACGGTTTAGGTTCTAGGGGGCGCCAAAGATAACCCTAAGATCCACATATTTAAAAGTCTTATAACTTTTTATTTTTGCCCTCACTGGCCTCCAAGTTTTCTAGGATGATGCAATGTCCAGCCATCAACACATTTGTGAAGGAATTTTTACTCCCCAAAAGAGCGCCCCCCCATGGCAGGAGAAAAAAGTCAATTTTTTCTTGTCCCCTAAGGTGAAAATACACATTGTTGAGTGTAACACCTGTACGCTTTGGCAAAATGACACAAAAATTGACACACACATGTATCTCAATAAGATCTACGAAAAAGTCAATGCGCGCGTATCTGTCAAATGTACGGTTAAAGGGTTATTCCGCATTTTTTGCCGATCCGCACACATTGGAATTTCGCTAACTCCTCCGAAGGCTTTCGTTCCACCGGCACCACATTTGCTCAGGCCAATCTACACCCCATGGCCATTAAAAGTTATTCAAATCATGACGCTGCATCCCACGGTTTAGGTTCTAGGGGGCGCCAAAGATAACCCTAAAATCCACATATTTAAAAGTCTTATAACTTTTTATTTTTGTCCTCACTGGCCTCCAAGTTTTCTAGGATGATGCAATGTCCAGCCATCAACACATTTGTGAAGGAATTTTTACTCCCCAAAAGAGCGCCCCCCATGGCAGGAGAAAAAAGTCAATTTTTTCTTGTCCCCTAAGGTGGAAATTCACACTATTGACTGTCACGCCTGTACGCTTTATCATATTGACACAAAAATTGACACACATATGTATCTCAATAAGATCTACAAAAAAGTCAATTCGCGCATATCTGTCAAATGTACGGTTAAAGGGCTATTTTGCATTTTTTGCCGATTTGCACACATTGGAATGTGGCTAACTCCTCCTAAGGCTTTCGTCCCACTGACACCAAATTTGCTCAGGCCAATCTACACCCCATGGCCATTCAAAGTTGTAAAAATCATGACGCTGCACCCCACGGTTTACGTTCTAGGGGGCGCCAAAGATGACCCAAAAATCCACATTCTTAAAAGAATCACACATCCCCCCCCTATGGCAGGAGAAAAAGTCAAGTTTTTCCTGCCCATCGCTCAATGGCTCAATCGCATCGCTCTCCAGGCAACACCGTAAGGAGGAGCAACCTGGCATTTCGATATATCATAGCTGTGTTTGTGCCCTCACTCATGGTCCAGACTTTTTTCAAATAGGACATGAAGTTTGTCTGCAGCGAGTGTTTTGGTAGAAACTGCGCCTCCCATTCATTATAATGGGAAATGACCACAGACAAGTGCGCACACCATCTTTGGTTCTTGAGTGTGACTCGATCGGGACGGGGAGGCGGTCGCACTGGGGGCGGCGCGACGCGGCTCGGGCCCGACAGTGCCCCACCGGGGCCCTAGTTTCTTCTTTTTCCTCCCCTTTGAACTGGAAAATGGCCCACTTCCCACTGGCGAAAACTCATGAAATTTGGCAGGACGACCGGGCCTGGTGAAAAATTCGATATTCTGAAGTCGCCCAAACAAGAAAATGCAAAATGGCTCCATAGCGCCCCCTAAGGTGGAAATTCACACTATTGACTGTCACGCCTGTACGCTTTGTCATATTGACACAAAAATTGACACACATATGTATCTCAATAAGATCTACAAAAAAGTCAGTGCGGCCGTATCTGTCAAAATTACGGTTAAAGGGTTATTTCGCATTTTTTGCCGATCCGCACACATTGGAATTTCGCTAACTCCTCCGAAGGCTTTCGTTCCACCGGCACCACATTTGCTCAGGCCAATCTACACCCCGTGGCCATTAAAAGTTATCAAAATCATGACGCTGCACCCCAAGGTTTAGGTTCTAGGGGGCGCCAAAGATAACACTAAAATCCACATATTTAAAAGTCTTATAACTTTTTATTTTTGTCCTCACTGGCCTCCAAGTTTTCTAGGATGATGCAATGTCCAGCCATCAACACATTTGTGAAGGAATTTTTACTCCCCAAAAGAGCGCCCCCCCATGGCAGGAGAAAAAGGTCCAATTTTTTCTTGTCCCCTAAGGTGAAAATACACATTGTTGAGTGTCACGCCTATACGCTTTGTGAAAATGACACAAAAATTGACACACACATGTAACTCAATAAGATCTACGAAAAAGTCAATGCGCGCGTATCTGTCAAATGTACGGTTAAAGGGTTATTCCGCATTTTTTGCCGATCCGCACACATTGGAATGTGGCTAACTCCTCCTAAGGCTTTCGTTCCACCGGCACCACATTTGCTCAGGCCAATCTACACCCCATGGCCATTAAAAGTTATTCAAATCATGACGCTGCACCCCACGGTTTAGGTTCTAGGGGGCGCCAAAGATAACCCTAAAATCCACATATTTCAAAGTCTTATAACTTTTTATTTTTGTCCTCACTGGCCTCCAAGTTTTCTAGGATGATGCAATGTCCAGCCATCAACACATTTGTGAAGGAATTTTTACTCCCCAAAAGAGCGCCCCCCCATGGCAGGAGAAAAAAGTCCATTTTTTCTTGTCCCCTAAGGTGAAAATACATATTGTTGAGATTCACGCCTATACGCTTTGTCATATTGACACAAAATTTGACAATCACGTGCCTTGCCTGGTATCATTTTTTTCAGCACAACCTCACCTGTGCGAATTTACAGTTATTGTATCATGTTGACATACTGAATTTACACAATGGACCCAAATTCACACACAAAACATAAAATCCGAGTGGAAAAAAGTAACATTTTTACTGTGAAAACCAAAAATATGTGTGATGAACTGTTTTTAAAACTTAAACTTCAAATAAAAATTGTAAACTTCAAAACATATGCAAATTTTTAACAAAGAACATAGTGATTTACCTCTATTTACATCAAAATGCAGGCAATGGCCCAGGCGTTCTTTGTAAAATTATTTACAAAACACTGTATAGTCTCACAAATGTCACTTTTTATTTATGCCACTACAAAAAAACATGATGTAAATGATGCATGATGTAAAACATGATGTAAAAAACTTGTGTAGATCCTCCTCTATGTCAGTCCATGTGTAATTTTTCCATAATTCTTTGTTTTTTGCAGCATTTTTGTTAGTGTAACTGCAGATTGTGCTGACAGTGTCTATGGCACAAAAAAAAAAATTAAAATGCCTCAACATGAACCCCTGGTCTCTGAGGGTGAAACCTGCTAACTGCTGCAGCTCTGTCAGCTTCAGTCTCCCATGCAGAGCTCTGAGCGCATGTGTGGCTCTGCACCCTTAGCAGCGTTGCTAACTCCTCAGTAAGGAAAGCCTGCTTCATGTCAGAGTCTCTAAACTCCAGAAGAAGTCGATAAAAGTCCCTTTCTTTCTAAAAAAAGTCGTTAGGGGGTCTGAAAAGTCATTGAATCTAACAACAAAGTTGCTAGGTTTGCAACTACGTGTCCCAGACTGCATCCCTGCTGAGAGTCCCTCCCTCCCTTCTCATGTTGCAGGAAGAACGTAAGCGCCCGCCCCTTGTCAATCAGTCACCATATAATTTTGGATTGGTTGTTGTGGTGAAGTTTTCCACCAATAGGAGAGATGTTGTGGTGTGTTTTTTTTTCTTTTGGCAAGCCTTTTCCGCCTGTAAGACCTGTCGCTAATGTCTGCATGCTATGTTTTCCTGTCTCATACAGCGCGATCGAGCGCCGAACGTGATCAAAATAAGCAGAAAAAAAGTATCGCGGACATAATTTATCATAACTCTGGTTTTATTTGGCCTATCAACACAATTTAAAAACTGGTATATAGGTTGAGGTCCTCACTTTTGAGATAAGTTGAAACGGAGAGTCAACGAGGCTCCGTCTTGCAGCTACATCCGGTTAAATATGTCATGTGACTTGAACGCACACACAGACACACACACACGCACACACACACACACACACACACACTCAGAGTCTGGTTTTTAGCACCTGCAAAAACATGCTATTTACATATTTGACAAGAATGCAGAGGCTCCTTTTGCCCCTGAAAAAAATCAAATTTCAAACACAACTTGACTGGTCATTTCTCCAAAAGACAACCATGAAGCTCCATCCAAACCTGAAGCAGGCAGTTGGTGCATGTGTACAGTAACCTGAGGGGAGTGAGGTGAGTGCTTCTGAGGAGAACATGAGCAGTGAAGATTCACCTTGGAGCTAGAACAGAGACATGCACATGATTATACAGGGGCAGGGGCTCAAGTTTTTTCCAGTCGTTTATACAATATGGAAATTAATGTGAAATTAAAACACAAAGTATTAATAGAAAGGTAATGACTGTCCTGTGGAGGTGACAGTGATATCCAATAGGCTAGGCACTCACGAGGCTGGCTGTGGCAAGTGTAAGTGAAAGCAACACGCACTGGCAGGAAGAACAGCAAACGCCGATGAAGGAAAAGGGTCTTTGCAGTGATGGGCGTTACCAGAGAGGGCGATGGCCAGAGGACACAAATGGGACGGGAAGGCAGCACGTTGGGGGGGGGGAGGCGACACAGCTCGGGCCCGCCAGTGCCCCAACGGGGCCCTAGTCTTCTTCTTATTATTTTTCTGCCCCTTTGAACTGGAAAATGGCCCACTTCCCACTGGTGAAAACTCATGAAATTTGGCAGGACGACCGGGCCTGGTGAAAAATTCGATATTCTGAAGTCACCCAAACAATCAAATGCAAAATGGCTCCATAGCGCCCCCTAAGGTGAAAAATTCACATGATTGAGTGTCACGCCTGTACGCTTTGTCAAAATGACACAAAATTTGACACACACGTGTATCTCAATAAGATCTACAAAAAAGTCAGTGCGGGCGTATCTGTCAAATGTACGTTTAAAGGGCTATTTCGCATTTTTTGCCGATCCGCACACATTGGAATTTCGCTAACTCCTCCGAAGGCTTTCGTTCCACCGGCACCAAATTTGCTCAGGCCAATCTACACCCCATGGCCATTCAAAGTTGTACAAATCATGACGCTGCACCCCACGGTTTACGTTGTAGGGGGCGCCAAAGATAACCCAAAAATCCACATTCTTACAAGTCTTATAACTTTTTATTTCTGTCCTCACTGGCCTCCAAGTTTTCTAGGATGATGCAATGTCCAGCCATCAACACATTTGTGAAGGAATTTTTACTCCCCAAAAGAGCGCCCCCCCATGGCAGGAGAAAAAAGGCCATTTTTTCTTGTCCTATAAGGTGAAAATACACATTGTTGAGTGTCACGCCTGTACGCTTTGTCATATTGAAACAAAATTTGATAATCACGTGTATCTCAATAAGATCTACGAAAAAAACAATGCGCACGTGTCTGCAAAATGTACGGTTAAAGGGCTGTTTCGCATTTTTGGTTGATTCGCACACATTGGAATGTGGCTAACTCCTCCTAAAGCTTTCGTTCCACCGGCACCAAATTTGCTCAGGCCAATCTACACCCCATGGCCATTAAAAGTTGTACAAATCATGATGCTGCACCCCACGGTTTACGTTCTAGGGGTCGCCAAAGATAACCCAAAAATCCACATTCTTAAAAGTCTTATAACTTTTCATTTTTGTCCTCATTGGCTTCAAAGTTTTCTAGGATGATGCAATGTCTAGCCATCAACACATTTGTGAAGGAATTTTTTCTCCCCAAAAGAGCGCCCCCCATGGCAGGAGAAAAAGTCAAGTTTTTCCTGCCCATCGCTCAATGGCTCAAACACATCGCTCTCTCGGAAAAAAACGAAAGGAGGAGGAACTTGCCATTTGGATATATCCTAGCTGTGTTTGTGCCCTCACTCATGGTCCAGACTTTTTTCAAATAGGACATGTAGTTTGTCTGCAGCAAGCGTTTTGGTAGAAACTGCGCCTCCCATTCATTATAATGGTAAATGACCACAGACAAGTGCGCACACCATCGTTGAACCTTGAGTGTGACGCGATCGGGAGGGAGAGGCGGTCGTGTTGGGGGCGGCGTGACACAGCTCGGGCCCGCCAGTGCCCCAACGGGGCCCTAGTTTCTTTTTCCTCCCCTTTGAACTGGAAAATGGCCCACTTCCCACTGGCGAAAACTCATGAAATTTGGCAGGACGACCGGGCCTGGTAAAAAATTTGATATTCCGAAGTCGCCCAAACAAGAAAATGCAAAATGGCTCCATAGCGCCCCCTAAGGTTAAAATTCACACTATTGACTGTCACGCCTGTACGCTTTGTCAAAATGACACAAAAATTGACACACACATGTATCTCAATAAGATCTACAAAAAAGTCAGTGCGGGCGTATCTGTCAAATGTACGGTTAAAGGGTTATTTCGCATTTTTTGCCGATCCGCACACATTGGAATTTCGCTAACTCCTCCGAAGGCTTTCGTTCCACCGGCACCACATTTGCTCAGGCCAATCTACACCCCATGGCCATTAAAAGTTATTCAAATCATGACGCTGCACCCCAAGGTTTAGGTTCTAGGGGGCGCCAAAGATAACCCTAAAATCCACATATTTAAAAGTCTTATAACTTTTTATTTTTGCCCTCACTGGCCTCCAATTTTTCAAGGATGATGCAATGTCCAGCCATCAACACATTTGTGAAGGAATTTTTACTCCCCAAAAGAGCGCCCCCCCATGGCAGGAGAAAAAAGTCCATTTTTTCTTGTCCCCTAAGGTGAAAATACACATTGTAGAGTGTCACGCCTGTACGCTTTGTCAAAATGACACAAAAATTGACACACACATGTATCTCAATAAGATCTACAAAAAAGTCAGTGCGTGCGTATCTGTCAAATGTACGGTTAAAGGGTTATTTCGCATTTTTTGCCGATCCGCACACATTGGAATTTCGCTAACTCCTCCGAAGGCTTTCGTTCCACCGGCACCACATTTGCTCAGGCCAATCTACACCCCATGGCCATTAAAAGTTATTCAAATCATGACGCTGCACCCCACGGTTTAGGTTCTAGGGGGCGCCAAAGATAACCCTAAAATCCACATATTTAAAAGTCTTATAACTTTTTATTTTTGCCCTCACTGGCCTCCAATTTTTCAAGGATGATGCAATGTCCAGCCATCAACACATTTGTGAAGGAATTTTTACTCCCCAAAAGAGCGCCCCCCCATGGCAGGAGAAAAAAGTCCATTTTTTCTTGTCCCCTAAGGTGAAAATACACATTGTTGAGTGTCACGCCTGAACGCTTTGTCATATTGACACAAAATTTGACACACACGTGTATCTCAATAAGATCTACGAAAAAGTCAAAGAGCGCGTATCTGTATAATGTACGGTTAAAGAGCTATTTCGCATTTTTTGCCGATCCGCACACATTGGAATTTCGCTAACTCCTCCGAAGGCTTTCGTTCCACCGGCACCAAATTTGCTCAGGCCAATCTACACCCCATGGCCATTAAAAGTTGTAAAAATCATGACGCTGCACCTCACGGTTTACGTTCTAGGGGGCGCCAAAGATGACCCAAATATACATTACAGCAGACAAAGTAGTTTTGCCCACTGAGTGGCGCCAAAGGGACTTGTCTATGGAGTCTGGGGGTCACTATTGGCCGTTTTTGACTACTTTAGATTTTACCTTTATATTTCCTCTTAATATTTTTTTTACCTTGCCTTGCCTGGTATCATTCTTTTCAGCACAACCTCACCTGTGTTAATTTACAGTTATTTTATCATTTTGACATACTGTATTTACACAATGGACCCAAATTCACACACAAAACATAAAATCCGAGTGGAAAAAAGTAACATTTTTACTGTGAAAACCACAAATATGTGTGATGAACTGTTTTTAAAACTTAAACTTCAAATAAAAATTGTAAACTTCAAAACATATGCAAATTTTTAACAAAGAACATAGTAATTTACCTCTATTTACATCAAAATGCAGGCAATGGCCCAGGCGTTCTTTGTAAAATTATTTACAAAACACTGTATAGTCTCACAAATGTCACTTTTTATTTATGCCACTACAAAAAAACATGATGTAAATGATGCATGATGTAAAACATGATGTAAAAAACTTGTGTAGATCCTCCTCTATGTTAGTCCATGTGTATTTTTTCCATAATTCTTTGTTTTGTCCAGCATTTTTGTTAGTGTAACTGCAGATTGTGCTGACAGTGTCATGGCAAAAAAAAAAAAAAAAAAAAACTGAAAATGCCTCAACATGAACCCCTGGTGGTCTCTGAGGGTGAAACCTGCTAACTGCTGCAGCTCTGTCAGCTTCAGTCTCCCATGCAGAGCTCGGAGCGCATGTGTGGCTCTGCACCCTTAGCAGCGTTGCCAACTCCTCAGTAAGGAAAGCCTGCTTCATGTCAGAGTCTCTGAACTCCAGAAGAAGTTGATAAAATTCCCTTTCTTTCTAAAAAAAAAAAGTCGTAAGGGGGGTCTGAAAAGTCATTGAATCCAACAACAAAGTCGCTAGGTTTGCAACTACGTGTCCCAGACTGCATCCCTGCTGAGAGTCCCTCCCTCCCTTCTCATGTTGCAGGAAGAAGGTAAGCGCCCGCCCCTTGTCAATCAGTCACCATATAATTTTGGATTGGTTGTTGTGGTGAAGTTTTCCACCAATAGGAGAGATGTTGTGGTGTGTTTTTTTTTTTCTTTTGGCAACCCTTTTTCGCCTGTAAGACCTGTCGCTAATGTCTGCATGCTATGTTTTCCTGTCTCATACAGCGCGATCGAGCGCCGAACGTGATCAAAATAAGCAGAAAAAAAGTATCGCAGACATAATTTATCATAACTCTGGTTTTATTTGGCCTATCAACACAATTTAAAAACTGGTATATAGTTTAAGGTCCTCACTTTGGAGATAAGTTGAAACGGAGAGTCAACGAGGCTCTGTCTTGCAGCTACATCCGGTTAAATATGTCATGTGACTTGAACACTGGGGAGCGTCAATCGACTGCAGAGCCAGCAGACAAAGTAGTTATGGCCACTGAGAGGCACACATTTGTCATATGCTATAATCCTAACATATTTTAATGCTTTTTCTATTTAAACCTAATGGATCTAAGGTTTGACCTTCAAAATTTAGGAAGAATATGTTTTTGCAGTAATGACCCCCTTAAACAACCAGAGGTCCTTTCCTAAAGTTTATGGAAATTTTAGTGAAGGCCTTGGTTTCTGTCCTTGCAAAATGCATAGAAATAATAAAGCTAAATACCATAAAATGGTCTTGGCGTATTAGCAGTGATATAAAATAGTGGTTTGAATATGAATGAACAACAAAAAAAAACATCAACAGAGCCTTTTTGAGTTAGGATTCTTTCATTATTACACAAAAACAGACATAGACAGACATCTGAAGGAAAAGGGAATGATCAGCCCTCCTGACTCTCAGATGAATCTTCAAAATTCACCTCAGAAATATGCTTATTCTTCTCAGAGTACTGCAGGATACACACACACACACACACACACACACACACACACACACACACACACACACACACACACACACACACACACTCAGAGTCTGTTTTTTAGCACCTGCAAAAACATGCTGTTTACATATTTGACAAGAATGCAGAGGCTCCTTTTGCCCCTGAAAAAAATCTAATATCAAACACAACTTGACTGCTAATTTCTCCAAAAGACAACCATGAAGCGCTATCTAAACCTGAAGCATGCAGTTGCTGCGTGTGTACAGTAACCTGAGGGGAGTGAGGTGACTGCTTCTGAGGAGAACATGAGCAGTGAAGATTCACCTTAGAGCCAGAACAGGGACGTGCACATGATTATACAGGGGCAGGGGCTCAAGTCTTTTCCAGTCCTTTATACAATATGGAAATTAATGTGAAATTAAAAAACAAAGTATTAATAGAAAGGTAAGGACTGTCCTGTGTAGATGACAGTGATATCCAATAGGCTAGGCACTCACGAGGTTGGCTGTGGCAAGTGTAAGTGAAAGCAACACGCACTGGCAGGAAGAACAGCAAACGCCGATGAAGGAAAAGGGTCTTTGCAGTGATGGGCGTTACCAGAGAGGGCGATGGCCAGAGGACGCGAATGGGACGGGGAGGCAGCGTGTTGGGGGGGGGGAGGGGGCGCGACACGGCTCGGGCCCGCCAGTGCCCCAACGGGGCCCTAGTTAGGGCCCGAGCGTAGCTGCTAAGCAGCTGCGAGAGCCCTATTATTCCCCAAGTGGTTTTTCTTTGTTTCTTTTTTCTTTTTCCTCCCCTTTGAACTGGAAAATGGCCCACTTCCCACTGGCGAAAACTCATGAAATTTGGCAGGACGACCGGGCCTGGTGAAAAATTTGATATTCTGAAGTCGCCCAAACAATACAATGCAAAATGGCTCCATAGCGCCCCCTAAGGTGAAAAATTCACCTGACGCCTGTACGCTTTGTCAAAATGACACAAAAATTGACACACACATGTATCTCAATAAGATCTACAAAAAAGTCAGTGCGGGCGTATCTGTCAAATGTACGGTTAAAGGATTATTGCGCATTTTTTGCCGATCCGCACACATTGGAATTTCGCTAACTCCTCCGAAGGCTTTCGTTCCACCGGCACCACATTTGCTCAGGCCAATCTACACCCCATGGCCATTAAAAGTTATTCAAATCATGACGCTGCACCCCACGGTTTAGGTTCTAGGGGGCGCCAAAGATAACCCTAAAATCCACATATTTCAAAGTCTTATAACTTTTTATTTTTGCCCTCACTGGCCTCCAAGTTTTCTAGGATGATGCAATGTCCAGCCAACAACACATTTGTGAAGGAATTTTTACTCCCCAAAAGAGCGCCCCCCCATGGCAGGAGAAAAAAGTCCATTTTTTCTTGTCCCATAAGGTGAAAATTCACACTATTGACTGTCACGCCTGTACGCTTTGTCAAAATTACACAAAAATTGACACACACATGTATCTCAATAAGATCTACAAAAAAGTCAGTGCTGGCGTATCTGTCAAATGTACGGTTAAAGGGTTATTGCGCATTTTTTGCCGATCCGCACACATTGGAATTTCGCTAACTCCTCCGAAGGCTTTCGTTCCACCGGCACCACATTTGCTCAGGCCAATCTACACCCCATGGCCATTAAAAGTTATTCAAATCATGACGCTGCACCCCACGGTTTACGTTCTAGGGGGCGCCAAAGATAACCCTAAAATCCACATATTTAAAAGTCTTATAACTTTTTATTTTTGTCCTCTCTGGCCTCCAAGTTTTCTAGGATGATGCAATGTCCAGCCATCAACACATTTGTGAAGGAATTTTTACTCCCCAAAAGAGCGCCCCCCCATGGCAGGAGAAAAAAGTCCATTTTTTCTTGTCCCCTAAGGTGAAAATACACATTGTTGAGTGTCACGCCTATACGCTTTGTCAAAATGACACCAAAATTGACACACACATGTATCTCAATAAGATCTACGAAAAAGTCAATGCGTGCGTATCTGTCAAATGTACGGTTAAAGGGTTATTCCGCATTTTTTGCCGATCCGCACACATTGGAATGTGGCTAACTCCTCCTAAGGCTTTCGTTCCACCGGCACCACATTTGCTCAGGCCAATCTACACCCCATGGCCATTAAAAGTTATTCAAATCATGACGCTGCACCCCACGGTTTAGGTTCTAGGGGGCGCCAAAGATAACCCTAAAATCCACATATTTAAAAGTCTTATAACTTTTTATTTTTGCCCTCACTGGCCTCCAAGTTTTCTAGGATGATGCAATGTCCAGCCATCAACACATTTGTGAAGGAATTTTTACTCCCCAAAAGAGCGCCCCCCCATGGCAGGAGAAAAAAGTCCATTTTTTCTTGTCCCCTAAGGTGAAAATACATATTGTTGAGATTCACGCCTATACGCTTTGTCATATTGACACAAAATTTGACAATCACGTGCCTTGCCTGGTATCATTTTTTTCAGCACAACCTCACCTGTGCGAATTTACAGTTATTTTATCATGTTGACATACTGAATTTACACAATGGACCCAAATTCACACACAAAACATAAAATCCGAGTGGAAAAAAGTAACATTTTTACTGTGAAAACCACAAATATGTGTGATGAACTGTTTTTAAAACTTAAACTTCAAATAAAAATTGTAAACTTCAAAACATATGCAAATTTTTAACAAAGAACATAGTGATTTACCTCTATTTACATCAAAATGCAGGCAATGGCCCAGGTGTTCTTTGTAAAATTATTTACAAAACACTGTATAGTCTCACAAATGTCACTTTTTATTTATGCCACTACAAAAAAAACATGATGTAAATGATGCATGATGTAAAACATGATGTAAAAAACTTGTGTAGATCCTCCTCTATGTCAGTCCATGTGTAATTTTTCCATAATTCTTTGTTTTTTGCAGCATTTTTGTTAGTGTAACTGCAGATTGTGCTGACAGTGTCTATGGCAAAAAAAAAAAAATGTTAAAATGCCTCAACATGAACCCCTGGTGGTCTCTGAGGGTGAAACCTGCTAACTGCTGCAGCTCTGTCAGCTTCAGTCTCCCATGCAGAGCTCTGAGCGCATGTGTGGCTCTGCACCCTTAGCAGCGTTGCTAACTCCTCAGTAAGGAAAGCCTGCTTCATGTCAGAGTCTCTAAACTCCAGAAGAAGTCGATAAAAGTCCCTTTCTTTCTAAAAAAAAGTCGTTAGGGGGTCTGAAAAGTCATTGAATCTAACAACAAAGTCGCTAGGTTTGCAACTACGTGTCCCAGACTGCATCCCTGCTGAGAGTCCCTCCCTCCCTTCTCATGTTGCAGGAAGAACGTAAGCGCCCGCCCCTTGTCATTCAGTCACCATATAATTTTGGATTGGTTGTTGTGGTGAAGTTTTCCACCAATAGGAGAGATGTTGTGGTGTGTTTTTTTTTTCTTTTGGCAAGCCTTTTCCGCCTGTAAGACCTGTCGCTAATGTCTGCATGCTATGTTTTCCTGTCTCATACAGCGCGATCGAGCGCCGAACGTGATCAAAATAAGCAGAAAAAAAGTATCGCGGACATAATTTATCATAACTTTGGTTTTATTTGGCCTATCAACACAATTTAAAAACTGGTATATAGGTTGAGGTCCTCACTTTTGAGATAAGTTGAAACGGAGAGTCAACGAGGCTCCGTCTTGCAGCTACATCCGGTTAAATATGTCATGTGACTTGAACGCACACACAGACACACACACACGCACACACACACACACACACACACACACACACACACACACACACACACACACACACACACACACTCAGAGTCTGGTTTTTAGCACCTGCAAAAACATGCTATTTACATATTTGACAAGAATGCAGAGGCTCCTTTTGCCCCTGAAAAAAATCAAATTTCAAACACAACTTGACTGGTCATTTCTCCAAAAGACAACCATGAAGCTCCATCCAAACCTGAAGCAGGCAGTTGGTGCATGTGTACAATAACCTGAGGGGAGTGAGGTGAGTGCTTCTGAGGAGAACATGAGCAGTGAAGATTCACCTTGGTGCTAGAACAGAGACATGCACATGATTATACAGGGGCAGGGGCTCAAGTTTTTTCCAGTCGTTTATACAATATGGAAATTAATGTGAAATTAAAACACAAAGTATTAATAGAAAGGTAATGACTGTCCTGTGTAGGTGACAGTGATATCCAATAGGCTAGGCACTCACGAGGCTGGCTGTGGCAAGTGTAAGTGAAAGCAACACGCACTGGCAGGAAGAACAGCAAACGCCGATGAAGGAAAAGGGTCTTTGCAGTGATGGGCGTTACCAGAGAGGGCGATGGCCAGAGGACACAAATGGGACGGGGAGGCAGCACGTTGGGGGGGGGGGGGGGCGACACGGCTCGGGCCCGCCAGTGCCCCAACGGGGTCCTAGTTAGGGCCCGAGCGTAGCTGCTAAGCAGCTGCGAGAGCCCTATTATTCCCCAAGTGGTTTTTCTTTGTTTCTTTTTAGGGCCCGAGCGTAGCTGCTAAGCAGCTGCGAGAGCCCTCTTGTTCCTGTAGTTTCCTTCTTTTGTTATTATTATTATTTTTCCTCCCCTTTGAACTGGAAAATGGCCCACTTCCCACTGGCGAAAACTCATGAAATTTGGCAGGACGACCGGGCCTGGTGAAAAATTTGATATTCCGAAGTCGCCCAAACAAGAAAATGCAAAATGGCTCCATAGCGCCCCCTAAGGTGAAAATTCACACTATTGACTGTCACGCCTGTACGCTTTGTCAAAATGACACAAAAATTGACACACACATGTATCTCAATAAGATCTACAAAAAAGTCAGTGCGGGCGTATCTGTCAAATGTACGGTTAAAGGGTTATTTCGCATTTTTTGCCGATCCGCACACATTGGAATTTCGCTAACTCCTCCGAAGGCTTTCGTTCCACCGGCACCACATTTGCTCAGGCCAATCTACACCCCATGGCCATTAAAAGTTATTCAAATCATGACGCTGCACCCCACGGTTTAGGTTCTAGGGGGCGCCAAAGATAACCCTAAGATCCACATATTTAAAAGTCTTATAACTTTTTATTTTTGCCGTCACTGGCCTCCAAGTTTTCTAGGATGATGCAATGTCCAGCCATCAACACCTTTGTGAAGGAATTTTTACTCCCCAAAAGAGCGCCCCCCCATGGCAGGAGAAAAAAGTCAATTTTTTCTTGTCCCCTAAGGTGAAAATACACATTGTTGAGTGTAACACCTGTACGCTTTGGCAAAATGACACAAAAATTGACACACACATGTATCTCAATAAGATCTACGAAAAAGTCAATGCGCGCGTATCTGTCAAATGTACGGTTAAAGGGTTATTCCGCATTTGTTGCCGATCCGCACACATTGGAATTTCGCTAACTCCTCCGAAGGCTTTCGTTCCACCGGCACCACATTTGCTCAGGCCAATCTACACCCCATGGCCATTAAAAGTTATTCAAATCATGACGCTGCACCCCACGGTTTAGGTTCTAGGGGGCGCCAAAGATAACCCTAAAATCCACATATTTAAAAGTCTTATAACTTTTTATTTTTGTCCTCTCTGGCCTCCAAGTTTTCTAGGATGATGCAATGTCCAGCCATCAACACATTTGTGAAGGAATTTTTACTCCCCAAAAGAGCGCCCCCCCATGGCAGGAGAAAAAAGTCAATTTTTTCTTGTCCCCTAAGGTGGAAATTCACACTATTGACTGTCACGCCTGTACGCTTTATCATATTGACACAAAATTTGACAATCACATGTATCTCAATAAGATCTACAAAAAAGTCAATGCGCGCGTATCTGTCAAATGTACGGTTAAAGGGCTATTTTGCATTTTTTGCCGATTCGCACACATTGGAATGTGGCTAACTCCTCCTAAGGCTTTCGTCCCACTGACACCAAATTTGCTCAGGCCAATCTACACCCCATGGTCATTCAAAGTTGTAAAAATCATGACGCTGCACCCCACGGTTTAAGTTCTAGGGGGCGCCAAAGATGACCCAAATATCCACATTCTTAAAAGAATCCACATCCCCCCCCATCCCCCAACCCCCATGGCAGGAGAAACAGTCAAGTTTTTCCTGCCCATCACTCAATGGCTCAATCGCATCACTCTCCCGGCAACACCGTAACAAGGAGCAACTTGCCGTTTGGATATATCCTAGCTGTGTTTGTGCCCTCACTCATGGTCCAGACTTTTTTCAAATAGGACATGTAGTTTGTCTGCAGCGAGTGTTTTGGTAGAAACTGCGCCTCCCATTCATTATAATGGGAAATGACCACAGACAAGTGCGCACACCATCTTTGGACCTTGAGTGTGACGCGATCGGGAGGGGGAGGCGGTCGCGCTGGGGGCGGCGCAACGCGGCTCGGGCCCGACAGTGCCCCACCGGGGCCCTAGTTTCTTTTTCCTCCCCTTTGAACTGGAAAATGGCCCACTTCCCACTGGCGAAAACTCATGAAATTTGGCAGGACGACCGGGCCTGGTGAAAAATTTGATATTCTGAAGTCGCCCAAACAATACAATGCAAAATGGCTCCATAGCGCCCCCTAAGGTGAAAAATTCACCTGACGCCTGTACGCTTTGTCAAAATGACACAAAAATTGACACACACATGTATCTCAATAAGATCTACAAAAAAGTCAGTGCGGGCGTATCTCTCAAATGTACGGTTAAAGGGTTATTGCGCATTTTTTGCCGATCCGCACACATTGGAATTTCGCTAACTCCTCCGAAGGCTTTTGTTCCACCGGCACCACATTTGCTCAGGCCAATCTACACCCCATGGCCATTAAAAGTTATTCAAATCATTATGCTGCACCCCACGGTTTAGGTTCTAGGGGGCGCCAAAGATAACCCTAAAATCCACATATTTCAAAGTCTTATAACTTTTTATTTTTGCCCTCACTGGCCTCCAAGTTTTCTAGGATGATGCAATGTCCAGCCATCAACACATTTGTGAAGGAATTTTTACTCCCCAAAAGAGCGCCCCCCCATGGCAGGAGAAAAAAGTCAATTTTTTCTTGTCCCGTAAGGTGAAAATTCACATTGTTGAGTGTGACACCTGTACGCTTTGTCATATTGACACAAAATTTGACTATCACGTGTATCTCAATAAGATCTACGAAAAAGTCAATGTGCGCGTATCTGTCAAATGTACGGTTAAAGGGTTATTCCGCATTTTTTGCCGATCCGCACACATTGGAATTTCGCTAACTCCTCCGAAGGCTTTCGTTCCACCGGCACCACATTTGCTCAGGCCAAATTACACCCCATGGCCATTAAAAGTTATTCAAATCATGACGCTGCACCCCACGGTTTACGTTCTAGGGGGCGCCAAAGATAACCCAAAAATCCACATTTTTAAAAGTCTTATAACTTTTTATTTTTGTCCTCACTGGCCTCCAAGTTTTCTAGGATGATGCAATGTCCAGCCATCAACACATTTGTGAAGGAATTTTTACTCCCTAAAAGAGCGCCCCCCCATGGCAGGAGAAAAAAGTCCATTTTTTCTTGTCCCCTAAGGTGAAAATACACATTGTTGACTGTCACGCCTGTACGCTTTGGCAAAATGACACAAAAATTGACAATCATGTGTATCTCAATTAGATCTATGAAAAAGTCAAAGAGCGCGTATCTGTATAATGTACGGTAAAAGGGCTATTTTGCATTTTTTGCCGATTCGCACACATTGGAATTTCGCTAACTCGTCCTACAGCTTTCGTCCCAATGACACCAAATTTGCTCAGGCCAATCTACACTCCATGGCCATTCAAAGTTGTAAAAATCATGACGCTGCACCCCACGGTTTATGTTTTAGGGGGCGCCAAAGATGACCCAAATATACATTACAGTAGACAAAGTAGTTTTGCCCACTGAGTGGCGCCAAAGGGACTTGTCTGTGGAGTCTGTGAGTCACTATTGTCCGTTTTTAACTACTTTAGATTTTACCTTTATATTTCCTCTTACAAAATTTTTACCTTGCCTTGCCTGGTATCATTTTTTTCAGCACAACCTCACCTGTGTCAATTTACAGTTATTTTATCATTTTGACATACTATATTTACACATTGGACCCAAATTCACACACAAAACATAAAATCCGAGTGGAAAAAAGTAACGTTTTTACTGTGAAAACCACAAATATGTGTGATGAACTGTTTTTAAAACTTAAACTTCAAATAAAAATTGTAAACTTCAAAACATATGCAAATTTTTAACAAAGAACATAGTAATTTACCTCTATTTACATCAAAATGCAGGCAATGGCCCAGGTGTTCTTTGTAAAATTATTTACAAAACACTGTATAGTCTCACAAATGTCACTTTTTATTTATGCCACTACAAAAAAACATGATGTAAATGATGCATGATGTAAAACATGATGTAAAAAACTTGTGTAGATCCTCCTCTGTTAGAATTATGGAAAAATTACACATGGACTTTTTTTTTTGCAGCATTTTTGTTAGTGTAACTGCAGATTGTGCTGACAGTGTCTATGGCAAAAAAAAAAAAAAAAACTGAAAATGCCTCAACATGAACCCCTGGTGGTCTCTGAGGGTGAAACCTGCTAACTGCTGCAGCTCTGTCAGCTTCAGTCTCCCATGCAGAGCTCGGAGCGCATGTGTGGCTCTGCACCCTTAGCAGCGTTGCTAACTCCTCAGTAAGGAAAGCCTGCTTCATGTCAGAGTCTCTAAACTCCAGAAGAAGTCGATAAAAGTCACTTTCTTTCTAAAAAAAAGTCGTTAGGGGGTCTGAAAAGTCATTGAATCTAACAACAAAGTCGCTAGGTTTGCAACTACGTGTCCCAGACTGCATCCCTGCTGAGAGTCCCTCCCTCCCTTCTCATATTGCAGGAAGAACGTAAGCGCCCGCCCCTTGTCAATCAGTCACCATATAATTTTGGATTGGTTGTTGTGGTGAAGTTTTCCACCAATAGGAGAGATGTTGTGGTGTGTTTTTTTTTTCCTTTGGCAAGCCTTTTCCGCCTGTAAGACCTGTCGCGAATGTCTGCATGTGCTATGTTTTCCTGTCTCATACAGCGCGATCGAGCGCCGAACGTGATCAAAATAAGCAGAAAACAAGTATCGCGGACATAATTTATCATAACTCTGGTTTTATTTGGCCTATCAACACAATTTAAAAACTGGTATATAGGTTGAGGTCCTCACTTTTGAGATAAGTTGAAACGGAGAGTCAACGAGGCTCCGTCTTGCAGCTACATCCGGTTAAATATGTCATGTGACTTGAACGCACACACACACACACACACACACACACACACACACACACACACACACACGCACACACACACACTCAGAGTCTGGTTTTTAGCACCTGCAAAAACATGCTATTTACATATTTGACAAGAATGCAGAGGCTCCTTTTGCCCCTGAAAAAAATCAAATTTCAAACACAACTTGACTGGTCATTTCTCCAAAAGACAACCATGAAGCTCCATCCAAACCTGAAGCAGGCAGTTGGTGCATGTGTACAGTAACCTGAGGGGAGTGAGGTGACTGCTTCTGAGGAGAACATGAGCAGTGAAGATTCACCTTAGAGCTAGAACAGAGACGTGCACATGATTATACAGGGGCAGGGGCTCAAGTTTTTCCAGTTGTTTATACAATATGGAAATTAATGTGAAATTAAAAAACAAAGTATTAATAGAAAGGTAATGACTGTCCTGTGTAGGTGACAGTGATATCCAATAGGCTAGGCACTCACGAGGCTGGCTGTGGCAAGTGTAAGTGAAAGCAACACGCACTGGCAGGAAGAACAGCAAACGCCGATGAAGGAAAAGGGTCTTTGCAGTGATGGGCGTTACCAGAGAGGGCGATGGCCAGAGGACACAAATGGGACGGGGAGGCAGCGCGTTGGGGGGGGGGACGCGACACAGCTCGGGCCCGCCAGTGCCCCAACGGGGTCCTAGTTAGGGCCCGAGCGTAGCTGCTAAGCAGCTGCGAGAGCCCTCTTGTTCCTGTAGTTTCCTTCTTTTGTTATTATTATTTTTCCTCCCCTTTGAACTGGAAAATGGCCCACTTCCCACCCGCGAAAACTCATGAAATTTGGCAGGACGACCGGGCCTGGTGAAAAATTTGATATTCCGAAGTCGCCCAAACAAGAAAATGCAAAATGGCTCCATAGCGCCCCCTAAGGTGAAAATTCACACTATTGACTGTCACGCCTGTACGCTTTGTCAAAATGACACAAAAATTGACACACACATGTATCTCAGTAAGATCTACAAAAAAGTCAGTGCGGGCGTATCTGTCAAATGTACGGTTAAAGGGTTATTTCGCATTTTTTGCCGATCCGCACACATTGGAATTTCGCTAACTCCTCCGAAGGCTTTCGTTCCACCGGCACCACATTTGCTCAGGCCAATCTACACCCCATGGCCATTAAAAGTTATTCAAATCATGACGCTGCACCCCACGGTTTAGGTTCTAGGGGGCGCCAAAGATAACCCTAAGATCCACATATTTAAAAGTCTTATAACTTTTTATTTTTGCCCTCACTGGCCTCCAAGTTTTCTAGGATGATGCAATGTCCAGCCATCAACACATTTGTGAAGGAATTTTTACTCCCCAAAAGAGCGCCCCCCCATGGCAGGAGAAAAAAGTCAATTTTTTCTTGTCCCCTAAGGTGAAAATACACATTGTTGAGTGTAACACCTGTACGCTTTGGCAAAATGACACAAAAATTGACACACACATGTATCTCAATAAGATCTACGAAAAAGTCAATGCGCGCGTATCTGTCAAATGTACGGTTAAAGGGTTATTCCGCATTTTTTGCCGATCCGCACACATTGGAATTTCGCTAACTCCTCCGAAGGCTTTCGTTCCACCGGCACCACATTTGCTCAGGCCAATCTACACCCCATGGCCATTAAAAGTTATTCAAATCATGACGCTGCATCCCACGGTTTAGGTTCTAGGGGGCGCCAAAGATAACCCTAAAATCCACATATTTAAAAGTCTTATAACTTTTTATTTTTGTCCTCACTGGCCTCCAAGTTTTCTAGGATGATGCAATGTCCAGCCATCAACACATTTGTGAAGGAATTTTTACTCCCCAAAAGAGCGCCCCCCCATGGCAGGAGAAAAAAGTCAATTTTTTCTTGTCCCCTAAGGTGGAAATTCACACTATTGACTGTCACGCCTGTACGCTTTATCATATTGACACAAAAATTGACACACATATGTATCTCAATAAGATCTACAAAAAAGTCAATTCGCGCGTATCTGTCAAATGTACGGTTAAAGGGCTATTTTGCATTTTTTGCCGATTCGCACACATTGGAATGTGGCTAACTCCTCCTAAGGCTTTCGTCCCACTGACACCAAATTTGCTCAGGCCAATCTACACCCCATGGCCATTCAAAGTTGTAAAAATCATGACGCTGCACCCCACGGTTTACGTTCTAGGGGGCGCCAAAGATGACCCAAAAATCCACATTCTTAAAAGAATCCACATCCCCCCCCCTATGGCAGGAGAAAAAGTCAAGTTTTTCCTGCCCATCGCTCAATGGCTCAATCGCATCGCTCTCCAGGCAACACCGTAAGGAGGAGCAACCTGGCATTTCGATATATCATAGCTGTGTTTGTGCCCTCACTCATGGTCCAGACTTTTTTCAAATAGGACATGAAGTTTGTCTGCAGCGAGTGTTTTTGTAGAAACTGCGCCTCCCATTCATTATAATGGGAAATGACCACAGACAAGTGCGCACACCATCTTTGGTTCTTGAGTGTGACTCGATCGGGACGGGGAGGCGGTCGCACTGGGGGCGGCGCGACGCGGCTCGGGCCCGACAGTGCCCCACCGGGGCCCTAGTCTCTTCTTTTTCCTCCCCTTTGAACTGGAAAATGGCCCACTTCCCACTGGCGAAAACTCATGAAATTTGGCAGGACGACCGGGCCTGGTGAAAAATTCGATATTCTGAAGTCGCCCAAACAATAAAATGCAAAATGGCTCCATAGCGCCCCCTAAGGTGGAAATTCACACTATTGACTGTCACGCCTGTACGCTTTGTCATATTGACACAAAAATTGACACACATATGTATCTCAATAAGATCTACAAAAAAGTCAGTGCGGGCGTATCTGTCAAATGTACGGTTAAAGGGTTATTGCGCATTTTTTGCCGATCCGCACACATTGGAATTTCGCTAACTCCTCCGAAGGCTTTCGTTCCACCGGCACCACATTTGCTCAGGCCAATCTACACCCCATGGCCATTAAAAGTTATTCAAATCATGACGCTGCACCCCACGGTTTAGGTTCTAGGGGGCGCCAAAGATAACCCTAAAATCCACATATTTAAAAGTCTTATAACTTTTTATTTTTGCCCTCACTGGCCTCCAAGTTTTCTAGGATAATGCAATGTCCAGCCATCAACACATTTGTGAAGGAATTTTGACTCCCCAAAAGAGCGCCCCCCCCCATGGCAGGAGAAAAAAGTCCATTTTTTCTTGTCCCCTAAGGTGAAAATACACATTGTAGAGTGTCACGCCTGTACGCTTTGTCAAAATGACACAAAATTTGACATACACGTGTATTTCAATAAGATCTTCGAAAAAGTTTATGGCCACGTATCTGTAAAATGTACGGTTAAAGGGTTATTTTGCATTTTTTGCAGATCCGCACACATTGGAATGTGGCTAACTCCTCCTAAGGCTTTTGTTCCACTAGCACCACATTTGCTCAGGCCAATCTACACCCCGTGGCCATTAAAAGTTATTAAAATCATGACGCTGCACCCCACGGTTAAGGTTCTAGGGGGCGCCAAAGATAACCCTAAAATCCACATATTTATAAAGTCTTATAACTTTTTATTTTTGTCCTCACTGGGCTCCAAGTTTTCTAGGATGATGCAATGTCCAGCCATCAACACATTTGTGAAGGAATTTTTACTCCCCAAAAGAGCGCCCCCCCATGGCAGGAGAAAAAAGTCCATTTTTTCTTGTCCCATAAGGTGAAAATACACATTGTTGACTGTCATACCTGTACGCTTTGTCATATTGACACAAAATTTGACACACACATGTATCTCAATAAGATCTACGAAAAAGTCAATGGGCGCGTATCTGTAAAATGTACGGTTAAAGGGCTATTTTGCATTTTTTGCCGATCCGCACACATTGGAATGTGGCTAACTCCTCCTAAGGCTTTCGTTCCACCGGCACCACATTTGCTCAGGCCAATCTACACCCCATGGCCATTTAAAGTTATTCAAATCATGACGCTGCACCCCACGGTTTAGGTTCTAGGGGGCGCCAAAGATAACCCAAAAATCCACATTCTTAATAGTCTTATAACTTTTTATTTTTGTCCTCACTGGCCTCCAAGTTTTCTAGGATGATGCAATGTCCAGCCATCAACACATTTGTAAAGGAATTTTTACTCCCGAAAAGAGCGCCCCCCCATGGCAGGAGAAAAAAGTCAATTTTTTCTTGTCCCCTAAGGTGAAAAAACACATTGTTGACTGTCACGCCTATACGCTTTGTCAAAATGACACAAAAATTGACACACACGTGTATCTTAATACGGTCTACAAAAAAGTCAGCGCGGGCGCATCTGTGAAATGTACGGTTAGAGGGTTATTTCGCATTTTTTGCAGATCTGCACACATTGGAATTTCGCTAACTCCTCCGAAGGCATTCATTCCACCGGCACCACATTTGCTCAGGCCAATCTACACCCCATGGCCATTAAAAGTTGTACAAATCATGACGCTGCACCCCACGGTTTAGGTTCTAGGGGGCGCCAAAGATGACCCAAATATCCACATTCTTAAAAGAATCCACCCCCCCCCCCCCCCCCCCCAAGGCAGGAGAAAAAGTCAAGTTAACCCTGCCCATCGCTCAATGGCTCAATCGCATCGCTCTCCCGGCAACACCGTGAGGAGGAGCAACTTGCCATTTGGATATATCCTAGCTGTGTTTGTGCCCTCACTCATGGTCCAGACTTTTTTCAAATAGGACATGTAGTTTGTCTGCAGCGACCGTTTTGGTAGAAACTGCGCCTCCCATTCATTATAATGGGAAATGACCACAGACAAGTGCGCACACCATCTTCGGACCTTGAGTGTGATGCGATCGGGAGGGGGAGGCGGTCGCGCTGGGGGCGGCGCGACGCGGCTCGGGCCCGACAGTGCCCCACCGGGGCCCTAGTTAGGGCCCGAGCGTAGCTGCTAAGCAGCTGCGAGAGCCCTCTTGTTCCTGCATGTTTCCTTCTTTCGTTAGGGCCCGAGCGTAGCTGCTAAGCAGCTGCGAGAGCCCTATTATTCCCCAAGTGGTTTTTCTTTGTTTCTTTCTTTCTTTCTTTCTTTCTTTCTTTCTTCTTTTTCCTCCCCTTTGAACTGGAAAATGGCCCACTTCCCACTGGCGAAAACTCATGAAATTTGGCAGGACGACCGGGCCTGGTGAAAAATTCGATATTCTGAAGTCGCCCAAACAATAAAATGCAAAATGGCTCCATAGCGCCCCCTAAGGTGGAAATTCACACTATTGACTGTCACGCCTGTACGCTTTGTCATATTGACACAAAAATTGACACACATATGTATCTCAATAAGATCTACAAAAAAGTCAGTGCGGCCGTATCTGTCAAAATTACGGTTAAAGGGTTATTTCGCATTTTTTGCCGATCCGCACACATTGGAATTTCGCTAACTCCTCCGAAGGCTTTCGTTCCACCGGCACCACATTTGCTCAGGCCAATCTACACCCCATGGCCATTAAAAGTTATCAAAATCATGACGCTGCACCCCAAGGTTCAGGTTCTAGGGGGCGCCAAAGATAACACTAAAATCCACATATTTAAAAGTCTTATAACTTTTTATTTTTGTCCTCACTGGGCTCCAAGTTTTCTAGGATGATGCAATGTCCAGCCATCAACACATTTGTGAAGGAATTTTTACTCCCCAAAAGAGCGCCCCCCCATGGCAGGAGAAAAAAGTCCATTTTTTCTTGTCCCATAAGGTGAAAATACACATTGTTGACTGTCATACCTGTACGCTTTGTCATATTGACACAAAATTTGACACACACATGTATCTCAATAAGATCTACGAAAAAGTCAATGGGCGCGTATCTGTAAAATGTACGGTTAAAGGGCTATTTTGCATTTTTTGCCGATTAGCACACATTGGAATGTGGCTAACTCCTCCTAAGGCTTTCGTCCCACTGACACCAAATTTGCTCAGGCCAATCTACACCCCATGGCCATTCAAAGTTGTAAAAATCATGACGCTGCACCCCACGGTTTACGTTCTAGGGGGCGCCAAAGATGACCCAAATATCCACATTCTTAAAAGAATCCACATCCCCCCCCCCCCCCCATCCCCCATCCCCCATCCCCCATGGCAGGAGAAACAGTCAAGTTTTTCCTGCCCATCACTCAATGGCTCAATCGCATCGCTCTCCCGGCAACACCGTAACGAGGAGCAACTTGCCGTTTGGATATATCCTAGCTGTGTTTGTGCCCTCACTCATGGTCCAGACTTTTTTCAAATAGGACATGTAGTTTGTCTGCAGCGAGTGTTTTGGTAGAAACTGCGCCTCCCATTCATTATAATGGGAAATGACCACAGACAAGTGCGCACACCATCTTTGGACCTTGAGTGTGACGCGATCGGGAGGGGGAGGCGGTCGCACTGGGGGCGGCGCAACGCGGCTCGGGCCCGCCAGTGCCCCAACGGGGCCCTAGTTATTATTTTTCCTCCGCTTTAAACTGGAAAATGGCCCACTTCCCACTGGCGAAAACTCAGGAAATTTGGCAGGACGACCGGGCCTGGTGAAAAATTCGATATTCTGAAGTCGCCCAAACAATAAAATGCAAAATGGCTCCATAGCGCCCCCTAAGGTGAAAATTCACATGACGGCTGTACGCTTTGTCATATTGACACAAAAATTGACACACACATGTATCTCAATAAGATCTACAAAAAAGTCAGTGCGGGCGTATCTGTCAAATGTACGGTTAATGGGTTATTTTGCATTTTTTGCAGATCTGCACACATTGGAATTTCGCTAACTCCTCCGAAGGCTTTCGTTCGACCGGCACCACATTTGCGCAGGCCAATCTACCCCCCATGGCCATTAAAAGTTGTACAAATCATGACGCTGCACCCCACGGTTTACGTTCTAGGGGGCGCCAAAGATAACCCAAAATCCACATTCTTAAAAGTCTTATAACTTTTTATTTTTGTCCTCACTGCCCTCCAAGTTTTCTAGGATGATGCAATGTCCAGCCATCAACACATTTGTGAAGGAATTTTTACTCCCCAAAAGAGCGCCCCCCCATGGCAGGAGAAAAAAGTCAATTTTTTCTTGTCCCCTTACATGAAAATACACATTGTTGAGTGTCACGCCTGAACGCTTTGTCATATTGACACAAAAATTGACAATCATGTGTATCTCAATTAGATCTACGAAAAAGTCAAAAAGCGCGTATCTGTATAATGTACGGTTAAAGGGCTATTTCGCATTTTTTGCCGATTAGCACACATTGGAATGTGGCTATCTCCTCCTAAGGCTTTCGTCCCACCGATACCAAATTTGCTCAGGGCAATCTACACCCCATGCCCATTCAAAGTTGTAAAAATCATGACGCTGCACCCCACGGTTTACGTTCTAGGGGGCGCCAAAGATGACCCAAAAATCCACATTCTTAAAAGTCATTTTGGCCACTGCAGGAGTACAGAGTACTGCAGTTCTAGGGGGCGCCAAAGATGACCCAAAAATCCACATTCTTAAAAGTCTTTTTGGCCACTGCAGGAGTACAGAGTACTGCAGGATACACACACATATACACACACACACACACACACACACACTCAGAGTCTGTTTTTTAGCACCTGCAAAAACATGCTGTTTACATATTTGACAAGAATGCAGAGGCTTCCTTTTGCCCCTGAAAAAAATCAGATTTCAAACACAACTTGACTGTTCATTTCTCCAAAAGACAACCATGAAGCTCCATCCAAACCTGAAGCAGATAGTTGGTGCATGTGTACAGTAACCTGAGGGGAGTGAGGTGACTATTTCTGAGGAGAACATGAGCAGTGAAGATTCACCTTGGAGCTAGAACAGGGACGTGCACATGATTATACAGGGGCAGGGGCTCAAGTTTTTTCCAGTCATTTATACAATATGGAAATTAATGTGAAATTAAACCACAAAGTATTAATAGAAAGGTAATGACTGTCCTGTGTAGGTGACAGTGATATCGAATAGGCTAGGCACTCACGAGGCTGGCTGTGGCAAGTGTAAGTGAAAGCAACACGCACTGGCAGGAAGAACAGCAAACGCTGATGAAGGAAAAGGGTCTTTGCAGTGATGGGCGTTACCAGAGAGGGCGATGGCCAGAGGACACAAATGGGACGGGGAGGCAGCACGTTGGGGGGGGGGGGGGGGCGACACGGCTCGGGCCCGCCAGTGCCCCAACGGGGTCCTAGTTATTAGGGCCCGAGCCAGCTGCAGAGCAGCCGGGCGTAGAGCCCTATTATTCCTGTATAGGTTTTTCTTTCTTCTTTTTTTTCTTTCTTTCTTTCTTTCTTTCTTTCTTCTTATTTTTCCTCCCCTTTGAAGGGGAAAATGGCCCACTTCCCACTGGCGAAAACTCATGAAATTTGGCAGGACGACCGGGCCTGGTGAAAAATTCGATATTCTGAAGTCGCCCAAACAATAAAATTCAAAATGGCTCCATAGCGCCCCCTAAGGCGAAAATTCACACTATTGACTGTCACGGCTGTACGCTTTGTCATATTGACACAAAATTTGACACACACGTGTATCTCAATATGGTCTACGAAAAAGTCAGCGCGGGCGCATCTGTGAAATGTACGGTTAGAGGGTTATTTCGCATTTTTTGCCGATCTGCACACATTGGAATTTCGCTAACTCCTCCGAAGGCATTCGTTCCACCGGCACCACATTTGCTCAGGCCAATCTACACCCCATGGCCATTAAAAGTTGTACAAATCATGACGCTGCACCCCACGGCTTACGTTCTAGGGGGCGCCAAAGATAACCCAAAAATCCACAGTCTTAAAAGTCTTATAACTTTTTATTTTTGTCCTCACTGGCCTCCAAGTTCTCTAGGATGATGCAATGTCCAGCCATCAACACATTTGTGAAGGAATTTTTACTCCCCAAAAGAGCGCCCCCACATGGCAGGAGAAAAAAGTCCATTTTTTCTTGTCCCCTAAGGTGAAAATACACATTGTTGAGTGTCACGCCTATACGCTTTGTCATATTGACCCAAAATTTGACAATCACGTGAATCTCAATAAGATCTACGAAAAAGTCAATGGGCACGTATCTGTCAAATGTACGGTTAAAGGGTTATTTTGCATTTTTTCCCGATCCGCACACATTGGAATTTCGCTAACTCCTCCGAAGGCTTTAGTTCCACCGCCACCAAATTTGCTCAGGCCAATCTACACCCCATGGCCATTAAAAGTTGTACAAATCATGACGCTGCACTCCACGGTTTACGTTCTAGGGGGCGCCAAAGATAACCCAAAAATCCACATTCTTAATAGTCTTATAACTTTTTATTTTTGTCCTCACTGGCCTCCAAGTTTTCTAGGATGATGCAATGTCCAGCCATCAACACATTTGTAAAGGAATTTTTACTCCCGAAAAGAGCGCCCCCCCATGGCAGGAGAAAAAAGTCCATTTTTTCTTGTCCCCTAAGATGAAAAAACACATTGTTGACTGTCACGCCTATACGCTTTGTCAAAATGACACAAAATTTGACACACACGTGTATCTCAATAAGATCTACGAAAAAGTCAATGGGCACGTATCTGTAAAATGTACGGTTAAAGGGCTATTTCGCATTTTTTGCCGATTCGCACACATTGGAATGTGGCTAACTCCTCCTAAGGCTTTCTTCCCACCGACACCAAATTTGCTCAAGCCGATCTACATCCCATGGCCATTCAAAGTTGTAAAAATCATGCTGCTGCACACCATGGTTTACGTTCTAGGGGGCGCCAAAGATGACCCAAAAATCCACATTCTTAAAAGAATCCACATCCCCCCCCCCCCCCCCCAAGGCAGGAGAAAAAGTCCAGTTAACCCTGCCCATCGCTCAATGGCTCAATCGCATCGCTCTCCTGGCAACACCGTAAGGAGGAGCAACTTGCCACTTGGATATATCCTAGCTGTGTTTGTGCCCTCACTCATGGTCCAGACTTTTTTCAAATAGGACATGTAGTTTGTCTGCAGCGACCGTTTTGGTAGAAACTGCGCCTCCCATTCATTATAATGGGAAATGACCACAGACAAGTGCGCACACCATCTTTGGACCTTGAGTGTGACGTGATTGGGAGGGGTAGGCGGTCGCGCTGGGGGCGGCGCGACGCGGCTCGGGCCCGACAGTGCCCCACCGGGGCCCTAGTTCTTCTTATTTTTCCTCCCCTTTGAAGGGGAAAATGGCCCACTTCCCACTGGCGAAAACTCATGAAATTTGGCAGGACGACCGGGCCTGGTGAAAAATTCGATAATCTGAAGTCGCCCAAACAATAAAATGCAAAATGGCTCCATAGCGCCCCCTAAGGTGAAAATTCACACTATTGACCGTCACGCCTGTACGCTTTGTCATATTGACACAAAAATTGACACACACATGTATCTCAATAAGATCTACAAAGAAGTCAGTGCGGGCGTATCTGTCAAATGTACGGTTAAAGGGTTATTTCGCATTTTTGGCGATCTGCACACATTGGAATTTCGCTAACTCCTCCGAAGGCTTTCGTTCCACCGGCACCAAATTTGCTCAGGCCAATCTACACCCCATGGCCATTAAAAGTTGTACAAATCATGACGCTGCACCCCACGGTTTACGTTCTAGGGGGCGCCAAAGATAACCCAAAAATCCACAGTCTTAAAAGTCTTATAACTTTTTATTTTTGTCCTCACTGGCCTCCAAGTTCTCTAGGATGATGCAATGTCCAGCCATCAACACATTTGTGAAAGAATTTTTTCTCCCCCCCCCCCCCCCCCCCCATGGCAGGAGAAAAAGTCAAGTTTTTCCTGCCCATCGCTCAATGGCTCAAACGCATCGCTCTCTCGGCGAAACCGAAAGGAGGAGCAACTTGCCATTTGGATATATCGAAGCTGTGTTTGTGCCCTCACTCATGGTCCAGACTTTTTTCAAAAAGGACATGGAGTTTGTCTGCAGCGAGCATTTTGGTAGAAACCGCGCCTCCCATTCATTATAATGGTAAATGACCACAGACAAGTGCGCACACCATCTTTGGACCTTGAGTGTGACGCGATCGGGAGGGGTAGGCGGTCGCGCTGGGGGCGGCGCGACACGGCTTGGGCCCGCCAGTGCCCCACCGGGGCCCTAGTTATTATTTTTCCTCCGCTTTAAACTGGAAAATGGCCCACTTCCCACTGGCGAAAACTCATGAAATTTGGCAGGACGACCGGGCCTGGTGAAAAATTCGATATTCTTAAGTCGCCCAAACAATAAAATGCAAAATGGCTCCATAGCGCCCCCTAAGGTGAAAATTCACACTATTGACTGTCATGCCTGTACGCTTTGTCAAAATGACACAAAAATTGACACACACATGTATCTCAATAAGATCTACAAAAAAGTCAGTGCGGGCGTATCTGTCAAATGTACGGTTAAAGGGTTATTGCGCATTTTTTGCAGATCCCCACACATTGGAATTTCGCTAACTCCTCTGAAGACTTTCGTTCCACCAGCACCACATTTGCTCAGGCCAATCTACACCCCATGGCCATTAAAAGTTATTCAAATCATGACGCTGCACCCCACGGTTTAGGTTCTAGGGGGCGCCAAAGATAACCCTAAAATCCACATATTTAAAAGTCTTATAACTTTTTATTTTTGCCCTCACTGGCCTCCAATTTTTCAAGGATGATGCAATGTCCAGCCATCAACACATTTGTGAAGGAATTTTTACTCCCCAAAAGAGCGCCCCCCCATGGCAGGAGAAAAAAGTCCATTTTTTCTTGTCCCCTAAGGTGAAAATACACATTGTTGAGTGTCACGCCTGAACGCTTTGTCATATTGACACAAAATTTGACACACACGTGTATCTCAATAAGATCTACGAAAAAGTCAAAGAGCGCGTATCTGTATAATGTACGGTTAAAGAGCTATTTCGCATTTTTTGCCGATCCGCACACATTGGAATTTCGCTAACTCCTCCGAAGGCTTTCGTTCCACCGGCACCAAATTTGCTCAGGCCAATCTACACCCCATGGCCATTAAAAGTTGTAAAAATCATGACGCTGCACCTCACGGTTTACGTTCTAGGGGGCGCCAAAGATGACCCAAATATACATTACAGCAGACAAAGTAGTTTTGCCCACTGAGTGGCGCCAAAGGGACTTGTCTATGGAGTCTGGGGGTCACTATTGGCCGTTTTTGACTACTTTAGATTTTACCTTTATATTTCCTCTTAAAATTTTTTTACCTTGCCTTGCCTGGTATCATTCTTTTCAGCACAACCTCACCTGTGTTAATTTACAGTTATTTTATCATTTTGACATACTGTATTTACACAATGGACCCAAATTCACACACAAAACATAAAATCCGAGTGGAAAAAAGTAAAATTTTTACTGTGAAAACCACAAATATGTGTGATGAACTGTTTTTAAAACTTAAACTTCAAATAAAAATTGTAAACTTCAAAACATATGCAAATTTTTAACAAAGAACATAGTAATTTACCTCTATTTACATCAAAATGCAGGCAATGGCCCAGGCGTTCTTTGTAAAATTATTTACAAAACACTGTATAGTCTCACAAATGTCACTTTTTATTTATGCCACTACAAAAAAACATGATGTAAATGATGCATGATGTAAAACATGATGTAAAAAACTTGTGTAGATCCTCCTCTATGTTAGTCCATGTGTATTTTTTCCATAATTCTTTGTTTTGTCCAGCATTTTTGTTAGTGTAACTGCAGATTGTGCTGACAGTGTCATGGCAAAAAAAAAAAAAAAAAAAAACTGAAAATGCCTCAACATGAACCCCTGGTGGTCTCTGAGGGTGAAACCTGCTAACTGCTGCAGCTCTGTCAGCTTCAGTCTCCCATGCAGAGCTCGGAGCGCATGTGTGGCTCTGCACCCTTAGCAGCGTTGCCAACTCCTCAGTAAGGAAAGCCTGCTTCATGTCAGAGTCTCTGAACTCCAGAAGAAGTTGATAAAATTCCCTTTCTTTCTAAAAAAAAAAAGTCGTAAGGGGGGTCTGAAAAGTCATTGAATCCAACAACAAAGTCGCTAGGTTTGCAACTACGTGTCCCAGACTGCATCCCTGCTGAGAGTCCCTCCCTCCCTTCTCATGTTGCAGGAAGAAGGTAAGCGCCCGCCCCTTGTCAATCAGTCACCATATAATTTTGGATTGGTTGTTGTGGTGAAGTTTTCCACCAATAGGAGAGATGTTGTGGTGTGTTTTTTTTTTCTTTTGGCAACCCTTTTTCGCCTGTAAGACCTGTCGCTAATGTCTGCATGCTATGTTTTCCTGTCTCATACAGCGCGATCGAGCGCCGAACGTGATCAAATAAGCAGAAAAAAAGTATCGCAGACATAATTTATCATAACTCTGGTTTTATTTGGCCTATCAACACAATTTAAAAACTGGTATATAGTTTAAGGTCCTCACTTTGGAGATAAGTTGAAACGGAGAGTCAACGAGGCTCTGTCTTGCAGCTACATCCGGTTAAATATGTCATGTGACTTGAACACTGGGGAGCGTCAATCGACTGCAGAGCCAGCAGACAAAGTAGTTATGGCCACTGAGAGGCACACATTTGTCATATGCTATAATCCTAACATATTTTAATGCTTTTTCTATTTAAACCTAATGGATCTAAGGTTTGACCTTCAAAATTTAGGAAGAATATGTTTTTGCAGTAATGACCCCCTTAAACAACCAGAGGTCCTTTCCTAAAGTTTATGGAAATTTTAGTGAAGGCCTTGGTTTCTGTCCTTGCAAAATGCATAGAAATAATAAAGCTAAATACCATAAAATGGTCTTGGCGTATTAGCAGTGATATAAAATAGTGGTTTGAATATGAATGAACAACAAAAAAAAACATCAACAGAGCCTTTTTGAGTTAGGATTCTTTCATTATTACACAAAAACAGACATAGACAGACATCTGAAGGAAAAGGGAATGATCAGCCCTCCTGACTCTCAGATGAATCTTCAAAATTCACCTCAGAAATATGCTTATTCTTCTCAGAGTACTGCAGGATACACACACACACACACACACACACACACACACACACACACACACACACACACACACACACACACACACACACACACACACACTCAGAGTCTGTTTTTTAGCACCTGCAAAAACATGCTGTTTACATATTTGACAAGAATGCAGAGGCTCCTTTTGCCCCTGAAAAAAATCTAATTTCAAACACAACTTGACTGCTCATTTCTCCAAAAGACAACCATGAAGCGCTATCTAAACCTGAAGCATGCAGTTGCTGCGTGTGTACAGTAACCTGAGGGGAGTGAGGTGACTGCTTCTGAGGAGAACATGAGCAGTGAAGATTCACCTTAGAGCCAGAACAGGGACGTGCACATGATTATACAGGGGCAGGGGCTCAAGTCTTTTCCAGTCCTTTATACAATATGGAAATTAATGTGAAATTAAAAAACAAAGTATTAATAGAAAGGTAAGGACTGTCCTGTGTAGATGACAGTGATATCCAATAGGCTAGGCACTCACGAGGTTGGCTGTGGCAAGTGTAAGTGAAAGCAACACGCACTGGCAGGAAGAACAGCAAACGCCGATGAAGGAAAAGGGTCTTTGCAGTGATGGGCGTTACCAGAGAGGGCGATGGCCAGAGGACGCGAATGGGACGGGGAGGCAGCGTGTTGGGGGGGGGGAGGGGGCGCGACACGGCTCGGGCCCGCCAGTGCCCCAACGGGGCCCTAGTTAGGGCCCGAGCCAGCTGCAGAGCAGCCGGGCGTAGGCCCTATTATTCCCCAAGTGGTTTTTCTTTGTTTCTTTCTTTCTTTAGGGCCCGAGCGTAGCTGCTAAGCAGCTGCGAGAGCCCTCTTGTTCCTGTAGTTTCCTTCTTTTGTTATTATTATTATTTTTCCTCCCCTTTAAACTGGAAAATGGCCCACTTCCCACTGGCGAAAACTCATGAAATTTGGCAGGACGACCGGGCCTGGTGAAAAATTTGATATTCCGAAGTCGCCCAAACAAGAAAATGCAAAATGGCTCCATAGCGCCCCCTAAGGTGAAAATTCACACTATTGACTGTCACGCCTGTACGCTTTGTCAAAATGACACAAAAATTGACACACACATGTATCTCAATAAGATCTACAAAAAAGTCAGTGCGGGCGTATCTGTCAAATGTACGGTTAAAGGGTTATTTCGCATTTTTTGCCGATCCGCACACATTGGAATTTCGCTAACTCCTCCGAAGGCTTTCGTTCCACCGGCACCACATTTGCTCAGGCCAATCTACACCCCATGGCCATTAAAAGTTATTCAAATCATGACGCTGCACCCCACGGTTTAGGTTCTAGGGGGCGCCAAAGATAACCCTAAGATCCACATATTTAAAAGTCTTATAACTTTTTATTTTTGCCCTCACTGGCCTCCAAGTTTTCTAGGATGATGCAATGTCCAGCCATCAACACATTTGTGAAGGAATTTTTACTCCCCAAAAGAGCGCCCCCCCATGGCAGGAGAAAAAAGTCCATTTTTTCTTGTCCCCTAAGGTGAAAATACACATTGTTGAGTGTAACACCTGTACGCTTTGGCAAAATGACACAAAAATTGACACACACATGTATCTCAATAAAATCTACGAAAAAGTCAATGCGCGCGTATCTGTCAAATGTACGGTTAAAGGGTTATTCCGCATTTTTTGCCGATCCGCACACATTGGAATTTCGCTAACTCCTCCGAAGGCTTTCGTTCCACCGGCACCACATTTGCTCAGGCCAATCTACACCCCATGGCCATTAAAAGTTATTCAAATCATGATGCTGCACCCCACGGTTTAGGTTCTAGGGGGCGCCAAAGATAACCCTAAAATCCACATATTTAAAAGTCTTATAACTTTTTATTTTTGTCCTCACTGGCCTCCAAGTTTTCTAGGATGATGCAATGTACAGCCATCAACACATTTGTGAAGGAATTTTTACTCCCCAAAAGAGCGCCCCCCCATGGCAGGAGAAAAAAGTCCATTTTTTCTTGTCCCCTAAGGTGGAAATTCACATTGTTGAGTGTCACGCCTGTACGCTTTGTCATATTGACACAAAATTTGACAATCACGTGCCTTGCCTGGTATCATTTTTTTTCAGCACAACCTCACCTGTGCGAATTTACAGTTATTTTATCATGTTGACATACTGAATTTACACAATGGACCCAAATTCACACACAAAACATAAAATCTGAGTGGAAAAAAGTAACATTTTTACTGTGAAAACCACAAATATGTGTGATGAACTGTTTTTAAAACTTAAACTTCAAATAAAAATTGTAAACTTCAAAACATATGCAAATTTTTAACAAAGAACATAGTGATTTACCTCTATTTACATCAAAATGCAGGCAATGGCCCAGGCGTTCTTTGTAAAATTATTTACAAAACACTGTATAGTCTCACAAATGTCACTTTTTATTTATGCCACTACAAAAAAACATGATGTAAATGATGCATGATGTAAAACATGATGTAAAAAACTTGTGTAGATCCTCCTCTATGTCAGTCCATGTGTAATTTTTCCATAATTCTTTGTTTTTTGCAGCATTTTTGTTAGTGTAACTGCAGATTGTGCTGACAGTGTCTATGGCACAAAAAAAAAAAAATTTTTTAAAATGCCTCAACATGAACCCCTGGTGGTCTCTGAGGGTGAAACCTGCTAACTGCTGCAGCTCTGTCAGCTTCAGTCTCCCATGCAGAGCTCGGAGCGCATGTGTGGCTCTGCACCCTTAGCAGCGTTGCTAACTCCTCAGTAAGGAAAGCCTGCTTCATGTCAGAGTCTCTAAACTCCAGAAGAAGTCGATAAAAGTCCCTTTCTTTCTAAAAAAAAGTCGTTAGGGGGTCTGAAAAGTCATTGAATCTAACAACAAAGTCGCTAGGTTTGCAACTACGTGTCCCAGACTGCATCCCTGCTGAGAGTCCCTCCCTCCCTTCTCATGTTGCAGGAAGAACGTAAGCGCCCGCCCCTTGTCAATCAGTCACCATATAATTTTGGATTGGTTGTTGTGGTGAAGTTTTCCACCAATAGGAGAGATGTTGTGGTGTGTTTTTTTTTCTTTTGGCAAGCCTTTTCCGCCTGTAAGACCTGTCGCTAATGTCTGCATGCTATGTTTTCCTGTCTCATACAGCGCGATCGAGCGCCGAACGTGATCAAAATAAGCAGAAAAAAAGTATCGCGGACATAATTTATCATAACTCTGGTTTTATTTGGCCTATCAACACAATTTAAAAACTGGTATATAGGTTGAGGTCCTCACTTTTGAGATAAGTTGAAACGGAGAGTCAACGAGGCTCCGTCTTGCAGCTACATCCGGTTAAATATGTCATGTGACTTGAACGCACACACAGACACACACACACGCACACACACACACACACACACACACACTCAGAGTCTGGTTTTTAGCACCTGCAAAAACATGCTATTTACATATTTGACAAGAATGCAGAGGCTCCTTTTGCCCCTGAAAAAAATCAAATTTCAAACACAACTTGACTGGTCATTTCTCCAAAAGACAACCATGAAGCTCCATCCAAACCTGAAGCAGGCAGTTGGTGCATGTGTACAGTAACCTGAGGGGAGTGAGGTGACTGCTTCTGAGGAGAACATGAGCAGTGAAGATTCACCTTAGAGCTAGAACAGAGACGTGCACATGATTTTTCCAGTTTTTTTCAAGTTTTTTCCAGTTGTTTATACAATATGGAAATTAATGTGAAATTAAAAAACAAAGTATTAATAGAAAGGTAATGACTGTCCTGTGTAGGTGACAGTGATATCCAATAGGCTAGGCACTCACGAGGCTGGCTGTGGCAAGTGTAAGTGAAAGCAACACGCACTGGCAGGAAGAACAGCAAACGCCTATGAAGGAAAAGGGTCTTTGCAGTGATGGGCGTTACCAGAGAGGGCGATGGCCAGAGGACACAAATGGGACGGGGAGGCAGCGCGTTGGGGGGGGACGCGACACAGCTCGGGCCCGCCAGTGCCCCAACGGGGTCCTAGTTCTTTCTTTAGGGCCCGAGCGTAGCTGCTAAGCAGCTGCGAGAGCCCTCTTGTTCCTGTAGTTTCCTTCTTTTGTTATTATTATTTTTCCTCCCCTTTGAACTGGAAAATGGCCCACTTCCCACCCGCGAAAACTCATGAAATTTGGCAGGACGACCGGGCCTGGTGAAAAATTTGATATTCCGAAGTCGCCCAAACAAGAAAATGCAAAATGGCTCCATAGCGCCCCCTAAGGTGAAAATTCACACTATTGACTGTCACGCCTGTACGCTTTGTCAAAATGACACAAAAATTGACACACACATGTATCTCAGTAAGATCTACAAAAAAGTCAGTGCGGGCGTATCTGTCAAATGTACGGTTAAAGGGTTATTTCGCATTTTTTGCCGATCCGCACACATTGGAATTTCGCTAACTCCTCCGAAGGCTTTCGTTCCACCGGCACCACATTTGCTCAGGCCAATCTACACCCCATGGCCATTAAAAGTTATTCAAATCATGACGCTGCACCCCACGGTTTAGGTTCTAGGGGGCGCCAAAGATAACCCTAAGATCCACATATTTAAAAGTCTTATAACTTTTTATTTTTGCCCTCACTGGCCTCCAAGTTTTCTAGGATGATGCAATGTCCAGCCATCAACACATTTGTGAAGGAATTTTTACTCCCCAAAAGAGCGCCCCCCCATGGCAGGAGAAAAAAGTCAATTTTTTCTTGTCCCCTAAGGTGAAAATACACATTGTTGAGTGTAACACCTGTACGCTTTGGCAAAATGACACAAAAATTGACACACACATGTATCTCAATAAGATCTACGAAAAAGTCAATGCGCGCGTATCTGTCAAATGTACGGTTAAAGGGTTATTCCGCATTTTTTGCCGATCCGCACACATTGGAATTTCGCTAACTCCTCCGAAGGCTTTCGTTCCACCGGCACCACATTTGCTCAGGCCAATCTACACCCCATGGCCATTAAAAGTTATTCAAATCATGACGCTGCATCCCACGGTTTAGGTTCTAGGGGGCGCCAAAGATAACCCTAAAATCCACATATTTAAAAGTCTTATAACTTTTTATTTTTGTCCTCACTGGCCTCCAAGTTTTCTAGGATGATGCAATGTCCAGCCATCAACACATTTGTGAAGGAATTTTTACTCCCCAAAAGAGCGCCCCCCCATGGCAGGAGAAAAAAGTCAATTTTTTCTTGTCCCCTAAGGTGGAAATTCACACTATTGACTGTCACGCCTGTACGCTTTATCATATTGACACAAAAATTGACACACATATGTATCTCAATAAGATCTACAAAAAAGTCAATTCGCGCGTATCTGTCAAATGTACGGTTAAAGGGCTATTTTGCATTTTTTGCCGATTCGCACACATTGGAATGTGGCTAACTCCTCCTAAGGCTTTCGTCCCACTGACACCAAATTTGCTCAGGCCAATCTACACCCCATGGCCATTCAAAGTTGTAAAAATCATGACGCTGCACCCCACGGTTTACGTTCTAGGGGGCGCCAAAGATGACCCAAAAATCCACATTCTTAAAAGAATCCACATCCCCCCTATGGCAGGAGAAAAAGTCAAGTTTTTCCTGCCCATCGCTCAATGGCTCAATCGCATCGCTCTCCAGGCAACACCGTAAGGAGGAGCAACCTGGCATTTCGATATATCATAGCTGTGTTTGTGCCCTCACTCATGGTCCAGACTTTTTTCAAATAGGACATGAAGTTTGTCTGCAGCGAGTGTTTTGGTAGAAACTGCGCCTCCCATTCATTATAATGGGAAATGACCACAGACAAGTGCGCACACCATCTTTGGTTCTTGAGTGTGACTCGATCGGGACGGGGAGGCGGTCGCGCTGGGGGCGGCGCGACACGGCTCGGGCCCGACAGTGCCCCACCGGGGCCCTAGTCTTTCTTTCTTTCTTTCTTCTTTTTCCTCCCCTTTGAACTGGAAAATGGCCCACTTCCCACTGGCGAAAACTCATGAAATTTGGCAGGACGACCGGGCCTGGTGAAAAATTCGATATTCTGAAGTCGCCCAAACAATAAAATGCAAAATGGCTCCATAGCGCCCCCTAAGGTGAAAATTCACACTATTGACTGTCACGCCTGTACGCTTTGTCATATTGACACAAAAATTGACACACACATGTATCTCAATAAGATCTACAAAAAAGTCAGTGCGGGCGTATCTGTCAAATGTACGGTTAAAGGGTTATTTCGCATTTTTTGCCGATCCGCACACATTGGAATTTCGCTAACTCCTCCGAAGGCTTTCGTTCCACCGGCACCACATTTGCTCAGGCCAATCTACACCCCGTGGCCATTAAAAGTTATCAAAATCATGACGCTGCACCCCAAGGTTTAGGTTCTAGGGGGCGCCAAAGATAACACTAAAATCCACATATTTAAAAGTCTTATAACTTTTTATTTTTGTCCTCACTGGCCTCCAAGTTTTCTAGGATGATGCAATGTCCAGCCATCAACACATTTGTGAAGGAATTTTTACTCCCCAAAAGAGCGCCCCCCCATGGCAGGAGAAAAAAGTCCATTTTTTCTTGTCCCCTTAGGTGAAAATACACATTGTTGAGTGTCACGCCTATACGCTTTGTCAAAATGACACAAAAATTGACACACACATGTAACTCAATAAGATCTACAAAAAAGTCCATGCGCGCGTATCTGTCAAATGTACAGTTAAAGGGTTATTCCGCATTTTTTGCCGATACGCACACATTGGAATTTCGCTAACTCCTCCGAAGGCTTTCGTTCCACCGGCACCACATTTGCTCAGGCCAATCTACACCCCATGGCCATTAAAAGTTATTCAAATCATGATGCTGCACCCCATGGTTTAGGTTCTAGGGGGCGCCAAAAATAACCCAAAAATCCACATTCTTAAATGTTTTATAACTTTTTATTTTTGTCCTCACTGGCCTCCAAGTTTTCTAGGATGATGCAATGTCCAGCCATCAACACATTTGTGAAGGAATTTTTACTCCCCAAAAGAGCGCCCCCCCATGGTAGGAGAAAAAAGTCAATTTTTTCTTGTCCCCTTACATAAAAATACACATTGTTGAGTGTCACGCCTGAACGCTTTGTCATATTGACACAAAAATTGACAATCATGTGTATCTCAATTAGATCTACGAAAAAGTCAAAGAGCGCGTATCTGTATAATGTACGGTTAAAGGGCTATTTTGCATTTTTTGCCGATTCGCACACATTGGAATGTGGCTATCTCCTCCTAAGGCTTTCGTCCCACCGATACCAAATTTGCTCAGGGCAATCTACACCCCATGCCCATTCAAAGTTGTAAAAATCATGACGCTGCACCCCACGGTTTACGTTCTAGGGGGCGCCAAAGATGACCCAAAAATCCACATTCTTAAAAGTCATTTTGGCCACTGCAGGAGTACAGAGTACTGCAGTTCTAGGGGGCGCCAAAGATGACCCAAAAATCCACATTCTTAAAAGTCTTTTTGGCCACTGCAGGAGTACAGAGTACTGCAGGATACACACACATATACACACACGCCAACATACACACACACACACACACACACACACACACACACACACACACACAGACACACACACACACTCAGAGTCTGTTTTTTAGCACCTGCAAAAACATGCTGTTTACATATTTGACAAGAATGCAGAGGCTTCCTTTTGCCCCTGAAAAAAATCAAATTTCAAACACAACTTGACTGTTCATTTCTCCAAAAGACAACCATGAAGCTCCATTTCAAACCTGAAGCAGATAGTTGGTGCATGTGTACAGTAACCTGAGGGGAGTGAGGTGACTATTTCTGAGGAGAACATGAGCAGTGAAGATTCACCTTGGAGCTAGAACAGGGACGTGCACATGATTATACAGGGGCAGGGGCTCAAGTTTTTTCCAGTCATTTATACAATATGGAAATTAATGTGAAATTAAACCACAAATATGTGTGATGAACTGTTTTTAAAACTTAAACTTCAAATAAAAATTGTAAACTTCAAAACATATGCAAATTTTTAACAAAGAACATAGTAATTTACCTCTATTTACATCAAAATGCAGGCAATGGCCCAGGCGTTCTTTGTAAAATTATTTACAAAACACTGTATAGTCTCACAAATGTCACTTTTTATTTATGCCACTACAAAAAAACATGATGTAAATGATGCATGATGTAAAACATGATGTAAAAAACTTGTGTAGATCCTCCTCTATGTCAGTCCATGTGTAATTTTTCCATAATTCTTTGTTTTTTGCAGCATTTTTGTTAGTGTAACTGCAGATTTTGCTGACAGTGTCTATGGCACAAAAAAAAAAAAAAATTAAAATGCCTCAACATGAACCCCTGGTGGTCTCTGAGGGTGAAACCTGCTAACTGCTGCAGCTCTGTCAGCTTCAGTCTCCCATGCAGAGCTCTGAGCGCATGTGTGGCTCTGCACCCTTAGCAGCGTTGCTAACTCCTCAGTAAGGAAAGCCTGCTTCATGTCAGAGTCTCTAAACTCCAGAAGAAGTCGATAAAAGTCCCTTTCTTTCTAAAAAAAAGTCGTTAGGGTGTCTGAAAAGTCATTGAATCTAACAACAAAGTCGCTAGGTTTGCAACTACGTGTCCCAGACTGCATCCCTGCTGAGAGTCCCTCCCTCCCTTCTCATGTTGCAGGAAGAACGTAAGCGCCCGCCCCTTGTCAATCAGTCACCATATAATTTTGGATTGGTTGTTGTGGTGAAGTTTTCCACCAATAGGAGAGATGTTGTGGTGTGTTTTTTTTTTCTTTTGGCAAGCCTTTTCCGCCTGTAAGACCTGTCGCTAATGTCTGCATGCTATGTTTTCCTGTCTCATACAGCGCGATCGAGCGCCGAACGTGATCAAAATAAGCAGAAAAAAAGTATCGCGGACATAATTTATCATAACTCTGGTTTTATTTGGCCTATCAACACAATTTAAAAACTGGTATATAGGTTGAGGTCCTCACTTTTGAGATAAGTTGAAACGGAGAGTCAACGAGGCTCCGTCTTGCAGCTACATCAGGTTAAATATGTCATGTGACTTGAACGCACACATAGACACACACACACGCACACACACACACACACACACACACACACACACACACACACACACACACACACACACACACACTCAGAGTCTGGTTTTTAGCACCTGCAAAAACATGCTATTTACATATTTGACAAGAATGCAGAGGCTCCTTTTGCCCCTGAAAAAAATCAAATTTCAAACACAACTTGACTGGTCATTTCTCCAAAAGACAACCATGAAGCTCCATCCAAACCTGAAGCAGGCAGTTGGTGCATGTGTACAGTAACCTGAGGGGAGTGAGGTGAGTGCTTCTGAGGAGAACATGAGCAGTGAAGATTCACCTTGGAGCTAGAACAGAGACATGCACATGATTATACGGGGGCAGGGGCTCAAGTTTTTTCCAGTCGTTTATACAATATGGAAATTAATGTGAAATTAAAACACAAAGTATTAATAGAAAGGTAATGACTGTCCTGTGTAGGTGACAGTGATATCCAATAGGCTAGGCACTCACGAGGCTGGCTGTGGCAAGTGTAAGTGAAAGCAACACGCACTGGCAGGAAGAACAGCAAACGCCGATGAAGGAAAAGGGTCTTTGCAGTGATGGGCGTTACCAGAGAGGGCGATGGCCAGAGGACACAAATGGGACGGGGAGGCAGCACGTTGGGGACGCGACACGGCTCGGGCCCGCCAGTGCCCCAACGGGGTCCTAGTTAGGGCCCGAGCCAGCTGCAGAGCAGCCGGGCGTAGGCCCTATTATTCCCCAAGTGGTTTTTCTTTGTTTCTTTCTTTCTTTCTTTCTTCTTTTTCCTCCCCTTTGAACTGGAAAATGGCCCACTTCCCACTGGCGAAAACTCATGAAATTTGGCAGGACGACCGGGCCTGGTGAAAAATTCGATATTCTGAAGTTGCCCAAACAATAAAATGCAAAATGGCTCCATAGCGCCCCCTAAGGTGGAAATTCACACTATTGACTGTCACGCCTGTACGCTTTGTCATATTGACACAAAAATTGACACACATATGTATCTCAATAAGATCTACAAAAAAGTCAGTGCGGGCGTATCTGTCAAATGTACGGTTAAAGGGTTATTTGCATTTTTTGCCGATCCGCACACATTGGAATTTCGCTAACTCCTCCGAAGGCTTTCGTTCCACCGGCACCACATTTGCTCAGGCCAATCTACACCCCGTGGCCATTAAAAGTTATCAAAATCATGACGCTGCACTCCAAGGTTTAGGTTCTAGGGGGCGCCAAAGATAACACTAAAATCCACATATTTAAAAGTCTTATAACTTTTTTTTTTTGTCCTCACTGGCCTCCAAGTTTTCTAGGATGATGCAATGTCCAGCCATCAACACATTTGTGAAGGAATTTTTACTCCCCAAAAGAGCGCCCCCCCATGGCAGGAGAAAAAAGTCAATTTTTTCTTGTCCCCTAAGGTGAAAATACACATTGTTGAGTGTCACGCCTATACGCTTTGTCAAAATGACACAAAAATTGACACACACATGTAACTCAATAAGATCTACGAAAAAGTCAATGCGCGCGTATCTGTCAAATGTACGGTTAAAGGGTTATTCCGCATTTTTTGCCGATCCGCACACATTGGAATGTGGCTAACTCCTCCTAAGGCTTTCGTTCCACCGGCACCACATTTGCTTAGGCCAATCTACACCCCATGGCCATTAAAAGTTATTCAAATCATGACGCTGCACCCCACGGTTTAGGTTCTAGGGGGCGCCAAAGATAACCCTAAAATCCACATATTTAAAAGTCTTATAACTTTTTATTTTTGTCCTCACTGGCCTCCAAGTTTTCTAGGATGATGCAATGTCCAGCCATCAACACATTTGTGAAGGAATTTTTACTCCCCAAAAGAGCGCCCCCCCATGGCAGGAGAAAAAAGTCCATTTTTTCTTGTCCCCTAAGGTGAAAATACATTTTGTTGAGATTCACGCCTATACGCTTTGTCATATTGACACAAAATTTGACAATCACGTGCCTTGCCTGGTATCATTTTTTTCAGCACAACCTCACCTGTGCGAATTTACAGTTATTTTATCATGTTGACATACTGAATTTACACAATGGACCCAAATTCACACACAAAACATAAAATCCGAGTGGAAAAAAGTAACATTTTTACTGTGAAAACCACAAATATGTGTGATGAACTGTTTTTAAAACTTAAACTTCAAATAAAAATTGTAAACTTCAAAACATATGCAAATTTTTAACAAAGAACATAGTGATTTACCTCTATTTACATCAAAATGCAGGCAATGGCCCAGGCGTTCTTTGTAAAATTATTTACAAAACACTGTATAGTCTCACAAATGTCACTTTTTATTTATGCCACTACAAAAAAACATGATGTAAATGATGCATGATGTAAAACATGATGTAAAAAACTTGTGTAGATCCTCCTCTATGTCAGTCCATGTGTAATTTTTCCATAATTCTTTGTTTTTTGCAGCATTTTTGTTAGTGTAACTGCAGATTGTGCTGACAGTGTCTATGGCACAAAAAAAAAAAAAAATTTAAAATGCCTCAACATGAACCCCTGGTGGTCTCTGAGGGTGAAACCTGCTAACTGCTGCAGCTCTGTCAGCTTCAGTCTCCCATGCAGAGCTCTGAGTGCATGTGTGGCTCTGCACCCTTAGCAGCGTTGCTAACTCCTCAGTAAGGAAAGCCTGCTTCATGTCAGAGTCTCTAAACTCCAGAAGAAGTCGATAAAAGTCCCTTTCTTTCTAAAAAAAAGTCGTTAGGGGGTCTGAAAAGTCATTGAATCTAACAACAAAGTCGCTAGGTTTGCAACTACGTGTCCCAGACTGCATCCCTGCTGAGAGTCCCTCCCTCCCTTCTCATGTTGCAGGAAGAACGTAAGCACCCGCCCCTTGTCAATCAGTCACCATATAATTTTGGATTGGTTGTTGTGGTGAAGTTTTCCACCAATAGGAGAGATGTTGTGGTGTGTTTTTTTTTCTTTTGGCAAGCCTTTTCCGCCTGTAAGACCTGTCGCTAATGTCTGCATGCTATGTTTTCCTGTCTCATACAGCGCGATCGAGCGCCGAACGTGATCAAAATAAGCAGAAAAAAAGTATCGCGGACATAATTTATCATAACTCTGGTTTTATTTGGCCTATCAACACAATTTAAAAACTGGTATATAGGTTGAGGTCCTCACTTTTGAGATAAGTTGAAACGGAGAGTCAACGAGGCTCCGTCTTGCAGCTACATCCGGTTAAATATGTCATGTGACTTGAACGCACACACAGACACACACACACACGCACACACACACACACACACTCAGAGTCTGGTTTTTAGCACCTGCAAAAACATGCTATTTACATATTTGACAAGAATGCAGAGGCTCCTTTTGCCCCTGAAAAAAATCAAATTTCAAACACAACTTGACTGCTCATTTCTCCAAAAGACAACCATGAAGCTCCATCCAAACCTGAAGCAGGCAGTTGGTGCATGTGTACAGTAACCTGAGGGGAGTGAGGTGAGTGCTTCTGAGGAGAACATGAGCAGTGAAGATTCACCTTGGAGCTAGAACAGAGACATGCACATGATTATACAGGGGCAGGGGCTCAAGTTTTTTCCAGTCGTTTATACAATATGGAAATTAATGTGAAATTAAAACACAAAGTATTAATAGAAAGGTAATGACTGTCCTGTGTAGGTGACAGTGATATCCAATAGGCTAGGCACTCACGAGGCTGGCTGTGGCAAGTGTAAGTGAAAGCAACACGCACTGGCAGGAAGAACAGCAAACGCCGATGAAGGAAAAGGGTCTTTGCAGTGATGGGCGTTACCAGAGAGGGCGATGGCCAGAGGACACAAATGGGACGGGAAGGCAGCACGTTGGGGGGGGGGGGGGGGCGCGACACGGCTCGGGCCCGCCAGTGCCCCAACGGGGTCCTAGTTAGGGCCCGAGCCAGCTGCAGAGCAGCCGGGCGTAGAGCCCTATTATTCCTGATGAGTTTTTCTTTCTTCTTTCTTTCTTTCTTTCTTTCTTTCTTCTTATTTTTCCTCCCCTTTGAAGGGGAAAATGGCCCACTTCCCACTGGCGAAAACTCATGACATTTGGCAGGATGACCGGGCCTGGTGAAAAATTCGAGTTTTTCCTGCCCATCGCTCAATGGCTCAAACGCATCGCTCTCTCGGCAAAACCTAAAGGAGGAGCACCTTGCCATTTGGATATATACTAGCTGTGTTTGTGCCCTCACTCATGGTCCAGACTTTTTTCAAAAAGGACATGGAGTTTGTCTGCAGCGAGCGTTTTGGTAGAAACTGCGCCTCCCATTCATTATAATGGTAAATGACCACAGACAAGTGCGCACACCATCTTTGGACCTTGAGTGTGATGCGATCGGGAGGGGTAGGCGGTCGCGCTGGGGGCGGCGCGACACGGCTCGGGCCCGCCAGTGCCCCAACGGGGCCCTAGTTATTATTTTTCCTCCCCTTTGAACTGGAAAATGGCCCACTTCCCACTGGCGAAAACTCATGAAATTTGGCAGGACGACCGGGCCTGGTGAAAAATTTGATATTCCGAAGTCGCCCAAACAAGAAAATGCAAAATGGCTCCATAGCGCCCCCTAAGGTGAAAATTCACACTATTGACTGTCACGCCTGTACGCTTTGTCAAAATGACACAAAAATTGACACACACATGTATCTCAATAAGATCTACAAAAAAGTCAGTGCGGGCGTATCTGTCAAATGTACGGTTAAAGGGTTATTTCGCATTTTTTGCCGATCCGCACACATTGGAATTTCGCTAACTCCTCCGAAGGCTTTCGTTCCACCGGCACCACATTTGCTCAGGCCAATCTACACCCCATGGCCATTAAAAGTTATTCAAATCATGACGCTGCACCCCACGGTTTAGGTTCTAGGGGGCGCCAAAGATAACCCTAAGATCCACATATTTAAAAGTCTTATAACTTTTTATTTTTGCCCTCACTGGCCTCCAAGTTTTCTAGGATGATGCAATGTCCAGCCATCAACACATTTGTGAAGGAATTTTTACTCCCCAAAAGAGCGCCCCCCCATGGCAGGAGAAAAAAGTCCATTTTTTCTTGTCCCCTAAGGTGAAAATACACATTGTTGAGTGTAACACCTGTACGCTTTGGCAAAATGACACCAAAATTGAGACACACATGTATCTCAATAAGATCTACAAAAAAGTCAATGCGCACGTATCTGTCAAATGTACGGTTAAAGGGTTATTCCGCATTTTTTGCCGATCCGCACACATTGGAATTTCGCTAACTCCTCCGAAGGCTTTCGTTCCACCGGCACCACATTTTCTCAGGCCAATCTACACCCCATGGCCATTAAAAGTTATTCAAATCATGACGCTGCACCCCACGGTTTAGGTTCTAGGGGGCGCCAAAGATAACCGTAAAATCCACATATTTAAAAGTCTTATAACTTTTTATTTTTGTCCCCACTGGCCTCCAAGTTTTCTAGGATGATGCAATGTCCAGCAATCAACACATTTGTGAAGGAATTTTTACTCGCCAAAAGAGCGCCCCCCCATGGCAGGAGAAAAAAGTCCATTTTTTCTTGTCCACTAAGGTGAAAATACACATTGTTGAGTGCTACGCCTGTATGTTTTGTCGTATTGACACAAAATTTTACATACACGTGTCTTTCAATAAGATCTACAAAAAAGTCAATGCGCACGTATCTGTCAAATGTACGGTTAAAGGGTTATTCCGCATTTTTTGCCGATCCGCACACATTGGAATTTCGCTAACTCCTCCGAAGGCTTTCGTTCCACCGGCACCACATTTGCTCAGGCCAATCTACACCCCATGGCCATTAAAAGTTATTCAAATCATGACGCTGCACCCCACGGTTTAGGTTCTAGGGGGCGCCAAAGATAACCCTAAAATCCACATATTTAAAAGTCTTATAACTTTTTATTTTTGTCCTCACTGGCCTCCATGTTTTCTAGGATGATGCAATGTCCAGCCATCAACACATTTGTGAAGGAGTTTTTTCTCGTTAAAAGAGCGCCCCCCCATGGCAGGAGAATAAAGTCAAGTTTTTCCTGTTCATCATTCAATGGCTCAAACGCACTGCTCTCTCGGCAAAAGCGAAAGGAGGAGCAACTTGCCATTTGGATATATCTTAGCTGTGTTTGTGCCCTCACTCATGGTCCAGACTTTTTTCAAATAGGACATGGAGTTTTTCTGCAGCGAGCGTTTTGGTAGAAACTGCGCCTCCCGTTCATTATAATGGTAAATGACCACAAACAAGTGCGCACACCATCTTTGGACCTTGAGTGTGACGCGATCGGGTGGGGGAGGCGGTTGTGCTGGGGGCGGCGTGACACGGCTCGGGCCCGCCAGTGCCCCAACGGGGCCCTAGTCTCTTCTTTTTCCTCCCCTTTGAACTGGAAAATGGCCCACTTCCCACTGGCGAAAACTCATGAAATTTGGCAGGACGACCGGGCCTGGTGAAAAATTCGATATTCTGAAGTCGCCCAAACAATAAAATGCAAAATGGCTCCATAGCGCCCCCTAAGGTGGAAATTCACACTATTGACTGTCACGCCTGTACGCTTTGTCATATTGACACAAAAATTGACACACATATGTATCTCAATAAGATCTACAAAAAAGTCAGTGCGGGCGTATCTGTCAAATGTACGGTTAAAGGGTTATTCCGCATTTTTTGCCGATCCGCACACATTGGAATGTGGCTAACTCCTCCTAAGGCTTTCGTTCCACCGGCACCACATTTGCTCAGGCCAATCTACACCCCATGGCCATTAAAAGTTATTCAAATCATGACGCTGCACCCCACGGTTTAGGTTCTAGGGGGCGCCAAAGATAACCCTAAAATCCACATATTTAAAAGTCTTATAACTTTTTATTTTTGCCCTCACTGGCCTCCAAGTTTTCTAGGATAATGCAATGTCCAGCCATCAACACATTTGTGAAGGAATTTTGACTCCCCAAAAGAGCGCCCCCCCCATGGCAGGAGAAAAAAGTCCATTTTTTCTTGTCCCCTAAGGTGAAAATACACATTGTAGAGTGTCACGCCTGTACGCTTTGTCAAAATGACACAAAATTTGACATACACGTGTATTTCAATAAGATCTTCGAAAAAGTTTATGGCCACGTATCTGTAAAATGTACGGTTAAAGGGTTATTTTGCATTTTTTGCAGATCCGCACACATTGGAATGTGGCTAACTCCTCCTAAGGCTTTTGTTCCACTAGCACCACATTTGCTCAGGCCAATCTACACCCCGTGGCCATTAAAAGTTATTAAAATCATGACGCTGCACCCCACGGTTAAGGTTCTAGGGGGCGCCAAAGATAACCCTAAAATCCACATATTTATAAAGTCTTATAACTTTTTATTTTTGTCCTCACTGGCCTCCAAGTTTTCTAGGATGATGCAATGTCCAGCCATCAACACAATTGTGAAGGAATTTTTACTCCCCAAAAGAACGCCCCCCCATGGCAGGAGAAAAAAGTCCACTTTTTCTTGTCCCATAAGGTGAAAATACACATTGTTGACTGTCATACCTGTACGCTTTGTCATATTGACACAAAATTTGACACACACATGTATCTCAATAAGATCTACGAAAAAGTCAATGCGCGCGTATCTGTAAAATGTACGGTTAAAGGGTTATTCCGCATTTTTTGCCGATCCGCACACATTGGAATGTGGCTAACTCCTCCTAAGGCTTTCGTTCCACCGGCACCACATTTGCTCAGGCCAATCTACACCCCATGGCCATTTAAAGTTATTCAAATCATGACGCTGCACCCCACGGTTTAGGTTCTAGGGGGCGCCAAAGATAACCCAAAAATCCACATTCTTAATAGTCTTATAACTTTTTATTTTTGTCCTCACTGGCCTCCAAGTTTTCTAGGATGATGCAATGTCCAGCCATCAACACATTTGTAAAGGAATTTTTACTCCCGAAAAGAGCGCCCCCCCATGGCAGGAGAAAAAAGTCAATTTTTTCTTGTCCCCTAAGGTGAAAAAACACATTGTTGACTGTCACGCCTATACGCTTTGTCAAAATGACACAAAAATTGACACACATGTGTATCTTAATACGGTCTACAAAAAAGTCAGCGCGGGCGCATCTGTGAAATGTACGGTTAGAGGGTTATTTCGCATTTTTTGCAGATCTGCACACATTGGAATTTCGCTAACTCCTCCGAAGGCATTCATTCCACCGGCACCACATTTGCTCAGGCCAATCTACACCCCATGGCCATTAAAAGTTGTACAAATCATGACGCTGCACCCCACGGTTTAGGTTCTAGGGGGCGCCAAAGATGACCCAAATATCCACATTCTTAAAAGAATCCACATCCCCCCCCCCCCCCCCCCCCCAAGGCAGGAGAAAAAGTCAAGTTAACCCTGCCCGTCGCTCAATGGCTCAATCGCATCGCTCTCCCGGCAACACCGTGAGGAGGAGCAACTTGCCATTTGGATATATCCTAGCTGTGTTTGTGCCCTCACTCATGGTCCAGACTTTTTTCAAATAGGACATGTAGTTTGTCTGCAGCGACCGTTTTGGTAGAAACTGCGCCTCCCATTCATTATAATGGGAAATGACCACAGACAAGTGCGCACACCATCTTCGGACCTTGAGTGTGATGCGATCGGGAGGGGGAGGCGGTCGCGCTGGGGGCGGCGCGACGCGGCTCGGGCCCGACAGTGCCCCACCGGGGCCCTAGTTATTATTATTTTTCCTCCGCTTTAAACTGGAAAATGGCCCACTTCCCACTGGCGAAAACTCATGAAATTTGGCAGGACGACCGGGCCTGGTGAAAAATTCGATATTCTTAAGTCGCCCAAACAATAAAATGCAAAATGGCTCCATAGCGCCCCCTAAGGTGAAAATTCACACTATTGACTGTCATGCCTGTACGCTTTGTCAAAATGACACAAAAATTGACACACACATGTATCTCAATAAGATCTACAAAAAAGTCAGTGCGGGCGTATCTGTCAAATGTACGGTTAAAGGGTTATTTCGCATTTTTTGCAGATCCCCACACATTGGAATTTCGCTAACTCCTCTGAAGACTTTCGTTCCACCAGCACCACATTTGCTCAGGCCAATCTACACCCCATGGCCATTAAAAGTTGTACAAATCATGACGCTGCACCCCACGGTTTAGGTTCTAGGGGGCGCCAAAGATAACCCAAAAATCCACATTCTTTAAAGTCTTATAACTTTTTATTTTTGTCCTCACTGGCCTCCAAGTTCTCTAGGATGATGCAATGTCCAGCCATCAACACATTTGTGAAGGAATTTTTACTCCCCAAAAGAGCGCCCCCCCATGGCAGGAGAAAAAAGTTAATTTTTTCTTGTCCCCTAGGGTGAAAATACACATTGTTCAGTGTCACGCCTGTACGCTTTGTCATATTGACACAAAATTTGACAATCACGTGTATCTCAATAAGATCTACGAAAAAGTCAATGCGCACGTATCTGTAAAATGTACGGTTAAAGGGCTATTTCGCATTTTTTGCCGATTCGCACACATTGGAATGTGGCTAACTCCTCCTAAAGCTTTCGTCCCATCGGCACCAAATTTGCTCAGGCCAATCTACACCCCATGGCCATTCAAAGTTGTACAAATCATGACGCTGCACTCCACGGTTTACGTTCAAGGGGGCGCCAAAGAGGACCCAAATATCCACAATTTCAAAAGTCTTATAACTTTTTGTTTTTGTCCTCACTGGCCTCCAAGTTTTCTAGGATAATGCAATGTTCAGCCATCAACACATTTGTGAAAGAATTTTTTCTCCCCAAACGAGCGCCCCCCCATGGCAGGAGAAAAAGTTAAGTTTTTCCTGCCCATCGCCCAATGGCTCAAACGCATCGCTCTCTCGGCAAAACCGAAAGGAGGAGCAACTTGCCATTTGGATATATCGAAGCTGTGTTTGTGCCCTCACTCATGGTCCAGACTTTTTTCAAAAAGGACATGGAGTTTGTCTGCAGCGAGCGTTTTGGTAGAAACTGCGCCTCCCATTCATTATAATGGTAAATGACCACAGACAAGTGCGCACACCATCTTTGGACCTTGAGTGTGACTCGATCGGGAGGGGGAGGGGGTCGCGCTGGGGGCAGCACGACACGGCTCGGGCCCGCCAGTGCCCCAGCGGGGCCCTAGTTCTTTGTTTCTTTCTTTCTTTAGGGCCCGAGCGTAGCTGCTAAGCAGCTGCGAGAGCCCTATTATTCCCCAAGTGGTTTTTCTTTGTTTCTTTTTAGGGCCCGAGCGTAGCTGCTAAGCAGCTGCGAGAGCCCTCTTGTTCCTGATGGATTCTTCTTTTGTTATTATTAGGGCCCGAGCGTAGCTGCTAAGCAGCTGCGAGAGCCCTGTTGTTCCTGATAAGTTTTTCTTTCTTCTTTCTTTCTTTCTTTCTTTCTTCTTATTTTTCCTCCCCTTTGAGGGGGAAAATGGCCCACTTCCCACTGGCGAAAACTCATGAAATTTGACAGGACGACCGGGCCTGGTGAAAAATTCGATATTCTGAAGTCGCCCAAACAATGAAATGCAAAATGGCTCCATAGCGCCCCCTAAGGTGAAAATTCACACTATTGACTGTCACGCCTGTACGCTTTGTCATATTGACACAAAAATTGACACACACATGTATCTCAATAAGATCTACAAAAAAGTCAGCGCGGGCGTGTCTGTCAAATGTACGGATAAAGGGTTATTTCGCATTTTTTGCCGATCCGCACACATTGGAATTTCGCTTACTCCTCCGAAGACTTTCGTTCCACCGGCACCACATTTGCTCAGGCCAATCTACACCCCATGGCCATTAAAAGTTGTACAAATCATGACGCTGCACCCCACGGTTTACGTTCTAGGGGGCGCCAAAGATAACCCAAAAATCCACAGTCTTAAAAGTCTTATAACTTTTTATTTTTGTCCTCACTGGCCTCCAAGTTCTCTAGGATGATGCAATGTCCAGCAATTAACACATTTGTGAAGGAATTTTTACTCGCCAAAAGAGCGCCCCCCCATGGCAGGAGAAAAAAGTCAATTTTTTCTTGTCCCCTAAGGCGAATATACACATTGTTGAGTGTCACGCCTGTACGCTTTGTCATATTGACACAAAATTTGACAATCACGTGTATCTCAATAAGATCTACGAAAAAGTCAATGTGCGCGTATCTGTAAAATTTACAGTTAAAGGGCTATTTCGCATTTTTTGCCGATTCGCACACATTGGAATGTGGCTAACTCCTCCTAAGGCTTTCGTTCCACTGACACCAAATTTGCTCAGGCCAATCTACACCCCATGGCCATTCAAAGTTGTACAAATCATGACGCTGCATCCCACGGTTTACGTTCTAGGGGGCGCCAAAGATGACCCAAATATCCACATTTTTAAAAGTCTTATAACTTTATTTTTGTCCTCACTGGCCTCCAAGTTTTCTAGGATGATGCAATGTTCAGTCATCAACACATTTGTGAAGGAATTTTTTTTTCCCCAAAAGAGCGCCCCCCCCATGGCAGGAGAAAAAGTCAAGTTTTTCCTGCCCATCGCTCAATGGCTCAAATTCATCGCTCCCTCGGCAAAACCGAAAGGAGGAGCACCTTGCCATTTGGGTATATACTAGCTGTGTTTGTGCCCTCACTCATGGTCCAGACTTTTTTCAAAAAGGACATGGAGTTTGTCTGCAGCGAGCGTTTTGGTAGAAACTGCGCCTCCCATTCATTATAATGGTAAATGACCACAGACAAGTGCGCACACAATCTTTGGACCTTTAGTGTGACGCGATCAGGAGGGGTAGGTGGTCGCGCTGGGAGCGGCGCGACACGGCTCGGGCCCGCCAGTGCCCCAACGGGGCCCTAGTTATTATTATTTTTCCTCCGCTTTAAACTGGAAAATGGCCCACTTCCCACTGGCGAAAACTCATGAAATTTGGCAGGACGACCGGGCCTGGTGAAAAATTCGATATTCTGAAGTCGCCCAAACAATAAAATGCAAAATGGCTCCATAGCGCCCCCTAAGGCGAAAATTCACACTATTGACTGTCACGCCTGTACGCTTTGTCATATTGACACAAAAATTGACACACACGTGTATCTCAATACGGTCTACGAAAAAGTCAGCGCGTGCGCATCTGTGAAATGTACGGTTAGAGGGTTATTTCGCATTTTTTGCAGATCTGCACACATTGGAATTTCGCTAACTCCTCCGAAGGCATTCGTTCCACCGGCACCACATTTGCTCAGGCCAATCTACACCCCATGGCCATTAAAAGTTATTCAAATCATGACGCTGCACCCCACGGTTTAGGTTCTAGGGGGCGCCAAAAATAACCCTAAAATCCACATATTTCAAAGTCTTATAACTTTTTATTTTTGTCCTCACTGGCCTCCAAGTTTTCTAGGATGATGCAATGTCCAGCCATCAACACATTTATGAAGGAATTTTTACTCCCCAAAAGAGCGCCCCCCCATGGCAGGAGAAAAAAGTCCATTTTTTCTTGTCCCCTAAGGTGAAAATACACATTGTTGAGTGTCACGCCTTTACGCTTTGGCAAAATGACACAAAAATTGACACACACATGTATCTCAATAAGATCTACGAAAAAGTCATTGGGCGCGTATCTGTCAAATGTACGGTTAAAGGGTTATTCCGCATTTTTTGCCCATCCGCACACATTGGAATTTCGCTAACTCCTCCGAAGGCTTTCGTTCCACCGGCACCACATTTGCTCAGGCCAATCTACACCCCATGGCCATTAAAAGTTATTCAAATCATGACGCTGCACCCCACGGTTTACGTTCTAGGGGGCGCCAAAGATAACCCAAAAATCCACATTTTTAAAAGTCTTATAACTTTTTATTTTTGTCCTCACTGGCCTCCAAATTTTCTAGGATGATGCAATGTCCAGCCATCAACACATTTGTGAAGGAATTTTTACTCCCTAAAAGAGCGCCCCCCCATGGCAGGAGAAAAAAGTCCATTTTTTCTTGTCCCCTAAGGTGAAAATACACATTGTTGACTGTCACGCCTGTACGCTTTGGCAAAATGACACAAAAATTGACAATCATGTGTATCTCAATTAGATCTACGAAAAAGTCAAAGAGCGCGTATCTGTATAATGTACGGTAAAAGGGCTATTTTGCATTTTTTGCCGATTCGCACACATTGGAATTTCGCTAACTCCTCCTAAGGCTTTCGTCCCACTGACACCAAATTTGCTCAGGCCAATCTACACTCCATGGCCATTCAAAGTTGTAAAAATCATGACGCTGCACCCCACGGTTTACGTTTTAGGGGGCGCCAAAGATGACCCAAATATACATTACAGTAGACAAAGTAGTTTTGCCCACTGAGTGGCGCCAAAGGGACTTGTCTGTGGAGTCTGTGAGTCACTATTGGCCGTTTTTGACTACTTTAGATTTTACCTTTATATTTCCTCTTACAAAATTTTTACCTTGCCTTGCCTGGTATCATTTTTTTCAGCACAGCCTCACCTGTGTCAATTTACAGTTATTTTATCATTTTGACATACTATATTTACACATTGGACCCAAATTCACACACAAAACATAAAATCCGAGTGGAAAAAAGTAACGTTTTTACTGTGAAAACCACAAATATGTGTGATGAACTGTTTTTAAAACTTAAACTTCAAATAAAAATTGTAAACTTCAAAACATATGCAAATTTTTAACAAAGAACATAGTAATTTACCTCTATTGACATCAAAATGCAGGCAATGGCCCAGGTGTTCTTTGTAAAATTATTTCCAAAACACTGTATAGTCTCACAAATGTCACTTTTTATTTATGCCACTACAAAAAAACATGATGTAAATGATGCATGATGTAAAACATGATGTAAAAAACTTGTGTAGATCCTCCTCTATGTTAGTCCATGTGTAATTTTTCCATAATTCTTTGTTTTTTGCAGCATTTTTGTTAGTGTAACTGCAGATTGTGCTGACAGTGTCTATGGCACAAAAAAAAAAACAAAAAACTGAAAATGCCTCAACATGAACCCCTGGTGGTCTCTGAGGGTGAAACCTGCTAACTGCTGCAGCTCTGTCAGCTTCAGTCTCCCATGCAGAGCTCGGAGCGCATGTGTGGCTCTGCACCCTTAGCAGCGTTGCTAACTCCTCAGTAAGGAAAGCCTGCTTCATGTCAGAGTCTCTAAACTCCAGAAGGAGTCGATAAAAGTCACTTTCTTTCTAAAAAAGTCGTTAGGGGGTCTGAAAAGTCATTGAATCTAACAACAAAGTCGCTAGGTTTGCAACTACGTGTCCCAGACTGCATCCCTGCTGAGAGTCCCTCCCTCCCTTCTCATATTGCAGGAAGAACGTAAGTTCCCGCCCCTTGTCAATCAGTCACCATATAATTTTGGATTGGTTGTTGTGGTGAAGTTTTCCACCAATAGGAGAGATGTTGTGGTGTGTATTTTTTTTCCTTTGGCAAGCCTTTTCCGCCTGTAAGACCTGTCGCTAATTTCTGCATGCTATGTTTTCCTGTCTCATACAGCGCGATCGAGCGCCGAACGTGATCAAAATAAGCAGAAAAAAAGTATCGCGGACATAATTTATCATAACTCTGGTTTTATTTGGCCTATCAACACAATTTAAAAACTGGTATATAGGTTGAGGTCCTCACTTTTGAGATAAATTGAAACGGAGAGTCAACGAGGCTCCGTCTTGCAGCTACATCCGGTTAAATATGTCATGTGACTTGAACGCACACACACACACACACACAGACACACACGCACACACACACACACTCAGAGTCTGGTTTGTAGCACCTGCAAAAACATGCTATTTACATATTTGACAAGAATGCAGAGGCTCCTTTTGCCCCTGAAAAAAATCAAATTTCAAACACAACTTGACTGGTCATTTCTCCAAAAGACAACCATGAAGCTCCATCCAAACCTGAAGCAGGCAGTTGGTGCATGTGTACAGTAACCTGAGGGGAGTGAGGTGACTGCTTCTGAGGAGAACATGAGCAGTGAAGATTTACCTTAGAGCTAGAACAGAGACGTGCACATGATTATACAGGGGCAGGGGCTCAAGTTTTTTCCAGTCGTTTATACAATTTGGAAATTAATGTGAAATTAAAAAACAAAGTATTAATAGAAAGGTAATGACTGTCCTGTGTAGGTGACAGTGATATCCAATAGGCTAGGCACTCACGAGGCTGGCTGTGGCAAGTGTAAGTGAAAGCAACACGCACTGGCAGGAAGAACAGCAAACGCCGATGAAGGAAAAGGGTCTTTGCATTGATGGGCGTTACCAAAGAGGGCGATGGCCAGAGGACACAAATGGGACGGGGAGGCAGCGCGTTGGGGGGGGGACGCGACACAGCTCGGGCCCGCCAGTGCCCCAACGGGGTCCTAGTTATTATTTTTCCTCCGCTTTAAACTGGAAAATGGCCCACTTCCCACTGGCGAAAACTCAGGAAATTTGGCAGGACGACCGGGCCTGGTGAAAAATTCGATATTCTGAAGTCGCCCAAACAATAAAATGCAAAATGGCTCCATAGCGCCCCCTAAGGTGAAAATTCACACTTTTGACTGTCACGCCTGTACGCTTTGTCATATTGACACAAAAATTGACACACACATGTATCTCAATAAGATCTAAAAAAAAGTCAGTGCGGGCGTATCTGTCAAATGTACGGTTAAAGGGTTATTTCGCATTTTTTGCAGATCCGCACACATTGGAATTTTGTTAACTCCTCCGAAGGCTTTCGTTCCACCGGCACCACATTTGCTCAGGCCAATCTACACTCCATGGCCATTCAAAGTTGTACAAATCATGATGTTGCACCCCATGGTTTAGGTTCTAGGGGGCGCCAAAAATAACCCAAAAATCCACATTCTTAAAAGTTTTATAACTTTTTTTTTTTGTCCTCACTGGCCTCCAAGTTTTCTAGGATGATGCAATGTCCAGCCATCAACACATTTGTGAAGGAATTTTTACTCCCCAAAAGAGCGCCCCCCATGGCAGGACAAAAAAGTCAATTTTTTCTTGTCCCCTAAGGTGAAAATACACATTGTTGAGATTCACGCTTGTACGCTTTGTCATATTGACAAAAAATTTGACACACACGTGTATCTCAATAAGATCTACGAAAAAGTCAATGCGCGCGTATCTGTAAAATGTATGGCTAAAGGGCTATTTTGCATTTTTTGCCGATTCGCACACATTGGAATGTGGCTAACTCCTCCTAAGGCTTTCGTCCCACTGACACCAAATTTGCTCAGGCCAATCTACACCCCATGGCCATTCAAAGTTGTAAAAATCATGCCGCTGCACTCCATGGTTTACGTTCTAGGGGTCGCCAAAGATAACCCAAAAATCCACATTCTTAAAAGTCTTATAACTTTTCATTTTTGTCCTCACTGGCTTCAAAGTTTTCTAGGATGATGCAATGTCTAGCCATCAACACATTTGTGAAGGAATTTTTTCTCCCTAAAAGAGTGCCCCCCCATGGCAGGAGAAAAAGTCAAGTTTTTCCTGCCCATCGCTCAATGGCTCAAACACATCGCTCTCTCGGAAAAAAACGAAAGGAGGAGGAACTTGCCATTTGGATATATCCTAGCTGTGTTTGTGCCCTCACTCATGGTCCAGACTTTTTTCAAATAGGACATGTAGTTTGTCTGCAGCAAGCGTTTTGGTAGAAACTGCGCCTCCCATTCATTATAATGGTAAATGACCACAGACAAGTGCGCACACCATCGTTGAACCTTGAGTGTGACGCGATCGGGAGGGAGAGGCGGTCGTGTTGGGGGCGGCGTGACACAGCTCGGGCCCGCCAGTGCCCCAACGGGGCCCTAGTCTTCTTCTTCTTATTATTTTTCTGCCCCTTTGAACTGGAAAATGGCCCACTTTCCACTGGTGAAAACTCATGAAATTTGGCAGGACAACCGGGCCTGGTGAAAAATTCGATATTCTGAAGTCACCCAAACAATCAATTGCAAAATGGCTCCATAGCGCCCCCTAAGGTGAAAAATTCACATGATTGAGTGTCACGCCTGTACGCTTTGTCAAAATGACACAAAATTTGACACACACGTGTATCTCAATAAGATCTACAAAAAAGTCAGTGCGGGCGTATCTGTCAAATGTACGTTTAAAGGGCTATTTCGCATTTTTTGCCGATCCGCACACATTGGAATTTCGCTAACTCCTCCGAAGGCTTTCGTTCCACCGGCACCACATTTGCTCAGGCCAATCTAACCCCCATGGCCATTCAAAGTTGTACAAATCATGACACTGCACCCCACGGTTTACGTTGTAGGGGGCGCCAAAGGTAACCCAAAAATCCACATTCTTACAAGTCTTATAACTTTTTATTTCTGTCCTCACTGGCCTCCAAGTTTTCTAGGATGATGCAATGTCCAGCCATCAACACATTTGTGACGGAATTTTTACTCCCCAAAAGAGCGCCCCCCATGGCAGGAGAAAAAAGGCCATTTTTTCTTGTCCCATAAGGTGAAAATACACATTGTTGAGTGTCACGCCTGTACGCTTTGTCATATTGAAACAAAATTTGACGATCACGTGTATCTCAATAAGATCTACGAAAAAGTCAATGCGCACGTGTCTGCAAAATGTACGGTTAAAGGGCTATTTCGCATTTTTGGTTGATTCGCACACATTGGAATGTGGCAAACTCCTCCTAAAGCTTTCGTTCCACCGGCACCAAATTTGCTCAGGCCAATCTACACCCCATGGCCATTAAAAGTTGTACAAATCATGATGCTGCACCCCACGGTTTACGTTCTAGGGGTCGCCAAAGATAACCCAAAAATCCACATTCTTAAAAGTCTTATAACTTTTCATTTTTGTCCTCACTGGCTTCCAAGTTTTCTAGGATGATGCAATGTCCAGCCATCAACACATTTGTGAAGGAATTTTTACTCCCCAAAAGAGCGCCCCCCCATGGCAGGAGAAAAAGTTAAGTTTTTCCTGCCAGTCGCCCAATGGCTCAAACGCATCGCTCTCTCGGCAAAACCGAAAGGAGGAGCAACTTGCCATTTGAATATATCAAAGCTGTGTTTGTGCCCTCACTCATGGTCCAGACTTTTTTCAAAAAGGACATGGAGTTTGTCTGCAGCAAGCGTTTTGGTAGAAACTGTGCCTCCCATTCATTATAATGGTAAATGACCACAGACAAGTGCGCACACCATCTTTGGACCTTGAGTGTGACGCGATCGGAAGGGGGAGGCGGTCGCGCTGGGGGCGGCGCGACACGGCTCGGGCCCGCCAGTGCCCCACCGGGGCCCTAGTTTCTTCTTTTTCCTCCCCTTTGAACTGTAAAATGGCCCACTTCCCACTGGCGAAAACTCATGAAATTTGGCAGGATGACCGGGCCTGGTGAAAAATTTGATATTCCGAAGTCGCCCAAACAAGAAAATGCAAAATGGCTCCATAGCGCCCCCTAAGGTGAAAATTCACACTATTGACTGTCACGCCTTTACGCTTTGTCATATTGACACAAAAATTGACACACACATGTATCTCAATAAGATCTAAAAAAATGTCAGTGCGGGCGTATCTGTCAAATGTACGGTTAAAGGGTTATTCCGCATTTTTTGCCGATCCGCACACATTGGAATTTCGCTAACTCCTCCGAAGGCTTTCGTTCCACCGGCACCACATTTGCTCAGGCCAATCTACACCCCATGGCCATTAAAAGTTATTCAAATCATGACGCTGCACCCCACGGTTTAGGTTCTAGGGGGCGCCAAAGATAACCCTAAAATCCACATATTTCAAAGTCTTATAACTTTTTATTTTTGCCCTCACTGGCCTCCAAGTTTTCTAGGATGATGCAATGTCCAGCCATCAACACATTTGTGAAGGAATTTTTAATCCCCAAAAGAGCGCCCCCCCCCATGGCAGGAGAAAAAAGTCCATTTTTTCTTGTCCCATAAGATGAAAAAACACATTGTTGACTGTCATACCTGTACGCTTTGTCATATTGACACAAAATTTGACAATCACATGTATCTCAATAAGATCTACGAAAAAGTCAATGCGCACGTATCTGTAAAATGTACGGTTAAAGGGCTATTTTGCATTTTTTGCCGATTCGCACACATTGGAATGTGGCTAACTCCTCCTAAGGCTTTCGTCCCACTGACACCAAATTTGCTCAGGCCAATCTACACCCCATGGCCATTCAAAGTTGTAAAAATCATGACGCTGCACCCCACGGTTTACGTTCTAGGGGGCGCCAAAGATGACCCAAATATCCACATTCTTAAAAGAATCCACATCCCCCCCCCATCCCCCAACCCCCATGGCAGGAGAAACAGTCAAGTTTTTCCTGCCCATCACTCAATGGCTCAATCGCATCACTCTCCCGGCAACACCGTAACGAGGAGCAACTTGCCGTTTGGATATATCCTAGCTGTGTTTGTGCCCTCACTCATGGTCCAGACTTTTTTCAAATAGGACATGTAGTTTGTCTGCAGCGAGTGTTTTGGTAGAAACTGCGCCTCCCATTCATTATAATGGGAAATGACCACAGACAAGTGCGCACACCATCTTTGGACCTTGAGTGTGACGCGATCAGGAGGGGGAGGCGGTCGCGCTGGGGGCGGCGCAACGCGGCTCGGGCCCGACAGTGCCCCACCGGGGCCCTAGTTTCTTTTTCCTCCCCTTTGAACTGGAAAATGGCCCACTTCCCACTGGCGAAAACTCATGAAATTTGGCAGGACGACCGGGCCTGGTGAAAAATTCGATATTCTGAAGTCGCCCAAACAATAAAATGCAAAATGGCTCCATAGCGCCCCCTAAGGTGAAAATTCACACTATTGACTGTCACGCCTGTACGCTTTGTCAAAATGACACAAAAATTGACACACACATGTATCTCAATAAGATCTACAAAAAAGTCAGTGCGGGCGTATCTGTCAAATGTACGGTTAAAGGGTTATTTCGCATTTTTTGCCGATCCGCACACATTGGAATTTCGCTAACTCCTCCGAAGGCTTTCGTTCCACTGGCACCACGTTTGCTCAGGCCAATCTACACCCCATGGCCATTAAAAGTTATTCAAATCATGACGCTGCACCCCACGGTTCAGGTTCTAGGGGGCGCCAAAGATAACCCTAAAATCCACATATTTCAAAGTCTTATAACTTTTTATTTTTGTCCTCACTGGCCTCCAAGTTTTCTAGGATGATGCAATGTCCAGCCATCAACACATTTGTGAAGGAATTTTTACTCCCCAAAAGAGCGCCCCCCATGGCAGGAGAAAAAAGTCCATTTTTTCTTGTCCCCTAAGGTGAAAATACACATTGTTGAGTGTCACGCCTGTACGCTTTGTCATATTGACACAAAATTTGACACACACATGTATCTCAATAAGATCTACGAAAAAGTCAATGCGCACGTATCTGTCAAATGTACGGTTAAAGGGTTATTCCGCATTTTTTGCTGATCCGCACACATTGGAATTTCGCTGACTCCTACTAAGGCTGGCGTTCCACCGGCACCAGATTTGCTCAGGCCAATCTACACCCCATGGCCATTAAAAGTTATTCAAATCATGACGCTGCACCCCACGGTTCAGGTTCTAGGGGGCGCCAAAGATAACCCTAAAATCCACATATTTAAAAGTCTTATAACTTTTTATCTGAGGCTGCCCTGAACGCATCACTTCGAGACGGTGAAAGACTATCAACGTAAATATTATATCTGACGTTTGTTTCTAGGGCCCCGGTGGGGCACTGTCGGGCCAGAGCCGCGTCGTGCCGCCCCCAGCGCGACCACCTCCCCCTCCCGATCGCGTCACACTCAAGGTCCAAAGATGATGTGCGCACTTGTCTGTGGTCATTTCCCATTATAATGAATGGGAGGCGCAGTTTCTACCAAAACACTTGCTGCAGACAAACTACATGTCCTATTTGAAAAAAGTCTGGACCATGAGTGAGGGCACAAACACAGCTAGGATATATCCAAACGGCAAGTTGCTCCTCGTTACGGTGTTGCCGGGAGAGCGATGCGATTGAGCCATTGAGTGATGGGCAGGAAAAACTTGACTGTTTCTCCTGCCATGGGGGATGGGGGATGGGGGGGGGGGGGGGGGGTGGATTCTTTTAAGAATGTGGATATTTGGGTCATCTTTGGCGCCCCCTAGAACGTAAACCGTGGGGTGCAGCGTCATGATTTTTAAAACTTTGAATGGCCATGGGGTGTAGATTGGCCTGAGCAAATGTGGTGCCGGTGGAACGAAAGCCTTAGGAGGAGTTAGCGAAATTACAATGTGTGCGGATCGGCAAAAAATGCGGAATAACCCTTTAACCGTACATTTGACAGATACGCGCGCATTGACTTTTTCGTAGATCTTATTGAGATACATGTGTGTGTCAATTTTTGTGTCATTTTGCCAAAGCGTACAGGTGTTACACTCAACAATGTGTATTTTCACCTTAGGGGACAAGAAAAAATGGACTTTTTTCTCCTGCCATGGGGGGGCGCTCTTTTGGGGAGTAAAAATTCCTTCACAAATGTGTTGATGGCTGGACATTGCATCATCCTAAAAAACTTGGAGGCCAGTGAGGGCAAAAATAAAAAGTTATAAGACTTTTAAATATGTGGATCTTAGGGTTATCTTTGGCGCCCCCTAGAACCTAAACCGTGGGGTGCAGCGTCATGATTTGAATAACTTTTAATGGCCATGGGGTGTAGATTGGCCTGAGCAAATGTGGTGCCGGTGGAACGAAAGCCTTCGGAGGACTTAGCGAAATTCCAATGTGTGCGGATCGGCAAAAAATGCGCAATAACCCTTTAACCGTACATTTGACAGATACGCGCGCATTGACTTTTTCGTAGATCTTATTGAGATACATGTGTGTGTCAATTTTTGTGTCATTTTGCCAAAGCGTACAGGCGTGACAGTCAATAGTGTGAATTTTCACCTTAGGGGGCGCTATGGAGCCATTTTGCATTTTCTTGTTTGGGCGACTTCGGAATATCAAATTTTTCACCAGGCCCGGTCGTCCGGCCAAATTTCATGAGTTTTCGCCAGTGGGAAGTGGGCCATTTTCCAGTTCAAAGGGGAGGAAAAATAATAACTAGGGCCCCGTTGGGGCACTGGCGGGCCCGAGCCACGTTGCGCCGCCCCCAGTGCGACCGCCTCCCCCTCCCGATCGTGTCCCACTCAAGGTCCAAAGATGGTGTGCGCACTTGTCTGTGGTCATTTCCCATTATAATGAATGGGAGGTGCAGTTTCTACCAAAACACTCGCTGCAGACAAACTACATGTCCTATTTGAAAAAAGTCTGGACCATGAGTTAGGGCACAAACACAGCTAGGATATATCCAAACGGCAAGTTGCTCCTCGTTACGGTGTTGCCGGGAGAGCGATGCGATTGAGCCATTGAGTGATGGGCAGGAAAGACTTGACTGTTTCTCCTGCCATGGGGGATGGGGGATGGGGGATGGGGGGGGGGGGGGGGGGGATGTGGATTCTTTTAAGAATGTGGATATTTGGGTCATCTTTGGCGCCCCCTAGAACGTAAACCGTGGGGTGCAGCGTCATGATTTTTACAACTTTGAATGGCCATGGGGTGTAGATTGGCCTGAGCAAATTTGGTGTCAGTGGGACGAAAGCCTTCGGAGGAGTTAGCGAAATTCCAATGTGTGCGGATCGCCAAAAAATGCGGAATAACCCTTTAACCGTACATTTGACAGATACGCGCGCATTGACTTTTTCGTAGATCTTATTGAGATACATGTGTGTGTCAATTTTTGTGTCATTTTGCCAAAGCGTACAGGTGTTACACTCAACAATGTGTATTTTCATCTTAGGGGACAAGAAAAAATGGACTTTTTTCTCCTGCCATGGGGGGGCGCTCTTTTGGGTAGTAAAAATTCCTTCACAAATGTGTTGATGGCTGGACATTGCATCATCCTAGAAAACTTGGAGGCCAGTGAGGACAAAAATAAAAAGTTATAAGACTTTTAAATATGTGGATTTTAGTGTTATCTTTGGCGCCCCCTAGAACCTAAACCTTGGGGTGCAGCGTCATGATTTTGATAACTTTTAATGGCCACGGGGTGTAGATTGGCCTGAGCAAATGTGGTGCCGGAGGAACGAAAGCCTTCGGAGGAGTTAGCGAAATTCCAATGTGTGCGGATCAGAAAAAAATGCGAAATAACCCTTTAACCGTACATTTGACAGATACGGCCGCACTGACTTTTTTGTAGATCTTATTGAGATACATATGTGTGTCAATTTTTGTGTCAATATGACAAAGCGTACAGGCGTGACAGTCAATAGTGTGAATTTTCACCTTAGGGGGCGCTATGGAGCCATTTTGCATTTTATTGTTTGGGCGACTTCAGAATATCAAATTTTTCACCAGGCCCGGTCGTCCTGCCAAATTTCATGAGTTTTCGCCAGTGGGAAGTGGGCCATTTTCCAGTTCAAAGGGGAGGAAAAAGAAAAAAGAAAGAACTAGGGCCCCGGTGGGGCACTGTCGGGCCCGAGCCATGTCGCGCCGCCCCCAGCGCGACCGCCTCCCCCTCCCGATCGCGTCACACTCAAGGTCCAAAGATGGTGTGCGCACTTGTCTGTGGTCATGTCCCATTATAATGAATGGGAGGCGCAGTTTCTACCAAAACACTCGCTGCAGACAAACTTCATGTCCTATTTGAAAAAAGTCTGGACCATGAGTGAGGGCACAAACACAGCTAGGATATATCCAAATGGCAGGTTGCTCCTCCTTACAGTTTTGCCTGGAGAGCGATGCGATTGAGCCATTGAGTGATGGGCAGGAAAAACTTGACTTTTTCTCGTGCCATGGGGGGGGGGGGGGGGGGGGATGTGGATTCTTTTAAGAATGTGGATTTTTGGGTCATCTTTGGCGCCCCCTAGAACGTAAACCGTGGGGTGCAGCGTCATGATTTTTACAACTTTGAATGGCCATGGGTTGTAGATTGGCCTGAGCAAATTTGGTGTCATTGGGACGAAAGCCTTAGGAGGAGTTAGCCACATTCCAATGTGTGCGAATCGGCAAAAAATGCAAAATAGCCCGTTTACCATACATTATACACATACGCGCTTTTTGACTTTTTCGTAGATCTTACTGAGATACACGTGATTGTCAAATTTTGTGTCAATTTGACAAAGCGTTCAGGCGTGACACTCATCAATGTGTATTTTAATGTTAGGGGACAAGAAAAAATGGACTTTTTTCTCCTGCCATGGGGGGGCACTCTTTTGGGGAGTAAAAATTCCTTCACAAATGTGTTGATGGCTGGACATTGCATCATCCTAGAAAACTTGGAGGCCAGTGAGGACAAAAATAAAAAGTTATAAGACTTTTAAGAATGTGGATATTTGGGTTATCTTTGGCGCCCCCTAGAACGTAAACCGTGGGGTGCAGCGTCATGATTTGAATAACTTTTAATGGCCATGGGGTGTAGATTGACCTGAGCAAATTTGATGCCGGTGGAACGAAAGCCTTCGGAGGAGTTAGCGACATTCCAATGTGTGCGGATCGGCAAAAAATGCAAAATAGCCCTCTAACCGTACATTTGACAGATACGCACCTATTGACTTTTTCGTAGATCTTATTGAGATACACGTGATTGTCAAATTTTGTGTCAATATGACAAAGCGTACAGGTGTCACACTCAACAATGTGAATTTTCACCTTACGGGACAAGAAAAAATTGACTTTTTTCTCCTGCCATGGGGGGGCGCTCTTTACGGGAGTAAAAATTTCTCACAAATGTGATGATGACTGGACATTGCATCATCCTAGAAAACTTGGAGGCCAGTGAGGACAAAAATAAAAAGTTATAAGACTTTGAAATATGTGGATTTTTGGGTTATCTTTGGCGCCCCCTAGAACCTAAACCGTGGGGTGCAGCGTCATGATTTGAATAACTTTTAATGGCCATGGGGTGTAGATTGGCCTGAGCAAATGTGGTGCCGGTGGAACGAAAGCCTTAGGAGGAGTTAGCGAAATTCCAATGTGTGCGGATCAGCAAAAAATGCGGAATAACCCTTTAACCGTACATTTGACAGATACGCGCGCATTGACTTTTTTGTAGATCTTATTTAGATACATGTGTGTGTCAAATTTTGTGTCAATATGACAAAGCGTACAGGTGTCACACTCAACAATGTGAATTTTCACCTTACGGGACAAGAAAAAATTGACTTTTTTCTCCTGCCATGGAGGGGCGCTCTTTTCGGGAGTAAAAATTCCTTCACAAATGTGTTGATGGCTGGACATTGCATCATCCTAGAAAACTTGGAGGCCAGTGAGGGCAAAAATAAAAAGTTATAAGACTTTTAAATATGTGGATTTTAGGGTTATCTTTGGCGCCCCCTAGAACCTAAACCGTGGGGTGCAGCGTCATGATTTGAATAACTTTTAATGGCCATGGGGTGTAGATTGGCCTGAGCAAATGTGGTGCCGGTGGAACGAAAGCCTTCGGAGGAGTTAGCGACATTCCAATGTGTGCGGATCGGCAAAAAATGCAAAATAGCCCTCTAACCGTACATTTGACAGATACGCACCTATTGACTTTTTCGTAGATCTTATTGAGATACACGTGATTGTCAAATTTTGTGTCAATATGACAAAGCGTACAGGTGTCACACTCAACAATGTGAATTTTCACCTTAGGGGGCGCTATGGAGCCATTTTGCATTTTCTTGTTTGGGCGACTTCGGAATATCAAATTTTTCACCAGGCCCGGTCATCCTGCCAAATTTCATGAGTTTTCGCCAGTGGGAAGTGGGCCATTTTCCAGTTCAAAGGGGAGGAAAAAGAAGAAAGAAAGAAACAACTAGGGCCCCGGTGGGGCACTGTCGGGCCCGAGCCGTGTCGCACCGCCCCCAGCGCGACCGCCTCCCCCTCCCGATCGCATCACACTCAAGGTCCAAAGATGGTGTGCGCACTTGTCTGTGGTCATTTCCCATTATAATGAATGGGAGGGGCAGTTTCTACCGAAACGGTCGCTGCAGACAAACTACATGTCCTATTTGAAAAAAGTCTGGACCATGAGTGAGGGCACAAACACAGCTAGGATATATCCAAATGGCAAGTTGCTCCTCCTTACGGTGTTGCCAGGAGAGCGATGCGATTGAGCCATTGAGCGATGGGCAGGGTTAACTGGACTTTTTCTCCTGCCTGGGGGGGGTGTGGATTCTTTTAAGAATGTGGATATTTGGGTCATCTTTGGCGCCCCCTAGAACGTAAACCATGGGGTGCAGCGGCATGATTTTTACAACTTTGAATGGCCATGGGATGTAGATCGGCTTGAGCAAATTTGGTGTCGGTGGGAAGAAAGCCTTAGGAGGAGTTAGCCACATTCCAATGTGTGCGAATCGGCAAAAAATGCGAAATAGCCCTTTAACCGTACATTTTACAGATACGTGCCCATTGACTTTTTCGTAGATCTTATTGAGATACACGTGTGTGTCAAATTTTGTGTCATTTTGACAAAGCGTATAGGCGTGACAGTCAACAATGTGTTTTTTCACCTTAGGGGACAAGAAAAAATGGACTTTTTTCTCCTGCCATGGGGGGGGCGCTCTTTTCGGGAGTAAAAATTCCTTTACAAATGTGTTGATGGCTGGACACTGCATCATCCTAGAAAACTTGGAGGCCAGTGAGGACAAAAATAAAAAGTTATAAGACTTTTAAAAATGTGGATATTTGGGTCATCTTTGGCGCCCCCTAGAACGTAAACCGTGGGGTGCAGCGTCATGATTTGTACAACTTTCAATGGCCATGGGGTGTAGATTGGCCTGAGCAAATGTAGTGCCGGTGGAACGAAAGCCTTCGGAGGAGTTAGCGAAATTCCAATGTGTGCGGAACGGCAAAAAATGCGAAATAACCCTTTAACCGTACATTTTACAGATACGCGCCCTTTGACTTTTTCGTAGATCTTATTGAGATACACGTGATTGTCAAATTTTGTGTCATTTTGACAAAGCGTACAGGCGTGACACTCTACAATGTGTATTTTCACCTTAGGGGACAAGAAAAAATGGACTTTTTTCTCCTGCCATGGGGGGGCGCTCTTTTGGCGAGTAAAAATTCCTTCACAAATGTGTTGATGGCTGGACATTGCATCATCCTAGAAAACTTGGAGGCCAGTGAGGACAAAAATAAAAAGTTATAAGACTTTTAAATATGTGGATTTTAGGGTTATCTTTGGCGCCCCCTAGAACCTAAACCTTGGGGTGCAGCGTCATGATTTTGATAACTTTTAATGGCCACGGGGTGTAGATTGGCCTGAGCAAATGTGGTGCCGGTGGAACGAAAGCCTTCGGAGGAGTTAGCGAAATTCCAATGTGTGCGGATCGGCAAAAAATGCGAAATAACCCTTTAACTGTACATTTGACAGATACGGCCGCACTGACTTTTTTGTAGATCTTATTGAGATACATATGTGTGTCAATTTTTGTGTCAATATGACAAAGCGTACAGGCGTGACAGTCAATAGTGTGAATTTCCACCTTAGGGGGCGCTATGGAGCCATTTTGCATTTTATTGTTTGGGCGACTTCAGAATATCGAATTTTTCACCAGGCCCGGTCATCCTGCCAAATTTCATGAGTTTTCGCCAGTGGGAAGTGGGCCATTTTCCAGTTCAAAGGGGAGGAAAAAGAAGAAAGAAAGAAAGAACTAGGGCCCCGTTGGGGCACTGGCGGGCCCGAGCCGTGTCGCGCCCCCCCCAACGCGCTGCCTCCCCGTCCCATTCGCGTCCTCTGGCCATCGCCCTCTCTGGTAACGCCCATCACTGCAAAGACCCTTTTCCTTCATTGGCGTTTGCTGTTCTTCCTGCCAGTGCGTGTTGCTTTCACTTACACTTGCCACAGCCAGCCTCGTGAGTGCCTAGCCTATTGGATATCACTGTCACCTACACAGGACAGTCATTACCTTTCTATTAATACTTTGTTTTTTAATTTCACATTAATTTCCATATTGTATAAACGACTGGAAAAAACTTGAGCCCCTGCCCCTGTATAATCATGTGCACGTCCCTGTTCTAGCTCCAAGGTGAATCTTCACTGCTCATGTTCTCCTCAGAAGCACTCACCTCACTCCCCTCAGGTTACTGTACACATGCACCAACTGCCTGCTTCAGGTTTGGATGGAGCTTCATGGTTGTCTTTTGGAGAAATGAGCAGTCAAGTTGTGTTTGAAATTTGATTTTTTTCAGAGGCAAAAGAAAGCCTCTGCATTCTTGTCAAATATGTAAATAGCATGTGTTTGCAGGTGCTAAAAAACAGACTCTGAGTGTGTGTGCGTGTGTGTGTGTATGTCTGTGTGTGTGTGTATCCTGCAGTACTCTGAGAAGAATAATAAGCATATTTCTGAGGTGAATTTTGAAGATTCATCTGAGAGTTAGGTTTGATTCGATTCGATTGAAGCTCCCCAGCGTTCAAGTCACATGACATATTTAACCGGATGTAGCTGCAAGACGGAGCCTCGTTGATTCTCCGTTTCAACCTATCTTAAAAGTGAGGACCTCAAACTATATACCAGTTTTTAAATTGTGTTGATAGGCCAAATAAAACCAGAGTTATGATAAATTATGTCCGCAATACTTTTTTTCTGCTTATTTTGATCACGTTCGGCGCTCGATCGCGCTGTATGAGACAGGAAAACATAGCATGCAGACATTAGCGACAGGTCTTACAGGCGGAAAAGACTTGCCAAAAGAAAAGAAAAAAACACACCACAACATCTCTCCTATTGGTGGAAAACTTCACCACAACAACCAATCCAAAATTATATGGTGACTGATTGACACGGGATGGGCGCTCGCGTTCTTCCTGCAACTTGAGAAGGGAGGGAGGGACTCTCAGCAGGGATGCAGTCTGGGACACGTAGTTTCAAACCTAGCGACTTTGTTGTTAGATTCAATGACTTTTCAGACCCCCTAATGACTTTTTTTTAGAAAGAAAGGGACTTTTATCGACTTCTTCTGGATTTCTGGAGTTTAGAGACTCTGACATGAAGCAGGCTTTCCTTATTGAGGAGTTAGCAACGCTGCTAAGGGTGCAGAGCCACACATGCGCTCCGAGCTCTGCATGGGAGACTGAAGCTGACAGAGCTGCAGCAGTTAGCAGGTTTCACCCTCAGAGACCACCAGGGGTTCATGTTGAGGCATTTTCAGTTTTTTTTTTTTTTTTTTTGCCATAGACACTGTCAGCACAATCTGCAGTTACACTAACAAAAATGCTGCAAAAAACAAAGAATTATGGAAAAATTACACATGGACTAACATAGAGGAGGATCTACACAAGTTTTTTACATCATGTTTTACATCATGCATCATTTACATCATGTTTTTTTGTAGTGGCATAAATAAAAAGTGAGATTTGTGAGACTATACAGTGTTTTGTAAATAATTTTACAAAGAACGCCTGGGCCATTGCCTGCATTTTGATGTAAATAGAGGTAAATTACTATGTTCTTTGTTAAAAATTTGCATATGTTTTGAAGTTTACAATTTTTATTTGAAGTTTAAGTTTTAAAAACAGTTCATCACACATATTTGTGGTTTTCACAGTAAAAACGTTACTTTTTTCCACTCGGATTTTATGTTTTGTGTGTGAATTTGGGTCCAATGTTTAAATATAGTATGTCAAAATGATAAAATAACTGTAAATTGACACAGGTGAGGTTGTGCTGAAAAAAATGATACCAGGCAAGGCAAGGTAAAAATTTTGTAAGAGGAAATATAAAGGTAAAATCTAAAGTAGTCAAAAACGGCCAATAGTGACTCACAGACTCCACAGACAAGTCCCTTTGGCGCCACTCAGTGGGCAAAACTACTTTGTCTACTGTAATGTATATTTGGGTCATCTTTGGCGCCCCCTAAAACGTAAACCGTGGGGTGCAGCGTCATGATTTTTACAACTTTGAATGGCCATGGAGTGTAGATTGGCCTGAGCAAATTTGGTGTCAGTGGGACGAAAGCCTTAGGAGGACTTAGCGAAATTCCAATGTGTGCGAATCGCCAAAAAATGCAAAATAGCCCTTTAACTGTACATTTTACACTTACGTGCCCATTGACTTTTTCATAGATCTTATTGAGATACACGTGATTGTCAAATTTTTTGTCAATATGACAAAGCGTAAAGGCGTGACACTCAACAATGTGTATTTTCACCTTTCGGGATAAGAAAAAATGGACTTTTTTCTCCTGCCATGGGGGGGCGCTCTTTTGGGGAGTAAAAATTTCTTCACAAATGTGTTGATGGCTGGACATTGCATCATCCTAGAAAACTTGGAGGCCAGTATGGAAAAAAGTAAAAAGTTATAAGACTTCTCAGAATGTGGATTTTTGGGTTATATTTGGCGCCCCCTAGAACGTAAACCGTGGGGTGCAGCAAGATGATTTGTACAACTTTTAATGGCCATGGGGTGTAGATTGGCCTGAGCAAATTTGGTGCCGGTGGAAACATAGCCTTTCGGAGGAGTTAGCGAAATTCCAATGTGTGCGGATCGGCAAAAAATGCAAAATAGCCCTTTAACCGTACATTTGACAGATACATGCCCTCTGACTTTTTCGTAGATCTTATTGAGATACACGTGATTGTCAAATTTTGTGTCAATATGACAAAGCATACAGGCGTGACACTCGACAATGTGTATTTTCACCTTAGGAGACAAGAAAAAATGGTCCTTTTTCTCCTGCCATTGGGGGGCGCTCTTTTGGGGAGTAAAAATTCCTTCACAAATGTGTTGATGGCTGGACATTGCATCATCCTAGAAAACTTGGAGGCCAGTGAGGACAAAAGTAAAAAGTTATAAGACTTTTAAGAATGTGGATTTTTGGGTTAGCTTTGGCGCCCCCTAGAACGTAAACCGTGGGGTGCAGCGTCATGATTTGTACAACTTTTAATGGCCATGGGGGGTAGATTGGCCTGCGCAAATGTGGTGCCGGTCGAACGAAAGCCTTCGGAGGAGTTAGCGAAATTCCAATGTGTGCAGATCTGCAAAAAATGCAAAATAACCCATTAACCGTACATTTGACAGATACGCCCGCACTGACTTTTTTGTAGATCTTATTGAGATACATGTGTGTGTCAATTTTTGTGTCAATATGACAAAGCGTACAGCCGTCATGTGAATTTTCACCTTAGGGGGCGCTATGGAGCCATTTTGCATTTTATTGTTTGGGCGACTTCAGAATATCGAATTTTTCACCAGGCCCGGACGTCCTGCCAAATTTCCTGAGTTTTCGCCAGTGGGAAGTGGGCCATTTTCCAGTTTGAAGCGGAGGAAAAATAATAACGAAAGAAGGAAACATGCAGGAACAAGAGGGCTCTCGCAGCTGCTTAGCAGCTACGCTCGGGCCCTAACTAGGGCCCCGTTGGGGCACTGGCGGGCCCGAGCCGTGTCACGCCGCCCCCAGCGCGACCGCCTCCCCCACCTGATCGCGTCACACTCAAGGTCCAAAGATGGTGTGCGCACTTGTTTGTGGTCATTTACCATTATAATGAACGGGAGGCGCAGTTTCTACCAAAACGCTCGCTGCAGAAAAACTCCATGTCCTATTTGAAAAAAGTCTGGACCATGAGTGAGGGCACAAACACAGCTAAGATATATCCAAATGGCAAGTTGCTCCTCCTTTCGCTTTTGCCGAGAGAGCAGTGCGTTTGAGCCATTGAATGATGAACAGGAAAAACTTGACTTTATTCTCCTGCCATGGGGGGGCGCTCTTTTAAAAAGAAAAAACTCCTTCACAAATGTGTTGATGGCTGGACATTGCATCATCCTAGAAAACATGGAGGCCAGTGAGGACAAAAATAAAAAGTTATAAGACTTTTAAATATGTGGATTTTAGGGTTATCTTTGGCGCCCCCTAGAACCTAAACCGTGGGGTGCAGCGTCATGATTTGAATAACTTTTAATGGCCATGGGGTGTAGATTGGCCTGAGCAAATGTGGTGCCGGTGGAACGAAAGCCTTCGGAGGAATTAGCGAAATTCCAATGTGTGCGAATCTGCAAAAAATGCGGAATAACCCTTTAACCGTACATTTTACAGATACGTGGCCATTGACTTTTTCGAAGATCTTATGTAAATACACGTGTATGTAAAATTTTGTGTCAATACGACAAAACATACAGGCGTAGCACTCAACAATGTGTATTTTCACCTTACGGGACAAGAAAAAATTGACTTTTTTCTCCTGCCATGGGGGGGCGCTCTTTTGCCGAGTAAAAATTCCTTCACAAATGTGTTGATGGCTGGACATTGCATCATCCTAGAAAACTTGGAGGCCAGTGGGGACAAAAATAAAAAGTTCTAAGACTTTTAAATATGTGGATTTTACGGTTATCTTTGGCTCCCCCTAGAACCTAAACCGTGGGGTGCAGCGTCATGATTTGAATAACTTTTAATGGCCATGGGGTATAGATTGGCCTGAGCAAATGTGGTGCCGGTGGAACGAAAGCCTTCGGAGGAGTTAGCAAAATTCCAATGTGTGCGGATCGGCAAAAAATGCGGAATAACCCTTTAACCGTACATTTGACAGATACGCGCGCATTGACTTTTTCGTAGATCTTATTGAGATACATGTGTGTGTCAATTTTTGTGTCATTTTGCCAAAGCGTACAGGTGTTACACTCAACAATGTGTATTTTCACCTTAGGGGACAAGAAAAAATGGACTTTTTTCTCCTGCCATGGGGGGGCGCTCTTTTGGGGAGTAAAAATTCCTTCACAAATGTGTTGATGGCTGGACATTGCATCATCCTAGAAAACTTGGAGGCCAGTGAGGGCAAAAATAAAAAGTTATAAGACTTTTAAATATGTGGATCTTAGGGTTATCTTTGGCGCCCCCTAGAACCTAAACCGTGGGGTGCAGCGTCATGATTTGAATAACTTTTAATGGCCATGGGGTGTAGATTGGCCTGAGCAAATGTGGTGCCGGTGGAACGAAAGCCTTCGGAGGAGTTAGCGAAATTCCAATGTGTGCGGATCGGCAAAAAATGCGAAATAACCCTTTAAACGTACATTTGACAGATACGCCCGCACTGACTTTTTTGTAGATCTTATTGAGATACATGTGTGTGTCAATTTTTGTGTCATTTTGACAAAGCGTACCGGCGTGACAGTGAATAGTGTTAATTTTCACCTTAGGGGGCGCTATGGAGCCATTTTGCATTTTCTTGTTTGGGCGACTTCGGAATATCAAATTTTTCACCAGGCCCGGTCGTCCTGCCAAATTTCATGAGTTTTCGCCAGTGGGAAGTGGGCCATTTTCCAGTTCAAAGGGGAGGAAAAATAATAACTAGGACCCCGTTGGGGCACTGGCGGGCCCGAGCCGTGTCGCGTCCCCCCCCAACGTGCTGCCTCCCCGTCCCATTTGTGTCCTCTGGCCATCGCCCTCTCTGGTAACGCCCATCACTGCAAAGACCCTTTTCCTTCATCGGCGTTTGCTGTTCTTCCTGCCAGTGCGTGTTGCTTTCACTTACACTTGCCACAGCCAGCCTCGTGAGTGCCTAGCCTATTGGATATCACTGTCACCTACACAGGACAGTCATTACCTTTCTATTAATACTTTGTGTTTTAATTTCACATTAATTTCCATATTGTATAAACGACTGGAAAAAACTTGAGCCCCTGCCCCTGTATAATCATGTGCATGTCTCTGTTCTAGCTCCAAGGTGAATCTTCACTGCTCATGTTCTCCTCAGAAGCACTCACCTCACTCCCCTCAGGTTACTGTACACATGCACCAACTGCCTGCTTCAGGTTTGGATGGAGCTTCATGGTTGTCTTTTGGAGAAATGACCAGTCAAGTTGTGTTTGAAATTTGATTTTTTTCAGGGGCAAAAGGAGCCTCTGCATTCTTGTCAAATATGTAAATAGCATGTTTTTGCAGGTGCTAAAAACCAGACTCTGAGTGTGTGTGTGTGTGTGTGTGTGTGCGTGTGTGTGTCTGTGTGTGCGTTCAAGTCACATGACATATTTAACCGGATGTAGCTGCAAGACGGAGCCTCGTTGACTCTCCGTTTCAACTTATCTCAAAAGTGAGGACCTCAACCTATATACCAGTTTTTAAATTGTGTTGGTAGGCCAAATAAAACCAGAGTTATGATAAATTATGTCCGCGATACCTTTTTTCTGCTTATTTTGATCACGTTCGGCGCTCAATCGCGCTGTATGAGACAGGAAAACATAGCATGCAGACATTAGCGACAGCTCTTACAGGCGGAAAAGGCTTGCCAAAAAAAAAAAAACACACCACAACATCTCTCCTATTGGTGGAAAACTTCACCACAACAACCAATCCAAAATTATATGGTGACTGATTGACAAGGGGCGGGCGCTTACGTTCTTCCTGCAACATGAGAAGGGAGGGAGGGACTCTCAGCAGGGATGCAGTCTGGGACACGTAGTTGCAAACCTAGCGACTTTGTTGTTAGATTCAATGACTTTTCAGACCCCCTAACGACTTTTTTTTAGAAAGAAAGGGACTTTTATCGACTTCTTCTGGAGTTTAGAGACTCTGACATGAAGCAGGCTTTCCTTACTGAGGAGTTAGCAACGCTGCTAAGGGTGCAGAGCCACACATGCGCTCAGAGCTCTGCATGGGAGACTGAAGCTGACAGAGCTGCAGCAGTTAGCAGGTTTCACCCTCAGAGACCACCAGGGGTTCATGTTGAGGCATTTTAATTTTTTTTTTTTTTGTGCCATAGACACTGTCAGCACAATCTGCAGTTACACTAACAAAAATGCTGCAAAAAACAAAGAATTATGGAAAAATTACACATGGACTGACATACAGGAGGATCTACACAAGTTTTTTACATCATGTTTTACATCATGCATCATTTACATCATGTTTTTTTGTAGTGGCATAAATAAAAAGTGACATTTGTGAGACTATACAGTGTTTTGTAAATAATTTTACAAAGAACGCCTGGGCCATTGCCTGCATTTTGATGTAAATAGAGGTAAATCACTATGTTCTTTGTTAAAAATTTGCATATGTTTTGAAGTTTACAATTTTTATTTGAAGTTTAAGTTTTAAAAACAGTTCATCACACATATTTGTGGTTTAATTTCACATTAATTTCCATATTGTATAAACGACTGGAAAAAACTTGAGCCCCTGCCCCTGTATAATCATGTGCACGTCCCTGTTCTAGCTCCAAGGTGAATCTTCACTGCTCATGTTCTCCTCAGAAATAGTCACCTCACTCCCCTCAGGTTACTGTACACATGCACCAACTATCTGCTTCAGGTTTGAAATGGAGCTTCATGGTTGTCTTTTGGAGAAATGAACAGTCAAGTTGTGTTTGAAATTTGATTTTTTTCAGGGGCAAAAGGAAGCCTCTGCATTCTTGTCAAATATGTAAACAGCATGTTTTTGCAGGTGCTAAAAAACAGACTCTGAGTGTGTGTGTGTGTGTGTGTGTGTGTGTGTGTGTGTGTATGTTGGCGTGTGTGTATATGTGTGTGTATCCTGCAGTACTCTGTACTCCTGCAGTGGCCAAAAAGACTTTTAAGAATGTGGATTTTTGGGTCATCTTTGGCGCCCCCTAGAACTGCAGTACTCTGTACTCCTGCAGTGGCCAAAATGACTTTTAAGAATGTGGATTTTTGGGTCATCTTTGGCGCCCCCTAGAACGTAAACCGTGGGGTGCAGCGTCATGATTTTTACAACTTTGAATGGGGGGGCGCTCTTTTGGGGAGTAAAAATTCCTTCACAAATGTGTTGATGGCTGGACATTGCATCATCCTAGAAAACTTGGAGGCCAGTGAGGACAAAAATAAAAAGTTATAAAACATTTAAGAATGTGGATTTTTGGGTTATTTTTGGCGCCCCCTAGAACCTAAACCATGGGGTGCAGCATCATGATTTGAATAACTTTTAATGGCCATGGGGTGTAGATTGGCCTGAGCAAATATGGTGCCGGTGGAACGAAAGCCTTCGGAGGAGTTAGCGAAATTCCAATGTGTGCGTATCGGCAAAAAATGCGGAATAACCCTTTAACTATACATTTGACAGATACGCGCGCATGGACTTTTTTGTAGATCTTATTGAGTTACATGTGTGTGTCAATTTTTGTGTCATTTTGACAAAGCGTATAGGCGTGACACTCAACAATGTGTATTTTCACCTTAGGGGACAAGAAAAAATGGACTTTTTTCTCCTGCCATGGGGGGGCGCTCTTTTGGGGAGTAAAAATTCCTTCACAAATGTGTTGATGGCTGGACATTGCATCATCCTAGAAAACTTGGAGGCCAGTGAGGACAAAAATAAAAAGTTATAAGACTTTTAAATATGTGGATTTTAGTGTTATCTTTGGCGCCCCCTAGAACCTAAACCTTGGGGTGCAGCGTCATGATTTTGATAACTTTTAATGGCCACGGGGTGTAGATTGGCCTGAGCAAATGTGGTGCCGGTGGAACGAAAGCCTTCGGAGGAGTTAGCGAAATTCCAATGTGTGCGGATCGGAAAAAAATGCGAAATAACCCTTTAACCGTACATTTGACAGATACAGCCGCACTGACTTTTTTGTAGATCTTATTGAGATACATATGTGTGTCAATTTTTGTGTCAATATGACAAAGCGTACAGGCGTGACAGTCAATAGTGTGAATTTCTACCTTAGGGGGCGCTATGGAGCCATTTTGCATTTTATTGTTTGGGCGACTTCAGAATATCAAATTTTTCACCAGGCCCGGTCGTCCTGCCAAATTTCATGAGTTTTCGCCAGTGGGAAGTGGGCCATTTTCCAGTTCAAAGGGGAGGAAAAAGAAAAAAGAAAGAAAGAAACAAAGAAAAACCACTTGGGGAATAATAGGGCCTACGCCCGGCTGCTCTGCAGCTGGCTCGGGCCCTAAGAAAGAAAGAAACAAAGACTAGGACCCCGTTGGGGCACTGGCGGGCCCGAGCCGTGTCGCGTCCCCCCCCCCCCAACGTGCTGCCTCCCCGTCCCATTTGTGTCCTCTGGCCATCGCCCTCTCTGGTAACGCCCATCACTGCAAAGACCCTTTTCCTTCATCGGCGTTTGCTGTTCTTCCTGCCAGTGCGTGTTGCTTTCACTTACACTTGCCACAGCCAGCCTCGTGAGTGCCTAGCCTATTGGATATCACTGTCACCTACACAGGACAGTCATTACCTTTCTATTAATACTTTGTGTTTTAATTTCACATTAATTTCCATATTGTATAAACGACTGGAAAAAACTTGAGCCCCTGCCCCTGTATAATCATGTGCATGTCTCTGTTCTAGCTCCAAGGTGAATCTTCACTGCTCATGTTCTCCTCAGAAGCACTCACCTCACTCCCCTCAGGTTACTGTACACATGCACCAACTGCCTGCTTCAGGTTTGGATGGAGCTTCATGGTTGTCTTTTGGAGAAATGACCAGTCAAGTTGTGTTTGAAATTTGATTTTTTTCAGGGGCAAAAGGAGCCTCTGCATTCTTGTCAAATATGTAAATAGCATGTTTTTGCAGGTGCTAAAAACCAGACTCTGAGTGTGTGTGTGTGTGTGTGTGTGTGTGTGTGTGTGTGTGTGCGTGTGTGTGTTATTGTGTGTGCGTTCAAGTCACATGACATATTTAACCGGATGTAGCTGCAAGACGGAGCCTCGTTGACTCTCCGTTTCAACTTATCTCAAAAGTGAGGACCTCAACCTATATACCAGTTTTTAAATTGTGTTGATAGGCCAAATGAAACCAGAGTTATGATAAATTATGTCCGCGATACTTTTTTTCTGCTTATTTTGATCACGTTCGGCGCTCGATCGCGCTGTATGAGACAGGAAAACATAGCATGCAGACATTAGCGACAGGTCTTACAGGCGGAAAAGGCTTGCCAAAAGAAAAAAAAAACACACCACAACATCTCTCCTATTGGTGGAAAACTTCACCACAACAACCAATCCAAAATTATATGGTGACTGATTGACAAGGGGCGGGCGCTTACGTTCTTCCTGCAACATGAGAAGCGAGGGAGGGACTCTCAGCAGGGATGCAGTCTGGGACACGTAGTTGCAAACCTAGCGACTTTGTTGTTAGATTCAATGACTTTTCAGACCCCCTAACGACTTTTTTTTAGAAAGAAAGGGACTTTTATCGACTTCTTCTGGAGTTTAGAGACTCTGACATGAAGCAGGCTTTCCTTACTGAGGAGTTAGCAACGCTGCTAAGGGTGCAGAGCCACACATGCGCTCAGAGCTCTGCATGGGAGACTGAAGCTGACAGAGCTGCAGCAGTTAGCAGGTTTCACCCTCAGAGACCACCAGGGGTTCATGTTGAGGCATTTTAAATTTTTTTTTTTTGTGCCATAGACACTGTCAGCACAATCTGCAGTTACACTAACAAAAATGCCGCAAAAAACAAAGAATTATGGAAAAATTACACATGGACTGACATAGAGGAGGATCTACACAAGTTTTTTACATCATGTTTTACATCATGCATCATTTACATCATGTTTTTTTGTAGTGGCATAAATAAAAAGTGACATTTGTGAGACTATACAGTGTTTTGTAAATAATTTTACAAAGAACGCCTGGGCCATTGCCTGCATTTTGATGTAAATAGAGGTAAATCACTATGTTCTTTGTTAAAAATTTGCATATGTTTTGAAGTTTACAATTTTTATTTGAAGTTTAAGTTTTAAAAACAGTTCATCACACATATTTGTGGTTTTCACAGTAAAAATGTTACTTTTTTCCACTCGGATTTTATGTTTTATGTGTGAATTTGGGTCCATTGTGTAAATTCAGTATGTCAACATGATAAAATAACTGTAAATTCGCACAGGTGAGGTTGTGCTGAAAAAAATGATACCAGGCAAGGCACGTGATTGTCAAATTTTGTGTCAATATGACAAAGCGTATAGGCGTGAATCTCAACAATATGTATTTTCACCTTAGGGGACAAGAAAAAATGGACTTTTTTCTCCTGCCATGGGGGGCGCTCTTTTGGGGAGTAAAAATTCCTTCACAAATGTGTTGATGGCTGGACATTGCATCATCCTAGAAAACTTGGAGGCCAGTGAGGACAAAAATAAAAAGTTATAAGACTTTGAAATATGTGGATTTTAGGGTTATCTTTGGCGCCCCCTAGAACCTAAACCGTGGGGTGCAGCGTCATGATTTGAATAACTTTTAATGGCCATGGGGTGTAGATTGGCCTGAGCAAATGTGGTGCCGGTGGAACGAAAGCCTTAGGAGGAGTTAGCCACATTCCAATGTGTGCGGATCGGCAAAAAATGCGGAATAACCCTTTAACCGTACATTTGACAGATACGCGCGCATTGACTTTTTCGTAGATCTTATTGAGTTACATGTGTGTGTCAATTTTTGTGTCATTTTGACAAAGCGTATAGGCGTGACACTCAACAGTGTGAATTTCCACCTTAGGGGGCGCTATGGAGCCATTTTGCATTTTCTTGTTTGGGCGACTTCGGAATATCAAATTTTTCACCAGGCCCGGTCATCCTGCCAAATTTCATGAGTTTTCGCCAGTGGGAAGTGGGCCATTTTCCAGTTCAAAGGGGAGGAAAAAGAAGAAACTAGGGCCCCGGTGGGGCACTGTCGGGCCCGAGCCGCGTCGTGCCGCCCCCAGTGTGACCGCCTCCCCCTCCCGATCGCGTCACACTCAAGGTCCAAAGATGGTGTGCGCACTTGTCTGTGGTCATTTCCCATTATAATGAATGGGAGGCGCAGTTTCTACCAAAACACTCGCTGCAGACAAACTTCATGTCCTATTTGAAAAAAGTCTGGACCATGAGTGAGGGCACAAACACAGCTGGGATATATCCAAATGGCAGGTTGCTCCTCGTTACGGTGTTGCCTGGAGAGCGATGCGATTGAGCCATTGAGCGATGGGCAGGAAAAACTTGACTTTTTCTCCTGCCATGGGGGGGGGAGAATGTGGATTCTTTTAAGAATGTGGATTTTTTGGTCATCTTTGGCGCCCCCTAGAACGTAAACCGTGGGGTGCAGCGTCATGATTTTTACAACTTTGAATGGCCATGGGGTGTAGATTGGCCTGAGCAAATTTGGTTTCAGTGGGACGAAAGCCTTAGGAGGAGTTAGCCACATTCCAATGTGTGCGAATCGGCAAAAAATGCAAAATAGCCCTCTAACTGTACATTTGACAGATACGCACCCATTGACTTTTTCGTAGATCTTATTGAGATACACGTGATTGTCAAATTTTGTGTCAATATGACAAAGCGTACAGGTGTCACACTCAACAATGTGAATTTTCACCTTACGGGACAAGAAAAAATTGACTTTTTTCTCCTGCCATGGGGGGGCGCTCTTTTGGGGAGTAAAAATTCCTTCACAAATGTGTTGATGGCTGGACATTGCATCATCCTAGAAAACTTGGAGGCCAGTGAGGACAAAAATAAAAAGTTATAAGACTTTGAAATATGTGGATTTTAGGGTTATCTTTGGCGCCCCCTAGAACCTAAACCGTGGGGTGCAGCGTCATGATTTGAATAACTTTTAATGGCCATGGGGTGTAGATTGGCCTGAGCAAATGTGGTGCCGGTGGAACGCCAGCCTTCGGAGGAGTTAGCGAAATTCCAATGTGTGCGGATCAGCAAAAAATGCGGAATAACCCTTTAACCGTACATTTGACAGATACGCGCGCGTTGACTTTTTCGTAGATCTTATTGAGATAAATGTGTGTGTCAAATTTTGTGTCAATATGACAAAGCGTACAGGCGTGACACTCAACAATGTGTATTTTCACCTTAGGGGACAAGAAAAAATGGACTTTTTTCTCCTGCCATGGGGGGCGCTCTTTTGGGGAGTAAAAATTCCTTCACAAATGTGTTGATGGCTGGACATTGCATCATCCTAGAAAACTTGGAGGCCAGTGAGGCAAAAATAAAAAGTTATAAGACTTTTAAATATGTGGATTTTAGGGTTATCTTTGGCGCCCCCTAGAACCTAAACCTTGGGGTGCAGCGTCATGATTTGAATAACTTTTAATGGCCATGGGGTGTAGATTGGCCTGAGCAAATGTGGTGCCGGTGGAACGAAAGCCTTCGGAGGAGTTAGCGAAATTCCAATGTGTGCGGATCGGCAAAAAATGCGAAATAACCCTTTAACCGTACATTTGACAGATACGCCCGCACTGACTTTTTTGTAGATCTTATTGAGATACATGTGTGTGTCAATTTTTGTGTCATTTTGACAAAGCGTACAGGCGTGACAGTCAATAGTGTGAATTTTCACCTTAGGGGGCGCTATGGAGCCATTTTGCATTTTATTGTTTGGGCGACTTCAGAATATCAAATTTTTCACCAGGCCCGGTCGTCCTGCCAAATTTCATGAGTTTTCGCCAGTGGGAAGTGGGCCATTTTCCAGTTCAAAGGGGAGGAAAAAAAAATAACTAGGGCCCCGTTGGGGCACTGGCGGGCCCGAGCCGTGTCGCGCCCCCCAACGCGCTGCCTCCCCGTCCCATTCGCGTCCTCTGGCCATCGCCCTCTCTGGTAACGCCCATCACTGCAAAGACCCTTTTCCTTCATTGGCGTTTGCTGTTCTTCCTGCCAGTGCGTGTTGCTTTCACTTACACTTGCCACAGCCAGCCTCGTGAGTGCCTAGCCTATTGGATATCACTGTCACCTACACAGGACAGTCATTACCTTTCTATTAATACTTTGTTTTTTAATTTCACATTAATTTCCATATTGTATAAACGACTGGAAAAAACTTGAGCCCCTGCCCCTGTATAATCATGTGCACGTCCCTGTTCTAGCTCCAAGGTGAATCTTCACTGCTCATGTTCTCCTCAGAAGCAGTCACCTCACTCCCCTCAGGTTACTGTACACATGCACCAACTGCCTGCTTCAGGTTTGGATGGAGCTTCATGGTTGTCTTTTGGAGAAATGAGCAGTCAAGTTGTGTTTGAAATTTGATTTTTTTCAGAGGCAAAAGAAAGCCTCTGCATTCTTGTCAAATATGTAAATAGCATGTGTTTGCAGGTGCTAAAAAACAGACTCTGAGTGTGTGTGCGTGTGTGTGTGTATGTCTGTGTGTGTGTGTATCCCGCAGTACTCTGAGAAGAATAATAAGCATATTTCTGAGGTGAATTTTGAAGATTCATCTGAGAGTTAGGTTTGATTCGATTCGATTGACGCTCCCCAGCGTTCAAGTCACATGACATATTTAACCGGATGTAGCTGCAAGACGGAGCCTCGTTGATTCTCCGTTTCAACCTATCTTAAAAGTGAGGACCTCAAACTATATACCAGTTTTTAAATTGTGTTGATAGGCCAAATAAAACCAGAGTTATGATAAATTATGTCCGCAATACTTTTTTTCTGCTTATTTTGATCACGTTCGGCGCTCGATCGCGCTGTATGAGACAGGAAAACATAGCATGCAGACATTAGCGACAGGTCTTACAGGCGGAAAAGACTTGCCAAAAGAAAAGAAAAAAACACACCACAACATCTCTCCTATTGGTGGAAAACTTCACCACAACAACCAATCCAAAATTATATGGTGACTGATTGACACGGGATGGGCGCTCGCGTTCTTCCTGCAACTTGAGAAGGGAGGGAGGGACTCTCAGCAGGGATGCAGTCTGGGACACGTAGTTTCAAACCTAGCGACTTTGTTGTTAGATTCAATGACTTTTCAGACCCCCTAATGACTTTTTTTTAGAAAGAAAGGGACTTTTATCGACTTCTTCTGGATTTCTGGAGTTTAGAGACTCTGACATGAAGCAGGCTTTCCTTATTGAGGAGTTAGCAACGCTGCTAAGGGTGCAGAGCCACACATGCGCTCCGAGCTCTGCATGGGAGACTGAAGCTGACAGAGCTGCAGCAGTTAGCAGGTTTCACCCTCAGAGACCACCAGGGGTTCATGTTGAGGCATTTTCAGTTTTTTTTTTTTTTTTTTTGCCATAGACACTGTCAGCACAATCTGCAGTTACACTAACAAAAATGCTGCAAAAAACAAAGAATTATGGAAAAATTACACATGGACTAACATAGAGGAGGATCTACACAAGTTTTTTACATCATGTTTTACATCATGCATCATTTACATCATGTTTTTTTGTAGTGGCATAAATAAAAAGTGAGATTTGTGAGACTATACAGTGTTTTGTAAATAATTTTACAAAGAACGCCTGGGCCATTGCCTGCATTTTGATGTAAATAGAGGTAAATTACTATGTTCTTTGTTAAAAATTTGCATATGTTTTGAAGTTTACAATTTTTATTTGAAGTTTAAGTTTTAAAAACAGTTCATCACACATATTTGTGGTTTTCACAGTAAAAACGTTACTTTTTTCCACTCGGATTTTATGTTTTGTGTGTGAATTTGGGTCCAATGTTTAAATATAGTATGTCAAAATGATAAAATAACTGTAAATTGACACAGGTGAGGTTGTGCTGAAAAAAATGATACCAGGCAAGGCAAGGTAAAAATTTTGTAAGAGGAAATATAAAGGTAAAATCTAAAGTAGTCAAAAACGGCCAATAGTGACTCACAGACTCCACAGACAAGTCCCTTTGGCGCCACTCAGTGGGCAAAACTACTTTGTCTACTGTAATGTATATTTGGGTCATCTTTGGCGCCCCCTAAAACGTAAACCGTGGGGTGCAGCGTCATGATTTTTACAACTTTGAATGGCCATGGAGTGTAGATTGGCCTGAGCAAATTTGGTGTCAGTGGGACGAAAGCCTTAGGAGGACTTAGCGAAATTCCAATGTGTGCGAATCGCCAAAAAATGCAAAATAGCCCTTTAACTGTACATTTTACACTTACGTGCCCATTGACTTTTTCATAGATCTTATTGAGATACACGTGATTGTCAAATTTTTTGTCAATATGACAAAGCGTAAAGGCGTGACACTCAACAATGTGTATTTTCACCTTTCGGGATAAGAAAAAATGGACTTTTTTCTCCTGCCATGGGGGGGCGCTCTTTTGGGGAGTAAAAATTTCTTCACAAATGTGTTGATGGCTGGACATTGCATCATCCTAGAAAACTTGGAGGCCAGTATGGAAAAAAGTAAAAAGTTATAAGACTTCTCAGAATGTGGATTTTTGGGTTATATTTGGCGCCCCCTAGAACGTAAACCGTGGGGTGCAGCAAGATGATTTGTACAACTTTTAATGGCCATGGGGTGTAGATTGGCCTGAGCAAATTTGGTGCCGGTGGAAACATAGCCTTTCGGAGGAGTTAGCGAAATTCCAATGTGTGCGGATCGGCAAAAAATGCAAAATAGCCCTTTAACCGTACATTTGACAGATACATGCCCTCTGACTTTTTCGTAGATCTTATTGAGATACACGTGATTGTCAAATTTTGTGTCAATATGACAAAGCATACAGGCGTGACACTCGACAATGTGTATTTTCACCTTAGGAGACAAGAAAAAATGGTCCTTTTTCTCCTGCCATTGGGGGGCGCTCTTTTGGGGAGTAAAAATTCCTTCACAAATGTGTTGATGGCTGGACATTGCATCATCCTAGAAAACTTGGAGGCCAGTGAGGACAAAAGTAAAAAGTTATAAGACTTTTAAGAATGTGGATTTTTGGGTTAGCTTTGGCACCCCCTAGAACGTAAACCGTGGGGTGCAGCGTCATGATTTGTACAACTTTTAATGGCCATGGGGGGTAGATTGGCCTGCGCAAATGTGGTGCCGGTCGAACGAAAGCCTTTGGAGGAGTTAGCGAAATTCCAATGTGTGCAGATCTGCAAAAAATGCAAAATAACCCATTAACCGTACATTTGACAGATACGCCCGCACTGACTTTTTTGTAGATCTTATTGAGATACATGTGTGTGTCAATTTTTGTGTCAATATGACAAAGCGTACAGCCGTCATGTGAATTTTCACCTTAGGGGGCGCTATGGAGCCATTTTGCATTTTATTGTTTGGGCGACTTCAGAATATCGAATTTTTCACCAGGCCCGGACGTCCTGCCAAATTTCCTGAGTTTTCGCCAGTGGGAAGTGGGCCATTTTCCAGTTTGAAGCGGAGGAAAAATAACTAGGGCCCCGTTGGGGCACTGGCGGGCCCGAGCCGTGTCGCACCCCCCCCCCACCCCCAACGCGCTGCCTCCCCGTCCCATTCGTGTCCTCTGGCCATCGCCCTCTCTGGTAACGCCCATCACTGCAAAGACCCTTTTCCTTCATCGGCGTTTGCTGTTCTTCCTGCCAGTGCGTGTTGCTTTCACTTACACTTGCCACAGCCAGCCTCGTGAGTGCCTAGCCTATTGGATATCACTGTCACCTACACAGGACAGTCATACTTTGTTTTTTAATTTCACATTAATTTCCATATTGTATAAACGACTGGAAAAAACTTGAGCCCCTGCCCCTGTATTATCATGTGCACGTCCCTGTTCTAGCTCCAAGGTGAATCTTGACTGCTCATGTTCTCCTCAGAAGCAGTCACCTCACTCCCCTCAGGTTACTGTACACATGCACCAACTGCCTGCTTCAGGTTTGGATGGAGCTTCATGGTTGTCTTTTGGAGAAATGAGCAGTCAAGTTGTGTTTGAAATTTAATTTTTTTCAGGGGCAAAAGGAAGCCTCTGCATTCTTGTCAAATATGTAAATAGCATGTTTTTGCAGGTGCTAAAAAACAGACTCTGAGTGTGTGTGTGTGTGTGTGTGTGTGTCTGTGTGTGTGTGTGTGTGTATCCTGCAGTACTCTGAGAAGAATAATAAGCATATTTCTGAGGTGAATTTTGAAGATTCATCTGAGAGTTAGGTTTGATTCGATTCGATTGACGCTCCCCAGCGTTCAAGTCACATGACATATTTAACCGGATGTAGCTGCAAGACGGAGCCTCGTTAACTCTCCGTTTCAACTTATCTCAAAAGTGAGGACCTCAACCTATATACCAGTTTTTAAATTGTGTTGATAGGCCAAATAAAACCAGAGTTATGATAAATTATGTCCGCGATACTTTTTTTCTGCTTATTTTGATCACGTTCGGCGCTCGATCGCGCTGTATGAGACAGGAAAACATAGCATGCACACATTAGCGACAGGTCTTACAGGCGGAAAAGGCTTGCCAAAAGAAAAAAAAAACACACCACAACATCTCTCCTATTGGTGGAAAACTTCACCACAACAACCAATCCAAAATTATATGGTGACTGATTGACAAGGGGCGGGCGCTTACGTTCTTCCTGCAACATGAGAAGGGAGGGAGGGACTCTAAGCAGGGATGCAGTCTGGGACACGTAGTTGCAAACCTAGCGACTTTGTTGTTAGATTCAATGACTTTTCAGACCCCCTAACGACTTTTTTTTAGAAAGAAAGGGACTTTTATCGACTTCTTCTGGAGTTTAGAGACTCTGACATGAAGCAGGCTTTCCTTACTGAGGAGTTAGCAACGCTGCTAAGGGTGCAGAGCCACACATGCGCTCCGAGCTCTGCATGGGAGACTGAAGCTGACAGAGCTGCAGCAGTTAGCAGGTTTCACCCTCAGAGACCACCAGGGGTTCATGTTGAGGCATTTTCAGTTTTTGTTTTTTTTGCCATAGACTGTCAGCACAATCTGCAGTTACACTAACAAAAATGCTGCAGAAAACAAAGAATTATGGAAAAATTACACATGGACTGACATAGAGGAGGATCTACACAAGTTTTTTACATCATGTTTTACATCATGCATCATTTACATCATGTTTTTTTGTAGTGGCATAAATAAAAAGTGACATTTGTGAGACTATACAGTGTTTTGTAAATAATTTTACAAAGAACGCCTGGGCCATTGCCTGCATTTTGATGTAAATAGAGGTAAATTACTATGTTCTTTGTTAAAAATTTGCATATGTTTTGAAGTTTACAATTTTTATTTGAAGTTTAAGTTTTAAAAACAGTTCATCACACATATTTGTGTTTTAATTTCACATTAATTTCCATATTGTATAAATGACTGGAAAAAACTTGAGCCCCTGCCCCTGTATAATCATGTGCACGTCCCTGTTCTAGCTCCAAGGTGAATCTTCACTGCTCATGTTCTCCTCAGAAATAGTCACCTCACTCCCCTCAGGTTACTGTACACATGCACCAACTATCTGCTTCAGGTTTGGATGGAGCTTCATGGTTGTCTTTTGGAGAAATGAACAGTCAAGTTGTGTTTGAAATCTGATTTTTTTCAGGGGCAAAAGGAAGCCTCTGCATTCTTGTCAAATATGTAAACAGCATGTTTTTGCAGGTGCTAAAAAACAGACTCTGAGTGTGTGTGTGTGTGTGTGTGTGTGTGTATGTGTGTGTATCCTGCAGTACTCTGTACTCCTGCAGTGGCCAAAAAGACTTTTAAGAATGACTTTTAAGAATGTGGATTTTTGGGTCATCTTTGGTGCCCCCTAGAACGTAAACCGTGGGGTGCAGCGTCATGATTTTTACAACTTTGAATGGGCATGGGGTGTAGATTGCCCTGAGCAAATTTGGTATCGGTGGGACGAAAGCCTTAGGAGGAGATAGCCACATTCCAATGTGTGCGAATCGGCAAAAAATGCGAAATAGCCCTTTAACCGTACATTATACAGATACGCGCTTTTGACTTTTTCGTAGATCTAATTGAGATACACGTGATTGTCAATTTTTGTGTCAATATGACAAAGCGTTCAGGCATGACACTCAACAATGTGTATTTTCATGTAAGGGGACAAGAAAAAATTGACTTTTTTCTCCTGCCATGGGGGGGGCGCTCTTTTGGGGAGTAAAAATTCCTTCACAAATGTGTTGATGGCTGGACATTGCATCATCCTAGAAAAAAAACTTGGAGGGCAGTGAGGACAAAAATAAAAAGTTATAAGACTTTTAAGAATGTGGATTTTGGGTTATCTTTGGCGCCCCCTAGAACGTAAACCGTGGGGTGCAGCGTCATGATTTGTACAACTTTTAATGGCCATGGGGGGTAGATTGGCCTGCACAAATGTGGTGCCGGTCGAACGAAAGCCTTCGGAGGAGTTAGCGAAATTCCAATGTGTGCAGATCTGCAAAAAATGCAAAATAACCCATTAACCGTACATTTGACAGATACGCCCGCACTGACTTTTTTGTAGATCTTATTGAGATACATGTGTGTGTCAATTTTTGTGTCAATATGACAAAGCGTACAGCCGTCATGTGAATTTTCACCTTAGGGGGCGCTATGGAGCCATTTTGCATTTTATTGTTTGGGCGACTTCAGAATATCGAATTTTTCACCAGGCCCGGTCGTCCTGCCAAATTTCCTGAGTTTTCGCCAGTGGGAAGTGGGCCATTTTCCAGTTTAAAGCGGAGGAAAAATAATAACGAAAGAAGGAAACATGCAGGAACAAGAGGGCTCTCGCAGCTGCTTAGCAGCTACGCTCGGGCCCTAACGAAAGAAGGAAACATGCAGGAACAAGAGGGCTCTCGCAGCTGCTTAGCAGCTACGCTCGGGCCCTAACTAGGACCCCGTTGGGGCACTGGCGGGCCCGAGCCGTGTCGCCCCCCCCCCCCCAACGCGCTGCCTCCCCGTCCCATTTGTGTCCTCTGGCCATCGCCCTCTCTGGTAACGCCCATCACTGCAAAGACCCTTTTCCTTCATCGGCGTTTGCTGTTCTTCCTGCCAGTGCGTGTTGCTTTCACTTACACTTGCCACAGCCAGCCTCGTGAGTGCCTAGCCTATTGGATATCACTGTCACCTACACAGGACAGTCATTACCTTTCTATTAATACTTTGTGTTTTAATTTCACATTAATTTCCATATTGTATAAACGACTGGAAAAAACTTGAGCCCCTGCCCCTGTATAATCATGTGCATGTCTCTGTTCTAGCACCAAGGTGAATCTTCACTGCTCATGTTCTCCTCAGAAGCACTCACCTCACTCCCCTCAGGTTATTGTACACATGCACCAACTGCCTGCTTCAGGTTTGGATGGAGCTTCATGGTTGTCTTTTGGAGAAATGACCAGTCAAGTTGTGTTTGAAATTTGATTTTTTTCAGGGGCAAAAGGAGCCTCTGCATTCTTGTCAAATATGTAAATAGCATGTTTTTGCAGGTGCTAAAAACCAGACTCTGAGTGTGTGTGTGTGTGTGTGTGTGTGTGTGTGTGTGTGTGTGTGTGTGTGTGTGTGTGTGTGTGTGTGTGTGTGTGTCTGTGTGTGCGTTCAAGTCACATGACATATTTAACCGGATGTAGCTGCAAGACGGAGCCTCGTTGACTCTCCGTTTCAACTTATCTCAAAAGTGAGGACCTCAACCTATATACCAGTTTTTAAATTGTGTTGATAGGCCAAATAAAACCAAAGTTATGATAAATTATGTCCGCGATACTTTTTTTCTGCTTATTTTGATCACGTTCGGCGCTCGATCGCGCTGTATGAGACAGGAAAACATAGCATGCAGACATTAGCGACAGGTCTTACAGGCGGAAAAGGCTTGCCAAAAGAAAAAAAAAACACACCACAACATCTCTCCTATTGGTGGAAAACTTCACCACAACAACCAATCCAAAATTATATGGTGACTGAATGACAAGGGGCGGGCGCTTACGTTCTTCCTGCAACATGAGAAGGGAGGGAGGGACTCTCAGCAGGGATGCAGTCTGGGACACGTAGTTGCAAACCTAGCGACTTTGTTGTTAGATTCAATGACTTTTCAGACCCCCTAACGACTTTTTTTTAGAAAGAAAGGGACTTTTATCGACTTCTTCTGGAGTTTAGAGACTCTGACATGAAGCAGGCTTTCCTTACTGAGGAGTTAGCAACGCTGCTAAGGGTGCAGAGCCACACATGCGCTCAGAGCTCTGCATGGGAGACTGAAGCTGACAGAGCTGCAGCAGTTAGCAGGTTTCACCCTCAGAGACCACCAGGGGTTCATGTTGAGGCATTTTAACATTTTTTTTTTTGTGCCATAGACACTGTCAGCACAATCTGCAGTTACACTAACAAAAATGCTGCAAAAAACAAAGAATTATGGAAAAATTACACATGGACTGACATAGAGGAGGATCTACACAAGTTTTTTACATCATGTTTTACATCATGCATCATTTACATCATGTTTTTTTTGTAGTGGCATAAATAAAAAGTGACATTTGTGAGACTATACAGTGTTTTGTAAATAATTTTACAAAGAACGCCTGGGCCATTGCCTGCATTTTGATGTAAATAGAGGTAAATCACTATGTTCTTTGTTAAAAATTTGCATATGTTTTGAAGTTTACAATTTTTATTTGAAGTTTAAGTTTTAAAAACAGTTCATCACACATATTTGTGGTTTTCACAGTAAAAATGTTACTTTTTTCCACTCGGATTTTATGTTTTGTGTGTGAATTTGGGTCCATTGTGTAAATTCAGTATGTCAACATGATAAAATAACTGTAAATTCGTACAGGTGAGGTTGTGCTGAAAAAAATGATACCAGGCAAGGCACGTGATTGTCAAATTTTGTGTCAATATGACAAAGCGTATAGGCGTGAATCTCAACAATATGTATTTTCACCTTAGGGGACAAGAAAAAATGGACTTTTTTCTCCTGCCATGGGGGGGCGCTCTTTTGGGGAGTAAAAATTCCTTCACAAATGTGTTGATGGCTGGACATTGCATCATCCTAGAAAACTTGGAGGCCAGTGAGGGCAAAAATAAAAAGTTATAAGACTTTTAAATATGTGGATTTTAGGGTTATCTTTGGCGCCCCCTAGAACCTAAACCGTGGGGTGCAGCGTCATGATTTGA